CGAGGGAAACCCAACGGGCCCTGGGAGAGGCCAGCAGCGCCGGCGGGAACCCCGACACAGGGCGCGCGGCGCCAACAGGCCCAGGAACATGTTTGCAACCGAATTTGTGTTTTCGGCCACCGTGAGACAAATGGAAACAAAGGTCGACTGCAAAGCAGCGTCGAAGCACACCCACACAAAATGCTGTTGTCCGAGAACTCCATTAGCGTGTTGAGCATCAGCTGATAAAAAGAAAAAGAAAGTGGACTGTTGCGTGCTCCGGCGCAATCAGTACCTACGACGTCTTGTGCCGCCGGAACGGAAAGCTAGGTTGCGGCCAGCACCGCTGCGGCCAACACGCACGTCGTCAGGTTGCGGAGCTGCGGCATCTACCAATGTGTCCGGAGTATTTCTACTTTGCGTCGCCGACGCAGTGGCGGGGGCGGCGGCGCTGTTACGCAGCGCTTCGCAGCTGACGATGCTCGCGTCGTCCACGGGATCGTAGGTGAGGTGCATGGCGGCTGCCAGCGATTCCAACAAAGGTACATGAACTGCCATGGACAGATTCACCACACGTAGCGTCGCCGCACTCGAGCGCAGCGGCTCAATGCTCTGCAGCGAAATGCATCCATAGAGGAACACCTTTTGCAGTTTCTGACACTGCGACAGTGCAGAGATGCTCTTCAGGCTGGAACAGCACGTCAGGTCCACCACCTCAAGCGACGGTGCAATAGGGCGCGCATCCTCAATGCTGGTGATGGCAGCGTGTCGGATACTCAACAAACGTAGGTGTACAGCACCAGAGAGGGCCGAAATGTCGTCGAGGTTGCGACAGTGGGTCAGGAAGACAGCTTGCAGCGCCGGCGCACACGTGTGGAGGAGATGGAGGTTTTTCAGACAGAGACCCGAAAGCGTAAGAGTTGTGAGTGTCGCGCACGACTCGAGAAACCCAAGTGGGAAAAAATCGTTGGAAGGCACGACGTCGGGGATTCTGTTGCCTGCTTGGAGCTCGCGCAGCTTGGGCCACAGGGGACGGAATGCATACTTTTGCGTTAAAGGTACGTTTGTGATGTCCACACTTTCCAGTCGCGGCGCACTCGCGATGAGTGACAGATTGCTAAGGTTGAAACAGCGATTCAGTGCGATGGTGGTGAGAGTTGGCACGCTGTTCACCAGCCACCGCAGGTCTTGAACACGGGTTTCCGATAGGTCGACTGTACGCAGCTGCGTCGCTTCGTTGAGCGGAGTAAAGTCAGCGATGGCACACCGACCCACAAGCAGTTCCTTCAACGTGTGCGCACTCGCTCGCAGCGGCGCTATGCTTCGCACGTTTGTCTGTGACAGGCGCACCGTGTGCAGCTTCTTGGCGCCGATCAAAGGATCTAAGCTAGCGACACCATTCGCACCGCGCACGTCAATAAGCTCCAGCGAACCCAAGGAGGAGCGAAGGAACGACAGGTCAGCGACCTTGGTGTTTTTGAACTCCACCTCCCGCAGGTTTGTGTGCTTTTCCAGTGCCGAGAAGCGCGTCAGGCAGGAGCATGAGTTGACGCTCAGCTTCTCCAGCGTGGCGCGGCTTGCGCTGAGCGGACCCAAGTCTGCGATGGTTGTCCCGGCGAGATTGGCCTCGACAAGTGACGTGGCCTCGGTAAGGGGTGAGATGTCCCCTAGCTTCTCGCAGCCGCCCAAACCCAGAATGCGCAGGGACGGCGCGGTGGACCACAAGGGCGTAAGGCTTTGCACCCCTGTCAAATCCAAGCAACATTCGCGCAGCTTGGTGCAGGGGATGAGAGCGTAAAGGTCCGTCAACGCGCGGCACCCCTGCAATCGGAGACTTTCCAGTGCCGCGACGCTTCTACGCAGGCCATCGATGCTGCTGATGTCGCTGCCGCTCGCGTCAACTTCTCTCAGATGTGTGTGCGACGACAGCGACGACAGGTCGCGCAGACCGCGGCACCGCTCCGCGTGCAGGTTCTCCAGCAGCAAACTCGAGGACAGCAAAGCGGATAGATCAACGATGTTGGTGTCACTGACGTTGAGGTCTCGCAGCATGGGTGCCGGCGCCAACGCGGCCACGGATGCGATGTGCGAGTTGCCGCTCAGATTCAGCATCTCAAGCGACTCGGAGGCGCACGCCCGCAGCGCTTCAACGTCACTAAACACGGTGGACGCTGCGTGGAACTCCTTCAGCCGCGTTGCGCGCGACAGCGGCGAGATGTCCGTGATTCCGCTGGTCTGGCTGATGTCCACTGCCTCGAGCGACGCCGCGCTGGCCACGAATGCGGCGATGGAGGTGACGGCGGTTTGATCAACATGGCATCGCCGCAGCTTCGTGGCCGCCGAGAGCGCCGAGATGTCGCACAGGGCGGAGCAGCGCGACACGATGACCACCTCTAGAAGCGGCGCACAGCACAGAAGCGCGTTGAGTGTCACCACGTGGGGGCTCTCCACCTGAAAGTGGGTGAGGCGAGCAGGCGCCACCTGGATGGCGGCCATTGTGATGTCGCCCTGAAGGCTGAGCGTCGTCAGCGTCGGCAGTATGGCAAGCGCTGCCGCACTTTCATGGAGGGGAGTGCCCGTCAGCCGCACCTCGCGTAGCTTGACGCCGCGGAAAAGCAGGTCCACGGCGGCAAGATTGGCGCAGCCGTCCAGGTTGATGACTTCGAGCGATTGAATGCAGTTCGAAAGCGGGGCCAAGTGGCGGATGCCGGTGTTCCGCAGATTCACCTCACGCAGGTGTGTCGCTCCGGTGAGCACGTCGATGGTGCGCAAGTTAGTGCACTCCGCCATATCAAGGCTTTGCAGCGTCGAGACAGACGGCTGCAGCCACGCAAGGTCGGACACGGCTGTCTGACCAAGCAATACCGTGCGCAAGCTCGCCGTCTTCTTTAGGGCGCTGACGACAGACAACTTCGTACACCCGCGCGCGTCGAACACTTCGAGCGACGACGACGGCACGTCCGCCTCCGAGAAAGCATCAACCGCGGTGTTGCGCAAAATCAACCGCCTTAAGCGAGTGTGATGGGTGAGCTCCGCAATTTGATGAATGTGGGCGCAGTCGCTCACGTCGAGCACCTCCAGCGTCGCGCCACACGCTGCCAGTGGCTTCAAGTTTCGAATAGCCGTCTTGGCAAGATACACCTCCACGAGGGCAGCGGCGTTGCGGAGCGGTGAAAGATCGGCCAGCTTCTCGTTGCCGCTGAGGTCCACCACGCGCAGCGAGGCCGCCGCGTTCTGCAGAAAAGCGACGCTGCTGAAGTTGACGCGGTCCAAATGCACGCACTGCAGCCGCGCTGCCGCGGCGAGGTGAGATAAGTTGGTGAGTTCGCCGCATCCGGAAAGGCGAAGCACACGGAGTTGCGGGGCGCACGCCTTCAACACTGCGATGCTGTTGACGGACAAGTGCGAAAGGTCAAGCTCCTCGAGCAGCGGCGCCGTGCCCAGAGCGTGTACGTCCAACACACGCTGGCAATCACTCACGTCTAGCGAGCGCAGCCCAGGCGCAAGTCGCTCCACCACTTCCGTGTGCGAGACACCTGTGCCGGCGAGGACCAAGCGCTTCACATTTGTACAGCGCCGAAGTGGCGAGGTGTCGGACACGTTGCAGCACCCCTCTAGTTCCAGCACTTCAAGCGTCGCGGCGCTGCTTTCCAGCGGGGCTAAGTCGGTGATGGCGGTGAAGCTGAGGTTTGCCGTGCGCAGTGCACGCAGCGTGCCGAGTACAGCAAAGTCGCGAATCCCGACACACGCCTCCAGATCGATGGTGTGAATGGAGGCGGCGCTCGGTTGGAGGGCGGTGATGATGTCCACTGCGGTGTAGCCAAGATAAACCTCCTGCAAGCGAGGCGCCTGCTGCAAAGCCGCAATGTCGGTCAGCAGAGAACAGCACCGTAGGTCTACCACTTCCAACGTAGGCGCGCTTCCTTGCAAGCCGTCTATGCTGTGAAGAGCGGTGCTTGCGATGTGGACGACGGTGAGGGACGTTACGGGAGACAGAAGGGACAGGTCGGTGACAAGATTGCAGTCGATGATATGCAGCTCTTGGAGGCGTGTCAACGTTGCCAGCGGAACCAGGTTCACGAGGTTCGGACAGTGCGTCAGGTGCAGTACGTGGAGGGAGTCGCTGCTGTGGGAGAGGGCGCTCAAATCGCGTACTCCGCAGTTGTGAAGGACAAGGTGGCGCAACGCGTGCGAGTGCGCCAGCACGGCAAGATCGCGAAGCGCAGAGCAGTTCCTGATGTAGAGAACTTCCAGTGCCGTAAAGTGCTTCTCCAAAGCACTCCCGCTAAAAGAAGGAAACGCAATGGACAACACGCGGACGTTGTTTGTGTCGACAAGACGGCTGAGATGTTCGTCGGAGTGGCACAGGTACACCGTCGCCGACGGGTACTGCGCGTGTTCCGGCAGCACGGAAAAGTCGTGCGCCGCCCTCACCTCGTCCGCGGCTGCTTTCAGATTTACGATGAGCTTCTCGCGTTGTAAGTGACGCGCGGCGATAAAGGCTATCGTTGCTTTGGCAACGCGCTCGGAGATAACCGCCAGGTGCTCCTCTGTCTTCCGCAGCAGTTCGGCCTGCACCTCTGCCTTCACCTTGAGGGTGAAGGGCGCATCGAAGGACCAGACAAGCGCGGAACGGCAGAGGGGACACTGAGCGAGGTACACCTTGGAGCACGAGTCACATATGTGGTGCGTGCACGTGTCTGACTTAACGGCCACCGTCATGGGGTTCGTGCAGATGCAGCAGGTGTAGTCGCTGTCGACCGCGACATCCGTGTAGTCGAGGAACAGCGGAGTCTTCGGTGCCGCCATCACGCTGCAGGGATGAAACGACAAAAGGAAAACAAAACAGACAACAACAACAAAATACCAAGCGCAAGAGAAGGTATTTTCAGTGCGACCGCTTACTCTTCTTTTGTCGAAGGCACGGCAACCGTTTGTGGACGATAGCAATGCAACAATAATAGAAATAGTAACAAAACGACGGCAACGACGGCCACAGCGTGCTGTTGCGCAAGAAAACTATGAGGAAGGCGAGGAGAGAGAGCGATAGATGGAGAGGTAGGGAGGCGGAAAGGGCAGTGTCCTACCATCGAGGCAGATAGAGACAAGACGGAAAGCTGCGCTGTTCACGAGATGGGGTTGCTGGCAAGAAGAAAAAACAAACGAAAGAAAGGGACCGTAGAGTGCGAAGGGAGAAAACAGGCAACGATCGCGTTAGACGCGGAAAAGAGCGGCGCAAACATGCACACACGTACACACCTGTCACGAATAAAGTCATTTCCTTGCAAACAGGAGTTGTGGGAACAACAACAAGAGTAGGCGTGCCTGTCTTCTAATCACCAATAACGCTACTGCCGCTTGCGCGCATTCGCACGGCAGTATTTAACGCGGTAAGATTCTGAATCCCGACACACCTGCTGAAGTCAACTCTCACGAGGCTCTCACACGTTTCGAGCCCCGCCACGTTACACACGCCGCTTCTTGACGCCAGCAGAGTGCGCAGTGACGGCGAACGGGCAAGCGAACTGACGTCCTTCAGCTGCGTACAGCCGGAGAAATCGATCTCGCGCAGCGCGGGACACTCTGCAAGACCGTGCACGTTCGCAACGGCACTTCCGGCAGCGATCACCGTGTGCAGCTGCGGGGCTCCGGCGAGGGGAGAAAGATCGACCAGGCGCCTGCACTCACGAACGTCGATTTCCTCCAGTTCTGGGCAGCGAGCCAGACCGGCCACACTCGTGAGACCACTTCCAAACGCGTACACCGTCCGTAAGTGCGGTGCACCGGCCAGCGTTTCTAGAGAGGTCAGTGACTGACAATTTTGAAAGTTCACGAGGTACAGCGAGGCGCAGCGGTGCAGCCCGTCAAGGCGGCGCACGCCTGAGCCGTTCGCGTGGATCTCCTTCAACTGGGTCAGGTGACGGAGGGGCGACAAATCCTCCAGGAGAAGGTTGCCGTTGACCTCGAGGTACTCCAAGGCTGCGCAGCTGATCAGCGGAGCAATGCTGCGCACGCGAGTGCCACCGCACCTCAACACGCGTAGAGGAGCGCCAGTGGGCAGCGGGGGAATATCTTCGATATCCGCACACCCACTCACGTTCAACTCCGTCAGGGCAAGAGACCGCCCCACAAACGATATGCTTTGGACTCCGCTCGAATACGCGTCCACGCGCTCCAGGGCAGGGGCACCCGCCAAGGGCGAAAGATCGGTCAGACCCATACAGTAGGATACCACGAGTGTTTCAAGCAGAGGACACGTGGCTAGGCGGCCGACGTTGGTGATGCCAGAGCTGCTGGCCCACACCCCGGTCAGGTCCTCCAGCCCCGCAAGCGGCGACAAGTCTGTGAGTCCGCCGCACTCGTTGAACGAGACGTGCTCCAGTCCCCGGCACTTCCGCAGCCCCGCAATGCTGCTCACCGAGCAGGAGCCGATGTCTATCATCCGCAGTCGTGTCGCCTCCCCCACAGGAGAGAGGTCCGCCACACCGTAGCAGTTAAAGAGCAGCAACTCCTGCAGGTTTGCGCAGCGGTCGAAGCCGGAGAGGCGGGTGAGGGTGCCGCCAGTGACGTCGATGGTGCGCAGCGACGCGGCAGACTGCACCTCCTCCATCGGCAGTTCGTTCACGTCTCCGGCGAGGGCGAGGTAGGTGAGGCACGGGAGCTGCGTCAGTGCGGCCCAGCACTCGGGGGTGTAGGCCCAGATGGTGAGGGCCTGCAGCTGTGTCAGCTGATCGGGAGAGGTGGCCAGGGCCATGAAGGCGTCGGCGCCGATGCGGAGCTGCTTCAACTGCGTCATCACCCCCGGACCGAGGTACACACGCGGCACCCATTCCACCACGCTGAGGTACCGCAGACGGTGAAAGACAGGATGGTCGAGACGGAGGGGCTCCTTCAGGCTCTCCTCTTCAAACGCCAGCGGCATTGCGCACTTCTCAATCCACCACGTAACGTAATCTAGGTCGTTCGGGTTGGGGGTCGGGGTAGACGTGGCAACACGCTGAACGAGATCGTCGGCTTTGGGCTCAAGAGAAAGCATCACGTTGCCACACCGCACACTGCCGCGTACCTCTGCAAAGACCCTGGCTGCGGCGAAGGTGGCGGCAAACACCAGCGGCACCCTTCCGTCAAAGTAACTCGCAACAAGGGACAGCACGTCTCCCTGGGAGGCGACGAGGAGAGGATTGAGGTGACCAACGTAAGGATCGCTCGCATCAGTGTTGTCGAGCGTGCGGTGGATGTGTGTCAAGAACGCTAGTAAGCCACGCACGCTGCTCCGACCGTCAGTTGCCGTCGCCATCTCCATGTGTTAAAGGATGCTTTTTTTTTTGGAGAGAAAGAGCAGAGATAAATTGAGATGTCACGAAAGATGAAAACTCCCGCTGACATTGAAGCTACGACGTTGATGTCTTCGCGGAGCTGCGCAAATCAGCGTGGGCTTCCTACATAAAGGCGAAGCATCGATGGAATGGTAGTATTGGTAAAAAATGAAAATTACACAAATGAAGCAGCAGCAGCAGCGCAAGCTTTTAATGCCTCACCGAAGTTTGGTGCTTGCGAAGAGCTACGCACAACACGGTAAGGTACCAAGAGAGAAAACATTTTGGAGAACAGAATAATTGTGGTCGATTTCAGGTGAAAGAAGAAGAACAGGGAAAACTAAAAGGAAAAAGGTAGAAGATGACAAGGATTTATAACTGCATTAAAGTTCTAGCCCGGTTCCGCAAGCTATCGAACCCTTAAACACAAGTGAATACATATAGCTGAGATGGGCAAAAGTTTATTTCAATATTATTTCAATATTTTTTTTTCCCCGTTCAAGCTTTAATAAGAGTAGAAAAGTGAGGAGCAAGTGAATCTGCGGCACGAATTGTTAAACAGCAACAATAACGGCACGTTCACGAATTGGAGACGCGAAGTCAAAGATGTGTGGCTAAGATGGCCGTTCTCATGGCAATAAAACACTCCTATCCACAAATGCATTGGGAGAGCTTTAAAGTTTTTTTTTCGGTAGAGCATAAATCCTCAAAAATACGAAAACAGAAAGGTGCATGAGAGTAAAAGAAAAATGAACGGCTTCAGTTTTGCGTGTAATGAAACGGGCAAATGGTTTACTTGCATGCGTTACACGAGCTACCGGCGAACTACCTACCTCCCTGAAAACGAACACAAGAGGGTTCAGTAACCTTAGAAAGGTGATAAGAGAGCAACACATACCTGGAGTAAATGTTCAACAAGGTAGCAGTGCTGTTTTTCTTCCCCCCCCCTCCTCCGCTGGGAAGGAATGCTTCTTCGTGTGCTGCTGTGGTAGCAGCACCCTGCTTCCCTTGTGAGGCTGAAATCACCTGACACAACAAAAGGGTGTGTTGAGAAACATAACACAACACACGTGTTTTACGCTGTACATCCGTTGGGTTTTTTTTTTTTGAGAGGCGACGGCACCAAAGTAGTACAATGGAGATCCGAGAACCGGAGGGAGAACAAGGGGGGGGGGTCGACGCGATAGAGAAAGAAATAAGGAAGAGAAGTAAGAATTGCATCCCCTATAACAAAAAGAATATGATAAACAAACGATGACAATAACAGCAAAGAAGAGGATTGAAACGTATTTGACACCCAGATCGTCGGTGAGCGGGCGAAATGACAAAAAAGAAGACTTGCCAGCTATCAAGCCTTAAAAATGGTAACGACAGAAATAATAAAAAGCAGAATTTCTTCAGTCGTAAACCACGAAACACGGAAGAGGTGTACTGGCCGCACTACCCGCAAAGTCGCTTTCGCTCTTTTCCACATTGAAGAATAGAAGGGCAGACGAAGAGAGCGAAGAAAGAGAGAGGGAGATTGAGAACAACCAAAGAAGAACACTTGAGGTAAGAAAACCGACCTCCAACGCCACAGGAGCCGATCAAAAAAAAAAAAAGACAATAATAATAATACGCAATCAGAAATAATAATAAAAAAATATATTAGAAGGTATTCCAATCTTTTTGAGATGCTCAGAGAAGACAAGACACATCGGTGAGCGACACATAACAAAGAGGAAACCAATCAGCAAGGAAAAATAAATAAACTTTACAGACTAGAAAACGACACCAACAGAACGGCACACACACACACACGCACAAAACCAACAAGATATCAACAAAGGCAACTCAAAATAAAAATGCAGAACCAACGTTATCAAGTACAATCAATCACCACTACATGAAAAGACACATCAACAATCGTTTTCTGAGTATTAGCCGACACGTGGAGATCACATTTCATCCATTGCCGCCACAGATACGGCAGTCGGTGCTGATACGCGACCGCTTCCGTGCAGAGAAGGCAGAATCACCGACCCGTCCGGGGTGGCGCTCTTGGCGCGTGACACGACACTCGGCGGCCGCGACGCATGTTCTTCGTCTTTGTCCTCCACCTTATCCTCACCGCTGTTGTCCTTGATGGCTCTCTTCGCCTCCTCGTTGTTGGCCAGCTCATCAGCGCGCTCCACTGGAAAGTCCGGCTCAATGCCGTACTCATCTGCCAGGGAATAGATGTAGTTCATCAGCGACTTGTTCGTGGAGGACGTGCCGAAGGCGCTCGTAGGCCGTGCGCGCGGGTTCTCGGACGAGGTGAGAGGGCCGTTTATCTTCTCCTGCGCGCCTTCCAGGTTCGGGCTGCGTCCCGGCAAAAGTTGCGGACTCGTGCGGTTGGTATCGGAGGTGGGGAGTTGACCGGTCAGGAGAAAATCGTCAATGCCACGGCGGACGCGGGTGTTGTCCTTTGCGCGGGAGTAGCTGGAGGAGCCGTACGTGCTCTGCTGCTGCTCCGTTGCCGCTGCTGCTTTGTCCCCTGTCTCCGTCATGGGAATGCCAGCGACCGCTGGAGCGTGATTCTCCCCTGGCGGGTGCGGGAGCATGGCAGACTGCGAGTGCGGCTTTGCTGTCAGGCGGTCGTCGTTGTCGCGCTCGGGGTTGAGTAGGGAGTAGAGGGGCGGAATGGGGGAGAGGTACTTCGAGTCCACCTTGAAATCTTTGAACTTGGCGCAGCAGTCGTTGTTGAGGTAGTAGTTGTTGGTGGTGCCTCCGGCCGCCTCACGCATCGCCTTGGCGACGGCTTCCAGGTAGGTGGCGGTCTCCAATAGGTAACACCGCAGCATCTGCCCGAGCTGGGAGGAGCTATGCTCACGAAAGTTCACAAACTCATCTTTGTAGGTGCGGTCCTTCTCTTCAAAGTCACGCGCCAGATCGACGGACTTGCTGTACGCCTCCTCGTCTGCCACGTCCACATCCTCGAGAACCAGCCGAATGCGGCGATCGCGCGCCGCTCTGCGCTCCTTACCGGTTACAGAGATCATCTTTGCGTGGTCGTTGATGGGCTTGATCTGTTCCAAAATCTGATCCGTAATGTTTGTGGTGTAATTCGACAAGGCGTTGGACTGCTTGACCTCCTGCATGCGCGTCTCGGCGGCGGCGGCCAGCTCGGTGATGGTGGGGTCCGTGCACTTGTCATCCGTGGCCGCGTGGAGCGCCGCGAGGGCGTTCTCATTCGCCTCGCTGAAAGAGCGAACCCCCTTGACAGATTTCTTCATCAGCTTCTTCATCTTACGCAGCTTCTTTCGCAAGTTTTTGGCGTCCTTCAGCTCCGCCTTGATCCGTTCTTCCTCCTCCACGTTGAGAAAGTTCACCGCCGGCTGATTGCGAATAGCGACGGCGGTTGCGCTGGGCGTGTTGGAGATGGCCGAGTCGGCCGTGCTGTTCCAGGCGTCTTCCGTCTCCTCGTCCGAGCTTTCCACGTCGTCTTCGTCGTCACTGGAGTCGTCGACGAGGCGTTCGAGCATTTTCTCCCCACCGGCGACGACGGCCGCGTTGAGCGTGGCCGCACCAGCCATCGCGTTGCTCGCTATCTCCGCTCCTTTTGCGGTCACTTTATCCGTCCAATCCGCGAAGCCCGGCTTCTTTTCCTCGTCCTTCTTCTTATCAGCTTTGGCCTTAGCGCCCGCCTTCCTTTTGCGGTCCTCGCTGTTCTGCGGTTTCTTTGCGATGACGCCCGGCGGGGCCCGGATGCTGACGGTCCGCACACTGTCCGACTCCGGCTGCTCGTTCCGCCGTTGTGGCGGTTTAGGGACCTTGCCGATCGGCTGAGCCATTTTTTTTTTTGAGAAAATCGGGATGAACACCAATTACAACGAACACGCACGCGCACACACACAGAAAACCGTGTGGCAAACTTAGTGGTTGCTTGCGTGTCTTTCAATTATGGGAAGGCGAAGTGGTATACACGTGCGTAGAAAAGCGATGCAAGAGTTTCCTTCACGTACACCGTTCCACTTCCGCTTTTATCCTGGTGGTCAACGCAGATGCGAATCCTCCACGAACGTTTCACCGTTGCAAAGTGCACAGGGGACGGGAGCCAACGAGACTGTATATTCCGATTTAAGACGCACGAGAGGGGGAGGGGGGACAACGGAGGAGAGGAGTGCAAAGGCGGACAACGAAAGTGAAGTGAGAGACAGACACCTCAAAAGGCAGCAGCAAAAAAAAAAATGACGGATGCAGAGGGAAGGTAGTATGTGGAGAACAATGATGTAAGTCACGTGGTAGCGCACCCATCTCTTCGGTGCTTGGCTGCCCGGTCTCGATAACACGTTGTTCTCTTCTGCTTTCTAACTTCCGTTTACGCAAACGCTTTTTCTTAAATACTGTTTTTGTTGTTGCTGGCACACCTCTGAGGTACGTGTGAAAAGCCACAAGCAAAAGAAAGATAAAGGATTTTGAAACGGTACGGGTGAGAACGTTTTTTTCTTTGGGTTGATCCGTGTAGGCTCGCGACACGTAGCGGAAGAAAAAGAAACACCGGGGATGACGCGTTGGCGAATCTGATGACTGAGAAAACAACAACGGCAAATAGATACGAAAGTGGTGTAGCGAAACGTAGAAAGAGAAGAGAAAAGAAAGTCTTGTATAATGAGGACGCAGATGACCCTTTGGGGAACAAAGAGTGGGAGAGCTTGTTTTCTTTTCTGCGATATGTATAGTAATAATAATGATGAAATAAGCAAAGATAGCCTCGTTAAGCAGCTCCATTGCAGGAGCCACTTGCAAAAAAATAATATAACAACAGAGTATGACAATCTGACACGCCTGCCCCACCCGACGAAGGCCGCGCCACGCTGCATTATTTGATTGCCACTTTCTTTGCCGAAGAGGCAACGGCCGTGCCTTCTCGAATGATGTCCTGCCGAATTACCTCGCCGTTCTGAATTGCACGCTCTTCCATCTGAATGCGGTCCTTCGCCACGCTGAGGGCGGCGAGATCCACCGGAAGCGCAAAGAGGCCGAACACGACACACAGCAAGGAGAGGAACGGAAAGGGCGTGAAGACGCGGCGGATGTAAGGGTTGCCGGTGACGCTGCGAAGAAACGACGCCTCATGCTCGGCGATGCGGTAGTTTGTCCATCCAAAGTATCCACCAAATGCAATCAACGCGTAGTCAAAGCCGGTGCTGACTTTGGTCCACGTCAGGCCGCGCTGCAGCTCATCGCGTGTAAAGTGATGACGCGCGAGGGCCATCTCACAGTCCTCGAGGCGGTACTGATAGTCTGCTGGGAGTTTGGTGCTGCCGGCGCTGTTTTGCGCCTGCGCAACGGGGCTCTTCGGGGAAGTCGCATCTGACATGTTTGTTGGTGTTTTCTTCTTTTCTGAGAGGCGTGGGGGAGTGGGGGTGAATATGTTCGCGAAAAACAAACTAGAAGGAAGAAGTGGTAGTACGAGCACTTGTCCTTTCGCAATGAGCAGCGACACAGCAGAGTAGAAAAAGGGAGAGATGAAAGAAAAGGCATTGTCAAGCGAAGATGTGAACGTTGATATTTCGTTCAGTACTGCCGCCTGAGGGAAGTCCTTCCAAAAAAAAAGCACCGCGGAAGATCCCAAATGTATGAAGTTGCCTCTCCGAGATTTTATTTCGTCGTGCATCTCTTCTCATTCCGTTCTCTCACGTCGTATGCTTTTCTTAATTGTCAGAACACTTTACAGACAAAAACAGAAAAAAGAGGAGCGTCATCATCGTAGAGCTGGAACAAGTCACTTAACAACGTATGGGAATAATTGCCTTGTCCGCTCTCTTCCCACCTTTGGTGGTGAAATCAGCTACTGCTACTTGGGTAACCTCTCTTGGGAGAAAAATAGGAAACGCACACAAGGGCGGTGATGAATGTCTTCTTCCATCTTTTCAGGTTTGAGAAAAAAAAAAACGGCAATTATTTACGTTGATTGAAGCAGTAACACAATTTTCTACGGTAAAAAACGAATGTAACGACAAAATGGTTTACGCTGTATCAGCTATATGCATAAAAGAAAACTAAAAAAAAGAGGTGATCGGTGAAACGAGAAGAGGAACAGTTAACAATAAAAAGATAGTAAACATCAGCGACAACGAACACCATTCAGATCCATAGGGCTGCTCTGCTGTGCAGCCTAGACTATGTGAAGGAAAACGTGTGCGTTCTGCTTGCTGATTTTCTCTTTTTTTTTTTGCTAGCCTTCTCTTCCTCAAGTTTCCAAGGTGCAGAAGGAGGAAAGAGATTTCCTTCATAGCAAATGGCTAGTTAAATGATAGGTAGAAATACGAAACAGAAAGGCCGAACAACCACAGTAACAACAAGAAAAGAAATTCCTGCGAAGATTCGTAATGGAGCGATATAAATAGAGAGGAGGAAGAAGGGGTATTTTTTAGTCGTTCAGAGAATGCGAGGAGGAGGAGGATGACATTAGGTAGCAGCATCAACGCCTCACGGTGATGTTCGCAGCGATGCCAAACAAAACCATTTCGGCGAAGGACTCCTTGCCGATCCACTCGTCGTGCATGGAGCAGATGTAGCCGAGATGACCGCCACGTGGAATGGTCAGCAGCGCCACGTTTGTGTTCGTCGCCATCATCTTCTCAAGCGTGTCCATGGGCGGAGGACCGCAGACAGGATCGTCCAATGCGCTCACGCAGAGCACCGGCACCGTGAAGTGGGGAAGCCACTCGATGGGAGAAATGTGGTGGTAGTAATCCTCCGGCGTCGCAAATCCCAGCGTGGGGGCGGTGATCACCTTGTCAAAATCGCGGATTGTCTTCATCGGCGACAGGATTGCGTCGTACTGACACTTTGCAAAGGCGGCCCGCACGCCGATTTCCAGGCCAGGAAGGTCCTTCAACACCTTCGCGTGGCGCCGTGCGTACGCCGTCAACCCACTCAGCATGCTCGGCTGGTAGACGATGCGCTCAATGCCGCTCTCCAGGCGACTGCTCGAGTCGATGCAGTCCAGCGGGGAGTTCACAATCATCACCGCGTCGAGGGCGGACTGCCGACCCGCCTGGCCCTCCTCCCCCATGTACTTACACAAGATGACGCCGCCCAAACTGAAGCCGATACCGACCACGGGAATGCCCCGTCTGCACCGCTGCTCAATCGCAGCACGGGAGAGCGGACCGTCTCGCATAACGGCACGGAGGTCGTCCGTCCACTTCGCCGACATGAGGCGCGGCGTCTCGATCGGGGTGTCACCCATGCCACGCGAGTTGAAGACACAGCAGTGGAAGTCGTGCTCGTGGGCAAACCACACAAAGTGCTCAATGTAGTTGGTCCCCGACCACGAGGCCAGGCCGGGAATGATAATAAAAGCCCCCTTTGCCTTTTGCACGTCCGCCGCGAGGTACCAGTCTACGCACATTGGGTTGCCGTCCCCGCCTGGGTGGCTCACGCGCTCGTAGGGGATGTGGCGGTGCGGTCGGAAGGCGCAGAGGATGGTGCTCACGTGTCCGCTGTAAGCAGGGCCGGTGTAGCGCACGCCATCGACTTTGTCCAGCTGGAAGAAAGAACTCACCTGCGTGGAGCCGTAAACGTGGGTCTCTTCGGCTCGCCAGACTTGACCGGTGAGGACGCTTTTCAAGCGCGAGACGAAGTCAATGCAGCTGACGGTGAATGCTTGGAGAGCGAGAAACTTCAGTTTCGACCACATCGCCACCGGATCCCGCGGAGGGGCCGGAGCGTTGCTCGAGGAGGCACCGCTGTTCATGATACAGCAGTGCGCACACAGAGAGAGAGAGAAAGAGAGAAGTGGTTGAGAAACAGTTATTCGCTTTCCCTTTTCGATGCAATCATTGTGATGTTGCCGGTGAAAGACTATTGTGTCACACACGTGTGTGCCGCGGAAAAACAGGAGATGAACGTAGAGACAGGGCGTAAAAACGAGGAATACAAAACACTAGCGGAAAGGAAAACAGAAGGAAGGGCGGCGTCGCGATGAGCAAACGCACCACGATTGGGTTGTTTGGCGTCTGTTGCTGTATTCATCTTTCGTTGCTTCGCTGAAAGCACGTACGGGCTAGACGAGACCCACATAATGTGCGTCGGCTTGCGCTTTTCGGTTGCTGCATCCGAGACATCGAAACCGTGAAGAAAAGAATTTGTTATTGTCTTTTTTTTTTAAATCTGTTGCGTGAAGAGGATTGTTTACATCGTTGCAAAGGACAGGAATAGCTTGGGGTGTTTCACATTATTAAAAAACAACAACAACCAAAGAAGAGTGGCAACAAACGCACGTCTGATTCAAAACAGGGGAGAAGCAGTGGGAGGGGGGGGGGGGTGGAGGGAAGAGCTCAGTAGGAGCATCTTCTTCTACTCAGTGTTATCCATACCCGCATCCTCTTCGTCGCCGCCCTGCTCCTGCGTCGCCGTCCACTTCCCTGGTGGGCGGTCTCCGGTCAACGTGCCACACAGCACGATGTACATCGGTAAAAGAGGGCGCCCCACCGCGTCGACCGGCATCGCTTCTAACTTCTCCAACAACGGCAGCCCGTCCACCACCTTGCCAAAGACCACCTGCTCGTAATCCAAAGAAGGGGCGGGGGCTAACGTAATCCCAAACGAGGTGTTGCACAGGTGCGGTCCATAGGAAGTCATCGTCAACAGCCCACGCGTCGTGTGGCGAATTTTGAAGTTCTCCTGGCGCAAAGGCTCCAACTGAACCCCGTACGCGAGCAGGTCGCCGAAGCGGGCGTACCCACGAGCTTTATCAATCAGTTCCAGTGGAGTGTAAAGATAATCTAACTTGACATCCGTGGCGTCGTGCACGCCGTCGGCGCCGGTGACCAACCGTCGAAAGCGCGCCGCAGTCTCCGGCACAACGTCGTCAAACAACTCCACGACGAGACGTCCGGCGAGGGCCTCACCAATCGCGATGTCCAGAAACACGCGATTCGCGTTTGCCTCCTCCATGGAGCGGTGCGACTTTTGGTAGTTTTCCCACTCCTTGAGTCGGCGCTCTTCGATGTCGGTGTAGACCTGCACCACGGAGGGCGCGGCTCCGTTGGCTTGCGAAACATCTTTTCGCGGTTTGGGCGCCTTGTGCGGCATCCTGGAGAGGGGGCGTGGGGGAGGGAAGAGGGGGATGCAGTACCGACGTCTATGTCAAGAGAAAACCGACAGACAAGTAGAGCGGCCTCGGGCGTGACAACAAGAACAAAGAAGGGAGATTAAGCCTGCAAATTGCCGTCCAATTCCGTTCACACTAATGTTGAGGCAGATAACGATGGGAGGGGCAGAAAAAAGACTGGAGGAGAGCGTTAATGAGACGGGTACCGCGAACACAGATGGCGGCACGCGAGCAGATATACTTGTCTTTCTTGCCTTTTCCTTCATCAAAACACAGGACCAATGAGTAGGTCGTTCACTGATGCGTTGCCGACACTCAGAGCAAGCGCATCGAACGTCTCCCTTCCTCAAGAAGCAAATATATCGATACACTTTCTCTTGTTCGTGGCCTCATTAGAGGCTAAGCAAGTCTCGTAAGACGTAAGAATGCACAAGTCTTTGTGAACAACAGCAAAAATAGAAGAAGAAGAGAAAGACAAGAGTGGATCAACGCCTCCACCTCTCAGCACCCTTCCGCATCTATCCGCACCTTCTCCATTACAAACATCACTTTTCAGAGGAAGGTTCGCCTAGCGAGCTAAGCCATGCTGCGTACACTTCGTTGACGTGCTTGTTCGACCCGTTCATACTCCTAAACTTCTTCTCGAACTCCAGAAACTTACGCCGGCTTATCTGACCATACTGCGGCATGCCTTTCGTTTGCTGAGCCAGCTTTTCTCGCGTGATGTACTTGGCCGAGTCCTCGGAAAACTTGTCGTTCATCCAGTTGTCCTCCATGTGTCGCTTTCGCAGATGTGCATACGGATCGACGCGGAGAGAGGGCGGAATCAAGGCCGCCTCGAGCAGCTTCATCGCTTCATACGAGATAAACTTCGCTACCGTGTCATCTGTCGGCTTGTAACGTCGATACCACGGCGTGCGTTGGAACTCCTCGACGGTGGACCACGCGTTGAGCGAGGAGCGACTGCCGAGCTCCTTCCGCTCAAATATTTGCGCCACCTCGCGATCGACCTCGACGGGGCTCCAGTTCTGCTTCGTGAGGATGTCCCGCACAACGAACTCCATTCGGTCACTGAGCTTGTAGGCGCATCGCCACGCCTCCTCGCGCGACACAGGACGGGGGTTGCCGGTCAACACCGGAATGTCGCGCATTTTGTGGCCAAAGCCCAACTCCTTACCAAAGCGCTCTCCGCTGTCGAAGAAGCGAGCGGTGACAGCGGACATAAGAGTGCAGCGCTGAAAGCGACGCATTTTTCAACCGGTAAATTCTTGCTCGCAAGATCGTACGCGTAGTTGCGTAGCTAAAACGCATAAAGTAATATAATAATCGATATATTTGGAGGGGGCCACACGCGAGACTCTGCTTTCAGAATAGTTGGAGTTGGTTAGAACAACAACAACAACAACAAAAGCAGCAGAGCTTTCTCACTTTGTGCAGACGGTCTCGGACGTCTCCTGTTCGAGTAGTGCCACCAGCGTATTCGAAGGAAGTGAGTCCGTACAGCTAGTGCGAGAAAAAGGAAGAGATGCAGAAGGATGCACAAGGCATATGGAAAAGGAGCGTCGAGGAGTGCTTTATACCGTCTACAGTGGGGCAAAAATAAACAAGCGTGAGAAGCGCCATTCGTGCCTCCCTCCATTTCTAAATATTACTTCAGCATAATGGACGTCCTACAACGCGAGCTTGAATGAAAGTCACAGTTGCTTCCTCTTTGTGTCACACCGATCTGCTTGAAGGAAGAAAAGATCTGTAGCGTATTGCATCGATCGTAACATGAATGGACGCTGTTCGGACAAACACAAGGAGAAAAACAAAAACAACGACAACAGACGAGAACGCACGTAGGACGCAATAATGAAGTGGAAGAGAAGAGAAAACGAAAAGGAGCAAGAGAACTAATAAGCATCAACACAGAGAAAAAAAAGATACTAACGGCGTAACACCTTTGGGAAACACTAGTCGAAATAGAAGGAGCAAGAAGAAGTGCCCATCATGAACACAACAGCCACAGTAGCAGCAGCAACAACAATAGTGCAAAGACGCACCATTTCCGCTCTCTCTCTCCCCCCTAGCACAAATGACTCATTCTCGTCTCTGGAGACATCGTACGGCAGTCGCTGCTTTACCACGAATCGCCGTCGGTCACACGACGGCCCCACCAGAGAACAGACGACACGATGGGGGCTACGCAGGTGTAAAGAACGACGGACACGCCAGGGGCCGCCCGCGTGCGAGACTGCATCCCGGTGAAGCAGAAAAAGACGATCACAAGTGCACCAACGGTGGAGCCGAACATGGCCAGCCACGCCGTGAAGAGCAGCACGCGACCACGACCGTCGCCTTCCTTCACCTCAGCGGGGGAGACAAGGTGAAGGAGAAGAAGTCCGATGGTGGAGAAGATGACGGGGATGCACATGACAAAGGAGAAGTGGTCTTTCTTGCTTGCTTCCTGGTTGGCCTGGACAACGCCATCGATAAACAATACGAAGGCCAGGCCGAAGAGAACGCCAGCCGCGATGGGCGGGAGGTTGGGGTTCTTGATGTTCAGATGCACCATTTGCAAAGGAGAGAGAAAGAAAAATAAAAGGTGTAGTCGCTACCGAAAGGGGGACAAGCGGACAGAACAAGAAAAGACGTGCAAGACGCACAGGCGCGTGAGTGCGCTCTCGGGAAGATCAGCTAGTACGGACACCCTGAGCCAAAATAACGCAGTAAACAAGAGCCCTTTTTAGCAGGCTTGCATATATACGAACACACACGGCACGGGCTTTATTTTGTGGTGATCAAGACGATGGTGATAACGGCGATGATGACAAAGGCAGCGTCTGCTACTTTTAACAAGCAAAGAAATCACTCAGAAGAAAGAGACGTGTCAGAAAGGAGAAAAAAAGAATCAGAGAAAGTGGGAATTCGCACAGTTGTGGGTTCTGATCATTGACATTTAAAGCTCCTCAAGGTGCAAGGCACATAATGTGGACTTTCCTTTTTACAGAGTCATCAGATCGGGCACGGAGAAGGCAGAGATCACGGTCCGCGTGGCTCCGTCGCACACGACGATTATGAGAGGTTGCAACAGGATCTACCGTTCGGCAAACTGTGCTTTTCTTCCAAGGAGGAAAAATAACGGGCAGGGAAGAAAAAAAAGTCTGACCGAGGCAGACTTCTTTACGGCTGCGTCTGTCCCTCCCCCCACGCGAGGGGGAAAGAACACTTCTTGAGGTGCATCAGATTATGCTGAGGTTCCCAAACGAACAAATAATGACGAAACAAACAAAACATAAATACTCAATCAACAAACGACAGCATCGCAACGACAGTGACCGCCCGTTTTTAATGGAGAAAGAGACAATGGAAGGGAGAGGGAAAGCCAGAAGAGGAACAAGAAAAGCACCGGGAGTGAGAGAGAGAGAGAAAGAGAGAAAAACACAAAAGCACGCACTTGTTGACATCGCGTAGGTAGCGTTAGATGCGACCAACAAAGAAAGCATGAGTGCTTCTTTTCCCTTGCTTTCTTTTTTCTCTCGTCCTCTCTTCTCACAGCCTTCTTCTTTGTTGCTTGTTCCACGGGGGAAAAATGGAGGGGGTAATGCAGGCAGTCGACAAGAAACAAAAGGAGAACAGGCGGTTGTATTTTTTTTTTCCCTTTATACATCGTGACGAACACGCAGGAGCCTCTACATATCATCCGTCATCTGGTTGATGAAGCGGGTCAGGTCCTCGCTCATGAGATCGTTCTCGTCGTCCGATGGGCTCGGGGTATCGGGCTCCTCGGCGATGATGCTCTCGTGGCGCTTCTTTGCCGCGGCCAGCTTCTTCTCCTGGGCCTTGAGGCGCTGTTGGGCAGATTGCACCTTTTCTGCGACCGCCTTCAACTCTTGTGCCAGGCGCTCGCTCTCCTTCTTCGCCTCCTTGGCGTTCTGCGCCATCTCCTGCTTCGTCTGTGTCAGCTCCGCGTTTTCCTTCTTGAGCGACTGCAGGCGGTTCTTGAGCTCTTCGGTGTGCTCCTGAGCTTGCTTGATCTTGTCCAGCTCGCGTTGCCGCTCCTGCTCCTCCTTCCGCTCCCGATCGGCCACTTCCTTCTGGGTGCGCTTTGTCTCCTGACGAAGGCGGTCGCAGAGGTCGTGGTAGACTTTGTTCGCCCGCTGCACCAACTCCCTGCGTGTCTTTTCCTCCTCTCGAATCGTCTTGCTGATTTCTTGGCGGAGCTTCTTGCGCAGCTGCTCCGCCTTCTCGTCCTCCAGCAGCTGCAGCATCGCATTCTTGTCCACGCGCGGCTCATTCTTCTTCTCCTTCGGCGCCGGTGCCTTCTCGCGGGCGGCCGGCGCCTTCAGCGGCTCCACCAGCACAATGCCCACTTCGATCGTGATGCTGTCGTCGTCGGCCGTGATGAAGCCCTGCGCGGGGTTCAGCAGCTCCGAGAACTTGATCACGTTGTTGAAGCCCCAGTCGTTCTCTTGCGACATGGCCGAGAAGCTCTGCGTGCCCTCGTTGCAGATAGAGTCGTCCGGATTTAGCTTGTTCACCACCGTGATGAGGAACTTGCAATGCACACTGCCCGTCTGGCAGAGGTACAGTGCCAGAGACTCCTTGTTCGTCATGCACAGCAGACTCCACTTCAGGTTTGCAAAGTTGAACTCAGGGGAGTAGTGCCGCTCCGACTCCTTCGTCAGCATGGAGATGTTGTTCACGTGGAAGGTGACGAAGCCCATGTCACCTTTGATGCTCATGCTCTCCGGCGGTACGGTGAACTTCACTTTCTTCTGCTTTGCACGCGAGAACTTGGCACGGATGCGCTCGCGCGGAAAGGCGGCGAAGACGATGGACTCGCAGAACTTCTCCGTCGAGTTGGTGTCGGGCAGGTTGATGCTGAGCTCGTTCGCGATCTTCTTCAGCGGCTTTAGGCGCAGGTTGGTGAGCACTGACAAAAAACCCATCGCCACCATGCGCTCCCACATGTCCTCCACCGGCGGCTTCTCCTCTGGAAGGCCGAGCACCCCGCCCAGAGACTGCTTCAGGTGGTCGGGCAGCGTATTGAGAAAGTCAATACTCGCCGCAGAGGGCAACGGTCCTGTTTGAACGTGTGACGTCATGTCTTCGATTATCTTCTGCTTCTCCATCAACACGCAGGCCTTTTCGCAGCCGAGTCGTACCGCCGTCTTGACGATTTGCGAGACAAACTCGTCGTGCGGGGAGGAGGGGCGCAACTTCGCCTTGGCGCTTTCACCGACCTTCTTGAGAGAGTCGATAGAGAGGGGCTGCATGAAGTCCGTGAGATGGTTCACCGCCTCCCCGCCCTCGGTGGAGCGGCTGCTCATCAGCTGGTTGATCTCCTCCTCGTCCTCGTCGTCCGAGGAGGAGGTGGAGGACGGCGTCTCGATCACCGTGCGGTGCTGCAGCGCCTTGCGGCTGGGGAAGGTGTTGGTCGGGGCCCGCACGGAGAGGCGCGGCGCGGGGAAGGGTCCGAGCGTCTGGTACTGCTTCCCCTTCTCGTCCGTCACCTTGCGCTCGTTCACCAGCATGTCCTCCTCCTCCTTGCGCTTCCGCTTCGTCTCCTCGCGTTTGCGCTGCTTCTGCTCCGCCTCCTTCGCGGTGGACTTGATGTCGCTGTTTGAATCCATCTCTACTTCCTCGTCATCGTCGTCGAAGAAGCCCTCCTCTTGGTGGAACTGGTACTCGTCCTCGTCCGTCACCACCCGGCAGTCGCCGGTCGTGCGGTTGATCAGCTCGTGCGGGGCGCTGCGGTGAGCGGCGGAGACGAGGGTGTCCGTCACGGTCTTGTACAGGTCCGCCAGCGCGGCACAGTACTCGGGACACTCTTCCTCGTCCATGGAGCGCACCAGCTCCTTGCGTAGCGTCCGCATCATATCGCGACCCGGCTTTGCCTCAATGGGGGCATCCTGAATCAGCTGGTAGAGGGTCGACTTGTAGAAGCACATGTCACCCTCCGAGAGCGTGGATAGACCTTGCATCGTTCGCTTTCCCTCTTTAAGCTTTAAAAATGTAAAATGCGCGTCTGTGTTCAACAAAAGGAAGCAACAACAAGAAAAGTCTTTACGGTGCAGGCTACAATGTTGCACACACACGCACGTGGTGATTTCGCGAGAGAAAAAAGAGGAAAAGAAAAACGAAGTTAGTAGCGTTCAGATTTAAGAAAAACGCTAGAAGTGGCCGAGTAACAATAATAATGATAATAAAAGTACTGCTTAAGAAACCATTTATTGACAACGAAGTATCGAAGGAGGAAAAAAGAAGAGAGCGTGTGAATAGTGACTCCTTTCTTTTTTTACTTGAGTACTATTATCGGTTCTTTTTAAGCAGTCCGAGACTTTCCGGATTTTTTTCGTCTTGCCTCAGACCATAGGAGACGTGGAAGAGAGAGAGAGAGTGAGAAAAGCAATTGATGGCGCGTGCGCTGCTGCTACAAACGACGGGGACAAGCTCAAACGTGCTCACGGTGACACCGACAACGATGACACTCACGACCGAACAGGCACACAGTTAGAGGTGATCTCCCCCGGATATGTTTTCCTCCTTCTTTTAAACGGAGGAGAGAAAAAAGTTAGTTAAGCAAGAAACGAACCACCTGAAAGAGGTAACAAACACACATACATATATAAATAAATAAATAAATAAATAAATATATATATATATATATATAAGCGTAAAGGAGAAGAGAAGTAGACTTTCACGAAGACAATTTCCTTCACAGAAAAAGTTTTGGGCAAAGAGAAGGAAGAGAAAGAGGAGGGTAATTGACGGGAAGGTGGTAGAAAAAACAACAACAAAAAAACATGTCAAGAGATCATTTCGCGTCTAAAATAGCTCGCTTTTGTAAAGGAGAAGAGATGCCTTCGAAAGTCCTTACAGGTGTTATTTACGACCCCACCGAAGGCGATCGGTACTGTATCCGCCGTCCATCGTAGACGACGACAGAACGCGCGGATGTTGACTTGTAGATCAACGAGGTGACCTTTCAATGAAGAACGATTCCTTAAAGTGTTTCAGTTAAAAAATAGTTTCAGGTGACGATATTCTGTGCTACGACGCGATTCGCCCCGGCAATTCTCAACAACTACCTCCTCCGCAGCCAGCGTTCCTCCAATACATTCCGACCCACCCAGTCACTGGGTATCCCTTTACTCGCCCAGCTTCCGGTCTCCATCTGCATCCGCCTCCGGCAGCGCCGCTACGTCGCGCACGTCGTTCGTCTCGTACCACCACATGAAATTCACCTTACCATTCAAATCGGTGTACGGCAGGTAGTCCAGCTCCATCCGTTGGAACTTGCGCAGGTGCGCCGTTGTGCTCGCCACCTGCTCCGTCAGCAGCCGCAGGTGCTCCTTCTTGGTTTGCGCATTCATCTCGCGGAAGCTCTCCGAGTAGGTCGACGTCTCCGTGGCGGACGCACCACGCAGGCCCGAGTACAGGTCTTGGTTCTCTACGCGTGCGCCGACGATGGCGCGGACCTCCTCGAAGCGCTCACGCGTCAGGTGGCACACCCACCGCTCCGTCACCGCATCCTTTTCAAAACTCACGAAGCCTTCGCTGCGGGCCTGCTGCAGCACCTCGCGGAGATGACGCTTGCTGTCGAGCACGATCTGCGGGTCGTTCATGCAGTGCTCCCATAAGGACGAAACCTCACAAGGTTGGTTGCGGTAGAGAACAGAGAGCAGGAAGTCGCGCGGGATCTTGCCAGTATCGCGCGGCATCGCCTTCGTTTTAAAGCGCTGCTCATTGGTAAACTTGAAGTTCTGCGGTACTTCCTGCATGGGCCAGTTTTTGATCTTCGCTGCGTTGTATCTCACGCCATGAGGGATGTGGACACCCGTCTGGAAGAGGCGCGAAATGGACCTTTGCATGATGAGCTGAATCGCCAGGAAATGAAGAGAGGAAAACCAAAAAAAATGATGAGTCGAGTCCAGCAGCAAGAGCTACAGCGAACTGCAGCGAACTGCAGCGACACGAGCCACTACGTCTGCTACGTACACAGCACCTGTCGCAGTGGAAAACAACAACAGACGAGGAAAAGGAGACAAAGTCGGTCTCCCCCTTTTCTTTTAGAGTCGACTTCGATTAGAAAAGGCACAACGACCCTTTTTAGTTGATTTGTACTGTAAAGCCCAAACAGGCATAAAAGAATGAGGAAGAGAAACAGAGAGAGAAAAAAAGAAAGATGTATGCCTAAATGACACGTGTACATGTACTTCAGTGAAGTACATGTAGATGAGAGAGTTACATCGTTTGCTTTGCCTTTACCTTTTTCCCCGTTGACCTCAACGATGGAAACAGTGGAACTGCCAAAAGAATACGGCGTCACCACATGCAATACCAGAAAAAGATGAAATTCAAGGAGACTGGCCTCGATCTCTAAAAAGAAACAACAACCACCACCTCTTCTTCGCGTCAAACATGAAAGGGGTAATTTCAATATATATATATATATATTAGTAAGAACACTTGTGAAGAGATCAAATTGGTAATAGCAGAAGACACCGTGGCACGCGTGCGTGGGGCCGCGAGAGAACACCGCGTGCTGGAGGGTGAAAACAAAATTCAAAAATAGACAAAAGCCAAAAATCAGCTCCCTCCCTTTTTCTTTTGCTGCGACGCTGAACCGAAGAACTCATCATCCCGCATTCATCTTCACACAGTGTACAGCAACGCATTCGAATACAGAAGTGCCCACAGTCTCTCTCCCTCTCTCCATACACAAATACATATATATATATATATATGGGCCATAGGATGGCACACGGATCGCTAAATCGGCTTCTCACTATGACGGTGAAAGGGATCGGGTAGGATGTACTGCAGCATCCGCTGCGTGGCCGGCACACAGGCCAGGAAGCAGACAAGATAGCCCAAACACTTCACCAACACGAACCCCATCTGCCGGTAGTGCACGTGCCCAATAAAGTCAGAGACCTCGCGGTAGGGATCCACAACCTTGGTGGGGTTTAAGACCATCTTCCCGCCTCGAATGTGACTAAATCCAACGGAAATACCCAACCACGGCGTCCCGCTGAAGTACAGAAAACTGCCGGTGTTGTCGCCGTGCTCGTCGAGGACGGACACCATCGTGAAGTGAAAGAGAAAGGGAAGGCTCACGTCAAAGCCCTTGCCGAGGAAAACGACGTACGGGATGTACGAGTAAACCACACGAGGCGAGATCCAGCCCACCTGGGTGCGTACGAGTGCCTCCAGCTTCACGCCGCCGCCGTACTCGATGTAGCAGCGGTAGCGTGCGCGGGCCATGTTGCCCGCCGCGTCGCGCGTGGTGATCTGCGCGTTGGGGTTCATGCACCCCTTACCGCCCACCGTGAAGTTGGGATCGATGGAGAGAAAGAAGCCGGAGACGTAGACGGGGCCCTCGAAGCAGTCAGAGCTGGAGAGCGTCTTGCGCGTACCGAAGGCGGGGTGGTCGGTGGAGAGAAGCTTCCTTCGCTGCTTTTGCAAGGACGGCACCTCCGCCTGCTTGAGACCAAAGACGGGGTGCGACGTGTCGAGGGGTTGATAGCCACGCTGCTGACTGCGCGAGAGAGGGCGGTAGTAGCCCACGTTGGCCGGGTTCACCCGGGCGAAGGAATTCGCTTTCATTCGCGATGGTGGTGGCAGTGACAGGGATGAAGGGGAAGGGGAGGAGGGGGAGGGGGCCAGCAGCGGGCGACAGAATCGAGAGGAAGGGGCGCGCATTATCTGCGCGCGCACACGTTTTTACCTTTACTCGTTGTTATTATGGGGAGATTAATAATACAGTTGACGGCGCCGTCCACACACCTTAGCAGAAAGGATGTATGAATTATGCGGTGTGCGGTGCTCTATGCGATTGCGATTATAATGCTAGACTCAAAGCCGCTGGAGACGGCGACAGTCTGTTCTCACGTGTGTGAGGGGACTATGTTGTGATTCTATCCCTCGAAGAAATAGCAGTGAGTCCCGGGCTTGGCAGAATATATGTAAGCGGTAGGGAGAGGGAGAGAAATTGAGGAAGGGAAAGATAGGTAGAATGCAGGTGAGAAAAAAAATAATAATAATAAAGAACTCACATCAGAGGATGAAACGCACTTTCAAGGGTGATGATGTCGGCAAGCGCGTTGGCGGCAGAATGGGATTTCTTTTATTTTCTTCCCTGAAAAGGATGCACGAGGAATGCTTATAGAGAGCTGTCAAGATCGGTGAGACGACTGCTTCTTTTTTTATCTCTCTGACGTACGCACACTTTATCCGTTCGCAGATGCCGTGCTCTTCTCTGTTTATTTCCTCACCATGTCCACAACTTATTCCCTTTTGCAAAAGCCACTCGTTCATGATGTCAGGAGTGGAGCGCAAACAATAAGCAATGCTGAGAGAAAAAAGAAAAACAAATGACGCGACACGGGTCACCGTTGAATACCCTTAGCTGTCCGCACTACTACGAAAGCTTACGATCGAAGCAGTAGCAGAGCAGCTCACGGAAGTCCTCACCAGGGCGAGGGAGGCTGTTCCCCTCTCGGATGGTGGGTAGCGCCTCCTTGTATTTGGTCGTAAGCAAATCAGCAACGGCCAAGCCCTGCGTGGCGGAGATGTCTAGTGTCTTGTGCACGTGCTCCAGCAACCGTTTGCTCTCGTCCTTGTTGTGCGACACCAAGCACAGCGCCAGGCCGAGCACGCCAAACGCCGTGACGTAGCTGTAGAGACGCAGAAACTCAACGTGGGTGACAACCTCTTGGGTGAGGATGTCGCACAGATCGAGAAAACCGGCGTTGATGGAGCGCAGAATGACGTACGACCCCCGCTCAGCGAAGGTGGCCGTGACTTGACTACTAGAGGAGCACACAAAGAGGCGACGGCTGCCTTTGCCGTCCAGCGGGAGGTCCTTCACGAGGGTGCTGTGTGGCAGCCGCTCTGCCAAAAAGAAATCGCTGCCGAAGAGCTGGAAGACGCTGGTCGATGAGCTGTAGAGCAGGCGCGACGCGGCGCACAGCTGAGCGAGGCAGTCCTGCAACGTTTGCGTCGATCTCAGCGTGATGCTTGCCCAACCGCGCGACTCTTGCGCATCAAGCACCAAGACGTCTACCGCGACGGCAGCCGGCACCACCGCCTCTTTCGTCGAGTCGATGAGCGCCGGGTTGTTCAGCAGGTGCAGCTGCAGGTACACGTGGTTGACCACCGTGGTGTGCGGCAGGTACCACTTGAAGAAGCTCAAGATGCGTTCTTCCATGAGAAGGATGTTCTCCTTGGCGTACGCGCCGTCGCACACGTCGACGATCTTGCGCAAGTTGGGCAAGTCGGCGTCCATCTCCTCAAACTTCGCGGCGATCCAGAGGGCGGTGACCGCGGCAAGCTGACACTTCTGCAGCTCCAGCTGCTTCAGACTGCCCACAATGAACGCATCGGCTAGCTGCACCGCGAGGCAGAGGGTGGTGCTGCGCAGGTTGAAGGCCCCGCACACGTCGCGCAACCAGCGTGTGATGATGCGACGGTTTTTGTAGCTGTAGATGGAGCCCTTGAGGATGTTGATGTCGGGCAGTGGCTTTACGTCCTTCTGCTTCATCTTGTTGAAGATGGCCTTGGGATCCTCGTACTCGTCCTTCATCCCAGGGCTGGAGCGGAAGTCCATCGCGCCTGCCGGGCCGAAGAGCCGGCTCACGGAGTCGGAGCTCACCGTCGTCACGATCGCGACATCGCTGGACATCTTGACGCACAGAATCGATTTCAATAACACCAAGCGGGAAGCTCTTTTTCTTTCGTTTTACTGTAAAGCTATCTGAAGTCACACAGGCACAAACGCAAAAAAGCAACGGTTCTATTGAGGGGAAAAACGAAAAGGATGTATAGGAGAGTTGGTGCTGTTAGCCAACGCAAGTTAAGGCGCATAGGGACATAAAACACAACGGTGAAAGGCGGTCAGGAGAGAAGGCGAGAGAAGCCAGAAAAGTCGCTTCGGGAGATCATTTAATGCGGAGGGAGCCAATTCGTAAAGTCACACGAGAAAATGAATAAGGGCAACGCGTGTTCATGTGAAGACATTAAAAAAATATGTATAACTCTGTGAAGTTGAAGAAAAAGGGCGACACAGGGAGTCAGTAGCTTGAAACAGATATAGTGCCGAAATGAATACGGGGTGTTGTTTGCGCTGGAAAAAAGAATTTGTTGCGCAGAAGTCACGTTAATTATTGATGACTGCACACCGCCTTTTTCTTTTAACTGATAAGCGTGGGTTGCAACGACATTTTCACCTCAAGATGTACATATATATGTATATTGGTTCAGTTTGCTATGCAACGACATACAATGTAAAGATACCGATCAATTGCTGCGAAGTGAGCGTGATATGAGTAAACGAACACCACCATCGCGATGGTGGATGAGCTATGCGTGTGCCGAGAGAAAACGGAGTAGGCTTCGACGTCTCCTGTGCTGTCGCAGATGCTTCATCTGCCCATCGCCATGACTTCTGGTGGCAATGTCATCTTGCGGGGCCTGGAGGGCGAGGGCGACGTTTCGATGGGACACCCTGAGACGAATGGCTTTGCGGAACAGGCCACGAGTCGTTTGATTTTTCCTGCAGCTTTGCTGCACTTCGATTGTGATGTGAGACTCGCACCGCTTGATGGGCGCTTGGTGAGCTGCGGCTTTGTTGGTGGTGCCGCTGGGAGCAATTCATACGTGCGTTGCCAGCCCCCCTCTTTTTTTAACAGCGCCAGGCGGTTTTTGCATGTAAGCCTCAAATACACGTCGGGAGTATGCCCGCCCGCGCTTCTGGGAGGCGAGCGTCCGATGCAGCGCCTCATCCGCCGGCGTCTATTTCAATAGTCGGAAAATAATGAAAAGAGAAATGAGCGTGTGGGATGCTCCATCGAAGCGATCGAGCAGGGAAAAAACAAAAGAAGAAAACTTAAACGATAACGAATGGAACACACACCCACCCACACAAAGTATGCGTGATGGGCTTTATTTCGTCGGCAAGGAAAACATGAAAGCAAACGAAAGGGCTTTCCCTTTGTTCCTTCTCGGTGCTGCTTAGGAGCTGCGGCAAGGTGCAGGAAGGGAGAAACCACCACAGCAGTATGCACAGCAATGCTCATCACTGTAATACACACAAAGTAGAAACAAAACAAGCATCAGAGAAAGTGACTGCAACTTGAAAAAGATTTGAAAACAGTTCCAAGAACCTGATTCACTCCTGATAAAGGTTCGGGAGGAGGAAAAATAAAGAAAAAAAGAGAACTGCGGAGTCGAAACACAAGAGAGGTGTAACGGACGTGAAGCAGGGATGTTGACGCAAGCAACGATCGTTTGCGTGGCATCCGCACATCAGTTAAATCTAGAAAGAAATCAACAACAAGCAGACAATAACGTAAAAAGGGGGTAATTCAACCCCGTGATGTCAAGACGAAGAAAACAGAAAAAAAAGAATAAGTGAGTGGATGTGTCAATTGTGCTTTGATTTGCTGACGGAATGTCAGTGTAAAGCAACCACCACAAAAAGATCTTGTGCCAGGCGCTGTTGCTTTGTGCGCAACCTAAAAGCGTAATCCCCACCTGATGGCCCCAATCAGGAATTCGTATGCGCGTGATCGAAGCGGAGAAACGGAATGTAAGAAGTGGCGGCGCTTATAGCCAAGACGCATCGCGGCTGATATCTCCCCCCCCCCACTCGAAGGGTCTTCTTCCCTCTTTCGAAAGCGAAAAAATCCCAGACAGACAGGGAAAAGAGGAGTACTGCTGCAATGTGCATGCGCGCGTGCGTGTGTGTGCTGACTTAGACGCACGCCCTGTGCCAATATGTGTCGCGCTGATCACCCTCAAGCCGTTACGCCACGCGTCGGGTGCAACGCAGCGAAAGTCGCACAGGAAGTTCACCTGTTCCGTGTTGCTTTCCGCTGCAAAGAGCCGCTCTTTGCCTTCTGCGCTCCGCTATGGAGTGGCGTTGAGACGAGAAGATGAAAGAAAAGCGCAGCTGTTCATCTTTCTCATTCGCACTTTAACGGGCACACGCGTGTAGACACACACGCACATACGCACACGCACAATTCTGATACCAGCCGGTGCACGTTCTCCACGTTTCGTCCGCAGCGCCATCCGATAAGAAGGCGATCAACTGCCATGTTTGACGCTGGCTCAGGTCGACGTCACGTTCACGTCTTTGGGCTTGAGTTTTGATTGTTCTACTTGGATGCATTTTTATTTTCCGATTTGCGTTTTTAATCAGTTCAGGCTGGGAAACGGGTACCGTTATCTGAGGGACGGCATCACGTGCTGTCTCGCCACGTGTACTGCCAAGTCCGTCAACGAGGGGCGGAAGAAGCCTAGGAGAGCGCTCTTTGCGACCTGGATCGCGGTAGGAATAGTCGCGAAGGACAATCCTCAAGCCAAGGACGTACCTTTTCGAAGACGAGAAAAAAAAAAAGAGGCTGTTTTGTGAAGCAACGTGTCTTATAGCTTACTGCCGCTGTTTTGTTCCCCTCACACGTGTGAGGTAGAAAACCACGCTTCGCTTCGACACCTACCGCTTGAATACACCTTCACAGCCTCTTTCCACCTGCGCAGGTGGTTGTTCTTCGCCTACCCAGGCACCGTGCAGCGCGCACGACTTCGCCTCGTAAAAGGAAGGAGTAGCTGAGGACTTCAGCGAGGAGGAAGCAAAAAAGACACCAAGTTGGCCACACAATGCCCAACGATCTCTGCGAATGCCGCGCGTAGCTGCGAGTGTCTTCTTCCTTGCGCACCGCTTCCTCTGCACTCCGTTGCTCAAACATGTGCGCACGCCTGACCTGCCTCCTCCTCTTCCTTTTATAGCGGCTTTCTCTATATGCCTCCCTCGCTTTATCCGGAACGTCAACCGCCCTTTTCTCTCTCTTTACAGCACTGAATATGAAATCAAATAAACCTTCAGTGGCGCCACTTTTTCTTCTCCGCTTGCGAGGCGCACCGTGGAAACGACGTGTGAGGGGAAGCGGGACTTTGCGTGAGGGTATGAGAAGTCGTACGAACACCACAAAAAGTCACGCACACACGCCGGCTGCCGCTGCCACCGACTCGGCCACCAACCTAATCCACACATACAAGAAAAGAGATGAAAACAAAAAAACTGACCTGGATCAGCTATTCAGGCTCAGCACATGAACTTGCCGCGCACAAAAATGATAGCATTAGTCCTAATAGCACACTACGCGCCTTGTTCTGGGTACACAAGGCTGCTCGTAACCGCAATAGCAAAAAACAACCACATCAAGCAGTCAGTGACCCATTTAGTTGTGGTAGTTGTCCAGCTGGCGATCGAGCTGCTCACGCGTCATCGGCTGCTCACGCGTGCGACGGGGTTGGTTTTTGCTGTTGCTTCCGTTTTTGTTGTTACGGCTGCCGCCACGGTTGTTGCTGCCGTTTTGGTTGTTCTGGCTCTTGTTGCTCTTCGCATTGTTGCCCCCGCGGTTATTGGAATTGCTGCTGTTATTGCCGTTGTCGTTGCGACGTCCTTCCCCGCCGCGACGGGGACCACGCTGACGGCGGTCCTCCATCTCCCGACGGTCATCGCGGCGACCACCACCACCAACACCACCGCCACCGCGGCGGTTACGCATGCGCAGGCGCTGGCGGCGGGCCTCGCCAAAGCGGCGAACACCACCGCCCTCTCGACGACCCTCCCCACGCCGGTCGCGGTCATCGCGAAGGCGGTCACGACGGTCCTCGCGGGCAACATCGTCGGCACGTCGGAAGCGATCGCGGCCGCCACGGCGGAAGACGCCGCGATCGCTGAAGCGACGCGGGCGAGGCGCATCGCGTACCCGCACCACCTGGCGCTCCACTCGGCGCACCTGCGCCCCACCGCGGCCGAAGCCCTCAATGCGGGTGCGCCGCTCGCTCACTACGTAGCGACGCGGTGCGGCGTAGCTGTCGTCGCCTCCGCGGCGGCGGTCGCGGGCATCGGCGAGGGCCGAGACGCGGCTGCGGTTGCGCTCGTATAGCGAGCGCAGGCGACGGCGATCGAAGTCGTCACGAGCCATGATGGACCTTCTGACGCACAAAAAAGGAATAGTATGTGCTTGTGTGTGTGTGTGTGTGTGGTTGTTTGTGTAAAGCTGCGGAGAGAGCGAGAGAGCGAGCTAGAATAAGAGGCGAGCAATAATAGGCACGTTTGTGGTGGTGGGGAGCTCAATGAAAAAATTCTACAATGGAGTGAGTCGTTGGTGGGTAGGAGGGTGTTTCATCGATCAGGTAACCGAGGAATGGGAGGAGAGGGAGGCGCAGACGCGATAGGTGGCAGGAGGAAGAACACATTTTGCGATATTGAAGACCATCTCCTGTCGCAGAGAACTGACAAACGTGATCCTTGCCGCCATTTTCTACCTTTTTGCATCGTGCCTGAGAGAGAAGTGACAGTGGACATGAGGGCGTGCGTGTTTCTCCAATTATGCGTTACGCTGGAAGAGCGCAAAGGAGATCATGAACCCCGATTGCATAGCGCGTCTACACGAAAGAGACGAGTTCCGTTTCATTTTTCAATGACGTAGGCGATATTTTTCCCTCAAAGATAGTTTTCGCAAGACAAAGTAGTCATATAAGGAAATAAGAAAAAGAAAAAACAACAACAAACTAACATTTAATAATGAAAATAACGTGTGCGTTTTTCGTGAGCAAACAAGCAAACAAAAAAGTTCTATCTATGTATGTTTGTGCACGTGACACATTCTTCCTCGTTCACTCCACACACACACACACCACATGAGTGCAGGAACAGAGAAAGTGCATGGGCTCGCATAAACAGTTGAGAAAGCAACAAGAAAGGAGAATACACACACAACCTCCACCTTCTGATCTCTCTTATATATTTATATATATATATAAAAAGAAAAATATAAATTCTGTTCCAACGACTTCCAGCGTAGCGGTAGAAAAAAACGAGGATGGGGCAGGCTCATCCAGTTTCACCGCGTGAATTAATAATAAGAAAACAAACATATACGTAGAGGAGAAGCTGGCGTTTGTGCCTCTATAAATGTATTCGTGCAATACACAACAGGGAAGGCTGAAGTTAAAAACTTTTTTGTGTTTTCATCCTCGCACGTGCGGAAAGCTGCCAAGCGATGAGTCATAGCGTTGGTAAACTGCCCATTACAAACAACCGGCGGAAAAAGAAAAAAGAAAGAACCGTAGTCACCAACAGCTCGTTTCCCTCGTAAAATGTCAGAATAGTAATAAAAATAGTTGACAAGAAGAACACACGAGTAAAAACAAAAAACAACAACAACAGAATTCTAATGCGTGTGCAAATCACCTTGCTCACTGTCACCACCTGGCAATAAAAACAAGAGATAAGAGCGCGAGTGGGAGCAGCGAAATAGGCCGGAGGTGCACTTCTATGGGTGAGAAAAAGGAAGCGAAATAATAATAATAATCATAGTCATTACCATCAAATGATAAAGAAGCAAGGACGATGCCACAGTGCACAGTCACCTCTCGTCCATACTTGCCGCGCAGTTTCACTGCGGAGTTACTCTGAGAGAGCGCTCGTCTAACTTGGTGAAGAAGTCGCTCAGCTCCCTCTGCCACTGCGCCACCTCCGCCTCGCTTGGCGCGGACATCAAGCCACTGCGACGGTGTGGGAGCGAGCTGCTGTGACTACTAATGTCCAACACGAAGACGCTGTCATCTGACAAACCACCCTCCGTCCCGCTGGTGCAGACGGACGGGGAGCGGGAGCAGTGCACCGGCGCCATGAACGGATTGGACGGGATAAGGCGGGAGGACCCGCTGGTGGGGCGAGGCGGAGTGGCGAAGAGGTGGTCCGTTGGGGCGCGCCCGACGCCTTGCGTGTCCGCCTCGTCGTCCCGCGAGCGCTTAAGAAAGGCAGAACGCTCAACTCTGCGGCTCATGATGAATCGAAAAGAACGAACGAACGGGATTAAAGGTGTCTGCTGATTTTGCCCTCTTTTCCCTCTCTTGAAAAGTAATACTGTAGAGAAGAAGAAAGAAAAAAAAAAAGAAAAATAGTAGTAACGGAGAAACTAGCTGCAGAGCGGAGAAGATAAAAGGGCGATCATAAATACTCGCTTCATAAATCAACCTCTGCTTGCGCTCTTCCAAACGACTCTATGTGTGTGCTTAAAACAAAAAAGAAATGGTGTGCGGTTAGGGGTGTTGGAGTTCAAACATCTATCAGTGTTTTTATTAATTTCTATTCTTTTTCGGATGAGAGCGCAAAAGAACAGTATCGGCGAAGAAGAAAAAAGAGGAAAGGAAATCGAAGAAGACTTTCCGAGTTGTCAGCATTCCAAGAAGAGAAAAAAAGCAGCATTCATAAGAGGAAGAATATTAATAAAAGTAAGAGAATGGCGCTCCGCCCGTCGACTGCGCTGACATCTAATCGGGGAGCACACCTAGCGCAACATGCACGCTGAGCACAATCCAGTTCCGGATGCGAAAAGACTGCGCGTGCCAAGGGAATGAGATCGACGCGTCGTCCTGCATTCGTTCAGACTGCGTATTAGTTGAGTGTGAGTTGGGAGACGCAAATATACGCACATCATCCGACTATATCAAGAAGAAAAAAGAGATGAAATTGCGTAGCTAATGTACATGAGGGCATTCCGTCGCAGAGAGAGAAAAAACAAATAAAAAAGAAAGAAAAATGAAAAGAGACGAGAGAGAAAAACGCAGCGGCTACATCACGTTGGTGAATACACGCGTGTTCCAACACCTTCACCTCCCCCCCCCAAACAACAACAATTTCTTTTACATATGCGCTGCGGTACCACCATTTGCAATACAACGCATGCCCATATGGGAAGGGGAGGGAATGAACAAACAAAAGCAGCTTTCGAATCTTAAACCAAACGTGCGGCATTATGAAATACTCTCCTAACCCGACACACTGTCACGTGCGGTTCTTCAGGCTTGCCTCCACGACCGACATCGCGTTCAGCAGCACGTGACCGCTGCGATGCCCCGTCAGCAGCATCGGCGCATCCTTCACGCTCGTCACAAAGGCGCAGCGGCAGTCGTGAAAGGCAACACGATGACCCACCTCATCCCGCTGCGTGTCCACCAGTAGCAGCTCACCGTTGTCCCGAACAAGGATGAGATAGGAATTGTAGTAGCACAGCTGCAGGACGCTGTTCGCCAAAATAGACGGGAGAGCTGCGCGCAGGGCTAAGTTGCTGACGACGAGTGTGGCGTGCTTCACAGAGACGATGTTGTCAATGTGCAGCCGCACCACGGAGCCCTCTTCGTCGACACAAAACAGAAGCCCCGACCCGTTGCCGGTCGACGCCACCAGCTGGCAGTTGTGGGTGTAGGACGTCCGCTCCGCCTTCCGCGCGAGACTCCACAGCTTCACCGACTTGTCCTTCTCGCCTACTGTGAACGCAAAGCTGCCGAAGAAGCTGACCTCGTGGATGCTACCGGTGTGGCCGAGCAGCTGACACCAGGTCGCTTCATCCGATTCGGTCTCGTAGATGAAGGCACGACTGTGGTTGAAGTGGTGGTGGGTGACCGCGACGTAGTGCTCGTCGGGCGACGCAAACAGTCTGTACTGTGCATCCGGCTGCGAGTCCTTCGGCAGCGCACGCGTGATCAGCTGACTGTCACCGCCGAGGTCGCAAAAACACAGCACATGCGAGTCTATGGGCAGGAAAACCACTAAATTGGGGCCCACCGCGATGGCGTCCTTTACGCGGCGGATGCCGTGCTCGATGGGTGCGCCGGTGACGAGGGAGTAGAGGCGAAGCTGATGGGCGGCGTCCACCGTGACGAGCAGCGTGCCGGCGTGGTTCGCCGAGACGCGTACGATGGCCTGACTGGAGACCTTGCCGTTGACGGTGAAGTTGGTGGTGCAGCGGCCCTCCTTCACCTGGTCGACCGAGGAGAGCCCGCGCTCAAAAGACCACATGTGCACCTCACCGGTGGTCGTCGTCGCGTAGACGTCTGGCCCGCTCACGGCGATGTGCGCCACGAGCCCCGTCGGCGCGGACTCTGCCCCGATCAGCTGTCCCTTGTGCGCGTCCCACACGAGCACGTAAGGACCGGCCCGTCCCACAACCTTCGCGGAGTCCTCCGTGAAGACGAAGTACTCGATGTCGGCGTCGTCTGCGAATGGGTTCAGCAGGGTGCAGCACGGGGCCCCGGTCAGCGTCTTCCATAGCTGCAGCCACGAGCCTTGTTTCGTGGCGAAGTGCGCGCCAGAGGCGGACATGCACAGCAGCACCACCGGATCCGATCCCACGTCGAGGCGGTGCAGCAGGTCGCCGGCAGACGTCCACACGTGCAGGTGCTCCCCGGCGTACGAGACCAAAATGCGTCCGTCGCGGTTGCTGCTCACGGCGCTGACGAGGTTGTCGTGGGTGAAGGTCACGCTGCCCTTCATCTCCTCATCAAAGAGGCACAAGGAGCACCGACTGATGAGCAGCAGGTGGTTGCCGCAGAAGACGCCGCTCTGGCGCACGCCGCCTTCTATGTCCGGCATCTCGCGCATAATGCGCTTCTTGAGCACGTCGATTAAGCACAGTTGGTCTGTAGAGGCGTTACTCGCGACGAGGAGAGACCCAAAGGCATCCAGGTCGGACGAGCGCACATCCATCCTCAACTCCGCGAAGAGAAAGTGCGAGTTGCCCTCGTAGTCCCACACGAGCACCTGCGTCTCGCTCGCCACCAGCACCCGCGATCCAGCGGCAAGGAGAACACCGGTGATGCGCTGCTGCCGCTCGAAGGGCATGCGCAGCTCCGCGATGGGCTTGCCGAGGTCACTGTTGTAGACAAAGACGGAGTCGTCCGTTGCAGTCACGACGTGGCTGCCGCGGCAGTGGCACCAGAAGCACGGGTCTCCCATGCGTGCCGTGGCTACCGCCGTGCTCTCCTGACCGTTGTTGAGGGGGTGGAGCAGCAGCACCGGCGAGACGCAGTAGGCAGAGGCGGCGGCGGCCGCGTACGGCGAGGGCGATCGACGCAGTAGCGCTGTCTGGTAGAGGTCTGTGGTGTAGTGCGCGACGTCGTGCAGGCAGCTGACGAGGGGCCCTGCCGCCATCACACCCGGCACCGGCGGCCCACCCACGGCGGCGACCTCGCACAGCAGAACGCGGGCCTGCAGGAGGCGCATAAAGGCATCCAGCGTGTACAGTCGATGCATCGGTCCGCGGCGGAGAATGGCGTCCATCAGCACCGGGTTGCGCAGCAGCTGCGCGGCCTGTCGCATGTTGCCGTTCCCCAACATCAACGGCATCAAGTACCACGACGCTCGCGGCACCTCCGCGCTGTCGGTGATGACGAGGCGGTAAAGGTGCGACTCCAGCAGCACGCTGAGCTCCGCCACGCGGGGCTTGTACAGATCTAGGAAGAGGTCTCGCAGGGCGGGGTGGGCGACGTGGGCGGTGGCGTCGTGGTACCACGCAATGAGTCCCAAGTCCGTTAGGAGCAGCAGGGCGGAGAGGGCGGTCTGCCGCGGGCAGGGCCCGAGCTCCTCGCACAGGTACACCAGCTCCGACGCGGGCAACGGCGCCAGGGCAACGACGACGAGCAACATCTCCACCGTCACGACGGGATGCAGCACTGCCGCTTTGTCGTGTAGGGCTTGAATGAGCTCCCGGACAGTGGGCGGCAGCGCCGATTCAAGGAGTTGATTCGTCTCGAACTCCGACTCCACGTGCCGCCCCGTCACCAGCAGAAAGTGCACGTAGGCGGAGGCGAGGTAGGGGTACAGGAGAGTCATTGCCTCCTCCTTCTGCAGGTAGGCTTTCTCAGCAGCCCCCAGCCCTTCGCGCGACTTGAGCTCTCTGCTTTCCACGCCGGGCAGCACGATGTTGCGCATTTGCAGAACTGAAAAAAAGACCCGCACGCAGTTGAGCTCCGTCATGGGCGGGCACAGACACTCAAAGGGCTGCGGCATGCGCTTGCGCAGCAGCGGAAGAACGGGGCTCTCGGTGTTCAACGAGACAACGATGCGCACGGCGGGTGGCAGAATGTTGGGCATCCACGCCGCGATCACGCTGCTGTGGCACCCGCACGTGTCGAGCAGGTCAATACGGCCGAGCAGCAACGCTAAGGTCGGTCCTTTGTAGGCACGAATCGCATCGCGCACCCCCTCCGCCAACGTCTGCACACTTGTGAATTCGAGCGCGCTCTCCGGATGGAAGAGGTGCAGGAGGCGGTAGAGGAACACCACCACGCTGTTGTGGTGCACGTCCACCGCATAGCACACCACCCGCGCCGGCCGCTCCCCGCCCTCGCGTACCTGCCCCGACAGCAGCATGTTTGCCGCGTTGCAGATGAGGTGGGCTTTCCCGATGCTGCCGGCGCCGTAGAGGATAAAAGGCGAGCCGCTGTCGCGGTAGGGCCCACATGCGTAGTTGAAGACGAGCGTAGATTTCTTTGGGTGGTAGCGGCCGCTCCAGATGAAGCGGCGCATCGTGGTGACCTCATCCATGCTCGTGTAGAAGAGCTTCGGGCCCTCCTGCGAGAGTAGTTCATCGGCTTCCATCTCCATGTCGGACCGCTCGGCCGCCTCGCTCTCCTTGAACACGACGGAGAGAGAGGCGAAGAGGTCACTCTGCCATCGGCCTACACGGTTGCCGGGCGTCAAGACAACTGCAGACGTGTCCACCGCGGCGACCAGCGAGTCGTAGGCGCTGGTGTTGGTGTATCCGGCGCTGCGAAGCCACTGCGCTGGCTGCACGGCGTCGCTGGCGCGGTTCGACATCTCCCACGAGACGGGGGTGTAGCAGAAGCAGGCCCGCGCGGCGCGGTAGGTAGGCGGACGGAGCTCACCCGTCTTGTCGCGCAACGGCAGCCGCGGTGGCGCCTTCTGCAGCAGCACCTTCTCGAGCGCGTACTGCTGTCGCTTCAGCAGCGGCTCCGCGCCGAGTAACACCACACACCAGGTAAGCTGATGGTTGGAGGGATCCTGGCAGCGCGCCAGCTTCGCCTCTACCTGCTCCACCGTGTCCGTCGCGTTCACGCTGAGGGCGGCGACGCGAACCCGCATGGAAGCCAAAAACGTGTTCACCATGGGCAGGCATTCCTCGCAGTACTCCTGTACCGCCTCCGGTGTGCCCAGCGTGAGCAGAAATACCGTGTGCCACGACTGCGGGCTGCGGGGAATGCCGTGTGGAATGTAGCCCAACGTCTCCATCGCCTCATTTGAGCGCAGCGTGGAATCCATGCGGGTAACCCACTCCTCCGGCACGCCGCAGCCTTCCAGCGAGAGGTGTATGAAGCGCGAGTTGAATCGGGCCGCAGCCCAGACCCGCCGCAGTGCGGGCGTCGAGATGGGATTGCCAGAGACGTCGACGCTGCGCAGATTGGCGTGCCCCTCAGCGACGATACTGGCGAGGAGCTCCATGCACGTGTCATCCACGCAGTTGTGCGGCACACGGACCTCCTCCACGCTTTGGTGATGCCGTACAAAGGAAAAGACGGCGAGTACGCCAAGCCGGCCGAGGAAGGTGTGCGAGGCGTCGAGCAGCCTCAGATGGAGAAAATCAACGGAGTTGATCTGGGCCTGTATGTCGCCGTTAGGCTTCACACCGTGGCGTTGGCAGCACTCGACATACAGATCTCGACCGATGTTCATTGTGAAGAGGGGACGCGGTGATGCAACACGTTTTACGTGCGGTTCAAGACGCCTAGTCGTCCCTCAGTCAACAGGAACGATGATGCGTAAAAACAAAAAGAATACCCTGGCTGAAGCATGATGTCCATATATGAAGACGCAAACAAGGAGCGAGAGAGGGAGAGAGAGAGAGAGTAGGAGAAATGGAGAACTACTTAGACAAACAAACAAAAAAAGCCAGCGTGGGGAAAAAGATGCTTTCGCTGCACCTCTTACAAAAAAAAAGCAAAGAAAAGAAAACGCAGAGAAACACACAGCAAATCAGCGAGCGGCAAAGTCAGTGGATGAGCGTCCATCGAAGAACACCTGAAAGAAGGTCATTCCAAACACCAATGCTTCGGTCGTCTCTCATCCTTCTTTCGTTTTCTCTACTTTCTCAGCTGTGATCAATGCGTAGAAACCGATCGCCAATGAGAGCAGTGCTATTCGACACAACGGTTTGGGTATTTCCGCGAAAACAACAACAACAACCAGTAGCAGGTCGGTAAGCGGGTATAATCTCGTAGGCACACATGTACATATACATACACATTTCTGTTGCTTTACAATAGCGTCACGGTCAGAGAACGCCTGAACGTTTCGAGTTCTGAAGCAGACACAGATAAGCTGCTGCGCGAAAGGGTAAGGATGCCGAGCTGCAACAAGGATGGCACAAAGTCAAGGTTTGTTTTCAGGTGCTCGCAGTAGGAAAGTGAGAGCACGTGCAAGAAAGGGAGGTGTGGTGCCAGCTGATGCACGTCCGCGGCGGTCACATTAGAGTGGTTGAGGTACAGCTGCTCCAAGTCATGCGCGCCGCACAACCAATGGATGTTGGGGAGTGTGCAGTACGACAGGTGCAAGTGTGTGGCGGCGCTCAATACACGTTGCACATTAGCAGGGTCCTCACGCGGCCAACGGAGGTGCATGAAGTAGCCGGTCTGAAGCTGCAACGGCCTCTGGGTAAGGAGAGAGCCGAACTCGGACGGGAGAAGAACATTTTCGGACAAATCCAAGAGACGCAAGGTTGAGATGCTGCTCAGCTGCGACACACGAACCAAGCGCTCACAGTTCGCGGCGTGCAGCACGCGCAGCGACGGCGAGCGAGATAGTGCGTCGAGTGAGGAAAGCTGTGAACAGGCGGAAATATCAAGCGTCATCAGCAGAGGAAGTTCCGCCAGAATGAGCAGTTCCCGATCGCGAATCTGAGTCTGTGCAATTTGTAGCTCCTGCAGATGGTAGAGGCAGCGGAGTGGCGCCAAATACTCTATACGACACGCGTCCGCGAGGATACGCTGGAGAGAGGGCAAGTGCGCCACCACGGCCAGAGAGGAGTCCTCGAACGGAGAAGGAAGCAGCTGAAGTTCCTGCAGCTCGCTGAGTGCGTCGTAGAGCCGCCCGCTGACGCGCTGGTGCTGCGCGACACACGCAGTGAAACGTCGCTTCGACGTGACAGAACGGACCCGCACCGCCGTGCCGTCCCACTCCTTCAAAAGCGCGGCAAGCGAAAGCGTGACCAGGTCCACCACGCGAATCTCTGCGGTGTTGCCGAAGAGCCGACAAATCAGTCGGGCCTGCCAGACTGCTATCCAACGTGGCACCGGCGGCCTGAAGTCATTCAGAAAAAAACCACCCGGCTCCACCCTGATGCAACACGAGCATGTGTTGGACCGGGCATCATAGTCGGGCAGGCAGTACATGTCTTGTCCGCTTTCAGCGAGCTTCTGCCGTGCGCTGGAGCGCATAACGGCTTTGTAGCTTTGGGGGTGGGTCGCACACCAGGTGTAGATGACCGCTGCAACCCCGAAAGAAACCACGTAATCTGTCACCGCGTCTACGCCGTTTTGATCCATTCGCTTCATCTTCTGCGAAAGCCCCCCTCAAAAAGCGTGTCTTGTGATGTTTTGAGAATCAGTTTTCCGTCAAACTGTTGTAAACAGATACTGCAAATCTGTTAAGGCAGGTTACAGGCTCAACTGGAATAACCAGCAGCCATTTTCGCTTTCACGGAACTTATGAGATACATACAATGTGTTACTTGAAGGGAGCGAGGGAGATCGACGCAGACCGAATGAAGGAGAGAACAGGGAGTTCAGTGGAGACATCCACAACTGCAGCACCTGCGCCACGTTTTATGCCGCGTAGCCAGCAGCAGACATCCCCCCAGAACGGATCATTTATGTTCCTCCGACACGGCTTCTTTCCTTCGGTGTTTAGACGGACCACTTCTTATTGTAACTCATCTCCAAGAAATCGAGGCGACACTTCTGAGCTGCCAGTTGGACTTCACAAGCACAAACACACAGACATACATATATACATGTAATAAAGGTAATTATCCTTCCTCTATGCTCTCACCAGCAAGCATAGCAATTACTTTAGTTGACCTACATCACAAGGAAAATGAATCAAACAGAAAGCATCGAGCTGTCACACACACACACACACACACACACACACACACACAACACTCGCATTTACCTTCACACGTTCCCTCTCGTGCCATACCAACGCAGCGCACACACGCAAAGGGAGAAACCAACATTAATTGTTTTGGTGTTGTCTGCGGAAAAAAACAAAACAAAAAAAGGACGAGAAAGACGAGAAAAAGAAGAAGTTCCTTTATGGGCCAACGGATGCCCGAGGGACTCGACAGAACTTCGATAAAACACGACGGAAACAATCCATAGGCATTAAAAGAAAGAGCCTCCTCCCCCCCTCCCTCCCACCACAGAAAACCGTTTTACGGTTGAAAATGCGCCGCCTCTGAAACGAGCGACCACAGCATCATCGTCTGCTTCTTGCAGAGCGAGACGTGCAGTGAGAAGGTGGGAGACACACACACAACGTCCTTTTTAAGCAACATTTCTTCCACGTTAAAGAAATAAAGAAAAAAGACGTCCGACGCCGCAGTAAAGTCAACGCCGCAACTGCTACGTCCCTTAAAAAAGCAAAGCAAAGAATGCGTTCTTCACTACCCTACAAATGCGACATCACCGCCCCGGGAACGCCCATTTTGTCAAACATGAGCTCCTTCTGTTGCCGCGCCTTCAACGCTTCTGCGCTCTCACCAGCCCGCGGAGCCGAAGGCAGCAGCTTGCCCGGGTTGCAGATGTTCTTGGGGTCTATTGACTTCTTCAAGTTGAATAGCACGTCCATGGCGCCAGCGCCCATGAAGCGCGTCATCCACGGCACATGCTCGTACCCGATGCCGTGGTGGTGGGTCAGGTTGCCGGTGTGCCGCAGCATCGCCTCCGTCGCCCGCTTCTTAATCTCCAGGAAAATCTTCATATCCTGATCATCCTTCTGCGCACACGCAAAGGTGAAGTACAGGCAGCAGCCGTACTTGTACTGATGCGCCGTGTGGCAGCCGATCCAGCCGTGGTGGCCGTGCTCCTTCCACACCTGCCGCACCGCCTCCTTCACCGCACGCCAGCATGGCACCGCCTGGGAGTAGAGCACGCTCGTCTCGAGGACGTCGGCCCAGTGGGACAGGGAGAGGGCGAAGTCGCGGATGTAGGGCAGGTCGTACTTCTTCTCCTGCCAGCTGTCGCCGGCCGAGCGGCCGACGCCGACGCCACCAAACTTCTTCAGCACCGCCGCCGCCTCTGCGCGCTGAAACCGCACCCGCTGCCGCGTGCCCTCGAAGCCGATGATGACGAGGCACATGTTGCGCATGTTCCACCCGCGGTAGTTCTCCAGGAAAGCCTTCACGCCCTTGCTGATGAGCTTCTCCAGGAAGCCGTGCGAGCTGGTGCTCATGGCCATGCTCATGTGGAAGTCGTCCGCGTCGTATAGCCGCATTGTGCAGGGACGGATGCCCTTCGTGTTGCACGTGTAAAAGGCGCTGAAGCCCGCCTCGAAGGAGGGAAAGAGGTAGCCCTCGTACAGCTTCTCCTCGGGGATCTCCTCAATTTTGATGGTAGCCTCCGTGACGATACCGAAGGCGCCTTCAGAGCCGATAACGAGCCCGTTCAGATCCACGCCGCACACACGGGAGGTCATGGGTGTCTCGATCACCCCTGTCGGCGTGACCACCTTCATCGAGATGACCATGTCCTCAATGTCACCGTACTGGTTCGACATGGCCCCACTGCCACGCGCGGCAATCCACCCCCCAAGCGTGGAGTACTTGTAGCTGTCGGGGTCGTGGCCTAACATAAAGCCGTAGCGAAACAACTGATCATCCAGGGCCGGCCCCAGCACACCGGCTTCAAACGTAGCCACGTGCGACTCGCGGTCGATGGAGAGCATGCGGCTCATGCGCCGCATATCGACCGAGACGATCATGCGAGCCCGCTCAAACGGGTCCGCCTCGATGCCGCCCGTCACGTTCGTGCCACCGCCAAACGGGATGACGACGACGTTGTGCTTCTGCGCCAGCTGCATAATCGTGACGCAGTCGCGGTGGTTGTTTGGCAGCAGGATGCAGTCGGGTGCGTACTCCACCATTCCCCTGCGCACACGCCACAAATCACGATAGTTCTTCCCCACAATGTGAAGCAGGCGACTCTTGCCGTCGGGCCGGATTTGACTCTTCTCCAGGGCGGCGGAGAGGTCCTTCATGAAGGCATCGTTGGTGTTCGGCTTGTTCAGCTTTGCGATGGCCTTCTCGAGCGGGATGCTGGGGCTCAGCGGGGGAAGCTCCTTCGGACCCTGTCCGCCGCTGACCTCGTTGTACAGAAAATCCAAAAGATTCTTGATGGGCTTTCCGTCCACGTGGCGCACCCAGAACTCGTGCTCCTCGTCCAGCTGCATCTGAATACCCTGTTCACCCCACCCATTCCACTTGAGATTGTCGTACACCTCTGGGGGTGTAGACACTTGCGAGTCGGCGGCTGACATGATTCGGTCAGGGGAGAAATCAAAAAGCACCTTAAAGGAAGAGAGATGTAGCACGAGCTAAAAACACGCACGCACACACACACACACACAAGGAGCGACAAGGTTAAAGCACACCGCAGAAATGAACGTATAGTGAGGATGGAATGCCAGCAGCCCAATAGAGAGTGTGTGCGTGACAAACAAATGATGTTTTTCCTGCCGTTGCGAAACGACAGTAGCATGAAAAAGCAAGGCCATAGCGAGAATCAGGAGGAGGAGAAAAGACCATGGAAAGTGAGAGAGGTGGGCTGCGTGGAAGACCCTCCAAAAAACAAAAAGAGAACAGTTCAAGGTTGCGGAGAATCCTGCTCGACAGTCGTGGGGCGAAATCAGAATCTCGAAGATGATATAAGAGAGGTTTAAAGACTACGCTTTTCTTGTCGTGCAGTGCATTCTAAACTCGCGGCGCTGCTTCTAATTGTGCGTTTTTGTTTCGCATTAAAAAGGAAAAGTCAGAAGAAAGAAAAAAGCGTCAACTGTGAATAAGAAGAAGTGAAAAGAACGATTAGGGGAGGGAAGCCTGTCGAACGCAAGTTGTGAGAATATACAAAAAAAAGGGAGAAGCAAAGAAGCAGAGCTTAGCGTGTGTTGTCAATACTTACCGCGACAGCAAAACAGGCGTAAGATGCCCATCGTCACATCATACCGCCAGCCGCGCGGGACGCAGTCCTCTGGCAAATAGGTCAGCCCACCCCGCTGCGGCATCGACGTGATGCATTGACGCAGTTGCCGAATCTTCTCCAATGAGTCCTGTGGGGCAGCGCGCTTCAACATCTCCTCCTCCAGCGCGTTCAGGCAGAAGAGAGTCATGTTGTGGCTGAAGCCAAAGAAGGACGCCGTCTTGCGTCGCCGCTTGGCGTCGTGCGACGTGGTGTCGGTGCGCAACAGCGGAAAAAGAATATCATCGCGAATGCTGGAGGAGCCGTTGAGCAGCATGACGACGCGGTCCATGCCCATGCCCCACCCTGCGGTCGGCGGCAGTCCTACCTGCAGCGCCTTAAGGAATGTCTCATCGAGTCCCATGGCCTCCTCGTCCCCCGTCTGCTTGTCCAGTAGCTGCTGCTGAAAGCGGTAGTACTGCTCCTGTGGGTCGTTCAGCTCGCTGTACGCGTTGCAGTACTCCATGCCGTTGATGAAGAGTTCGAAGCGGGCGGACAGGCCTGGCCGGTCGCGCCGCTCCAGCGCCAGCGGACTCATAAACAGTGGGTGGTCCGTCACGAAGGTCGGCGCGACCACCCGGTCGGTGATGAAGTAGTCGATGAGCTTGTCGAACATCTTCGCTGCGGTGCGCACCGACGGAAGAGGGATGTTGTAGCGCAACATGATGGCGGACATGTAGGCCATCCCACGAGCCGTGTTCAGCTCCGTCGGCGGCGGCAGCTCGACGCAGGCGGCGCGCTGTACCTCGTCGTACGCACTCACGCGACGAAAAGGCTGTGTAAGGTCAATTTCCGTCTGCTCGCCGGTCAGGCAGGAGGTCACCGATACCTTCGTAGTGCCGTTCGCTGCCACGGCGAGCTGTCGCATTATCTCCTCCGTCATGCGCATCAAGTCCTCGTAGGTGTGGTAGGCCGCGTAGAACTCGCACGTCGTGAACTCCGGGTTGTGGCTGCGGTCGGCGTCCTCATTGCGGAACACGCGCCCGATCTCGTAGACGCGGTCCATGCCACCCACGACACACTGCTTCAGGTGCAGCTCCGGGGCCACTCGCAGGAACAAATCGGTGTCGTTGGCGTTGTGGTGCGTCATGAACGGCTTCGCGTTGGCGCCGGAGGCGACGGAGTGCAGGACGGGTGTCTCCACCTCAACAAAACCACGACGGTCGAGGTAGTCGCGCAGGGCACGGGTGACGGCGTGGCGCTTGCGGAAGTGCTGGACCACGGAGGGGTTAGACATCATGTCCACAAAGCGGTAGCGATACTTGATATCCGTGTCAGACAGCGGCACGTAGCCTTTCAAGTCCGGGCACAGCGCCTGATCGGTGCAGACGTACGGAGCGAGAATGGAGGTCGCGGAGGCGAAGAGGGAGAGCTCGCCCTTGGCGGTGCGACCCGGCGTGCCGGTGGCGCCGATGATGTCACCCACGCGTATGGAGTCGCTCAACGCGCGCAAGTCCGCCTTGGTGAAGTGCTCGCTCACCTGCCGGATAACCTGCAGCGACACCTCGCCGCTGCGAATGGTGATGAAGAGGATGCGGCCCATGTCACGCGTGCTTACTACTCTGCCCCCAACGCGCACGTCGTGGTCGTGCGGGTGGCTCTCGTTATGTGGGATGCCGTCGTAGGTGGCGCGAAATTCGCCGAGTGGCATGACCGAGGAAAAGGACTGGTAGGCGCTGGGGAAGTCGAGAATAGTCCGCGCGTTGGGCAGCGCTGCCTGGCCATTGCTCCCATTAGAACCTGAAAGTGCAGGGGACGCGCTAGATGTCTGACTCGCAGAACCTTTCAGAAGATCCGGGGAGGGGCTTACGCCGGAGCTGACGTCAACAGTGGTTCTGCGCTTTTTGTTTTTCCTTCTCGACGCCTTCTGTTCCTTCGGTTTCGCCTCGACCGTTGTTTGTGTCGCCGAAGAAGACTCATCCACCGCTTCGCTGTGGGCCGCGGGCAATGATGACGATGATGATGGTGGTGGTGGTGGGGATGGAAAACTGGTAGTCGGTGGTGCTGCCGTACCCGCATACGTACTAGCGTTGCTGTCCGCGTGTCCACGTAGCGGGGATGCCTGACTCGATGTCCAGCGAGACTGCCGCGAAAGCGAGCTCAGCAACAGCAGCCCGACTGTTGCTACGCGTGCTTGTGTGCGCCGATGCATTATAGAATCTCAAGAAAGCAAAAGAATCTTCTTTCCTTTTTGGGAAGCGCAAGTGCTACACTGCTATAGGTTCTAAAATAAAGTGGAGGTAAACCGACACTTATGCCGGGGACGTGCAGGCGAAGCCACGCGGAACGAAAAGAAAGCTAAGCGTGTGTGTGTGTGTGTGCCAACGAGCTGCATGAAAGGGAAGAACAGAATGAAACAGCTTTTACACCAAGAGAGGAATAAAGAGAGAGAGAGAAAGAAAGATAGCTTGAAGAGAAATACACGATCGTGTGGGAGACACTGCACACCGTGCGTTTAAGTAGACTGAGCTACGAAATCGTTATCATTCGGGTCGTACGCCGTGATGATGCAAACCACGTATCAACGAAACAATAATGAGGCGATGACAGAACTACTCGTAGATCAAAGAAGAGCGTTTTTCATCTCGCCACCGTTGGCGGTGAAGTGGAAAAAAATACGAGGAAGGAGGAGAAATGAACTCTACGCTGGAGGGAAGCATGCGTTTGACATACTCGTGCTCGTCGTGGAAAGATCCGACTTCTCCTTGCTTTTTATTCTATTCTGTTATAAATATATATGGAAGCAAAAGAGCTTCCTCCACCATCTTCCCCGGTTGAACGCGTTTTAGTGCTGCGCAACGAACTACAGAAAAAGAAAAAAGAAGAGAAAGAAACTCCTTAACAGAATCCACTAGACACACACACACACACACACACGCCACATCCGTAGAAGGAGGCCTCAGAAGAAAAGAAAATGAGCTCTGAGCGACACAGTAATGCAGGACAAAAAAACAACAACAACCCAATCCAAAGGTCACAGAAAAGAAGAAGAGCCCCAACGCATCGAGGCAACCGCACAGGTTAGCTTTCCCACCACACCCACTCGAAGTGAACGCAACGCAATAAAGAAAAAAAGAAAACGATAAGGATCGACAACAGAAACGACAAGAGCAACAACAGAGAAGGAAAAACATCACATGTCAGCGAAGGACAGCTACGAAAAGAACACGCAACACGAGGAACGATCGGACGGACAAACAACCCACATTGAGGTGCACGTGTGTACAGGCTCAACGACGGAACACGAAGAAACAAACGAACAAAAAAAGGAAATTTGATTCTCTCTCCTCTTCTTTTCGCGTCTTTACGCCATCTTGTATTTAAAGAAATAGAACTTGAAGGACAGGGTGAGACCCATGTGGAAGATGGTGACGAAAGAAACCAGGCCAATGAACCAGTTCCGCTCCAGCGTTGTCTTCCACATGTGCCACATATTGATCAGCAGGTATGCGGTGGACCACGCCCCACCGACCATCACAAAGACCCACTGCGCCGCACTCGTCGGGATCATGCACAGGATGGCCACCAGCTCAAAAATAAACATGCTATAGCCGTAGAGGCACACGACGTCGGTGATGGTGGCCGGCAGGTTCTTCCACTGCATGATGCCCCACACCAGAGAGCCAAACACAAAACAGTAAAGGTAGATGGTGACGTACGCCACTGAGGCAACGGAGAAGTCGTACTTCCACGGGTCCGCGTTGTTGTTGCTCCGGGTGTACGCGATCTTGCTCATGATGTTGCTCACCACCGCCAGCGTGATCCACAGCGTGGTGCAGACCCAGAAAGGTCCGTAGAGGTCCGGCTTACGTGACAGAACGACGCCGGCCTCCTCCAGCGTTGTGTCCTCCACCGCATCTCCCGCCACCATGGACTCGTTGAAGTGCCAGTTGCGGTCCATCAAGAAGTCAGGCGGATTCAGTGGAACGAGCGTGTTGCTCAGCCGCAGAAGCACCTGACGTGTGTTCACGTCAAAGAACTGCTGGTAGAACTCCATTGTCCAGAACTTACTGGTGGGAGACGGTGCAGCAGCAGCGGCGGCGGCAGCGTCTGAACTGGCAGGAGTTCGTGCCTGCGCACCGTCCTCCCACGGTGGTGGTACGCCGGTGCCATCGCCAGCGTAGAACTGCATCTTGGGCGTCGTGTCCTGCGCCCCTGTCTGGGTGGGGGAGGTTTTAGAGTAGTCCATGAACGAAGCGCCGCTGTAACCCTGGCCGGGGGGCGGCAGGCTCTGGCCAGCACCGGTCGATCCGTAGGTGTACGGCAGGGCAGGGTTCGCACCGCCTCCACCACCGCCGCTGATTGGGGGAGACGACGGTGGGGAGCGCGCCGGCGACACGCCCGCACCCGCCGGCGGAAGAGTCGGTTCGCGGAAGGGGTCGGCCGAACCGCCGCTTTCATACGGGTTCGCCATTATTTGGTCAAGACAGTAATGACAAGCAGGAGTGAAAACCGGCAACACAACAAGAAAAGCGAAACGGAAGCGACGCCCTTTCGCAGAAGGATACACGTAGACGGGAAGGTGTGTGTTTCTTCCTGTCGAAAGAAGATGGTGACCGAGGAAAAGAAAGATATGAAGAGGCGCAGTGACAGGGAGGGATAAAGAGAGAGAGAGAGAGCTTTGCCTCGAAATCGGTTTCACAGAGAGGGTGTGTGTGTGTGTGTGCTATAGCAATCGGGCGAGGAAGCGAGGTGCATCTCCATATAGGCACTGCTATATACGGGAAGGAAGACAACAAAGATGCGGCATCACAATTCAGAGAGAGCACCTCTTTTTGTTTTTTTTCCCTTCTGCGGTCCTGTGAGCACAGTTTACGCACCCTACCGACTGAACTCCTTCCAAACGAAACCACGACAACGGTGAGCAACGCGACTGAAGCACACATACATTTACCGTTGTTTCTGCTAGGATACGATTAGAAATATATATATATATATAGAGTGATACGTAAACGTGAAGGTAACCCAAAACACCGCCAACACAACATGAGAACAAGACCCACTCTCATCCAAAAGAAGAAGGAAATGTAAACAAGGTCAGCTTACGGTAGCGATGCAGGTGAAGAAACGGAAATGAAAGAAGAGAGGAGCACAGGACCGCCACAAAGGTGAAGGATTACAAGACGCACATCGAAGTAAAACAGACAAACACACACGATCTGATCCTTGGCAGGCTTGCTTTGTTGTTGGGACCGCTCAGGCCCCCACTCTTGTTGCTTCTCTCACAGAAACCCTGGGCCGCCTTTTACCGCACCTTTACACCCTTCCAATGCCGCCCCCCCCGCCCCTCCCCCCCACCACACACAAGGAGAAAACAAATACAAAACCGTCCCAACGCGCAGATAATGCTGCTACAACACAACACGGTTAACCTTCTGGTTCTCGTACACACAGACACGCACACACACAACAACAACAACAAACCTCGTCACGCTTTCTGTTGACGTCGCAGCAGAATGGAGGCCACCACCATCGCCGCCGTCACGGCCACGCCCGCACACAGAAAGAGTGACCCGTCGCTGTTCAGCGGGTGTCGTGCGTGCGCCGCGGCCGCCTTCGCTTCGATGGCTTCGTAGAGTGCCTTCTCCGTGGCGAGCTGGATACGTGGGTTGTTGTACCACTCAATCACCCCAACACTGGTGCGGCTGCTGTGAATCGCCGCCGTTATGTCTTTGGCGTTCTCGTCAGACAGGTCACACGACGTCAAGTCGATCGAGTAGACGTGGCGCATGTGTGGGAGAGCCTTCACGATGGCGGCCCGACCAACGTCTGTTACGGCATCATTACATGCCAAGTCCAAGGTGCTAAAGTGCCTATTGTTCGTCTTGGTGAGCGCCTCCGCCAGGGCCTGGAAGCCGAGGTCGCCCATGTGGTTCACGGAGAGGTTCAGCGACGCTAGACGGGAGGAGTAGGAGAGAATGAACGCGTCAGCGATCGCGACCGCCGCCCCATCGCCGATGCGGTTGTCGCTGAGGTCGAGAGCCGTGAGACTGGGGTGGTTGCTCAGCATCTGCGCCACCAGAATGCCGCCCTCATCCCCTAGCAGGTTGAACGCAAGGGAGAGTTCCGTCAGCGTTGGGCAGGCCACGACGCCGTCGCACAGCGTCGGCAACCCACGCGGAGTGATGTGGTTTGTGACGACATTCAGCGTGCGCAGCTTCGCCGACTGCAGGAGGAGCGCGAGAGGGTAGAGGGCCTCGTCCTGGATCGCGTTCTCGTTCACATCTAAGAAGGTCAGGTTGGGGCAGTTCTCGCGCAGCGCGTCGAAGAGGTACATCGCGCCTTGCGGGCCGATCTTGTTGTCTTTGAGGTCAAGCGAGTCGAGGTTGATCATCTTGGATATGTACCGCCTCACCAGCTCTATGCACTCATCGGATGAGATGTTGTTGCCTGACAAATCAACAGCGGTGACCCCTGCAGGGTCCACGATCATGGCCTCCAGCACCTCTTGGGTCAACTGCCCGTAGGTGAACTCGACGGTAGGCTTTTGCCGAGGGGTCGACATCGTCGTCATTCAGTACTCGAAATCAATAACTAGAAAATATATAAATTGCAATCGAAAAGATGTCAAAGCAATAATAATAATAAAGAGAAGAATATAGTACCTACGCTTCAGAGAGAGAAAAACAAAATCAAGGAAAAGAGAAGAAAAATATTTCAGGACAAGTTGCAGTCCTCAAATGTAATCGTCGCTTACCCTTTCTTACGTAGAGAGGGGGAAATCCCCAGTTGTGTAGACTTACAGGTTGAAGTGCTTGTGTTTGCGTGTGAGTGAGTGCGTCTGTTTTATTCCACTAGTGAGTAGCCACCAAAAGAACAAACAACAAAACAACCAAACAACAATTTGAACAGCTAAAACGAAGTGTTGGAATCGTAATAATGGAAGAAAAAAACGGAGAAACGGAAGAGTGTAAATTCGTATGAACTTATAGAGAAAAAAAGAGAACCTGTGAACAATCTCGCTGAAGGGAAACAGCTGCTAATAACAACCACAATTGTAATAATAATAAGCGTCAGTCGTTGAGATGAAAGAATAGTGTGTGTTATGTTGGTCCTCGTCTCTGTACGCTATTTCCCTCCCGCTTTTCCCCCTCTTTCGCCGCAACAATAAAACGTGCGAATGTGTCTTGCAAATGTGAAAGGAAGAAGCCGATATTTTCTACGCAGTACTTTGGACAGCTGAGGGAGTTTCACTAACAACGAAGTTGCGCAACGCGTGCACAGCCAAGAAAACAGCAGAAAACAAAAGAAAAACTCAACTTAAAGCTGTTGCCGTTGTTTGGTAGGAGGAAATCACGTAAGCAAGGCGCTGAGTCGCAATGCAGACGACGTGCGTGAAGGAGTGAGTGAAAGAAAGTAGGAGAAGCGAATAGAAGAATAGCAAGAGGCCTTCAAAGGACCCCCCAAAAATTGAGTTCTGCTGCGCTTCTCTTCTGGACAAGCGATACAGCGATAGAAGGACGAAACAAAAAAAAGAATGCAGACATGAGAGCGCTTTATTGCTTAGATCAAGTTAGGGAATACGTGAGTTTTCTTGTTCATCTCAGCTATTTATGTCGCGATTAGGCGGCTGCTAACAGTTTCCACGGAGTGAAGGCACACACGCGAAGAGCGGGTGAAAGAAGATCGCCAGCACTTCCCTAGCATTCTGCTACCACTTATGTTTTTGCAGTTACATGCGATGTCTGCACCAGTCCAACGCACGCTTTGCTATGCGCTTCAGACCTATCCGTAGCTGCACACACAACGTGTAGTTGTACACAGACTCCTCATCGCCCTCGTCCGGGGCCGCGGAAGCCTGCGTTGTCTCGCGCAGTTCAGCGAGAGCCTCCTCATCCTCCCCCAGCGAGGTCGGGAACACATCCAGCACGCACTGCACCGTCTCCATCACGGCGGCCACGACGGCGTCCTCCGTCTGCGCGGACAGCGGCGTGAAGGGGCCGTAGAGGTGCCGCTCCATCACGGCGAACTCCTCCGCCTGGGCGAGCTGCACGCGCAGCAGCGCCAGCAGCGCCGGCGGGGGCACGCCATCGTAACCGATCCAGCACCGACCGGGTAGACAAAGAGCGTAGCGACGCAGCAGGTTGCGCCGACGCGTATCCCAGTCAACGGAGCTGGCGGCGTGATCGCCACTGCAATCTTCTGAAACGCCCTCCGTTTCGGCTTCCTCGGCTTCGCCCAACTCGCTCAAGACAGGCAGGGAAAATGGAAAAGGAAGCTTGTCATGCACGTTGTCACACCCCAGCACGAAACCGTAGTGCTGCAGCAGCTCCCAGTTTTGCAGGGGGCCGTAGCTCATCCATAACTCCCGTCCGACATCAGCAGCGGTCAGCGCCGCACCGACCTGCATGGTGAAAGACCCACCATTGGGCTCCACTTTGCGAATCAGCACATCGGTGCGATTGGTATGATTGATCATATCCGCCAGGGGGACGAGGGCCATGACGACGGCGCCGTCCACGTTGAGGTTAAACGCACGGGAGTCGAAGGTAGACTGCGCCCAGGCGAGGTGGTCCCAACTGAAGGCCGCCAGCAGCTCTGCTTGTGACGGCACTGCTGCTGCCGCCGTTGTCCCCACGGCCGCCGCGGGGAGCAGCGTGTGAAAGATCGCGACAAGTGAGCCTTCCAGCTGATCGGCGACCGTCTGCAGCTGTGTCCGCTTCGTCAGCACATCGTCCAACACATCCAACCCGTCCAATTCTGCCAAGTCACCCAGCGTCCACGTGGTGGGGATCGATGGGTAGGACGGTGGACATTGTGTCAGCAGTGCCTTCCAATGCGACTTCTCAACCCCTACGACAAAACGCTCAAAGACGAGGCACACGACGAGCACCGCCTCCTCGTTGGAGAGGAGCTCGCGCAGCGCGGGGGCGGCAGCGATGACGCGGCCCAGTGCGCAGTGCTCGAGAACTGTATCGCGGAAGAACATGTCCGTGCGGGGCACCTGCAGCAGAACACCGCAGCTCGGCACCGGCGCTACGCAGCGCAGCGAGCCCTCGCTGAAGTCATTGCCGGCCTCCATGGGAATAAAAGCGACCTTGTCCGACCACTCTGCCGTAGCGGCGGTGCCATCAGCGTTTTGGTGATCGGTGTGTGGAGCGGTGGTGGTACGCGGGAGGTAGTCCCTTACGCCAGGCGTGCCTTGTGGTTTGATGGTCGCCGCGGCGTAGTCATCGAGCTCCGCGCGCAGCTTCTTCCAACTCCCCCCATCCTCCTCCTCTTCTGATGTCGGCTGAAGTTGGAGGAGGTAGTAGGCGACTTTGACTGCTAATTGTTCATTCCACGGATCAATAAATCTACGGACCCGCTCGGACACCATATTGGTGCCGAGGCACTCCCACAGCGTACGCGCATCGAGGGAGACGAGTCGAGCTCGCCAAAGCAACTCTGGCAAGCTCCAGGCGAAGGAGGAGCTTTCGTGGATGGCCGTGATAAAGAGCGGATCATCCTTGCTGTACACAATGCCGTGCTCTTCCGCGTGCCATTGCAGGTACTGCCGCTTCACTGGCGCGCAATCGGAGCTGTCGAGCTGGTGGCAAAACCAAGCCACCTGACTTGAGGACGACATTGTTGCTCGGTGAACAACAGCAAAGAGGAACGATTTACTGAAAACAAAAGCGATAAAGAGTATGTTAACGCAAAGCGAGTGTGTGGATTGAAGAGAAGAGGAAAACCTTTCCTTTCAAGAGCTGTAGAGCTCCATGTACACGTTCATTTTGACAGGCGCCAGTTACACCGAACGCGAGAAGTCGTCCCCAGCAAGGACGGCGATACGTTCGCAACGACACTTGAAGTCCCAAAATGGTACGCCGTTTGTGACATTCTTTCCCTTCTGTTTTTGCGAAGAGGAGCGTTAATGATGAATGAGAAGAACGTTGAGCAGCTTTTTTAAATGCGAAAGAAAAAAGAAGAAGCGATACTTCAGCAACAAGAACATATAAATCTTTTTTAAAAATGTAAAGCAACGCGGATGAAGCCTCAATAGTCGTTTTTCAGAACATATTCCGCGTACTCTTCTCGCGTAAACTTACTCTTGAGAAGGTCATTGTACCGCTGCCGCAGCAGGTCATACACATCCGGCCGCTCGCGACGCCGCTGATAGTACTTGCTGTCCTTCTGCGTCGCCTTCTTCGCTGCCGACTCCATGAAGCCAAGCATGGCCCACATCACCTTGCCAGACATCCAGTTCAGCACACCTTGCGGTATGTGTGGCACTTTGGGGCCCACGGACAGGATAAACGACAGCCGCGTCTCGGTCGGCATGAGCATCTTCATTTCAAAGCCGGTGTAGATGATGTCGCACACCACGTTGGAGTTGTTGTGCACCGGCACACGAATGCCCGGCGGCGCCACGCCTGGCAGGTGGAGCGCGCGGGTGTTCGTCGCCGAGTCCGCGCCCACCAGCTTACACGGCTCCATCCCGGCGAAGGGGATGCTGTGCGCAACAATCACAATGCGGTTCCGCGCCTCCAGGTCATCGATGCCAGCTCCGAGCATCAGCACATCCCGCGGGGCAAACGGCCACTGCGCGTTAATCACCATGTACGCCGAACGGTAGTACCGCGACACCTCGCCCTGACTGACCGATTTGACGCAATTCGGGAACCACTCAGAGAAGAGGTCGAGCTCCATGATGACGCTGCAAACGTAAAGGATGCTGACTGGACGATGCCGCGCACCTTGAAAAAGTGCGCATCGTTCGCGTCTTCGTAGCGGTAATACGTGCCCGTCCCGTTCCCGTGGTCGTTCACCAGCTTCCAGCCTTCATCGTCTTCGATTTCGCATGTTAAGCTGTCGGAAACGGCGGTGCGGCTGCGGGCAAAGGTAAACAGCAGAGAGCTTTCGACAAATCGATGGGAAACGGCTACGGCGAGCGTGGTGGGCAGCGGAGTGGCGCTGGTGGCGCGAGACATCTCCACCGCGGAATTTGAGTTCGTCGCAACGGGCTCAATGTCTTCCTGCAGAGGTGCGTCCTGCAATGAGGCGGTTTGCAGCGTCTGCTTGCATCGCTCCAGCACGGACTCCACCGCCGCCACCACCTCGTAGTGTCGGTCACATTCGTAGAGGTCGGTTGCTTTCGTGAGCGTCGTATCCGCAAACTCGCGAAGACCGTCAGGGAGAAAAGCAAGGAGAGCTCGAAACGCAGCCATGTCCAGTCCGTCTGCGTTAACGGAGCGTGGCTTTGCTGAGCTCTGCATCCTTGTTCTTTTTTTTTCAAGTGTTGTGTATAAATGTGGTAATGATTGCGGTGAGGATTACTTCTTGAATCCGTCTTGTCGCCCCATCACGCGCAGCAGTTGCACTACTTCGAGGAAACAAGCGGTGATGATAGGTTCCTCCCGTAAAAACAAAAATGCAATAAATCAGGGGAGGGAGGGGGGAGAGAGAGAGACATGAGTGGATTGAGGAAATGCCCCAGAACAACAACAACAACAACAACAAAAAAGCACTGTTATTGATAGCATAGAGGCATTTCAGACTGGCGAAAGACGCTTGTAAGTTGCAGTGCCCCTTCACTCGGTGGAAGCAATACTGTCGCACAACGAGCAACTCAAGAAGGAGAAATAGAACGGAGTAAACAGATGTAACGCAATATCCCGTGGTAGATCAACGATATTGATGGCGATACTTAAGAGAGAGAAAGAGAACGGATAAACAAAAAAAAAACGTAGACATCGCGACTCATAGAGCGCGGCGCTGCACGTCCTACTCCTTCTTCGGCTCTGCGATGTGCACATTTGCCATGCGCTCCAGCACACTCAACACGGCCGAGTTGTCCACTCCCCGTCGCCGTTCTGCACCATGGACTGAAACAGCTGCGCATTGACGGCGGTGCTCGGCATCGGCACACCAAACTCCTTGGCCGAATCCATCACGATGCCCATGTCCTTGCTCTGCAGGGCTGCCTTAAAGCCCGGTTCGCGGTTGCCAGCGAAGAGCCGATCCGGCTTCACATCCAGCGTCCAGCACTGCGCCGCGCCTCCCTTGATCGCCTCCACCACCTTCGATCCTGCCACCCCACACTTCTCCGAGAAGACGAGAAGTTCGCCCATGGCGACCATCTGCGCCGCCACCATAATCTGATTTGCCGCCTTGCACACCTGGCCCGCCCCGCAGTCGCCGATGTGGGTCACCGTCTTCCCCATCGCGAGCAGCACCGGCATCACCGTCGCCAGCGCCGCGGCGTCCCCGCCCACCATAATGCTCAGCGTGCCGTTGCGAGCCCCGATGTCCCCACCCGAGACGGGGGCGTCGAGGGCACGCACCTGCTTCTCCTCCCACAGCCGCCGTGCAATCTCCTGCGCCGTGGAGGGCTTGATGGTACTGTTGTCCACAAAGATCGCACCCGGCCGAAGACCCGCGGCGACGCCGTCCGGGCCGAACACGATGTTGTAAACATCCGGGGAGTCGGAGAGGTTCGTGAAGACGACATCCGAGTTGGCCGCGAGCTCCGCCGGCGTCGTAAACAGCTTTGCGCCGGCGGAGACGAGAACGTCGCACTTCGATGCCGTGCGATTCCACACGTTTACTGTGAAGCCGGCTTTGAGAATGTTGGTGGCCATGGATTTACCCATGAGGCCCAAACCGATGTACCCGACGCGCATGGTGGCAGATCACGGAGATGACAGCTAAGAACTTTTGATGGGGGGGGGGGGAGGAAGGCGATTTGTGAGGCAGTTGTGTTCGAATGTAATTTATCTAGCGAGCCCCATTGACAAGAATAATAATGAAGAGAAAGGAGGAGGAGGAGAACAGGGTCGTTACAAAGCGATTCAGAACTGCTCCCAGCCTTTACGGTTGACATCAGCGAATGGATGCTTTGTGCACTACGAAACGCAGCACGTCGTTAGACACAAGTGCCGTCGAACAATGCAGGATATCAAGAGAGAGAGAGAGAAACAGGATTGGCTTGGTTCGAGAAAAGAAAAAAGGCTTTACGAGCGTCGTTGAAGAGCTGCTTCAGCCTGTCCCTCCTTCTTCCTGCCAACCTTCGTATTTCCCTTTCTTTTTTTTTTTAAAGAGAGATTGAGCAGCGTCACAACAGAAGTGAAAAGGCCTTCTCTGTTCCTACCGGGGCGTCGTCAAAACACACCACCGGCGGAATCCCCCACACCGCCTCAATGCCGAGCGCAGCGACTTCCTCTGTCGTTGTGGGCCGCTGCAGCTTGTTCTGAAACACGTTGTAGGCGATCGCCGGGACCCGCGGCACACCTTCCACGTGCGCTCGCACCACGTTCATGTGACTCGCCAAGCCGCGGCTGTGCGTAAAGCAAAAGATACGCACAGGGAGTACTGCGACGGCTGTTGCATTTCTTTTCGGTGTGTGCTTCTTTACCACGTCGATGTACGCCTGCCGATCCTCTACGGTTGGGTTCGTGTTGTCGACTACCACGCTGTCCCCCCTGGCCCAGTGCTCCTCTGCCGCACGGATGCACTTGGCCCGCGTCTGCAGGATGTCGCGGTTAACGTGGGCATAGCCGTACGGCTGTAAATGGCGGCGGTAGAAGGAGGACTTGCCACAGCCTGGAAAGCCCACAAAGATGATCAGTTCTTGCTCTCCGGTGCGGGCGAATAGAGGCGGGGCGGATGGCAGAGATATCGTCTTGACAGTGGTGAACGTGATGACCTGCACCGACAGCTGCGCGTAGGTCCGCGGAAGACTCCGCAGCTCCTCGGGGCACACATCTCCCCAAGAAAAATCGGCGGAGGTGGCGGCGGCACCGGACGAGGGGGCTGTCCGACGCAGCAGTGCGGTTGACAGGCGGTATGAAAGGCCCTTCGCCTCACCTGCACGGCGGGTCGTCAGGGCGTCTTCCTGAAGAAGATGGCCGACCTCGAAGGCAAAAAACTGCTCTGGTGTAAAAAAAGGCAGCTGCAGGTTGTACGCAAAATGGCGGTCTGCGCAGCTGAAGTCCTTCTTGCGCCCCGCCAGCGTCGGCGTAGTACGCCCCGCCGCGTCCCCCACGTAAAACGAGTACGCCTCGCAATCCACCGTCACCTCCTCTTTCGCTACGGCGTCGGCGGAACTCGCGCAGCCGTCCCGCACACACTGTGCAACACGTGTCACGAACAAATGCCATATACGCGGACTGGGCTTGCGCCAAGCATCGTCGCGCGTCGCCAAGCACGCGCACAACGGTACGGCGGCATCGTGGCTCAGCAAGGCGACCTTGGCCTCTATCGAGTCCGCCTTGGCTGCGTTCCAACTTGATCCTTTCCCGATACCCATTTGATTACTGAAGAGAGCGATCAAAAAGCCGCACTGGTGCAGGTGCTGGAGGTAGTCGCGTACCTCTGGGACCACCCACTGCCAGTCCGTTGGATCGTCACGAGGGAAGACACCGCCAGAGGCGGGTTTAATAACGGTGTCGTCCATGTCGAAGGCCGCTATCTTCACCACCACCCCCGACGCCGCACTGTCCTTCAGCGTGTGCAGAGCCTCCTTCACGATGGAGGTGGTCGGCGGCAGCATCAACACGGAGCCATTTTCCAGCTTTTCCCACTCGTCCTTGGATCGACACACCGCGGAGGAAGCTGCTGTCGAGGAGGGCGATGGGGAGCTGCGCTGCCGCTTCCGTGTAGCGGGCATTTGGTTCTATGATGTACGTTATTGCATTACGGGTTGAAGGCGAGCGAGGAGAGCGGAAAGAAAGGAATCACAAGACCGTGAAATCAGCGCAAAAGTGAGAATGAGAGACCCGACACGGCGAAGAGGTAACGTCGGCGACACACACACACACACACAGAAAACACTGATTGCTTTTCCTTCAGTTAAAAAAGACTACGAATCAAAAGCGAATGATATATATATATATATATAGAGAGAGAGAGAGAGAGAGAACGACTGTTTCTGACGCTCCCGAACTGCTTCTGCTTCTTCTTGTCGTATTGCATTCGGCTTTCGTTACGTTAGTAAACGTGAGAAGCATCCACAAAAGGAGATTCACTGTCAGCGGTTGAGTTCGTACACCGTACTCGTTTCCTCCTCCTCCTCTTCCGCTAAAGGTTTTTACGCAGCTCATCTTGCAGCAGGCCCAACCGCTTCGTGATGCCAAAAGTAGCCTTAAACACCGCCTTCAAATCGCTTTCCGACATCGTGAGGAACACCTGCACATCGATCGTTTCACGTCGCACGGTGCGGGTCAGTCCCTGCAGTCCCTTCTTCTCAAAGATGGCCACCAGCAGGTCCACCCCTGAACTGCCCTCTAGCGGTGGAGCGGTCTCTCCTTCGCGGGACGCGGCAGCCGAGCTTGGCTTCGATGCTTCGGCAGCGGTAGCAGGATTGACCGTGGGGGCCAGCACCATAGCGCTGTGGGTGAGACACGTCGCCAGCCGGCCCCACTCCCCATCCTTCTGCGCCCATTCAATAAACTGCTCCTGCTCCGCCGGCGCCGTCGGCTCGCTGACTTTTCGGACACAAATCACCTCCTGCACCACGCGCCTCAGCAGCGCCGTGGACCAGCGGTGGACATCACGGCTGGTATCCGATGCAAGCCGCTGCGCCAGACGACTGCGCAGCCGCTCGAGCGCATCCGTGCTGTTCTCCACCTGCGCGATACAGTCCTCCACACTGCCAGAAAGCTCCCCGTACGAGTTGCTCAGCACACGCTCCACCGCCGGTGTGCGGCGCAGTGCGGTCACCACCGCTGCCGATGTCTCGTCGACGCGCCACGTATCCAGCAGGACGTTGGGACGACGCATCGGGTGCTGCAGCGCCAGCGAGGGCGGCATGGGCAGCACCAGCTCGCGCGGCGCCTCCTTCACGACAGACGGGAGCCAGGGCAGGCGATGCAGCGTGTGCCCAGTGAACAACGCGTAGAAGACGTCGTCGTAGAGAAAGAGCGGCTGATTGGTGAAGTAGGCGGGGTGGTGAGTCTGGCCGTTTGCTTTGCGGTGCTGCTCCTGCACATCGCTCTTTACGGCGATCACGCGCAGCTTGCGCGCAGGAAGGGCCGCTGTTGTGGCGTTGCTGTCGTCGTCCTTTCGCACATCCACCGCGATGGCGTCGCCGTCTTGAACCGACGACACGCGACTCGCCGGGAGTTCCGCAAAGCCCATGATATCCAGTGGCGTGTTCGGCGCGTTCTCCAGCACCGCCCGCCGCACGCCGTCGTGAAAAGCCGGATTCGTCAGCAGCGCATGGCCAAACTCGTTGCACGCCAGCCGCGCCTGGGGCAGGTGCCTCAACAACGTACGGATCAAGAGGGACTGGACAGGGTTCACGTCACCCGGTAGCACAACGTGATGCACGTTCGTGAGCGACGGCCCGTGCGCATCACAGAAGCGCTGCACTGCCTCCACGTCCCGCACCTGTGGCAGCCCCACGAGCACCTGCGACTGCGCTGCGGTGTCCTTAAATTCCACGTCGTCCATCGTGGTGGAGGTGAGCAGGTAAACAGACTGCGTGTGCGGTGGCGCGTTCAGGCGAGACGGCACGCGAGACATCGATGACCTTGGTCGTGTGACGGCCGCAGGCGTCGTGGGCGATGCCGTGCTCATGCGCGCACGTCACGTACAACCGCGGCGGGGCATGGCGCAGGTAGCGCGTAGATAGAAGAGCCGAAGTGACGGCTTCTTGCAATGTCTGGGTGCGTTGTGTTGTGGGGACGGGATCGACTTTCGAGGATGTTCTCGCCGCAACGCGCCGCGCCAGTGATACGCGCAGCATCCCGCAATGATAGTATGACAGGATTAGTAGGCTTTTGTAGACATGCGCATCAATACTTCCCCGCAGATGGAGAAGGGAGAAGGTGAGCGAGAAAGGAGAGAATCACGAAAAAAATGAGAAGGAGGGATGAGAGGAAACCGACTCGGTGTCACGATGTATCCTTCAAAAGCCAGTCGTTACTTCAGAAGCGGAGAGGTCGACGCGTTTTCCTTCGTTCAGAGCCGGAGTATCCTTCGTATGGTTCACGGCTCAACGTGAACCAAGGAAAATATTCAGAGCATTCGTATAGATGTATGTGTATCTGTGTGTATGTATGTAAGGAGGACCAAGTAGGCATGCTATTTTATGTGATGGATTAATAAACGCTGAAAGAGAGACAAAGCACACGCATCATAAACGACCGTTATTACTCCTCTTATCTTCAGTTAACATAAGAAAAGAGAAGGGCGTAGAAATCTACAGGGTCAGTCACAGCACCCTCAAAAGGAAAAAAACCCTCGTTACCTTGTCGAAGTGTTACTATAAGAAGCACAACGGGGATTCCTTTTCCGTGTGTTTTGCTGCCATCGCCTTCGTTTTCGCAGCCACTATCTTTTTCCTCACACACCCGTACACCCGTACACACGCCAACACATACACACAAACAGACACACTCATCGAAAATTAGTCGTGAAGGCTGTACTCAGCGAGGGAATTCACGCCGCGACCAACAGCCCCCCAAAACAAACGACGAGTCATAGCGAGACAATCATCAAGAGATACGTGTCGCCTGTGCACCCGATCACAACAACCAAGGCGATGCATCACTGCCCTTCCTTGGATGTATCAGCCAACAGTTTTATTTTCCCCAGTGCTTACTTTCGCCATGGCTCCTTCTGCGACTTGGCGTAAAAGCCACCCATTGCCCCAATGAACACGCCGACCACGGCGCCAAAGGACGTGCCGCCTTCGCTGCCGCCGTCGATGACGCAGCAGGCCCCACTGGCCGTGGCGGTGGCCATGGTGGCCGCCCCGATCGAGGCCGACAGCGGCGTCACGAGAAGGTGGAAGAGACTGAGTGTGGTGGCACAGGTGAGGAAGGCGGAGCACGATCCAATGAAGACCTTGTCGGTGAAGTGGCGGCTAGAGGTAAGCACGACAGGACTCACAGTGCTGCGCAGGGCAGGGGTGCGTGTCAGCACGCGCGACGGATAACGAAGCATCGTGTGCAATCGAGAAAGGGGAAGGAGGTTCTACAGCGTTGCTTAGACTACGGCAATATGGGCAGGAAAAGCCGGATAGATGAGCCAGTTCTGTTTCGTTGTGTGTGTGTGTATACGGAGACGGATGTGTGCATAGACAGCAAGACATCAGAATCAAGAAAGAGAGAGATTTGAGGGAAGAAAGCGTTTCCCCTCAGTAGCGGTGAACGCAGCAAGGCCACTGATGTCTTGGCGACCCTCCTAAGATACTTCATGCGGGAGTCAAGCGTTCAGCACCGCCAGTTTATACGCAGAGATGCAGGTAAGCACACAACGCTAAGAATGCAACGAGGCGTAGTTCTCTTTTCCTTAGCATGCGGTCGAATACGCCCACACAAAAGCCCATTTAGCGCTCTCAGGCGGAAACGCCAAGGAGGGGAGGAACACGACTCCGTCTGCGTACAGAGCTGCTGGGCACGCTGCGCTAATGAGGCATTGCGCTTTCAGTGGCAATCCATTTGCTTTCATGACAGTTTTAGCGGTGTGGATTAAACGCACAATACGCGCTTAAGCGCAGGTCTTCACGGATGGCGTGCAAAAACCCACCAGAGAGAGAGAGAGAGACCAATTATTTTTTAAAAGAAGAGTAATCAGTTCGTGACACAAACAAACATAACGAACTCTGCCAACGGGCAACGCAGACTGAACGGCACCCGTAACGGCACCAAAACAGCTAAGAGTCAGGACGGGTATTCTGGTGCATTAAATAAAGTGGATGCCGTGTTTAATGAAATGGGCGAGCATGTTCATCAGCGCCTCCTCATCCAGCATGCGACTACGCTTCTCGAACATCGGGTCAGCGATGACGGAGTCGAGGAGTATGCGAAACTGATCGAGTGTGATGTCCGCTGTAGCCGGAGGGGAGGAGGGCGATGGTGCCGCCTTTGCCTTGTCAGCCGTGCCTGGACCCACCGGCAGACCGCCCTCCATCTTGCGATAGCTCACGTACTTGTCGTAGAGGGCTTGCACCGCTGCCTTGGTGCGGAAGATGGATGACGACTTCTTGTTCTTGCGGTTGAACAGCATCTTCACAAGTCCGTCCCACTCTTCAAAGTCGACGCTCGGGGGCGGGTTCTTGGGGTCCAGCCGGATCACACTCGACTCCACCTTGGGCGGCGGGTTGAAGCTGTTTTTGCTGATTTTCATGAGGTGGCTGCAGCGCGCAAGCAGCTGCGCGTTCACGGAGAGACGGCAGTACACCTCGGAGCCGGGCTGCGCACAGACACGCAGCGCAAACTCACGCTGAAACATCAGCACTGCACACTTGAAGGTGGGGGTTTTCAAGAGCTTAAATACCAAGGCAGAGGAGATGGCGTAGGGAACGTTGGCCACACACTTGTCAAAGTACGGAAATGCCTGCTCCAGGCAGTTGCCACGGATAATTTGCAACTTGGACGCGAGGGGGGTATTTTGGAAGCGCTTGTTCAGCTCCGCCACCATTCGCGGATCAATCTCAAACGCGATGACCTTCTTGGCGGTCTGCAGAAGCTTCTCGGTGAGGTTGCCCGTGCCAGGGCCGATCTCCACTACGATGTCGGTGGGCTTGATGGAGGACTTCTCCACAATCGCCGAGATGACAAGCGGGTTTTTTAAGATGTGCTGACCGAATCCCTTGTTAAAGACAATACCGGATTGACTCCCACCAGTCTTCAGACCTGTGTCTGCACGCTTGCCTTTGCGGACAGCATTTCGATCGTGTCCTTGCGGAGTAGATTTCCCTAACGTCGTGACTTTGGTACCGAACTTAATTTTACGCGAGGCGGCGTGGATCGGCTCCGCGCTGATGATGCCCATCGGCACCGCACGTGGCTCCTTCGGCATACCGTCAACGGCGAGAGGTGCAACTATCGTTTCGAAAACGTATCCGCAATAATAACAGCGGAGGAAAAAGAAAGATGAGGAGAGACAGAGTTGGGAAGAGCAGAGAGGAGAGAAAGGATAATAACGAGAACGAAGGCACACGTGCGTGCGTATGTGGGGTTACGATTGATTGAGAGGATGAAGAATTCGGCAACTCTCCGAGGCGCTTAAACAGGTGTTTATCAACATCACATCGACTTTTGGTGCAATCCTTTGTGAGAAACTGGAGCAGGCAGATATTGTCCAGGTAATCTACAGAGCAACGGAGAAGAGAAGAGAGAAAAAGAAAAATAAAAAAATCACGCGCGGCTTCACAACGGATCATCACTGCACAACCCACGCAACGCCCCTGTGGGAGGTGTATCCGTTACGCTTCAGGTTCGGCTGCGGCTCCACCTTCATCCAGGAGTTGCGCGTGTTCGTCGGAGGTCGGCGCAGAACAGGTGGCCGCTGCGGCTGCCGTAACATCGAGGCGGACACCGGTGACGCTGGACTGGCACGATTGACAAGCGCAGGCTCGCGCGGCAGCGGCGAGGCGACCATCGCCTTCCCTTTCGTTCGAGAAACGGGTGACATACGCGTAGCGTCCACTAACGGCATGGGCAGCGCTGTGTCGGACGGTGCAGCTGGTGCAGGCGCTGATGATGGGTCAGCTGCCCTGTTGTAGTTGTACTCACTCGGCACATCCTCTGCTGCTGTTTGCGTGTATATCGATGCCTCCGCGTGGCGCAGCGCGTTCTCCCACACATCATTTAGAAATTGGTAAGTGTGCACATTAAGGTCGCTACGTGCGCTGTGCGCCTCTGTCTCATTCGGCATCGCGGCGGACGCACGTGATGAATACGGCGCTGCCATGACGTATATATCACTCCTTTTCCTCGCGTGCTCTGCACGTAAATCCCTGTAGACAGGTAAAAGAATGAAAACCCAAATGCTCTCTTTCGCGAGGCTAGGAAGCAAAGAGAGCGGACCCACACAAAAAGCGGAAGACGCGGAGAAAGCCAGAAAGAATATAAAGAAAATGAGATGGGATTTACTTCAGAGAGAGAGAGAGAGGGAGAGGGAGAGAGGAAGGACATACGTACTAAGCATGCAGACAAATGCTGTAGGTAGCGCAACACACAACAGTTACGCTCGTGAGCGGAACGAAGCACGCCCATTCATCTCTTTGGTGAACTTCGCAAGGTAGAAAAAAGAAAAGGAATAACCGCTTTACCCAATGCGGGGAAAGAAATCCACCTGGTGAACGGCAATGCTATCCGATGTGGTTTCTTATCTTTACGTGTGACTTGGAGCAAAACAAACAAACAAAAAACTCCTACAAAACTCCTACGCAAGTATAGAAGGCAAGTACGAATCGTATTATATATAAAAAACAATACCAACAACACCAGCGGGCCAACAACGGCACCGTTTCACACGTCCACGCAACTGACATACGAGGTCCGCGAAGGGGGGAAGAGCCGGCAGCCAAGATGTTCCAGACCAACATCAAAACACACACTGAGAGAGAGAGGGGGGCAGATAGGGGAAAAGCCGCAAGTAGAACAACAATACCAAAAAGAGAGATTACTTTCACTCACCCTTCTTTTCTTTCATTTTTTATTCAAGCCCTCCGAAAAACACACGCTGCTTTTTTTGTTTTCCGCTTCTCCGACGTGTCTTTGGTTGCGTAAGCTCAACAACACGATTAGGCAAACGCTTGAGGGGAGTGAGGTGGAAAGCTCTCATCAGCATACTCTACAGGCGGAGTTGTCGGCGGCACAGCTCCTGTCACATCGTTGTTAGCCGTTCCGGCGAGAGACGCAGCAGTGGCGCCGGAAACATACCCTTCTTCTTCGGTCTGCATCTTCTGCCCTTCTTCCTCATTATGGTTGGTTGTATCATGATTGGGTGCATGCAAGACGAAGGCCGGTGCTTCTGATGTTCGACTACAACCCTTCGCGAGTCTTGATGTTTCCTCTTCTTCCTCATTATTCACGTGCACGGGGTCGTGGAACACCGAAGCGTTAGGAGGGCCTACGTGTGACAGCACAGAGGGTCGTATTAAAGGATCGACGTCACCGTGACGGTGCGCGCGGGAGTGAAAACCATTGCGGTTCACCTCCCCTCTCTCCCTCGTCGCTTCCGTCACACGTTCTCGCGTCTCCGCGTCTTCGTTGGGCGAAGAGGACGGCGAGAGTTCCGGAGGGGACGGCGGCATCGGTGCCGGCTTCGGCGCGATTCTGGGCGTTGTCTTTGGCGTTCCCTGCGGAGTGGTGCGGTGCGAGATGGAGTCGGCGGAGCGCAGCGTCTCACAGGCGGCGCAGCGGGTGGCGGAGGGGGCGTTCAGGTAAGTGCACACGTGACACGGCCACACCTCTGGGGCGGAGCTCAGTCGCAGCGGGGCCACGGCCCGCGTGGCGCCCCCACTCGTGCTGCCCAGACTCTCCTTGGGGCTAATCTGGACGACGTCATCGGTGCCGACGTCGCGGAAGCGCACTCGGCGGTTCTGCACGTTGAGGCAGCGCAAAAGACTTTTGCGGGTGCGGTGCTCGAAGGAGCCGGCCAACGAGGAGAGCCGCAGCAGCTCGCGGTCGTCGACGAAAACGCGCGAGTACTCGAGCAGCGTGAGTCGAGCCAGCCGTTGCGCCTTGCGGTGCGCCTCGCCCTCGCCGCGCTTCACAGCCAGTTGAATAATTCGGTCCTGCATGTCGTGATCCTTCGCTAGGGCGAGGTGGAAGCCATAGTTGCACAATGACACGAGCTGCTCGAGCAGCAGGAGTCCACCGTACGCGTTCTCTGGCTGACGAAAGGAGAGGTACTCGTGCATGGTCGAGAGCACCAACTCCGGGTTCTTGTCCGCGATACTCACGCACTCGGTCAGGTACTGCGCAAACTCTGGCTGCTCCCGCTTCGCGATGCAGTCGTGCACGACACGACCTGCCCTGTACTTCAGCTTCACGTCGGACACTACGTTTTTAAGATAGTTCATTTACGTGGCGGTGGTCATGAACTCGGTTACCTGCGCCGAGTTAAGCCTCGTCGTTCTGATAACGCCGTGTTACTGCAGGTGAGTGCGAATGCTACCTCTGCGACAGCGAGCAAAGCTCAGTCTTTCAAGAAACACAACGCAAGGTGTTTCTCAGGAGTGGTCGACGTCACGCCAATCACCGAGAAACCCAAAACACCTTCCTCTTTCGATTTCCCAACTGCTCGCCGGAGCGTTTGACGGAGTAGAAACTTGTAGGTCGAGTTGACCAGCACAGCTCTATTTTACTCACGCGAAGCAGTCGAACACGTCAGCCTTGCTCTTAAGCAAACAAAACGAAAAATCCCCCCCCCCACCAGAAATAATGACGCAACAAAATCAAGAGAGAGAGGGAAAGAAAAACGGATATCGTCACACAAACACAACTCGAACAAAGAAACAGACAGCTTGCCTGCTGTCAAAGCGCTTTCCTTTCCCCTCCCTGAACCTCCGCGTTTTTTTTTTTTGAAAGCTTGTCACTCTCTCTTCGCTGCTCGTGTTGCACGATGGCCTCGATGCGCCGGACGAGCGGATCGCGAATTAATTGACGTAAAGCGCGAAAAAAGAGTGAGACAGGAAAAACAAACAAAAAATGTGTTCACATGGAGGCCAAGCGCCAAAATAATACAAGACGCGGGGGGAAGGAGCAGAACGAAATGAACACCAATATAGAGGGCTGTGGTAATTTACACGTGAACGACGTCAACACGACTTGTCGGGGAGAAGAAGAAGAAAAGAAAGGATTACGCAACGGCAGCGGCCTTTCTGTTTTTGCTTTTGCCGAAGATTTTGCTTTATATACACCTCAACCAATCACTGGAGAGTTTCGTCAGAGTCTCTCCCGATTCACAGTAGACCAGTCGGAGAAAAGCAACTGTCGGATCAGGAAGAGGGGAAGGAGGAAAAGAGAGAGGAGGGGGGGGGGAGGAGGAAGAGTAAGAAGCATGATAGCTGAAGACGATCGTTGAACCATCACTCGAGCTCGAGGAAAAAAGGCAGGGCTAAATCGGAATTCCTTTCGATGAGATGAATGCCGGTAGAGAGCGCAGGAGAAAGAAAAAGACGCCGCTCCTCCCTCTGGATAGCAAACAGATTCCACTAAAGAGAACACGCAGGAGACCAGCCAAGGGGCTTGGCACCACGCTTCATTGCCATAAGATGGTGATGGCGCACTACGTAAAGGCAGCCGGAAAAGCAAACACTCGCAAGTTGTTCCTCTTTTGTGTTCTCTTCTTTCTTTCACCTTCGTATGCGAATGGCGGAGGAGTGATGAGGCGACAACGAGCTGCGCACCGTTGGCTACCAGCTGTGAAGCAAGAGCAACTAAATGAGCCCCACCAATGATCGGCGCACACAGCCGCACGCACGGACAAATACACACCAAAGAGAAAAAGTGCGTCGCTTCCTCTTCTTTTCTTTTCCCTTTTTCTTCTTAGTCCTTCCGCTCAAATTCGTAGGCCGGGGGGGCCCTGACACGAGGCGGGGCTGCCACGGAGGTCAGCGACTGCTCATGAACGGGCTTCGCTATCCGCTCGGGATACAGGTATTCGGTGCAGCGACGCGTACTCACATCGTAGATGCACATCAGCAACGCCGGCGGCACGGCGTTCAGAAAAGGTTTGTGCTTGAAGAATCCGTCGTAGACTTTTGTAATACCATGGCGCCGTCGAATGTCCATGATGAGCGAGCGATAACTCTGCGGACGGCCTCTGGTTGAGGTGTTCGCCAGATAGAGCTGCTGGCGCAAGGCTTGAACCGGGTACTGCGCCAGCAGGCCAAGAAACGTTGCCGCGTGACAGTACAAGAACAGCATCACCGGGCTGCGGTAGACGCCGTCGTAGCGCAGCCAGTTGTAAAGACCGAACTGAAGAGCAAACTGCGCCGTGCGACCTGTCAGAGCGACAGTGAAGCCGCGGTAAAGACCTTTCAACACGGTTGGCCGCTCCTTCAGGGCGGTGAAGAACACATCACCGGCTCCACGAAACTGCCGCAGCCCAGTCGTGGCCTCTGCCGTGGTGCGCAGCACATCGAAGGGGTGCCGCAGCGCTGCGTAGATGGCACCCGCCGCCGCCCCGGCCAGGAAGCCACGCCGTCTGTTGGACCACGCAGGCGCCGCTGCTTCGAGCTGTTGCCTCAACGCGACGAACAAGCCAAGGCTAAAGGCGTAATCCACCGTCAGCCACGGCACAGACCGGCCCTGCCACCACCGGGTGTGAAAAAGCACGCGGAAAAACTGGGCTCGTTTGTCGGACATGTAAATGCGGCTCGACTCCCCGGGAACATCACACATAAAGTAGAAGTGTTCTAATTTGGCGATGGGCACCGTGGCGAGAGCGCACGTCACGGAGCAGGCGGCGATGACAGCGCCATGCTCTGCGGTGGTGAGCCGCGGCTCGGTGTAGCCCTGTCGATGCGCGATGGGTTCTTGATAGGCGGTGGGCGTCCGGTGATGGTAGCTGCTGTGGTAGGCGCGTGTGGGGTCGTAGCTCATCTTGTTTCGTGAAGGCGAGAACCCACGATACGTTCACGTTGGCGCTGATGAGGAAACGATAATATCAGCGAGAGAAAAGACGGTGCCAAGGGAAGATCAGCAGAGCGACGCCGCGTTCCGCTTCAGCGTGCACGGAGAAGCTCTGCCTTATCTTTTCTCCTTTCTTCCTTCGACTTTCGTTCAACGTTGTAAGGAGAGGATGCAGACATCATAGCACGAGAACCGATGATTGGAAAGAAGCATTCACGTACAAACATGCTGCCAATTTTTTTTTGTGGATAGACCTTTTCCTTCCGGCTTCAGCCCGAAGCGCAACAACAACGAACAAAAATACAAGCACTGTGTCACACAGCAGCAATACATCAGCTTTTAATAGTAGACAACTTCTGTCGCTGACCGCACGTGAGCTTCTTAAACTACTAGGTGGTGAGAGCCGATGCATAACGATTTTCCGCGCAGTTTGCCTTTGATTCTTCCCTACACGTATGCTATACTGCAAGTTACTCTTTTGCAATCTATGGGGATGACAACACACAAATGCGGCCTATATGAACAACATCAAAGAAAAAGCTTCGAGCTACCGCGTCGAAAGAGAAGTTGCGGAAAGCTTCTAAATCTATTCGTGGCTTTATAGTATTGTACAGCTCTAAAACAGCAGCAGCTCCACGCTCATCTCTTTCGTAGCTCCACCGGGGCGAGATGCGCAGAGCCCATCAAAGCAAACAAACAACAAAAGGCAAAAAAAGTCTCGACAATAGAAAAACAGCGGCTCATTCAAAATAACTACTGTACTTCTCCATGCATCGGCGAGCGATCTCCTCCCCCCGCTGGCTGAAAACGTCTTCGAGGTACGACACCACGTCCAGCTCCACCTCGGCGGAGGGCCGGTCCAGGCGACGCCCAGACGTGACCAGGTACGGCGCCACACGGTACCGCGATGGCGGGCGGGTGTCCGCCCCTGCCGCATCGCCTGTACCGACCGGCAGCAGACCCAACACCTCGACCAGACCCTGCACTTCCTCCTCTGACAGCGAGTCCACCAGCGGCGCCGCGAGCTCGATCTGCGCCGTCGGCATCACGCTCGGGTCCTCGGAGAGCATGGTGGAGTACATGGCGTACCACGCGTCCATGGCCAGCGCGACGAGCTCCTCTAGTACTTGCTGAATCGGATCGGCTGGCGGCTCCGCGTCTGCCGCGTCCACGTCGGCACCGTCGCGGGTGCCCAAGGATGAATGGTGTGCCTTCAGTACGGCCTCGCGCTCGCCGTCCGTGAAGCCGGCCGCTGCGGTGGGCCCACCGACTTCCAGCGCGAGAAAAGACGGGTAGAGCGGGTGGTCGGCGGACACCGGCACCTGCTGCCCACCCTGCCACCGAGTTGGCGCCCGCTGGTTCTCGTGGGCGTGCAGGCCGAGTGCCTCCGCCTGCCGCTGGTGCGACGCCTTCAGCACGAGGGCGAACTCGAAGTCGCGTGAGATGTCAAACAACTCCGCGTCGAGTGCGAGGAGTTGTCGCTGGCGGCTGCGGCGTGTCTGCAGACGCATCAGGCTGCTGCCACCATCGTTCACCACTTCCGTGCGCATGTTCAAACACATCGGCACCCGCAACCTCGTGGGGTTCAAGGCATCCGGCGCGACCCGCACGCAGCTACTCCAGAGCATCCACATTCGGTTTTCATCGTCCGTCTTGACGTACAGAACAAGCCGCGACAGCCGCTTCTTCTCTGTTGCGTAGATGTGATCGGCAATGCTCTCGCACAGGGTGGTGACCTGATGCTTTGTTTCATCCGCCACCAGCGTTTCCTCACTCAGGTACGCGGCGCCGTCAAAGGTTGCAGCGCGCTTGGCGAGCGGCACGACGCGATCGGTCAGGCGGCAGCGATTTGTGCGTCGGTACACGGTAGTGATGAACGGTGTCCAGATCACCTGCAGCTGGAAGTTGTAGCGGCTGGAGCCCTCGCCTTTGGGTACGACAAACTTCTGCAGCACCCCGTCTGGCTTGCGCTTCTGGTCGAACAGAAAGTGGCGCAGCGACTCCGCGGTGAGAAACTCGACGTAGGTGAGCTGCTGGTCGGCGTACCGGTTCGTCCTCCGCTGCTTGTGCGTCAAAACCGACTTCCACTCCTCAGCCGTATTCACCGTGTTGTAGAAGAACTGCGCTACAACGTCGCAGCCGCTGACGTTCTCGGCAAACTTGTCGTACATGGTTTGTGCATCGAGCATGGAACTGGGCCGCTTGATGATTTCCTTATTTTTCATGTCGTAGGCGTACCAGGCACGGGGAAAGTTGTGGTCAAAGACAACGGTCTCTGGGAGGAGGACGGTGGACATGGAATGCTCCCGACCCTTGACGTTCTTGTAGAGGTAGTTGTACAGCTGTGCACAAAGTCCGTCATCCTCCAGCGGGTGCTGCTTCACCCAGTCTTTGGTGTAGCGGACTTGGATGCCGGAGGGGGACTCGTAACCGTCGCTGCACCGCGGCGCGCTGGGCGGTACGGGGGCTAAGCCTTTCTTCATGTTGAAGTATGTGTATTGGTGCTGATGTAGAGAAGATATATGACGCTAAAAACAAACAAACACCCTTTTATCTATGACGTCAGCGGTGGTGGGATTAATGCCGAGTGAGAGAGAGTAACCCCAACTTTCGTAGGAATCACTTGATCTCTAAAAGGACAGAAGTAGTTGAGGAAGACACGTGAAGCCGAGTTTTTCTCTCTCTTTTTTTTGGCCACTGATGATGGAGGGGCGCCCACACGATGCGTTGTTCTTTCCGCAAGTGCACTTCGTCTGCAGCTAAACAACACATTTGAAAACAAAACCCCCAGTAAGATTGAAACGTCCCTAACAAAGCAGACAACAGGACAGTCCCCGGAAGGGACAACGTTGCTTCCTCGAACTTTTCCCGAAGCGACGCAACGCGCGTGACGACGCTTCAAATTTGACGCGGGAAAAGAGGGGGGGGGGGAGTGCACCGCCTGCACGACTCAGCGACTTATTTTCCCAGTCTACAGTTGTTAAACACTTCTTTTTTTGGTTATATGATGTAGTTACAGGGAAAAAGATAGTGAAAAAAGAGGCCGAAAAGGCAAGAAGACAGACGTACAGGCTTTCTAAAGCTCCCAACAAAGGGTGAGTCAACAAACAAACACACAAACCTAAAGAGTATGCCGTGTTCCACAGGACTCAGGCGGTGATCTCTTCTAATTTCGATCTCTTTTTTCCTTGCCCCCCCTTTGTAAATAATAATAAAGAAGCCTTTTCATGCTCTCTCTCTCTCTCACACACATACACACACACACACACACACGCACCCAAACACGGAGAAACGAACACCGGCATGCTCTCCCTCTCCTCTCTCTCGCAGATTCCGTGCGTACCCCAGCACCTCTCTCACCCCCACCTTCTCGCCAAAAAACACCCATCTCTTTCACAAGGAGACCCTCCGCATAGTACTCATCGACAAATCAAAAGGAAAAAGAAATAAAAAGAAAGCAGGTTTGTGGTTTTGTTTTACGTTCTCTCCCCTCTCTCCCCTCTCTCTACGCGTCGTCCTCCTTCTTCATTGAAAGACGCACCGCCTCTAGCACGTCGCCCGCCGTCGGGGCATTCGCCATGTCTTCGTCAATTGCGTCTTCACCGCCCTCACCGTCGTGCCCGCACATATCGTAGTCCTCGTCCTCGGTCTTCGACTCGTCCTCTGTTCCCGCCCCGGTCTCCGCCGCGGCCGCCTTCGCCACCTTCTCAAACACGGGCGAACCCATCACGGACACCGGCGGCGTCTGCGGGGTGTCGCGGAAGAGCGACTTCGTGTCCGGCACGTACCAACTCGTCTCAGCGCCCTTCGCCATCAGATGGTCCAGCACGCTCTCAAAGGTTCCCTCGCTCTTCAGCTGCTCATACTTGCGGTAGAGCCGCAGCGAGGTGCGGGCGTCCTCGATGGAGTCATGCTCGTCCTCCTGCACGCTCTCACCAAGTACGTGGTAGGCGAGAAAGCGTAAAGAGAGGTAGCGAGAGCCGGGCTTGTGGAAGATCTCCAGAGTGTCGATGATCTGCTTGCGCGGCACAGCAATGTTGCACACGCGGAAGTCCTGGGCGAGTCCGTGACCGACAAAGACAACGCCGCCGTCCACCAACGCACGTAGCTTCAGATACGTTGACTTGAGCGAAGTCAGACTCTTCGCAGACTCCAGCGGGTCGAGGTCGCCAGGGTGGATGCCGCTGTACTGCGTTACGTAGTCATCGATTTCTTCAGGAATGTGCACGTAGTCGTCCACGATGGTGCGCTCGTCGCCGTCCTCGCTGCTCAGGATGCAGCTCACGCGCGCCAGTCCCATGTGCGGCTTGCGCTGCGAGACGTAGAAGATTTCGTTGCCCTCGTCCCGGCTCGCCCAGCGCAGCACGACGTACTCGGCGTCGATGGCGATCAGGTCACCGGCTTTTATTTCCGTGTACGAGTTCAGGGGAGACTTGAAGGCCTGCTTACTCGGGTCGCGCAGCAGCGGCCGTGAGAGCACGTCGTTCGTCAGCAGTGGGCCCAACAGGTGCCACAGGTTCGGCGCGCGGGAGTCGTCGAGGCGCGCGTAAAGAGGCGTGGTGAGGTTGTCCAGTGCGTAGAAGGTCACCACGGCGGAGTAGGAGCGCAGGGCCGGAACCAGTCGCTCCAGATCCTGCATCTTCATCGGCGCCGTCACACGGTAGTCGTTTACAAGCGAGAAGCTGTCGTCTTTAATGCGCTGCTGACTCACGAAGTTGCCGGTGTCCTCGACGTCGTCGGCGAGGTGGACAATGTTGCTGTTGAGAACGTAGTTGTAATCTTCCTTCCCGGCGCGGGAGATCTTCAGGCTGGTGGGCGGCTTCAGGTTGCTGTGCTCGGGGTTCAGCAGAAGGACAATGATGGGCGGCAGACGTTTGATTTGGACCTGGTCCTTGTAGCCCTCCAGCTGCTTCAGCAAGTGCTGCAGTCCTTCGTCCACCTTCAAGGCTGATCCTGGCACCTCCCAGTAGAAGCGCGGCTCGATATGCACGCGGCCGTTGGACGTGAACTCGGTGCCGAACAGCGCGGCGATGGCGCTCTCGTACTCGGGTGGTGCCTCATAGTTCATGAAGGGGTAGGCCTTTTGGTCCTGCAAGTCCTTGTGCAGCGTCTCCAGCACCAGGCGCTGTGCCAGGTGCATCTTTGCCACGGCGTCGTCGCGGTTCTTCGGGCGCTGGAAGACCTCCGCGTTGGTGAAGGCGCGGATCTGCCGCATAGTGCGAATAAGGTGTGCCACCTGCGCAATGGGCGGCAGCGCCTCTCCCTTCATCCCCATGACGCTCGCGGAGATGGTGAGCATGTTCGAAAAGATGAAGGCGATCTCGCACGTCATGCAGAACTCCCGCTTGCAGATGTGTCGTAGAATCACCTTGCGAATTGGGAACTCGGGCGGCTGGCAGAGATACAGGGACTGCAGGAGCGGTGTGATCCAGCACTCGGGAAAGCTGTTGTCGATGCCAATCACACGCTGCGCGATTTCGTTGTAGCTGCGCCAATCCAGTTTGTGCTGCACGCTGTAGCAGACCTGCAGAGAGTCTTCCATCGGGCTGTACTCGCCGCCGCCGCCGACCCGCGAGGACTTGTGCTTGCGCTTCATGTCCTTGCGCAACTCCAGCAGCAGCTCCTGCGCATTCGCCGGGTCATCACCGAGCTGGTTGTTAAAGGGGTACGGGTTCGGCAGGATGGCGCTGAGTTTGTCCTTGGGGTCGGGCAGATAGCTGTCCGCGCGGACTAGGCCCCACTCATTGGGCACCAGGCTGTGGGACTCGTAGTTCACGCAGCGCAGCTTCTGCGGGACCGTCAGGATCATGTAGTCCTCCTCCGGCCAGTTCGAGGCCAACGCGCCGGGCTCGGCGGAGTCATCAAAGCCGTCGGCGATGTTCGGTTCCTCCCAGCTGCGGTGGTACACGGGGTGCTTCGGCCGGACGGGCTGCACAAAGGTCGACATGACGTAGTCGTCCCGCGTGGCCGGGTGGGCAAGGGCGTAGAAGGAGCCCTTGTCGTTGCCGATCGCGGCGCACATGTTCGACGGCGAGACGGCCACCGCCGTGCAGGCGCCCTCGCTGAGTGGGGCAGACGAAAAGACGGGCTTCTCCTGATCGAGCTGGATAATGTGGAAGCCCTGTGGGGACAGCAGGAACGCCCGGTCGCTGGAGAGGCCGAAGCCGTCCTGGTAGCGCCGCATCTGCGTGACGTTGCCGGATGGGATGTCCTGAATGGTGGCGACCGCCTCCGACATCTTGCGCACATCAAACACCTTTACAAAGGACGTGGCCGAGCGCTCCGAGTAGGCGGCCATGACGGTGTTGTCGAACACTTCGAGTGCCAAGACGCGGTTGCGGGACGGGGCCACTTGACCAATGGTGGCCAGGTCCGACGCGCTGCGCACCACCACCGAGCCCGAGGCGCTACCCGTCGCCACCCATTGATCGCACTGCTTCAACGCCACCACCGACAGCTCCTCCATCGCTACCGTGAGCTGATCCGTCTCCTGATCATTCAGCTCCAGACGTGTCAGACCCGCATTGCCGGTAAAGAACATGACGCCGGTGTTGTTGTTCGCCTGGAAGAGGTCGATGTAGTTCTGCGCCGCGGTGGGCTGAGGCAGACACATCATCAAGATGCCCCCGCGCTTGTAGCCGCGAATTACTTCGCGATCGGCCACGGTCACCATCCGCTCGCCCCCCATATTCAGGAAGAAGATGCTTGACGCCGGCCGGTTGGACACGGAGAAAGAGGAGTAGTTTACCCAGCCTGGGGCCTCGCCCTGGACCTGTGACTGCAGTGAAAAGCTCATCAGCGTGCCGAAGGCGTCGCACACCCACAGCAGCTCCACATCGGGGTCGAACTCCACGGCGGTGATGGCGCCGACGGAGGCCGTGGCATCCCCGCGAAACTTCCACGGCGCGCTGCCTTGCGAGTTGAGACTCATTTTGTGTCTCGCCGCCGCAGACTTTTCTGACTGTGCTCAGATTTTCTAAAAAAAAACAGCAAATAAAGTAAACAAAGGTGATGAAAGTGACTTTCACGCCAAGGCAAAGCGCGCGTTGGGCAGGCACGAGAGCCGCCACTGCACGCACCACACGCGGTACGTTCGTACGGGTCCACGTCGCCTCCCCAATCTCTTTTTCCGCGGGTAGGAGCCACAGCGCAAACACACTGCGCGGAGAGAAGAGAAAAGACGCTCACTTGTTGTCCTCTTCTGGTCCTCTCTCTTCTCAATCGTGAGGAAAGAGTATAGCCGTCTTACTTGTCCTTTTTTATGAGCGCGTGCAGACACGCATACACACACACACACAAAGAAAGGCGGACAGGAACACCTCCTCCGTTGCTGTTTGTATGGGAATCTCTCCTCGCTCTCGCCCTTTCTCTCTGCTCCAAACCTCAGGCCGTTGATGGACTCCAGCGCAAAGGGACAAGAGAAAAAAGAAATTAGTTGCCAGTTATCGAGCAGCGAAATCAGATTGCATGACAGGATGTGTGCACCGAAGCGTCACATGAGTGTAAACGTGGGAAACACCCCCTCCGAACACAACAAATAAAGACGAGCAGACGCAGAAGTATAAGTGAGAGCAGTGGACGACTCATGAGAGATAGAAGAGGAATACCCCGAAAGAGAAGGAAGCAGAAGCAACCCCTTACACACTCTTTTCATGTACTAGTACAAGCGATATTCGCCAAGGATATGTGGGTGATGGCACCAGGGCGGATTCTGCGCTGCAACACCTTTCATTTTTCTTTAAACCCGAAAAATGTCCACTGCTGCAGCGGCGCCCCGTGAAGAAAGGAGTGTTCGTCCATTCAAAAGGCCTTTGAGGACAAACGTGTCGTACAATACTGCCCTGACGCGTAACGACCAAATATATAAAGGGTGCAGTTAGATGTGACCACAACGAGAAGCTTCACATCAGAAGAAGCACAAAGGCAGCGCCAATGCGTTCCACGACGACCCGGCTCTGAACACCTACAACTTCGGGAAAATGCGACCTCCCTGAAAACAAAAGAGCGTCCACGAATTGCTTTTTTCTTGGCCTACGCGTCAGCTGACGTCATTTTCTTGCGTCGACTCACTTTTCGAGGCTTGGACGGGGCGGCAATCTCGGACGACGCATTGCCGTCCGTCGCCGTTGCAGCGCCGCTCGCGGCAGCCGTCGACTCAGCCGGCTTGGCAAAAGATCGCACAGGGCTGCGGGGGTCCTTGTGATGGTGCTTCACGCAGTGCTCATGCAATGCTGCGTAGCTCAAAAAGCCTCGATTGCAGTGAGGACAGAAGACCGAGGTCGGCAGGTTCAGACTCACCAGCTGCACACTGCGGTGCGTTGCCTTGACGTGAGCTTCCAGCCCAAACGCATCCTGAAAGATACGCCGGCACGCCGGGCACGGGAAGAGCTCGGTGACCGTCGAATGCTTCTCTTTCGCGTGCAAGGCCAGCGCCCCCGCGGTGCGGAAACCGCTCTCACACTGGGCGCACCACCATCGCTTCTTCATGGAGAAGGGCGGCAGCGTAGGCCACGCATGAATCCCGGCGAGTTGGTCGTTTGCCGTGCTGATGGGATCTGCTGGCGCCGTCGCGCCGTTCAGCGGCGTCTCCCGTGCCGCCGTCTCTTTTATACTGTGATGATCCAACAGGTGATCGCGCAGCGCAGATTCCGTTAAGACGACGCGTGAGCAATGTGGGCAGCGGAAGACCGCATTGCCTCGTTGTTCCCGCATGATGCGTTCGGCTTCGTAGGTGGTGTCGGCGTTTCTGTGGCTAAAGCGGATGTGCGCGAAGAGGGCGGATGGCAGCGTGTAGATCTTCGAGTTTTTTGTGCATAGGTCACACGTGACGCAGATGGCCGACGAGGCCTCGCTTGTCTCTTCTGCGCTCGCCGGGGAAGGGCTGGCCACCGTCTCCGCCACCACTGTCTTTGTAGCTGGGGCTGCCTTCGTTTTCTCCCTCGAAGCAGCTGCGCGCGAGGCGGTGCTGTCTCCTGCCGGGGAGGCGGTGAGGGACGGCGGCGGGTGCTTGCCTTCCAGGTGGTTCAACAGATTCAGCTCCGATGCAAACACCTTCAAGCACAACTCACACGGAAAGTGATGGTCTCTGAATGAGAGGTGATTCGCTGCTGCTGCGGCATCAAGGTTTGGTGCATCAGCGGCCGACACTTTATCGGGGCAAACGCTGCCGAGAGCGGCCGGGTTACGCATGGTGGCGTCGACACGTGATGTACTCACTCCGATCTGCCGCGGAGCGAGCGCAACCGTCACGGCGTTGGTCTGCAGGACCGTCTTGACGCCGACCATTCTACGCGACGGCAGAAAGCGATTCGTACCGGCGTCTGGCGTCCCAAGTTCTCCGTCTTTCACAGTAAATCCTGTTTTGCCGTGCCCACCGCTTGCGGTCCACGATGTGCCTGGCTGCTGCGCGTTGCTGCTATCCGACATCTCTGCCTCTGCTGTTGCAGCTGCACCTGTCGTCTTCTTCGCAGCAGCGGCAGACGACGCAGGCGGCGGTGGCCCGACCAGCGACTCCACCACATCAAAATCCATCGTCGGGTGGTCCTTCGCTACGTGAAGGAGAAAGGCGTCCCTGGTGGGGAATGGCTCATGCCTGACGGTGCACCAGTTGCACGTGTACGCCCCGTCCGCGGTGATGGTCGGTAGAAAGGGACGGGACGTCTCATCCTCCGTTAACAGCCTCGATTCGCTCTCGGTGCTCCAAAGCTGATCCCTGCCCGACTTCAACGCGACGTTAAGAGGGGCTGCGGTGCTCTTCGACGGTGGTAAAGGGATGCCGATGACTCGCTCGTACAGATTAAGACGGGCGTTACACTGCTTCGTCCAGTAATCGACGTCCTCCTCCTTGTGTCGCGCGGTGATGTGGAAGAGCATGTCGCGCATGTAGAAGGTGTCGCCGCAGAGCGGGCACTCCGCGTAGCTCAGCGTCTCGTGGGTCATGATTTCTGGCTTCCAAAGTCGCGGCTTCTTGATCCCACTTCGGGTCCCAGGTGTAGAGGAGGAGGAAAGGGCCGCAACGACTGACGGGGTTGCCGGGGTACTCGAGACTCCGCGCGCGGCGGCGCACATGGAGGACGTCGACGCCCCGGTGACGAGGCGGCCACATAAGAGAGGAAGGGCGGCAGCAGAGAAGGGAGAATACCACCCCTGGCACTTCATCAAGACACCACTGCGCCGCGTGAGCTGGCGCCAGCCCGTCCGCTTCAACATGATGGCGTTCTCGTCTTTCCCCCTTCTCGGTGTTGGGAAAAAAAAGAGATCAGAAACGGCACAAGTGGAGGAGTACAAAAATATGAGGAGTTGCGTCTCCGATACCACAAATCACACACACACACAAATACAAACAACAGGTTCTCTGTTTCCAAAATAATAAAAAAAATGGTCACGCTACGCGCAGCACGAAGCGCTGCTTGTTGTGGAGCAGACAAACAGCAACGTAAACAGCGGGCTACAACAATTCGCCCTCACAGGTAGGTTTTTCTTTTCTTTTTTTAGAGACAGAAGAAGAAGAGTTGGAAAGGGGGTAAAAGAACGCCAAACACGTACGCGTTGGGAGGTGCGAGAAAGCGTAAAAACATCAACGAGAGGTGAAGCAACAGTGACCGGTCCTCGGACAGTTTTCCTGCTTCTGGTGCTGCATAGTATTATTATGATGATTCTTTTCTCTTCTTTGGTGGACGTACGTAGTCTTTCGGACCTGCGGTGAGAAGATGACAGCCAGCGGCAAATAATGAGGTAGAAAGCGCAAAGAAGAAGAGAGAGAGAAGTGCTCCAACATCATTAATGGAATAAAAAGAAAGGAGGAGAAAACACACACACCAACAAAACACACAAGAGGAAAGGATTTACACACACACACACACACACACACCAAGTTAAATGACCACGAGGATATGAGAAGCGTTGATGCGTGCTGCGAGGTGTTCTTCTTCTTTTTTGCGGAGAAGAGAAACTTATGGGATCGATCGAGCAGTCGCACCTTTTCCACCTAAGGGGTGCAGAGCGGTACCCGTTGATGACGTCCGCCTACACGGCACCTTCAAACTGGAAGTTGTCGCGACGCAAGGGCGCCCTCACGAAACAGCAGCGACAATGGAATGTAGCAGAGATACGCTCCTCAGTCAAGGTACTCCCACGATTCGGAATTGGCGGAGTTCTCTTTTTCGTCGTTACCGCCACCCGCCGCGGCACCGCCACGACCGTCTTGACTTTTTTCAATTCTCAGCGTCCTGCGCTTTGCTGGGGGTGCGGTCGATGACAACGGCACACCGCCCGGCGCGCAGTTCGTGCTGGGGCCGCTTCCGTCACAAGTCGTCTGCAGCGGGGAGATAAACGTCGCCTCGCCAAAGGTGCGTCGTTCCTGTCGCGTCCGCACGAGCTGCTCGAAGTCACGACGCGTCCGTTGCGCCTCTACATGGAGGAACTTGGTCGGGATCTGACTCTCCAGCCTCGCCCACTCCTCTCGCGAGCGTACGGCGAAGGCGACGAAGAGGGAGGTGTCGACGCGTGACCAGTGCACACAGCGCACATCTTGCAGACTGGGCGTTACGGTGGACATGGCGGCCGAGCTATTATTTGTCAGCGCCAGATGGGTGTGCTGATGTGGATCGAAGTAGAGAACCTGGGTTTGGTTATGCGCAAAAAAGTAGTAGCTGCGGCCGGGGATGCCGCCCACGACGCCGAGGCACTGCGGCTGCTCCATCAGCTTTTCTATTTGAAGGTAGCTTTCCTGCGTGAGGAACGGCGCCGCACTCACGCGAACCGCGGCGAGGACGAGCACGACCGCCGCCCCTTCTTTGAACGCGCGCCGGACTTCATCCGAGTAGATGCAGCCGTTGCTGGAGGTGACCACCGAGACGCGCGTCTCAAGTTGATGCGTTTGCATGGCGTCGTGCATGGTCTGTTTGACGGCTTCGCAGCCTTGTGACGGGCTCCAATACTCCGGCTTAAATGCGCGCCTGTTCCACACACGGCGGATCATGTTATGAATCGAGAAAGGAGCCGACTCGCCGCTGTGGTCGAAGAAGAGGGACAGTTTGCGGTCGGCTGGGTGGCCGTAGACGGCGAGAAAGTGGGCGAGCAGCATCTGCGTCGTGCGCAGCAGACACCCCCAGCCCTGGTCTGTCTCAACGGACCGCGTCACCGCCGCGATCGGCTCGAAACCTTCGCGGTAGGTGAAGAGGTAAAACTGATTCTGAAGCGCCTTTTCCAGGTCTTCCATGCACTCCACCACCGCCGCGTCAGAGCTGCCGACGATTTGGAGCGGAAAGACGGGCTCGGTGGGGAAAAATGAATCCCACATCCCTTGCATGTAGCGCAGCATGGTAGGCCCTACTGGATGGAGACTGGCGAAGGGACTAAACAATGGCAATACTAAAATTTAGTCAACGCGGCGTACCGTCTGCGCTGCGTATTGATTGAATTCGTAGACGCAGAAGGGAGTGAGCAGAAGAGGCAACTGAGCAGGGAAACCAAACAGCAGCAGGAAAAAAACCTTGCAGAGCCTCACCGAGAAGACAAAGAGCAGAGGAGCACAAGATCTACTTGGCAGCCGTCCTCGCTACTCGGTGCAGTGCGGACGCTCGGTGTGCGGGAGAGGCCGTTGTTGTACGCAATGCTTGGTAATGCATTCGAGACCTGCGAAGGTACGGCAAACGAGAGGAAACAAATCGCGTACATGTGAGAGACGAAGGAAAGAAGAAGAAAAAAAAAGAATTGAAGAAGAATGCACGCGGGCATTGCCAACGTAGCTCAGCAGAGACGAAGCCACGCGTTTCTTTTCTCTTCTGTTTGTTTTCGTGAGGGGTTCATTTCCGTCTACGAGATACGTTGTTTAAAAGCCGAGTACGGTTCGAGGAGACAGCGCGAGAGAGGGCGACACACCACCGAAGCGTGAGAGCGAGAGAGACAGACCACGGAATAATAATAAAAGCAACAACCCACTTCGATTGCTTCATAAATTCAGAGCTTATTTGTTTGTTTGCTTTTAAGTCGATTTGTGACATCCACCTATACAAGGCCATCGTGACGAGAGGGGAGAGGGGAAAAACACATCTCACCTCCCCCTCGAAAAAACAAACAAACAAACCAAGGGACGTACACATCTCCTTCACGCACACGAAAACACCCACCTAACAACATTGCGAACAACAACACAGAGGGCGAGATGACGCGTGCGAAAGAGAAAAGAGAGCACAACACTGCATGCTTGAGCACTCTACGCATCCGTAACGTGAACTTATAAGCGCAGCGCCTCGCAGGTGCCTTCGCGTGTGTGTGTGTGTGTGTGTGATTCGCTCTCTCTCTCCACTGTCTCGTCCCTATTCATTCGGATTAAAGACAAACTCCATTTGGTGCCGGTGGCGCGGGAAAAATGATCCAGTCAGACGCGACCCGGTGCGGTGCGTGTTCACGTATGACGTATGCCAGCGGCGCGCCGGGACGCGGATGTCACGACCCACCGCACACGCCACGCACCACGCTCGGCCATCCTTTGAGTAGAACTGATTATGCATAATGCGATACTTACAGTTCCAGCATTTAAAGCAATGCACGTGAAAGAAGTAGCCCTGCGTCGTCGGCACACGGGCGTTGCCGGAGGGCACCCAGACGTAGCTGTTGATGTCGTCCGCGGCGATCGGCTTGTCACAGTTGAAGCAACACGCTCCGTCCGGCACCGTCATCGGCTTATCTACGTCTTCGTTGTAGGAAGGGAAGTGCGGTCTCGACCGCGCCTCCTCGTGTGGGATGGCGGTCAGGTGGTGTGCCTTCGACTGCATCCACCAACGACGGCTGTGCTGGGTGCGCACCTTGTGGCCAGAGGTGGGCTTGCCGTGCATGCCGCGGCAAGGCATGTGGAGAGCTCCTACACAGGAAAAGGCGACCGAGATGAGCGGGCGCGTTGCCGCGGCGAGGCTGCGCGGAAGCAGCACCTGAACTGCGCGCTTCATCGAGCTAAATCAAACGAACAAAGATAAGAAGGAAGAAAACAATTAAAAAAAGGCTCTCGAGTAAGCTCCTTCGAATAGTTCCTGCCGATATGAACCCCAGCGAGGACAAGCACAACAGCAATCTATTGCTGACTTGATCCACAACTCATGCACCTTCGAAGACGCAGAAGAGCGTGTAGAAGAAAAAAAAAGATTCGAGTCACAACGGGAAGTTGGAAGGAGGAGGGAGGAAGGAGGAGAGGGAGAAGTGAATGGAAAACAACATTGACTCAACAGCTCGAGCTTTATTGCCGGAAGCCGCTCTTCACGAAGCTGCTCTGCGACGCCATTCCCAGTGGACCCAACGGGTAAAATAATGAAGGTGGAGAAAAATGCAAGGAAAGAGAGCAGCACCCGCTCCAGCAAATACAACTGCGCGTGCCGTGCGCACAAGTTCTCGCGTGCTCGGACGCTGAAAACTGACAGCTTTGCACATTTCGTTTGTTTCTTTCCTTTTGACCGAGAGACGTACCTGAAAACAAGGATCCCACAAGAACACGTGTCTGCCCCTGCTAGAAGGTGCATCGCGCTGCGTCGACGCCAGTGCTTCTGTGCCACAGGAAACGCGAAACGCAAAAACCTCGCAGCCACGGCTTAACGCGCCTCCGTGAGCAAAAAACACTTATAAAAAATAAACGTGCACAGACGCCGACACATGACATCAAGCAGCATACGAGGCGGCAGCAGTTGACGTGGAAGTAGATGTTATCGGCACGATGCGTACAAAAAATAATCGTAGGAGAGTGGACGGGGGTAAGAGAGAGAGAGGGAGGAGTAAAAGTAAGAGAAAAAACCAATAGAAAAAAAACACACCCACACAGGCTGAATAGGAACCATGGAATAAAAACAAGCAGTCATCATTCACCGGCGTCACAGTTGTTCCGTGTTTCCACCGAACGAGCGTCGCCTTACGATTGACTTCTGCGTTTGTAGGTTAGATTCTGAAAAAAAAAAAAATCTTAAAAAAAGGTAAAAAAACAAACACACACACAGAAGACTCCGAGAAGTGAGAGGTGTAGAAAGGAAGAAGAAGAGCACCACCGCGGCGTTGACGGTAGAGAGAAGACTCAACCAGGAAAAAGAAGAGGAACACAAGCGAGGATGAGGTAACTCACACGGTATAGGTGCGCAGCGGTGGTGGAAAAAAATAAATGAAGAGAAGAATCTGAAAGGAAAACCTTTGGAGGAAAGAGAATACTTCCTGCGAGTGCGAGAACCATTTCTAGTTGTCTTCCTCGCCCGTCACCAGTTTCTCCATCTCCCGTTCATAGCGCCTCCACGGGAGCAACTCGAGTGAAGGGGCGAACTCGCTGATCGCACGGAGGACGCCCAACGCGAGAGAGAGCAGGACGATGCACCCCGCCATGAGAAAACTGCTCAGCTCACCCAGTACGTTGTGTTTCTCTGTCGCGGTGAACGCTGCCGAGGGGGCTCGCACGACATACACGAGCGTAGGGGAACTTTCAAAGAAAGACGACGGCGGTATGCTGGGCGGGACACGCAGGTACGAATGAGGCCATGAAGGAAAGGGCACGGTGGACTCGCTGGCGGCTGTCGCTGTGCTGGTTACGCGAAGCGTCACAACGCAGTCGCGCGTAATCGTTTCTGTGAGGTTTAGCCAGAGCACAGAGGTGTTTAGCGCCGATCCGCTTACCCACGTGAAATCACGCGCTGCGCTGCCCTTCCGCTGATCTCCGTCACAATCCAGCTTTGAGGACACGGTGGCGCTGCGCAGGACGTATGCGAGGAACGCCAGCTGATACTCTGTCATCTGCGCCATCTTCAAAATCGAGTGCACTGCGTAGAAGGAGAGAAGTGCGTAGTCGTGCACGCCAATTGCAAACACCGTCTGATCGGTGAAGAGCGCTGAGTTGTTCTTGAGCGTGATGTCTGCGCCCGTTAGCGCAGGGGCCTGCAGACGCGTGCTGTAGAGTCGAAGGTCGGTGTAAGTGGGCTTTGTAATGCCGGACGTGGAATCCACAACGAACGACGGTGATGACACAGCAGCGGAAGAGGCACCGCCACCAAAAGCTGCTGCTCGTGCCTCACACGTCTCTCCTCCAAGTCCCGTTGTGTATCGCAGCATCACTGAAGTGTTGAAGTGCGCTTCGGCGGAGTAGTTTGTTGTCGTGGTGGGGCTGGTGAGGCCGAGGGTGCACAGTACGGAGGTACTCAACGACGTTGTCAGAGTTGAATCCGCGCTCGCCACGGCTGCCGCGGCGTACCAGCCGAGTGGAATACGCGCCGTGGTCGCGCTTGCTCGGTCGACCACATCACCGTCCACATAGAGAGTGCCCGCCGCTGTCAAGCTGCCCTGCGGCATGGCAGGACCAGCCCTTCGCACTCGACAGACGCTGATTGGCTGATTGGTGGCGGCGTCTGTTTCGACTGTCCACACTCGCTGAGGGACGCAGGTACACCTGTTACTTCCTGCCGTGGTCGCGATGTCCATCACCGTGTAAGCGCCCTTCATGCACACCTCGCACACTGCATCAGAGCGAGACGTCGGCAGAACACCGTAATCCGGGCGGCACACACCATCCAACCCTTTTGTAGTCCGCAACGCCAAGGCGTGGAGGGTGCTGCTGACGCTTGACGCGACGGCGGGCGCGATGGAAACGTAATGGGCCAGGTCCAGCAGCGAGGTGAGCTGCGCCACCTGTTCAGCTTGTGCGGCGGCCCGTGCGGATGCCTGTGCGTGCCAGGAGTTCTCGGCGGATTGTAGTGTGTCTTGGAGAGGGTGGATGAGGGAGGCAGCGGACAAGACACGCGTCACCATCCCTGGTAGATAGTCGTAATAGAGAGGCAGGGTAACGCTGCCTGAGGCTGCATGAGACGCAGAGGCCGTGGTCGAGGGCGTGACGAGAATCCACTGGCGCGATTCCGCGTAGCCCGCAACCCACCCGCCCACGGAGAGAAAGAAAGATGCGTCTGTCGACGCTGCAGCTGAGTTGGTGCCCATGTTTGTCGTGGTGGCTTCTGGTGTCATCATTGTTGTGGTGGGTGCTGCTGGTGCCCATAGAGGCCAGTCCACCGTCACAGATGTGGCCCCCAGCGGGGTACTGCTGCCATCCACGTAAAACGCGATGGTGTTTGTCGCACGGTTCAGCACAGCTCGATAGGTCGACGTGCTCAAGGGTGCAGTGGCTGTGTTGCTCGATGACGGAGACCACAACCACGCCGAGCTCAAAACGACGAGAGACGAAGGCACAGAAGTAGTGGAAGTAGTAGTGGAGGAAGAGGCTGTGGTGAAGTCGACTGTGCTCACCGAAGATGCTGCTGGTGCTGCCGCTGTTGGCGGAGTGGCGACCGAGAGGTTGAGCAGGAATTGCAGACTTACCGTGGCGTTGTCGCCATCGCTTGTCTGAGCAAAGGTGGACACGAGATACCACGCCAAGACGCGTTCGGCGTCGCCTGCACTGCTGTCGTCCGACGAGATCCTCTGCCAGGCGACCAGCTCATGTGCAACGGTAGATGTTGGAGTGGCGGGGCCGTTGCCCGTCTGCTCCTTCAGGGACGGACGCAGTGCGGCGTGCATAGCGTACATCTGCGTTGCGTTGAGCTGCACTTCCACCTCCCACGTCACACCACTGCGGGAGAGCAAGGGAGAGAGCGTGGAGGCGGCGGCGGCAACGGGTGCATCGAGGTGAAAGAAGGGCCGCGGCGGCGCAAGGCCTGCCGCCACCAACGCTTTCAGCGTGACAGCGGAGGACGTCGCGCGGTGCAGCAGCGTAAAAGGACACGTGAGGGGTGCGTTGGTCGTCCCGCTGCCCACGAAGGCGTACAAGCGTGTCTGCGAACGCACAGGCGCCGCGGCGGGAAATAGGGAGGTCGGCTCCCTACACGGTGAGAGCCCGCCTCCGTTGTACACATCCACGTTTCCCGTCGCGGCGGTGTTGTAGTACGTGCCGCTGACTGACAGGCAGCTGTAGTTCATGGGCGCGGTGTAGACGTTTGCACACGCGTAGCGGCAGATAGCGTAGGGTCCTGTCTGGCCTTCGTCGGTACTACCCGCGTAGACAGCATCGACTGGCCGAGGAGGGCAGCCGTGCAGGAGGCCATCTCCTGGGCAGTACACCGGGACCGCCGCCCTGGCGAAGGCAGACCGGAGTGCAGCGCACGCGGAGGGGCACGTAGCACACGCCGCATCTTCTTCCAGGACGTAGGTGCCTGCCGGGCAATCGTAGATCCAGTCCCCCCCTCTTCCCGAGACAGGGCTCTGTGTCCCGCTTGTGCACGAGTCGCTGAGGGGAGCCGAGGAGGGAGCGGGCGTAAAGAGGGAGGTCTGTGCGGTGAGAGCGAGCGCGCTTTCTTGCACCGCAAACCACTGAAGGGACTCGCGAACAGCCCCGCCCACGACAGGCAGCGCCACGACGGACTCGTATCGGGTCATGCCAGGAACACTACCAGCCGACGACACGGCAGACAGCTGATCGAGCTCGAACAGCACAGTGAAGTTCTCGGAAAGGCTGACCGACGCATCGCGCGTCTCCAGGAACTGCCGCACGCAGTCGGATGGGGAAACCACCGTGGTCGACGTGAGCGGGGTCGTCGGATCAAGGAAAGACGCGAGACACCTCACAAACGACTTTTCAAGAGAGGTTGATAGGGAGCTGGACAACGCGCGCACCTGGGCGGAGGTCGAGCTCTGAAAAGCGGACGCGCTGTTCATCGCCTCTGTGACGGAGGCGGTCCTCATCGTCTGCCACGCCCATGAATCGGATCGGTCTGCCACGTCCAGCCAAGCCGAGGACACGACTTGCAGGAAGGCTCGGTCGAGGAGGGCGGTAAGGGAGAAGAGGTTTGTCGTGGTGACGCAGTACGCACTGTGGATGAGATGGAAAAGAAGATCGTCTGTCTGCGCGACGTTGCCGCCGCTGCTGGAGCTGCGATGTATGGCTGCAAGAGACTCCGCCAGACCGTTTAGGGCAGCTTCCATGAAGTGTGCAAGTCGGGTCACGCTCAAGTCGTCTGGACTGTAGCGCAGCGGCAGCCATGCATCCACCAAGGGGCATGACGTCACCCGCACAGGCCCCGCGACACCGGTGATGGAATACCCGGACACATTCACGGAGGCATTCACCTTGAGGGAGGGTGCGATGCCACCTCTTGTCAGCGTCGCCACCGCGAACCGATAGAACAGGTTCCACTTGCGCCGCAACTGAGGTCCGTAGGTGTTCCACAGATAGGTATTCCACTCCGATGCAATGGCTCTCTGCATGTCTGAAACTTCGTCAGCCTCGGTGAGAGCCGCAGCGCTGGTGTGAAAAACACGAGCGGCTTGCATGGCGGTGTGGAGAACGTCGAGGCTGCGGGGGACGACAGTGCGCAGCCACGCTCGCTGGGGAAGGTAGTCGTTGAGAAATGTGGCGAACAGCTCCGATGCACTCAACCCGCTCGCCGGGAGCGACGCAGTGGTCTGCGCGGGTTCCGCTGTCGCTGACGCTTCTGAGGTGAGCGCGTCCGCGGTCCAGTTCAGGTCCAACGCGTCCTCGCTGCCCAAGGCGCATTGAGCAGCCTGCGACACAAAACCGGCGATGCACGCCTCGGTGTCCGTCCTTGTGGGCGACGTCAACGGGATCGACGCTGCGGCTGCGAGGGAAACGTAGCAGCGGCGCTGCAGGTCGAGTTGGCCGCGCACGCTCGCTGCAGTGTTGTCTGCAGTGACGCCGTACAGTGGACTGAACTGCCGGTCGAACATGGCGAAGGTGAAGGGTGCCGTCACCAGGCTCGGCGAGGTGCGGGTGTGGATGCACACAGGGCGCAGCGAGCGTGTGCGATTGGCGTCGAACCCGTCCATAGCGTAGGCGTACCCTCCAGTGCCCCACACAGGGGCCAGTACGGCTTCTGTAAGTTGGACAAGGTTCGAGAAAGCGGCGGGGTCCAATGCACGCTCCTCAACTTCTTCCGTTGCCGCCGTCACCGTATAATAAGGAGACGGGACAAGGGCGTCGCAGAGGAGCAGCGCGAGCAACGCCACCGCGCACGCGCCTGACGCTCTTCGCAGTGATTGCATCTCGTGTATATACGTTTCTCGCAGAAAGCAGCAAAAAAGAACAAAAATAAAGTACAAAAGAAATCAGAGGGATGGTGAATTGCTGATAAGCAAAAATAATTAGGATCAGGCTGTTTGCCAATAATAATAGTGATAAAAGATAATTATATATTCATATATAAATAAGCGTTACCGAGCCTGTGCGTAAATGAGAAGGAAGACTTAAGTGTGTGTGTGTGTGTGTCTGTTCGTGGGTGGCCCACGCAGCGCGCAAACGATCACCGGGAAAAACGAAATGGGAGCAGCACACTCAAGAAGGAAAGAAAAAAAAGAAAGAGTACGGAAGTGGCGTGAAAGGAAGACACTAGGTGTTACAGTACACCCCCCCCCCTCACACACACAAAGCATTTACGAGAGCCATAGGTGGATTCGCCAAGAGCATGCAGCTCCTGCCAATAAAAGATCTCGTCATGCGCGACAGTTCAAAGGTGTTAAATGGAGCTGAAACCAAAAACAAGTTGGCGATGCAAGTGCTCCAGAGTGGATCACAAACACACACCGCCCTTCTTTACGCGTAAATGAATGCCGTGGGTTTGATGCGCGATGCGCCGCCCGCGTTGAGGCTGCTTCGTCCCTTTCTTTTCCGTTTTCTGTAATTACACGTGGGCTGACGTTTAGGAAGTACACGCAAAACAACAACAACGTTTGCTCTGTGGACTCCGTCAGACACCAGCCGTAGGCATGTTTGTGAACGCATCTCATAAGGGTCGAGGACGAAGAAACGACGCGCTTATGTGCTGACACGTCGCTGGCAATAATCGAAACAACGTATCTGCGTAGAATAAACGACAACACAGCACATCGCACCAACTCGGACGCAAAGTCCCCAACTTGCGCAGGCAGGCAAACGCACACCACAAAAACCTCCAGTAAAGCAACACCCGCTCTCAACGCGCTGAATTGGAAGCGCGAAGGTACAAGATCGCGAAGTACGACGTTTCCATCCCCGAGCAAACACACTTCCGTTCAAGAAGAAACATTCACGGCCACGTAAAAAAAAAAGAAAAGGAAAAGGAAAACAGGAATCTGCACTTGCAAAATCACACTCACCAACAACACCTGGACGCACATTCACAAACAAACGTATAACCAAAGAAAAAGCACCGAGGAGGAATGTTTCGGGTCCAATTGGTTCACCAAAGCAAGTAAGCGCAACATGTAAGAAGTAATGTGCTCGAGAAGCGGAAGCAGGCCGTTGTATAAACTCTATAATATCTCGCACTTGCGTTTGCTCGCTGTTCGCAGCTTCCATTCGTCTGCAAGACCTTCGCGGCATCTCTGACATGCATATGTATAAATATATATCGAAGAGCTGCGCCTACCAAAGACGCGGTGACAAATGATTTCGCTCCTCCTGCGCGACTTACTTTACCCAGCTCTTACTGCAGGTACTCTTTCTCTAGCAGCTGGTGATCGCGCTCGTCCACAAACGTTAGCGACTCCCCCGACCATTCGTCCAGCTCCCCTTCCCCTAACAAGCTGTCCCACAGAGATGCGTCGTACGGCGTGTCTGCCTCATCGTTGGAGTCCCAGTAAAAATGTGTTAGTCGGTCTGCATTGACGTCTTGCACGTCGAAGAAGGTGTTCGAGCTGTCTTCAGTGTTGCTGTCGTGCGGGTTCGGCTTCTCGGCGTAACGGCGCTTCGTCTCCGCCAATGTAGCGGGGAAACACAAGGCGGAAGACTCAAACGAGTTGCTCAGTCCACCAGAGAACGTAACGGCCAGAGAGTGCGACCTGTGGGCGGTGTGGTAGGGTCGCACGCCGCACAAGGACGCAACAGGGACCGTATAGGTGGTGCGGCGCATGGCACCCTTTGCGCCCGTGACAGATAACGGAGCGCGCAGCATGGTGGCGGTGCGTGTGTTTGAAAGTCGAGGGTGACGGTGCTGTCTAAGCTGCTAAGGTATAATAAGAGCAATCTGGAGAAGGAAGCAATCAGAAACTCTCAAACCAGGTCGAGGGAGCGAGGTGGCATAAAATAAATGGAGTGCAGATCGCGCTTCTAGAGAAAAAAAAACAACACATATAGAAGTCTACTCCCGCGTCTGCGCCGCTCAACCGCACACGTCTATAAGGAGGAAAGAAAAAAGAATCAAGCGAAGACAACAAACGTAAATGCCCTTCACCTTTCTTTTTCTTCTTCTTGCAGCGGTGTGTTTGTATAGTTTGCGGAGGTTGTGGAAAGCCACCAACCGTCGCCTCTGCGTTGAGAATGGCAAGAGATTCAAGGAGCGATGAAAGTCTTTGAGAACCTGCTAAGGACAGCGAGGAAGGAAGGGGAGAAGGAGGAAGGACAGCGTACGATAACGCAAAACTTGCTGCTGCTCTTGCGCTTCAAACACTACCAGCAACGGTAGAATTGTATATCAGACATCTATCAGCTTGTGTGTGTGTTGGTCGCCGTGGAAGAGAGCGAGCGCGCGAGACCAAATCCACACACACACACACACACACATACACCGACACCGAGACACCGACACCACGCACCACAAAGTGCTGTTGGTCAGTTCCTGGCGGCGAGCACCAGAGTTGCGTGGAGCAAAGACGCGGAACACGGAACCTATGTACGCTGGAGTGGTCTTCACGGCACCTTAAAATAAAAGAGACTATTACGGGACTTGCTCTCCTGCCGCAAGCAGTGCGGATGAACACATTAAAGGCAACAAACGAACAGGTTAAAAGTGTTGAGGGTGCGAAACGAGAAATAAAGAAACTGCAAAACGGCAAAAAGTGCGGTAACGCTCACGCACACACACAAAATACCACTCCCATGCAAATTACACCGTCCTTTCTTGTTTACGCATCTAGTCCTCATCGCTGCTGTCGAAAAGTTTCGGCTTCGCCAGCGTACTCATCGCGGACGAAGGAGGTGGCGGCGGACCTGCTTTACTCGCTGCACTACGTTGCGCCGACGCCGGTGACGGACGATGCGACACACTAGCCGCTCCTCCCGCGTTGTCCTCGCTATCGTCATCATCATCATCATCATCATCATCATCATCATCATCGTCTTCACCGGAGCTCCCGCCGAACATGTACTTTGGTTTCTTTGGCTCAACAGAGGCCGGAGCTGCGTCTTGGGTTGCATCTGTTTCTGCTGCCGCTTCGTCATCCATTTTAAAGGCGGCGATCGTGGTAGTGGCGGCGGTGGTGGTCGGTGGTGCGCGCGATCTTGTGGCGTGAGGAGGAGGAGGAGAGGAGGATGCCGCTGAGGAAGAAGACGAAAAGTCCGACGATGCGGGAGAGTTGGACGACGCTGGCGCCTTTTCGGCCTCGTCGTCGTCGTCGGACGGGAGAGGCGGCGGGGCGTCGCGGTCGAGGTATAGCGCGTCCGATGGCTTCTTCTCAGATGGCGCGTGTGGGTGCGGTCGTGGCGGTGACGGTGAAGGAGGCGCAGCGCCGGCCTTAGCCTTGTTCTCTGCTTCATCCTCCACGTCTGACGGCGGCAGTGGCGGAGGCACATCGGAAAAGACGACGTTGTCTCGCAATGGATCTGCACTGCTGTTGCTGCGGCTGCGGACTTCGAGAACGGCATACGCGGGAACGTCGCGTCGCACACGCGGGGGGTCGGTGAGGGTGAATGCTGGTACAGTAGAAGACTGCGGTGGCGGGGTCGGACCCGCATAGCGCGGTGGCACTCCCTCCCCCATTCCCTCCGGCGATGGTTCAGGGTTTATCCAAGCCGTTGGTGCAGATGCAGGCGTGTCCGAAGATATCGCTTCCTCTGCACCGTTTCGGTGGACCACTTCGTTCTTCAATTCGTCGGCTTCCGTTATTGTGTTCACCGCTGTCGTGGAGGGGGGAGGGGGCGGAGGATGCTCATCCGCTGACGTCGGCGGTACGGGCGGCTCTTCCGCAAACGCCGTAAGAGGCGGCGGAGGCGGTGCGAGTGCGGCTGCTGCTTCTCTCCGGATTCCTCCGAGTTGAGTAACCGCCTCACGCTCCAGCGTGTGCCGCGCTTCTGCTTCCTCTGCACACGCGCTCACTTGCTGCGTGCGCCGCAGCACCGCCTCCTCGACGCCGCGGTGGGCGTACGCAAACTGAAACCTGATACCGCTGCTGGCGGTGTAGGCCTCCGCCTCGAGGCCAGCACGGACGGCTTCCTCTTCTTCCTCCAGCATTTGAAGAGCAGCGGCGCAATCCACGACCCACATTCGCAGCGCATCCGCCGGCAAGCGACCGCGCAGCTTCGACTCTTCCACGACGATGTCGTCGCGGTCCTTCATCTCGTCTTGCAGAAGCGCAGCTTGGGCGCGTAGCTGCGCGGCGCAGAGCTGCATCACGGCGTCGCCACCGTCCACGTACGCCTTCCACAGCGCCTGCCTCTCCTGCGCCTCCGCCGCCTTGACCGCGTCCTGTGCGGTGCGCTGTGCGGCCAGCCAGTCCTCAATCCCTTTGATCGTGACCCACCACTGCTGCTGCAACGCGTACCGGGCTCGCGCTTCTTGCACACACAGGTCAAACAGCTTGCGGCTGCCGTGCTGCTGGGCGTAGAGCTGGGCAACTGCCTCCAGCGTGGCAGCGTGGGCCGCCGTGACAGGCTGCGCCCATTCATGCTCAAAGTGGTAGTCTGCGCCCTTTTCGTACATGTCCACCATGTCCGCCGAGATCCACTGCAGACGCTGCTCCACGGATTTCGTGCGACTCTGCTGCCACAACGACAGCTGAAATTGCAGGTCCACCCGCACCAAGCCATCCTCGCCCTCTGCGTCGTCTGCGTAGCTCTTCGCCTCCGCTGCTCGTACCGCCTTCATCATCGCCAGCAGCTCCTCACGCGTGCAGGGGTGGGTAGCGTAGCTGACCAACGTGCGCCAGTGCTCACTGACCGTGTCGCGCACCGTGCGACAACGCGTCTGCCACTGCGCCAGCTGGTACTGCTGCTGCGTCTGCTTGCGCGTCGCATCGGTGAGCAGCGCTTCCATCTCGCTCACCTTTCCACCGAGTGTCCTGCGCAGCGCCATCGCAGACTCGATCGAGCGGCGCACCTCCTCCTTCGTCGTCTCCACTTCCGCTTTGGCCCGCTGCAGGTTCAGACGCAGTTCGTCTTGGTGGCCAAGCAGGTCCGTCTCCGCCGCCTGTCGGCCTTCCGCCTTTCCATCGCGCAACCCACGCGTAAACTCCTCCTCGGCCAAGCGATGCCGATCCACCTGGAACTGACGCTCCCGCGCGTCGAGTTCGTGCAGGATGTCCTGCCGGAGCAGCTCCGAGTCCTGCGCACGGTGGTGCCGTTCTTCTTCCATGATTTGCACGTAGCGCAGCCGCTCCTTTTCGGCCAGGCCCCGCGCGGTGGTGAGCTGACCCTCTGCCACCCGTTGCTGCGCCAGCGCCTTGTGAAGGCTTTCTTGCGTCGCGGCTGCCTTCGCCTTCAGGGCCGCGTTGCGGTGGCGTTCCTCGCTCAGCGTCTCGCCCATCGCAGCGAGCCGCTCCGCCATGCTGTTCACCTCCACCTGGTGGATGTCGCGCTTCCCCTGCACCTGCCGTAGCTCTTCGTTTGACACGTCCACCGTGCGCTGCAGCGCAGCGATGTGCCGCTGAAAGTCCTCTTGCTCCTGCCGCTTCCGCAGCAGCGCGTCCTTGAGCCGCACCAGTTGACGGTCCTTTTCCAGCCGCGCATCCATTGCCTTGGTGGAAGCGTTGTTCTTCGCCTCCAATAGCTTCTGCGATTCGACTGTAGCCCTGTCGATACGCTGCTGCAGCGCCTTACCGCGCGAGTCCAGCGTGTGAAAGAGGCCATCGCACGCGTCGAGTTGGGCCTGTGCGGTCTCCTCCTCCGCCACCACGCGCTGCACTTGCTCGAGCAGCGCCTTGTTGCTGAGCAGCGACGGCTTCGGCCGCTCCACGTGCTGACGCCACTCCTGAGAGAAAATGACGGCCACGTCGTGCACGTCGCGCGCACTTGCCACGGCCGCGTTGACACCCAGCTCGACTTTGCGCAACACGGACATGTGCTCTGGCGGGATGCCGCTGGGGCTGAAAAAGGCTGGCAGGGTAGAGGTGGCGGCTGCGGCGGACGTTATTGCTGGAAATGTCGACACAGGGGCGACAGCGGCGTTGGTGGAGTCCACAAGCGTCAGCGCATGCGCGTTCGATGCGTTCTCCGCCTCCGCCGTGGCCGCATAGACAGCTGGTGGGGCTGATGCGACGGGAGATGCACCGTTCTTGCCGCCTTCTGCCGCTGCTGTAGCCGTTGCGGCGTTGACCTCCTCACCTTCTCGCACGTGCTCGACACGCAGCAGCTGCACCAAATACACGGCACCCTCCGCCGCCACCGCCGTGAGTGCGTCAGAAACACGCGTGGTGTAGCCCGGTGGGATGACCAGAACGCGTCGGTCATCTTCCCGCATGCCGAGGACGCTGCCCTCGAAGCCGAGGCAATGGTGACTGAGCTGCACCGCGCTGGATGTCGGCTGGAAGACGTACGGCGGTGACCCGTCGTGGCCACCGCGTTGCTCCTTCATGGCACCAACAGTGCAGATGCCGTCTTTCTCCCGCAATTCAAACCCACAAAACGACATCGACGCCCTGTCAGCCGCCTGCAGCTGCAGAGAAGAGGACGGTAGGCTTAAATCTTGGTGGAAAACGGTGGTGGCGGGGGCGCCGTACAACGTGTAGAAAGCTACCCCAACACACGCGAGGAAGCGAGCCAGCTGCGCCTCCTCCGCAAAGAACAACGTCCAGCGCTGGTTTGTGTCGTCGGTGAAGGAGACGTGCCCCGACGGGGCCACGATGAGGCGGAGAGAGGTGTTCTGCCCGTCTACCCAGTTCATGCGTGCGACGCAGTAGGTGATCTGCTGCGCGTTGTAGCATACGAGGGTGTACTTGGGCGGGCGAGACGGCAAGACGACGACGGCGCACACACACGCTCCTTTGGTGGTCGAGGCGCCGCCGTCGCCGATGGAGAACAACTCCACCGGGATGGCGCACACTGTCTCCTGTTTCATGGGGAATGCGCAAATCACCAAGAGCAACCGCAAAGAGTTACGATATGGTTTTGTACTGCAGATTTGAGGTTAAGGAGGTGTGTAAGAGACGGAGAGCACAAGTTGTTTAATACATCTATATATGTTCATGTAAAGGTACTTCGTTCAAGCGCACGGCATGCAGACCTGGCTCGTCGGAAACAACGGAGGAGGTGAAACCAAACTCCTTCTGCGCAGAGGAAAGAGAAAGCGCAGGAGCTCATCGAATGATGCTCTCCAGTGCCATAGCTTTCAGCCCCGAGTTACCTTCATTTTTCTTGTTAGCTTCGCCATACGTACGAGGAAATCACCGATAGAAAACAAAAAACATTTCTTTTGAGAAAAGGAACAATAACAAACGCACAGCTCGTTGGAGTACAAAACACAAGGAGAAGAGAGGCGTCGCACAAACACACGCACACGAATGTGTGAACAAAGGGCACACCACCGCCCAGCGACGATAATATCCACACATCCCTACAGCACACGTGTGACGCGAAAAAAAAGGAGTTCGACGCAGTTTCTTTCGCGTAACAGCACATAAAAAATATCTACTGCAGAGACGCGCAAACAAAACAAGAGCAACAGAACAAAAACACCCTCAGGCGCGTATCGTGCAAAACAAAAGTCCGCGCCTGCTTTGATCCATAGTGACGGGGAAGGAGGCAGAAGAGAAAGAGAGAAGATGACGAAAGAGAGAAAAACGGATAGCGCAGCGCAACTCCACACACACACACACACCCACACACAACAAACAAACTCTTTCAAAGATGGACTTAAGCGCCGAAAAGGTCGTCCTCGTTGATTGCGGCTGACGGCTTTGTTGGTGAGGCAGAGCTGCGTGTCGTGGGCAGCGGGCTCGTGTTCAACTCACCAAAAAGTTCATCGAACTCGGCATCGATGTTGGCGGCAATCTGCGAGGCGGACACTCTCGGCACTGCTCCAGCGCTGGCCGGTTTGCCTGCCCCTGTCGACGGCGGCACCGTGACTGGCGAGACGGCGGCGGGGGGCTCAGTCTTCGACGACGCCACAGCATCCGTTGATCCAGCTTGCGCTTGGGGCTCGCGGTCCGGCGTTGAGACCACGTCTGCAACCGGCGGTGAGCTCGACCCATTTGCTGGCGTCCCATCCACCACCGTCGCGGTGACGACGGTCGCGGTGGGAATCGATGGTGCTGGTGCTGTCGTCGCCGTCGTTGTGGAAAGGGGCTGCGGGGTATTCACCACTGTACCGCGCATGGGGCGTGTCGGAATAGACGTGATGAGGTCCAAATCATCCTCTTCGCCAACCTCACCGAGAGAGAAGATTTGCTGCTGCTGCTGCGGCGGTTGCGAAGACGGGTGGGCGGCTGCGGCCACCTGTGTCATGGACGATCGCGTCTGGGCACCCGCAAACGTAGACGAGGCAACACCATCAGCACCAGCACCAGCCGCGGTGGCCGCCTGGGCCGAGTTCACCTTGGTCGCCACCGAGGAGAGGACCGAGGACGCGTGCTCGCGGGTTTCGCTGAGGCCCTCGCGCAGGCGCTGCATCATCCCCCAGCCCCACGTCCCGGCCGCCGCCACGCTCTCCTTCGCCTTCGACCCGAACTCCTCCGCTTTTTGCCGCACCTCGGCCGTCTCGACGTGCGGCAGCAGCTCGGAAATCTCGCTCAGCTTCGCACTGATGTTGTGCGCCGTGTTGGAGGCCTGCTGGCCCCAGTTCACGCCGGTCGATGTGGCCGTCGAGTCGAGAGAGGCGGCCGCTGCGGGGCTCAACACGGCATCGATAACGCGGTTGCGCAGCAGCGGAATCGTTGTCTTGAAGCCGCCCGGCACGATGCAGACAAATGGAAACGCCTTCTTGTTGATCAGAAATAGGGCAAGCACCTTCAGCAGATTCACCTCCTCGACGATCGGCCGACCAGTACCGAAGAGCGCCAGCGCACGACCACGGCACGACTCTAACCGACGCATCGCCTCCTCCAGCTCCTCTTGCTGGTAGCTAAGGACATCACCGACGAGGATCGCCGTGGGTAGGCGTACGTAGTTGAAGCTGGCAGCGGAGCGACAGTCCACAATGATGTACTCGCGCGACGGCAACTCCGCCTCTGCCTCCCGCTCGTCTGTCGAGCTTCTGCCCCGCTTGGCAAAGGCGGATGCCAAGTCCGAGCGCTCCAGCGGGAGACACGGCGTGTTGGCGTAGTACTGCTGCAGATCCTCTGGTGTCTTGTTCAGCGTACCCACGTCAGGGTAGAGGCAGAAGTCCAGCATGCGCTGCGTGGACAGCGGGGTGACGCGGTAGAGCAGATCCGCATTTTGGAGCAGGGACTTGCCGCTCCAGACCGGCATGAGGGCGGTCGCGCGGCCGTCGACCAGCTTCGGATCCACCGCCTCGCTCTTGGACCCTGGCAGTACAAACCGCACTTCACGCAAGCACACCGTCAGCTCCTGCTTCGTCTGCAGCGACAAGAGATGCTGCCGGTGTGTAATGAGGTACGCCTGTGCCACGTATGGGATCATAACCGGATCGCCCAGAATAAGTACCCAGTCCAGCACCTTCAACGCCGTCTCGTAGTCAGCGTGCAGGACCAGCAGGCGACGCGACCACTCCAGCACGAAGCTGCCCACCTCCACCTGCTGCTGGTCCATGTGCGTGGCAAGCGTCGGATCATAAAACTGCAGCGTCAGCCGAAGCAGCGCCGTGGTGGCCGGCTCGTACAGTCGCGAGGCCGTCGACACCAAAAAATCCTTCTGCAGGACACACAGGAGCTGATAGAGGATGCGAAGCAGCGTGTTCTTGTCGGTGGACCGGCCACCGGCGACGACGTAGGTCACACACAAAACCACGTCGATCATCTCTGGGTTGAAGTAGAACGCCGTCTCTGCACCAAGGTGGTAGAAGAGGCCGGCCAGTTCGTCCACCGTGATGTGCAGCGACGGCGAAAAGAGTGCGGCGGCTTGCTGCGCTACGGCGATGTGCGTCTCGAGCGCCTTCTCCGTGTACGCCGTCCACGACTCGGGCAACACTGTCTTGCCATCGTTGCCGTCTTCCAGTAGCAGAAGCGTGTAGAGCCGAAGGCGCTGCGGCCGAGTCAGGACATCGGAGAGGTGCGGGACGCGCATGCACATTTTTTGCACGGAGCGAAGCGAGGTGGTCGCTGTGGCGACGTCGTCGCTGTCGAGCACCTGCATCAGCGCTGCCAGCGCGCTCTGCATCCGAGCCTGTGATGCTGACGTGGACACACTGGTGTCTGGTGGGACGTTTTCGTCTGCCGTAGCGGACGAGGTGGCAGTGGGGGCGGTGGCGACCGACTCCATTGTTGCGTCGGGTGCGTTTGTGCTCGCGTCTTGCGGTGCGGCTTCAGCAAGGCTGGTCCTCCCGTGGTCCTCTTCCGCCGCCGGTGTTGAGGAGGCCGCGACCTTGCCAAGCTGCGCGTCGCCTTGGTCGCTGCTCATCTTGTTTGCTTACAACAACAATAAAAAGAACAGTATATATGTGATCTTTAATAGCCAGCCTAGGCTTCCAACAAGGGAATTCAAAAAACAGACACGGTTGCGGGAAAGCGCTAGCGAGAAGCTAAAGCAGATGAGCGTGTTGAGTGCGTCGACACAGCAGACAGCAAAGTAGATAAATACGTATTCTTTGTACCACTGTAACTGCTGCAGAAGTCCTACGGCCAGATAAGCAAAGGAGAAATAGAGAAAGGGTAGGAGGGGAGGAGGGCAAAGAACATAAAGTTTAATCCTCATCGTTATTATTGTTCTCCCTCGCTTTCGTATGCTCAGTAAGTGGAGGTTCTGCGATATGCAGCGTGACACACACACACAGTCACATACACACACCCATACGCATACACATAATCACCTCCGTTGGGGAACGCAGTACAGGCCCAACGGAATATCACGCGATGAACAGAGAAGGCAGGGGTGTAGATGCACCTAACAACAGCGCCGTCGTGCCTTTTCCCTTTTCTTCTTGCTTTGATCGCAAACGGTGGAGAGGCGAACTGACTGAATGTCCGGGGGGTGGGGACAGACGCACTGAAAGAGAGAGGGAGGGATTAGAAGGAGCAGAACAGACGAAGAGAAGAAAGAAGAAAAAAGGTGTATCTAAAAGGCAAGATACTCGTGGCCATCGTCAAATGAACACCCGCCACCCGATCGTTTTCTCTGCCATCTCCGCTTTCATGAAAACTAACGGCTGGCGCAAAAGCTGGCCATTTGTAAGAAAGCCTCTGCATCCGCGTCGTCGGTCAGCAAGCTGTTCTCGCATTCTTTCCTTGTAATAGGCGGCACATTGTCGCACAGCTTCCAGAAGTCATCGTGGTTGCCACACTGCTTCGCTGCTGTCGTCAGCTTGCCGCAGAAGTTGTTGTAATATGCCGCATCCTTTTCCGCCAAGCACCACGCCCGCAACGCCGCCATGCATGCTACACATTTGTGGTCGAGAGAACTCTTCGTGCCGACGCTGCCGCCGCTCGCGCGCACGAGCTCCATGACCGCGTCGCACAGCGCATCCTTCGCGTGACGGATCTGCGCCGCCTGCACGTTGGGCTGCGTTACAACGAAATGGAAGCGCGTGACTGGATCAGCAGAAGAGACAGAGCCGGGCACGGCCGCGCTGGCCACATCTTCGTGCACCCTGTGTGGGACAGTAGAGGTGGTGGTAGCACGATCAGACGGCGCAAGGGACGAGGATGTGCTCGATGCAGAGAGATCGTTTCTCTCACGTCCCCGAAGCAACATGGGGGCGGCCGCCGTCGACGCTGAACGGGAGGAGGCAGAAGTGACCGCCTCCGCATTGCTAAAGATCCGTCGCTGCTCCAGTTGGGTTTGAGGCCCACCTTCCGCTGCGAAACCTTCTCGGCGGTTATGCCACAACGGAACGTTACTGCGTAGTCCTCTTCCCCCCTGACCCTCTTCTGTTCCATCTCCCTTGCCCATTTCAGTGGAAGCTACCAAGGTGTTTCTCTTCACATGAAAACTGTTTTCATCAGCGTCGTCATCGGCGTCCTCTTCGTAGGGGAAATGGGCTGCACAGACTTCGAGGTCATGGCGGTGCTTCCGCATGCGTGCACACACGACGCTGTCTTCCACGAAGAAGTTGGTTGAGTTTCCCTGCAGCTGTGCCGGCAACCGAGGAACCTCTACTGGCGACGTAGCTGCTGTAGACGTTGATGTGGCTCTCGACATCAGCTTTGCCTCCAGGATGGCATAAAACTGTTGCAGTACGGGATTAAACGTGTCTTGCGGGGTCAGCACCGTGTCGTCGACCGTCAACCCGTCAATCAGGTCATCCATTTGCTGCTCTTCCGCGGCGGTGAAGCGAAATTCGGGGTACTCTGAAAACTGAAACCCCCGAATGTCCTCCGCAAACGGCAACGGCGCCATCACCAGGCAACGCGGGAGGTCCCCACCGTCGTCGCACCGCTGCGCAAAACACGCACACAAAACCGGTGCCGCATCCGACACGCGCACGAGGCGCACGACCATGGCTTTGCCCATCGCCTCCATCGCTTCCACGAGGGCGTTGTAGCCCCGCTGGCCTTGGTGGTCTCCAGCGAGGGGGAGGAGGGTGCGCGTGCCGCCCATCAGGAGGTACGGCGCCACCTCCGACGCCGCCACAAACGCGATCGCCTGCAGCGCACGCTCGCCCTTTACTTTCATCTTCGCGCGATCCGCCGCGCTGCAAGGAATACGGTCAATGCCGAAGAAGAAGCTTTCGATGAGGTCCTCGCTGCACACCGCGCGCCGTTCCTCCTCTCCGTCGACGTACGAGACCGTTTCGTAGGCGACGGTCTGGGTGACGTCGGCACCGTCGGGCGTGCTGCGCGACAGCGTGGGGAGCCGCTCCTGCTGCGTCAAGGTGAAAATCTGCGTGGCGAGCTGAATGTCGCCAATCGAGAGGATTATCCGAAGAAGCGGCTGCTGCCGAACCCGCCGACAGCGGAGCCGCGACAGCATGTTCACGGCTTCGACTGGGCTGATCACGCTGCTGGGTGTCCCCAGAGCTGCGCACAGGCCAGTCAGGACCTTTTCATTCTGCGCCTTCACGCTCAGCGTACCCCACGACGCATCTGCTTCTTCCTCCTCTTCCTTCACGTTTTTAAACCTTTCATGGACTTCCCTCTTGCTCTCTGCGTCAGCAGAGGAGTCGAAGTCGATGCCAACCACCACGAGAGCAACCTGATCGTTTGCCAAGGAATCGAATAACAGTTGGAGGTCATCCTTGTGGACAACCTCGTGACGAGCGTCCGTGACGAAGTAGATGGCCCGGGTGTACTTCTTTCCACTCACCTTTGCCTGTAGCACGTCAGCAGCAACCGTGAGAGCCTCAACGAAGTCAAAGGCAGAGTATGATAGAGTTTGCAACGCCGGCGCGGTTCGTTGTCGGGCCTGACGAACAGCGGCGATCGACTCCAGCGTCCGTCTTGACGCCCGGGCCAGCTCTCTGTCGACCGTGATGTGCTGATAGCGTGCATGGGAAAACTTTTCGTATAGCGTGCTACGCGATTCTTGTGTTCCCGCGAGCACCACTGCCACCTCATCCGACGACGAGTACACGATCTTGTCCACGATAATCTTTTCGCATATCTCGCATGCTTTGCCAAACGCCGCATCGTCGGCCACACTTGCGTCCAACACGAGAGCTGCAGCAGCCTTTGACATTTGGTCCGTGTGTATGTGCATAGCTTGGTGTAGATCTCTCGTTCGAATAGGAGGGTAGGCAACAACAACAACCGCAACAACTCAAAAGAAACGGATGATATGGACTCTATTCTTTAAAACGACGCTCAACGTGAAGAGCACCAGCAAGTGAAGAGTATACAGAGAGCGAGGTCAAAGCGGCCGTCTTGGGCTGACAGACATCACTCTCTCTCGCTCTCTCGCTCGATATGTAAGTATGTGCGTAGGTAGGTCTATCTGGTGTGTTGGTATCGATGCAGGACGTGATCAACACCACTGCGTGGTGAACGAAACACGAAAAGAAATCGCAGCGCAATATCAATAATAACAAGGAAAACAAAACAGACAGATGCGTAAATTTGGGCGAGCAACGAGAAGGAAAGGAAAAGGGCCGTAGACTTCATGGGTCGACGTCAAGACAAGAAACGGAGAAAAATAAGGTAATAAGACATACGTATCAACAAGCAATGAATGGTACGACTCCACTTGACACCTTTGAGTGCAAAGTCGTCAACGCTATGCAGCTGCGTATGCTGTGTAGCAACCAGCGGTAAAAATGCATCGCCTCCAGGGAAAATCTATAAAAAAAAGGAAGGACGGAGCAGCCGACAGCGTAGCTGAAAACAGCTCTTCTTCCTTTTCCCTGTTCGACGCAGCTTCACAGACGCGCTGCTGACTCTCCATCGGCAAAGAAATGCATTACGAGCGGAGTTCTGCCTCTTTTTCTGAGAATTCTCTGTTGCATTTAACGGGGAAAAAGCCCTTACGAAACCGAAACACGAAGAACAGAAATAAAACAAACAACGACCGTGGTTTGGACTTACCCAGAAAAAAAGAAAATCAAGTGGCGGGAAAGTGGCATAAGTAGTCAAACCGTACAAACAGAAACACACGCACACACGTACACCTCATCAGACCACAGCTTACCACACAATACGGGGAAGGTGAAGGAGTGAAGCCCACAACGTTCAGTCATCGGCTGGAGAAGAGAAAGCGAAAAAGGAGGGTGAGAAAAGGACTCTTTTGTTTTGGTATGCGGACAGTGCGTATCACTGCAAACACACACCTGGTTGATCAACACAAGCTCAGTCCCAGAGAGTGTGGCACAAGATCACGTGCCTCTCAGCCACAGCACTTCGTCCTCCATTTCTTCGTTTGCGGAAAGAAAAAACCCAAAACGCACCTAAACGCAGCCTAACAAGCCCGTTTGTCCCCGTCCGTTATCCAAAAGAAGAAGAAAAGCGACGAGGCAACACAAGTTAAAGACTTCAACTCTGCACCGCCCAACGCTCCCTAGCTTTACACGCTTTCAACCAGGAAAAAAAAAAACACAAGAAAAAATAGTAATGAAGACAGAGAAAAAAGGGCGGCAGCGCGCATGCAAACAAAACGAAGAAATAACACACAAACCAACAAAATTGCGCATTTCCATTAAAGACAGGGCGGCAATACCGTGAGGCAAAGCCGTTTTTGGCTTTCGGATTCGGTGGAGCAAAGAAGAAGAAAAAAAAACAAGAGCAATTAGAAAAGAACAGTGCGTTGTATCGGGCACGACACACAATGAAAGTTGAACACCCACAACACCAACAACAATCCCCCCCCCCTCCCACAAATGCGCCATGGCAACCAGAACACGAAAATAAATAACTGAACATGAGTGCAGTGATATTAAGAGAAGCGGCTCATGAAAGAGAGACCTTCTAGACTTGGGCAAAGCTGCTAGAGGTATGAAACAGGTGAGAATTGCAGCTGGGCAACCCCTCCCAAAAAAGTAGAGCTTGTAATGTTCAATGACAATCAAAAAAGAAAAGAGAGAAAAAGCGCAACAACGAGAAACAACAAGGATAAACAGGAATACATAAATATGTATGAACGACACTTCGAAGTTGCAAGCATAAGATGTCCTCATTGTTTTTCAGTTTCGCTTGGTTCGTAAGTTTTGACGAGTGATGGCGAAGCGGCGACACGCACACTTCAAAAGAGTAAAAAGAAAAACGATATCTACTCAAATAGAGCTAGCTTTCAAAGGTTGTAAGAGGTGGAGGAGGACCGTAAAGCAGCACTCCGTACTCACGTTATGTTCATTTAGTTTGAATCGGCCTTCAGACCAGCCTTACGCAGAGCCGCGTCGCGCTCCTTCACGAGCATGCGAATAGCGGTGGCGGCCTTCGCCTGATACACGATCAACTCCTGGCGCTCCGCACGGAAGGCGCGAATCTGCGCTTGTGCCTTCTCCAAATCGTTGAACTCCTCGCCGTCACGGGGCATGCGGGGACTGCTGAGGGTCGTGAGCATATCGAAGTTGGTCACCGCACTGAGGTAGTCCGTACCTTTCGACGCGGCCAGCTCGGCGGCTAGTTCGTCCTGCCGACGAGTCAGCTGCGAGCGCTCCATCTTGTATTTGAGTCCGAAGGCCTGCATCTTCTGTGCCAGCTTGAAGCATTTGCGCTGCTCCTCGGAGAGAAGCAAGGCCAACCGCACCCGCTCGTCACTGATCGTACGAAGCTTTGCGTCGCGCAGATTGATCATCTCGCGCAGCTGGAGGCTCGCCTCCGCCCAGCTATTACCACCACTAACGCCTCCACCGCCCGTCGCACCAGCCGCGGCTCCATTCGCAGCGCCGCCGCCCACCTGACTGGCGGGGGTCTGGACAATCATCTTTAGCTTGTCCGCCGGCACGGCAGCGCGCAGCTGGCCGTTCTCGTTGCGCAGCATCGTATTCTCCTCCGTCAGCAGCTTGATCTGGTCGTTGAGGGCGGAGATGCGATCCTCGTAGACGCCACGCTCCTCCTCCAAGGCGTCCTCGAGCGTCTTGTCGTTCTTGTTGTCCAAATCCGCCATAAGCTGCAGGTACAGCGCTTTGTAGTCCAGCACCTCGTGGCGCTTGGCGTCCTGCTTAATCTGGCTGGCGCGCTGCCCGAACAGAATGGCGCTCAAACTCTCTTCGACGTTTTCGTCGGAGGGGCTGATGTTCACCACAAGGGAGGTGTTGCCATTGCCCATGAGAGAGTACTGCAGAATACGCGTCAGCTTCGACTCGCGGAACGGCGCGTGCTGCGCGTTCTCCGTCAGCGCGGCCACTACCTTACCGAGGGTAAGCAGACTGCGGTTAATGTGCGTGGCCTCGTCCAGCGTCTTGCCCTCCGCGTGAGTCTTGCTCACACGCTCGCTACCAGCAAGATCGCACAGCACGAGACGGCCCTCGAGCGCCACCGCCGCGTCGCCGCCGGCGCCGACCTCCACCGCATGGGTCTTCCTGGACTTGTTGATGTTCAGCGTGAAGACGGTGTGCGAGCGGGAACTCGTATTGTTCATCGATGTGCTGGCCATCTCTTTGCGGGACATACCCGTCTTGAAGGCGTCCATCGTGCTCTTGTAGTCTTTGACGGGGCGTTCGATCGGAAGGCCGGTGGCGTCGGCCACCATCACGACATCACCGCGGCCTTCCGAACCGATCTGAATGCGCACACGCGCCTTCTGCTCATCGAGCAGGTCGGTCAGGATTTCATTGTAAAGCTGGACGTAGCTGACGGAGCAGTCGTAGTCGTTCTCCTTGTCGGCCGCAATCTTGCCCCAAATCTCCTTCATGGCCTGCTGCAAAACACCTTCGTTCTTCGGGTCATCGTTGCTAATGGTGAACGTCTTACCGGAGCCGGTCTGACCGTACACGAAGAGCACACCGTGCTGACCATCAAAGGCGGCCTCGACGGCGCCCCTCGCGAAGGTGTCGTACACGTCCTTCTGCGTCACGCTCGGCTGGAAGACGCGATTGAACATGTAGCGCTTCTCGATCATCTTCGTGCCAGACTTGCGGTTCACCACGATTGCGCGGTTGTCTCTGGGGTCAAAGGTGATGTTCTCAAAGGTGTGACCCTTCTCCTGCGAGACCGGCGGGCGAACACGGCAGTAAACCGATATGTTCTTCGGCGCCGTCTTGCTGCTGGTCTGCGCACGAGACATGGCTGGAGTTGATGGGTTACTTCAAAATAAAATAAAACAAATGAATAATAATCTCAATGTAGATTCTGATTTCAGTAACGCGCAGCACACCCACACGCACCCGCACAACACGGGAGAAATAAATAAATAAATATAAATATATATGTACGTATATGTATATCTGTGCTGCACAGCGCTACATATATTTTTGAACCTTCACGGGGTCTGCGACTGGACCGCTGCGGCCACTCAAAGCCGGGACGAACACACAACAACAAATGAAGAAAAAAACAAACAACAGGAACACGCAGATAGAGGTAATAAAAAGAAAGAAGGAAAGAAAGGGAACAAGTGAGGGATATAAAATGTAGATCATTCAGTATTTGATTGGCCAACTGCTGAACTGACACGTGCGGCAACATCACAAGTCGAAAGCAAGGGCAACCCCTGCTGTTTTTTTGCACTGTCAGCATTTGCCTTGACATACGGTGGAAGCCAACGGCAGCAGCTTCCAACACCTTCCTTCACAATCGGTGTACCGTCGGGCTGTCGACTGCTTTGCTTTGCGCGTGCACCTGCGTGCGTCACAGACTCCACATAACCGGTGCTGTCTCTTCACGACAGAAGGAAAACGAACGCCGACTATTACTTTTTATCAGAACAACATACCAACCCTCCTCGCATTTCCACCGACAGTTACCACTCTAGGCAAGAAGTGGAGAAGAGATCAAAAAGACCACAATCGACGTTGCACGCACATCTTCAGTTACAGTACGGAAGAATCGAATAGTAAATGTTCACCTCCTTCGCTTTCTCGCCGAACATCACCCTTCCAGCTTGAGCTTAAAGACAATGAGAGGGAAACTGTCGATATAAGAAAAGAAGAAGAGGAGAGAGAGAGCAAAGAGCTTCAAAAGTGCATACACGCAGTCAATCATCTCCCTACGTGTTACTGCTACTAAAAAAGTACATCAAAATGGCGAGGGAAAGAAAAAAGAAACACGCGGAGCTTTGCTGACTGACTGATGTCCATGTACATACAAATACAGATAGAGATGCATCCTTTGCTTTCCTTCTCATTTTTGCGATCTAGCCAGATATAATATTCGGCGCATAGGGAATCAAGCGAAGGGAAAACAGAGCACAAAAATGTGATTCACCTCCCCGTGAACACGGGGCATGGAGATGGAGAGAAGCACAAGAGGTATAGTAGTAGACGAAAAAGTCCATTTTATCACGCAGCTAGCAAGAATAATTAAAAAAGAATCATCTACAACACCGAGGTCGCTCCACGATGCGACAGAGGAGGCAGGATAACAGAGCCCCTCTTTCCTTCTTTTCTTTCCACCCTTCCCCTTCACACATGTCAACGCACAGTCGTTCAACTTTTTTATCTTCTTGCGTTCATCTCACACATTCACTTGAGAGACTCAAAACAACAACAACAACCAAAAGCACCAAACAAGAAATCAAAACAACATGGGCCAAAAACAACAACAACAAATCGTCCACTGCGAGGTCGTTGCACGACAGGTTTGCTTTTCGATAATCATGTGTATCAATGAATTTTACTTCTCCCCACTTCGTATTTTCTTTCCCTTTCCCTTTCCCCCATTTAATCTCCCTTGATGCTGGAATAGGCGATACGCACGAACGTCAGCGAGGCAACGAAGCCCACCGCACCGAAGATGAGCGACGCCGTCACGCACGCCAACGCCATGTAGCCGAAGTACAGCAACATCCCCCAGAAGCCCTTCACCACGGAGATGAAGAGGTAGTAGAAGGTGCAGTAGGCCATCAGCCACACACCGTACGACGCAGAAACAAAGAAGGAGCGCCACGCCCAGTGGTAGTTGAGCAGCTGCAGCTGGTAGTACGTAGAAAGGATGGAGATCTGCGCGACGATGGCCAGTGTGAGGCCAAAAGCGACGGTCAGGAAGCCGAACATGTGATACCCCGCACCGAGCCACATGCTGCTAAAGACGGACTGCAGCTCCACGTAGGAGGCGACGAAAGGCACCACGCCGAAGACCACGTAAGAGACGGTGCCCTTCATGTACCACGGCTGAGGCGGGATTGTGCGGGGGATGGTGTTCATCTTCACGGGGATGCTGACCGTTGTACCGAAGCCCACCACCGCACCGGCGAAGCACAGCGGGACGGAGATGAGCAGCCACAAGGAGAGCAAGTACAAAAGCGAGGTGAAGGGCAGCGTGCTGGCGGCGTGGTTGCCGAGGAGAATAAAGTTCAACCCCAGGTACACCGCGAAAAAGAATCCTGGCAGCGCTACGGCGGACAGCATGATCGCTTGCCAGGAGCGGCGGTGGAAAAATTTGATCAGCGTCGCCGTAACAAGCCCGTTCACGCCGGCGAAAAACACAAACAACCCGATGAGGAGTGTGATGAGCATGCCACGCGACCCACGCGACACCATGCCAATCACCGCGAGCAGGAGGGAGGCGAGAGCCATGGAGAGGAGCTGAAAGCCGTTGCCCACGAGCACGGACAGCACCACCGCCCCCCGCGGGGGACGGAAGACGTCGCCGGAGACGAGCTTCCACCCGCTGTCCTCGCGATCACCGAGGAGGTCCTCCTCGTTGTAGGTGGAAATCTCGTGCCGCACCGCCCGCACAAAGAGGTACCACATCAGCACCGACAGCAGCACCACCAAGAAGAAGACGTTGATGGTGGAGAACCAATGCAACTTCGACTCATACGGATTCTCCCCGGTGTAGGCGTCCCAGCGCGTCGTGAAAGGGGTGTCGGTCGGCACCCACGTCACCGAGTAGCTGAAGGTGATGCTCTTGTCGGCGGCCATTCCTGTCGTCTGCAGCAGCGGCTTCTCCTGCGGCACGCACGCCGCGCCGGCAGGGAGGGGAGGGAGGGCCATGCTCATCGGCTCCACATCGAACTGAACGATGTGAACCGCGTCCGCCTCAAGGCCCGAGACGTAGTAGTGAATGACAAACTTGAAGTGGTTGTACACCACCGTCGTCAATTTATCGTTGATAGTGCTGCTGTTGCCGAGTGGCAGTCCGGTGCGACTGCGCAGGCGGCTGTGCGTCGCAGGGGACTTGTCCATCACGGGCAGGCCATCGAGAAAAAGTTGGGCACGGTAGCGGCCGCGGATGCGCTTTTCCAGCCTCGCCGCCTCTCCCACCGTCATGGGCAGAGAGCACAGGACCGTGCAATCGTTTCCCTCCTTCACTTTGACCTTCATCCCGGAGTCGACGAGCATGTCGCCCGTCAGGACCTGCCCAATGTTACGGTGCACCGGGATGATGGTTTCGTCGAGGTTCAGGACACACGGAAAGACGTCGGTCCACCGCAGCGGCACGATTTTGCTCTTGGAGGTAACGGAGCTGGCGAGAATGGAGATTGAATCGTGTCCGCCATACGCCAGGCCGAGGTCGCGCATGAAACCAAAGCTGAACGCAATGGCGTCGTTGGCGACCCAGCACAACAGCATCGCCACAACGCAGCACGTCAGACGTGCTACACTCGCAGAGCTCCACGTCATCTTCTCTCCCTCTCTCCTTTTTCCCTTTGATGGGCTCTCCTCTCTCTTGTGTTTACGCACAGTAGGAGTCGAGTGAAGGGTGTGTTCGGTGAGTGGAACACACGGAAAAGCAATAACAAGAAAATAAACGGAAGAGAAAAGGGGCTGGACGTTGGTGTTTAACGAGTTTGCCTGCTTCTACGCATATGTATCAACTGAGTACAGTGCACGAACACAAATAGCAACAGAAAGAAAAGAAAGGACGGTTAAGTAGCGCTCGTTAAAGGAACAGAAGTGAACAGGATACTTCAAAAACCACCACAACAATGAAAATGAGGCAGTTATGTTGCTGCTTAGCGCCGTTCTTGACGTTTCTCCACCAAGATAGAGGAATAAGAATAGCGAAGATAACGAGATAACGGGAGAGAGAGGAGGGGAAAGACTTGAAGTGAGTGGTGGAGAAGCAATCAAAGCGTTACGGAACCACAGAGAGCCAGCTTACGTGGATGTGTGAATATATAAAAACCTCCGTTATTTCAGCGGAGTCTAAAAAGAACAGCAGAAGCGGAACACGACAGTTGGCGGGTCACACATTGATGAGAGGGTGCTGTAAGCAGCATAGCTTTCAGAAAGTTAATCTTCCCTTCTCGGTTTGCCTATTACTTCTCACTCTGATTATCTCGAAAAGTTTGAGTTGCAGCTTTCAATCTTTGCGCTGTGTTTGCGCAAAAAATGTCATCTCCACATCTTCATTGCCGTTTTTTTTTTCCCTCTCTTTCAAAAGAGAGTAAGATATCCGTTCGCATTGAAGCGAATAGTGGCAGTAGGTCAGAGATACTAGGAGTAGCGACCTGCGATACTCTTCCATCAACCTGTCTCTCATCTCCCTACCATCAGGCAGACAATTATGTTGGACGGTGGCTGTCGAGGGAGCCGATGTCGAAAGCGGAGGGGGACAACCAAAACACGATAAGAGAGGGAGAGCATCGCGAAAACGCCAAAAAGCAACCAAAAAACCACCACAAAAGCGCACGACTGCGCTGACAGAAAACCGCGAAAGCGACGAGAGCAGCAACATCAGCGATAGGTAACAACGACAGAATACTTAAAAAGTAGCTACACCGATAAATAGACAGATAGATGGATATGCACATGTCTGCGCTGGCGACGGTTTGGGAGGTAATGCTCGTGGCTTTCTCCCCTCAACCGCTGCGGTTTGTTTGTGTGTAGCGCGGTGGGGACGACTCACTCGCTGAGACACCTCCCCCCATTAAAACCGCGAACACCAAAGTTATAATTGCACAGAACAAAGATATGCGCAGGCGCCCTCACAATAATACAACAACAACACAAGCAGAGACACGGTATGAAACAAACGCTTCGCTTCCTTTTCAATTCCCCCACACGGTTGTCGCCCACTCGCACGGATGCGTCTCGCTGCGGCCAACAAAAAAACGCGCCTCTGCAACGAAGAGGGATAAACACGAGATCTCAAAATAACATGCCGCTGCCGTTACTGCCCTCCTCGCTGCCTTTTGGCAGCAGCAAACTTCTCGATTTCGTCGATGAACATGTGCCGCAGCTGCGGGATAGTGAAAGCCTCCCCTTCCTCGTCCCACTTATACACCTGCTCTGCTTCGCACCCGCCAATAGTCTCCTGCGGGCCGCGGACGTCCTTCAGCCAGGCGTGCGCAATCGACTCCTTCGCCGTCCTCCGCTGCTCTGGGTTGTAGCGCAGCAGCCCAAAAACAAAGTCCACGAACTCGTCGTAGTAGTCCTGCGGGGGCCGGGGCTGGGCGCGCGCCACGGTGCCACCCTCCGCCACAATCTCCTCCTCCAGCTCCGTGTCAAAGCCGTCAAAGAAGCTCGCCTCGTCAAATCGCGTGCGCAGCTCCGGTACGAACTCCTCCAGCTTCTTCCCTCCACTGTGGGGGAGTGAGGCGAGGTAATGCACAGCCTCCTTCGATGTGCTCGGCGGGAGGTCGTGCTCGAGGTCCGGCACGCCGAGCAGCTCTACAATCAGGTTAATCTGGTTGATGTAGTCCTTGCCGGGGAAGAGCGGCTTGCCGGTGAACATCTCCGCGGCGAGGCAACCCACTGCCCACATATCCGCGCTGTAGCTGCAGTGCTTACACACCAGCAGCAACTCCGGTGGGCGGTACCAGCGCGTGAAGACGTACTGCGTCATGGTGTCGTCCGCGCCAATTCCACGTGCCAGCCCGAAGTCGCCCAGCTTCAAGTTGCACTCCGCATCCGTCAGCAGGTTACCGGGCTTCAAGTCGCGGTGGAGCACGTGGGCGCTGTGCGCGTACTGCAAGGCGCAGAGCAGCTGCAAGGTGAAGAACTGCCCGTGCCCGGCAGCCAGTTTTACACGTGGGGAGCGCAGGGTGGCGTCCATGTCCGACTCCATCAAGTCCGTCACGACGTAGAGCTCCGTGTAGGTCTCCACCGGGTCCGGCGCCTTGAAGAGGTCCTTCAGGGAGAGAATGTTGGGGTGGTGCAGGAAGGAGAGCAGCTTCACCTCCCGCAGCACCCGCTTCGCGTCCACGGCGTCGTCGAAGAGGTGGGTGACTTTTTTGATGGCTACCGACTCGTTCGTGACCTCGTCCACGGCACTGCACACGAAGCCGTAGGCGCCGCGGCCCACGAAGTACTGAACGTTGTACCGCTGTGGCACCTCCAGCGTGTAGGCGTCCACGCCGAACACGTACACCTTGTTGCCCGCCGCGTTGGGGCCCTCCACCTTTGTAAGCATCATCTTAAAAGAGAGTGAAGACCCGTTGAAAGAGAAAAAAACGGGTGGGGGGGGGTTTCCTACTTGAGACAAAACAAGAATGACGAATATGTATTGATCAGTTAAGAGAGGGGAGAAAAGATAAGAAAAAGCCGATGCGCTTCGGTCCGCTGCGTAAGCGCGTTTGCGGGAAGATTTCCGTCTGTGAGGAGAACACAACGAGAAAAGAAAGGAAGAAGAGGAATTACGTGAGAAGGGGCCCCTGACACGGCGCCGGTGTGTAAAAGAAAGAGCGACAAAGAACATGTGAAGCAATAAAGTCCTGTAAATGGCGTCTGTACGCGAACCTATGCAAGCACTCAAAGGACCGCAGTGCTGTACTATTCTTTTCTTCTCTTTCGTGAGGCTCAGATGTAGCAGAATTGCGAGAAGGCGCGGATAGCTGAATCAGAGGCGCCTCTTCTCCTCATGCCTTCCTCCTGTGCATCTCTCAGTGCTTCTTGGGTTTTTTGTGTTTCCGAAATTTCAAACAGATGCATCGAGTTCAGCACTGAAAACGCGGTAGTAAAATACGAAAGTTATAACGGGCAACCCAATGACAACAGCGACCATCACCACCACAACCTCCCCCCTCTTCCTCCCCTCCAAGAAAATAAACAAGCAAAAGAGCGCAGAGGATTACACGAAACTCTTTCTTCGCTTCGCTTCTCTTCAATTAAAGAGTACCGCAGCTCTGGAGTATTATTCAAGAAACAGGAGCGAACAAAAAAAAAAGGAAGGAAGACAAACGCAAAACCGCAGAACAACGCTGCTGCTACTGCTGCCAGTTAAAGCCTCATGTATTGAGAAGAGCAGAGCAACGCGGGCATCAGATGACCCATCCAGTGACGCCATCGATTTCCGCACAGCCCTTTCAAACGTCAGCGCGTACTCAGCAACGGGCCGGCTCTAAACTTGGCTCCTTCCGCATCGCAACTTTACAGCTCATTTGGGAGACATCAGGGGTCGCTCCTACTTTTCTCTCTTTTCTCTTTGTCTTCGTTTGTTTTCATATGGTGCAAAGAACGTAATAAAGGATGAGGTTTTTTTCGTATCCGACAACAACAACAGAAACAAATCACTGGCAAAAAAAGGAAACAAAGAAAATGAGGGAGTACACACCCGCGAACACTAAACGGGGAGGACAGACAAAGCAGGAGAACAGACGCGAGGTAATCTGACACAGCGCTGATAAGCAAAACAGCGATGACAAGGAGGCAGCTGACAAAGGCGAGAAGAAAAAAAGAAGAGGCAAAAAAAGACTGGACGCGCGAAGACTCCCCTCCCCCCAAAGAAGGCTGCGTCCGCTAAAGATTTCTTTCCTTTCAACAGAAAAAAAATGTCATTCTAGTCGCATCTCTGCCTTTCTTTTCTCTTCTTTGTTTGCTTCTGACCTACGTTTTTTTCCCGCCTTTTGTTCTTTCTTTGCCGCCATCAGCACCTCTCGATGCTCTAACGTTCTCCGTTGCGGTGTATAGTAACATAGTGTTGCAACAACAATTTCACGTCAGTGAACGAATGTTCGTCGATGAAGGAAGAAGCACTTTTTTTTCCTTTCCCCGTGTCGTCTTTTCTTTCTTTTATTAAGCGTCTTGAAATCTCAAAATAAATATAAATATATACTCCCTCTGCGCACTGCCAGTGTGGATTACAAAGCACGAACACAGACGGCACCAACGATGGCGAAGCTGCTCATCGATCCATCAAACACTCCTGAGGGGGAAATCGCGAAGGGTACAAGAGCACGACAACAACCAAAAAAAAAAAACCCGTATGAAGTGGAAAGAAAGAAAAACATATCTACCGTTTAATTGTGCCTTCAGTCACCTAATGATGTGTGCTTCGGTGGCTGCGAGCGTGGGTGTGCCTGTGCTGTATGAGTAGATCTACCAATGCAGTGGACAGTGGCGCGGCATGTTCAAGCACCGAAGACGAACATGAACGACAAACAAAACGCCTGTCATAAAAAACAAAAACCCAAATCGATGAAAAAACTCATGTACTGAGAGGAGAAAACAACATAGCATTCAGGAATAAAAACAAATTACAGGCACAACTTGCCAACATATATATATATATATATACGAGAAAGGTGTGAGTGTACACTGGCGTTGTGTGCGGGTGAGTTCGTGTGTTTGTCCGGTTTTAGGGGCGCCCTAACTATCCCACATGCACCATCAAAACAGGCGCTTTTTCAGCTTCACAAAAGGCGTTTCGAAACAAACAGGGAAAACAAAAAGCAATCATTTTACAAAGACAGGCTCTAGAAAGAAAAGGAAAAAAAAACACATGATACAGAGGCGGAAAACCTCCACCCACAACAGTACAAGTCTGAGAAAGGCGATAACATTATAACGCACCACTTTCATAATAATAATAATAATAGAAGTAGTAGTAAATAGCAAATCATCATAACAACGAAACAAGCACCACCTCTCCACCACTTCTCATATATTCGAGCAAGCACTACGACAAGATCAACTGTCGATCTACGGCAGGTACAACAACATCGTAAGGAGAAAAATAAGTAATATATGTAGACGGAGTTGTGGGTTACAGAGCCGAACTGGACGAGGAAAAGAAAGAGAAAACCCACAACAAAAGTTTCTTCTTTCTGTGCCGATTTCGTTCTCCTATGCGATCGCATTTCATCCACAAGGAGGGGGGTGGGGAAGAATCGCGCGAGGTGCGACGCTCGAGGCATCCATTTTTCTTTTTGTCTGTTTGCGACAGCGCTAGTTGCTCCAAAGATCATGTCTCCTTCATGCTCCCCACCCGCGGGAGCAATGTACGTTAAAAAAAAAAACGGGAGTGCACCGGCGTCCATCGCAGCTTAGAAGAAGAAGTGACCCACTCCTCCCTTTCACGAATTGCCACCTGCGTTCGCCAAGGCCTCGAAGAAGTTCTTCTCGTTGCCCGGCGCAGGACCTTTGCCAAAGAAGGACCACTCCGTCTCTACGTCAACCTCGTCGCTCATCTCGAAGGCCGTCCGCATCACCGGCGGCTGATCGTTCAGCTTGTTCTTCGAGAAGGCCTGCAGCAGCTGGTAGCGGGTCTGCAGGGCAGCGGCGGTGGTCGTGTGACCCAGTTCGGCCATCTGCCCGTACGCCGTGCGGCAGGGCTGCTGGTTGCGCGGGAACGGCGGACCGGGCACAAAGCTGCGTGCCCCGAACGCCTTCACCTTCGACGCGCCCTCGCCGAGCTGGACGACCATGCAGGAGATGTTGTCTTTGCTGCCGCAGCGGATCGCCTCGTCGCACACACGGCACGCCACGACGGCCAGGTCGTCCCAGCAGTTCTGCTGCTGCTCCCACACAAACTGGCAGACGTCCTCGTTCGAGAAGCTGCCCTCAAAGACGCCGTCGCAGGCGAGGATGATAAAGTCGCCCGGCTGGCACTGCACAAAGGACACGTCCGGCACTGCGATCACCTTCTGATTGCGGTGGTTCTTCGTGCCCTTGACCTTGAAGGAGGCGTCGCCGAAGGCGCGGGACACTGCCAGGTCGCCGTCGACGCGGTTACTCACGACGCTACCCCCGCAGCTAACAATGCGGTCCGTCTCCTGTTTGTTGAAGGGCTTGTGGTCCTCGGTGGCGAAGACGAGCTTGCCGCCGCGACAGATGAGAATGCGCGAGTCGCCCACGTTCGCGATGGTGACGTTGAGGTCTTTGCGGATGAGGCAGAAGGTGCCGGTGGAGCCGCCCTCTACGTTGGCCTTCATGTACGCCTCGTCCACGTCTATGCACACCTGCTCTAGCATCTCTGCCGTGATCGGCTCCGGCAGCTTCTTCAGGCGCCCCGGCAACTCCTTCGCCACGTACGCGCTACAGTCCGCATTGCTATGACCGTCAAAGATGCCAAAGTAGGCGACGTTACTGTCCTCGGTGGCGACTAGCATGTGCGCGTCTTCCATGGAGTTACGGAAGCCGTTCTGAGATGCGCACGCAGCGTTCACGTAGCTGTTCCCTGCACGATCTACGACCTTGCTAAGGATCGGCTTCGGCAGCATAAGACCCATCTTGGCAAAAAGAAAAACCCCACGAGGCTCAAAGGGATGTACTACAGGAAAAAAAAGAGAGGGGGGTATATACGTTGATACGTATATAGTGTTTACGGGGAGGTGAAGTGCGGAAAGTGCCTGTATCACGGTCAAACACGTACCTACACAGAAAGCGAAGGATATAGGGGCCCGTGCTGCAGCGAACTGAAAGAACGTTCCCGTGAGAAACACGTGTGTGTGGGTGGGTGTGTGTTTGTGTGGGTGTGTGCTCTGGTAGCTAAAGAACGATCGTTTTTTCCTTTTTTCAAAACAGAGTTTTATGTAAGGGAAATGCGGAAATGCTGAAAGGCAAACCAAACCAATAACAGTAATGATAACAATAGGAATAATAATACACACCTATGCTGTGCCAGAGTAGGAAAAGTGGAGACGGAAGAAAGACGCGGGCAATGGTGTTGCGTGTGCGAAGTCATAGCGAACAACAACCACAACGGATAATGCATACGTACTCCGTTCCACGTAGTTCTAAACAGTTGCCGCAAAACAATTGAATGACAAAAGAAGACGCGCTTCTCTTTTTTTTTTTGCGTTCTTCGGTTTGTGCAGGACTGTGAGGTTTGGGAACGAACCGATTAAGCGACTACCGCTTCAACGCCGCTGCCCTCGGCTTTTCGCTCTCGCGTACTAACGACTTGGAATGTGTATGCGGCTCAAAAAGCTGTGAAACGAAAAACAGAATGTGCACAAAAGGAAAAGGCCTCCATTGGTAGAAGACACAAAAAACTCAAGGAGCAAGAACCACCACCACAACACCAAAATGAATGAAGTGCCAAGCATTGACACATTGCTTCGTCGCATCCAGGTGTATATTTCATCCGTCGATCAAAGCCTCCCCTGTCTTTCAGTTTCCCTTTCACCTGCGTGACCTTACAACAGCGGAACGCTACATAAACGTCGCAGCAGCTCCTCCCCATTCTGCCGTCGCGATCGTAGCGACTTCAAACGCAAGAGAACACCCTCCAAATCGAGCTTGAGCAATTCGCCCTGCTCCTGATGCAGCAGTGCCACCGCCACCTGCACCATCACCGTCCACCCTCGCACTAGAAAGAAGTCCCACACACGCAGCAGCAGCGGCGGCGGCAGCTGGTGCACAAACAGCGTCAGAAACCACCGCGAGGCGAACATGGAGATTTGCACCTCGTTGGACTGCAGGTGCGCCGCGAGGGCGGGGAGGAGAGACTCAACGTGACGCTCTAGCTCGCGCAGCAGCGTCTGTAGAAGGGGGAAGCCGGAGCGGTAGAGCTGTCGCATGCCGTGGCGATCACCAAGCTGGTTGTGGCGCGTGCCGCCGTCGCCGTCGCGCATCAGCCCACAGAATATCTGGTAGGCCTGCGTCTCGGGTGCAACCATCAGCACGACGGCGGCGACAAAGGCCATGCCTTGACAGTAGCCCACTTCCGGATCGCGTGCGGCGTACGCGCCGAGGAGCCGCCGCAGCTGGCGCTGACCCGCAGAGCGCGAGAGGGCACCGTGGAAGAGGACGTGGTGAGGGAATGTGCGACCAACGTCACGGTCAATCGCCTCGAGAGCGGCGGCGTAGTTTGGGTTGGAAAGCATCCACGCAGGGCCTGGGTCAGCAAGGGTCATCACGTACTGTGTGGCCTCACGGTGTTGTGCCTCAGCGGTCTGCTGCCACGCACCGGCAAAGAAACCCCAGAGAAGCCCTCGCAGAGACATGTGCGGGCATCCGCCGTACTGACGTAGTCGTGCCTCCCAACGACTCCAGAACCAACGATCTACTAGCGCTGCATCCGTCTCTTGTTGTTGCTGCTGGCGTCCGTGTGTATGATGACAACTGCAAGCCGGAGAGGATGCTACAGAGCTGCTGTCTGCATCCTCGACGATGAGCTCCGCTGGCCGATACGAGGCGGACTTCCAGGAAAGGTAGAGGAGAAAAGCGGATGCCCACCAGCGCTCCTCGGCGCCGAGAGCTTCTGCGGCCCAGGAGGAGCCCGACGAGGTGAGGGAAGCTGCTGTGTCAAGTATGACGGTATCTGCCACGTCGGTGTTGTTGGCGGAGCGAGAGGAGAGGAAGCCGTAATCATCCACCACTTCGATGACCTCAGATGCTCCCTCCCTTACAGGATACACAGCGACGTTGCTTGGCGTACTCATGGTTCACCAAACAGCACAATCCGACATTTCCTTTTGATTATGATGGGAAGGAGCCATAAATTGTGGCGTTAAAACCGACTGACGGTTGCGAACTGTCGAAGCTGCGGTATGCTCTTCAGAAGTGGAGGGAAAAACAGAAAACAGAAACCCGAAGAGAAAAGAGATAGAGCGCGTGAGAGTTTGTAGCTGCCATGAAATCATTGGTCGAGGAGGGGGTCAACAACGGTTGAGGCTCCAGTACGCGCTGCCGCTACATAGGTGGCATGCGGCGATACTTCAAACTAATGTATCCACCGGAGGGATTGACGCGAAAACGAAACAGATAACAATAGGGATAATAAACACAACAAGTTCCGATAGTTTTAGTGATGACGAGCGCGTTGCTTCGTGTTGTGTGCGGATTTATCTCTTAAGTGTCACGTGGAAAAAAGACATAACCAGAAGCTGGAAGAAACCGCAAGCGAAGGAAGAAAAGGAGGAGCAAATAGAAGAAGTTTGACGCCAGGGAAGCCATTATATATCTCGTCCATCTCAGCCGCTTCAACGATGATATTACGCAACTACTACGCACACACACACGGAAAAAACAACAACTCTGGCCTTTGAATAATACTCCAACAGAAAAGGGCCGAGGCGGCTAAATCGCTCGACTCCACCGACAACAACAGAAACGCCAAAAAAGAGTCGTGTTCACATGAGAAGAAAAACACAGCATTAAAAGAAGAGCTACATCATAAACTGCACCGTTTTTTCACGTGCGCAGACGGAGAGAAAAGAAAGCAAGCAAACAAAGAAAGCATAATAATGTCGGTGGGCTGACGTGGAAGTGACACGAGAGTTAGAGAAAAAGGGATGCCGTTGAGACACCTGGGCACACGTTCCCTACAGGAATAAACGCCATTACGTAAAGCGTTCATCTGCTGCACAGTGGGAAGGCAAGGAGGGAAACAAACAAAACAAACAAAAAAAATACATGAAAAAGAGCGAGAAAAAATGCAGTGATTCTAAGACAGTGATCTGGGGCGAAGTCGATACACAGTGGAGGCGAAATGAAAAACTATGGAAAGCCTGTTTTTGCAGTTTCGCGCATTTGCATTTCGTGACAGACGTTAGTATGATCCGTTCCAGAACTCATCCGTGACAGCGGCGTCCTCTTCCTCTGCCGAGTTTGGCGTCGACACCCCACACGAACGCGACCGCGATCGATGGCGGCCGTGGCGATGATGATGCCGGTGGCGGTGGCGGTGGTGCCGGTGCCGGTGCTGTCTGAAGCTATCGTGGCTTTCGTTTTCTTCTGGAAAACTATTGTTGCTCTCGGCGTCCCAGCTGCGTTCCGTCTGACTCACCGCATCGTTTGGGTAGTCGGGCCCTTCGCCGGAGTTCGAAGCAGGTGACGCGCCGCTGTCCGAATACACGCTGTCCGACTCGCTGTCATCGTCGTCCGTCTCGAGCAGCTTATACTCGCGACAGCACAAGGCGACGACGATGACGAAGGCAATAACGCCGGCACCGCCTGAGATGCTGACGAAGATGGTGAAGAACTCTAACGACATGTTGGACCACTTCTCCTCGACGAGGGGGGCGAACGTCGTGGTGATAGTGGTCGACGGCAGAGGAGCGGAACTAGAGGAGTCCGCGGCGCTCGCACTCGCCGCTGCGCGTGCTAAACAGGCTGCATTGAGCAGCAACAGCAGCAGGAGGAGGAGGAGGGTGGCAACTCCCCATGAAGCTCTGCTAGCCATATTTACACTTCCTCTCTACTTTCAATTCCCTTTTGTGATCGCTTCTCTTTTTTAGTTTACCAAAATAAAAGGAGTCTCCGCCGCAGCCAACGTGAACAACAACGAAGAAGGTCAGTTGGTGGTGCGTGAGTCACCAGCAATGGCAACTGGAAAGCGGAATGGGCCAACGCAACGCTGATGTTCCTTGCTGCCACTCATGTGAGCAGAGTGCTATCGAGTACTTGCAAAGTGCTGTGAAGAATCAGGAAAAAAAAGAACAACGCAACGAGGGGAGGAAGAATGAGAAAAGATGAAAAGAGCGTAGTGGGCGGAACAGTGCGGAGAGAGAATCTGCGATACAGCTACAGCACATTTGGTAATGTTACACAGAAATTCACGGAAGAAAAGACAGGGTGGGCTCTTTCGTTTGGTGTTCTATTCCCTCTTTCCGTTTGGGGGGGGGGGTGATAATAACACTCGTCCATTCTCCTTTTCGTGGTCTGCCGAAACACGCTTCCCCGCTCGATTGGTAGCCAAATCACTGCATAAGATGGATACACACCCACACACACTCTTTCTCTCGCACACAGTTGGATTCTTTTTCTGGGGTTTTGCAACCTAAAATGTCATCTTTCATTTAAGAAAAAAGGCAAAGTGTTGACTGGATAGACAGCACGCATTCTACGCTTCAAGGAGAGAGAGAGAGAGAAAGAGGCATCACGAAGTACCGACACAACACAACAGCGGTGATAATTAAAACGAGCGCGGGAAAGCGGAACAGAACGAGAAAGAAGAAGAAAAGAAAGAAAAAAAAGGGGCGATGAGTATATCAGAAATATCAGAGAGGAGTAAAAAACCCAAGGTAAGAAATCCAGAAATACGAAAAGTAGCACTAGTAATAATAACAGTATCCCGAGCACGTGAATTTGGCCTACAACAACGACCGCACAAAGGTCATAGTGATTCCTCACAGGTAGAAATCACCACCACTTCTCCCATATATATATATTGTTTTATTTCACATGAATGCGCGAATTGAGTAAGGGCGCAAAGAGAGGATCGCACACCACAAAAGTTTAGTCCCCTTTTTCTTCCTCTATCTCTTTCCTTCTCCCCTTCTACGTGGTCGTCGTTTCACAGCTTTGGCATGCGTCCGGGACTAGACTGACGAGCACTTCTACTAGCAGTCCTCAACACCGGAGACCTGGAAGACGGCACCACCCGTGCCTCATTCTTCGTTGCAGAGAAGAAGGGCACTGGCCGATGCGGAAGAGGCTGAAGTTGCGGCAGCGGCGAAAGGGAGGCTCCAGCTGAGTCCGGTGGCTTTATTGCATTTCTGCTAAAGAAGTTGTCGGTCGCTGGGGAGCTCGGTGTCTTGCCGCGGCAGTCCGGCAACTTATTCAACTCCTTCTTCTTCCCCGCATCGAGAGGAGACGACTCATCAACACCGATGGCGGTGGCCGGCACCAATTGATCCTCTTTCCTCGCCTCTGGCGCCTCCCTGGCTTCAGCGCTCGTTTCGACGCCAGAGTGAGAAAGGGAAGATGTTGTTTGAAGAGAGCTGTAGTCGCGGCGCAGCTCCGATGAGATGGCTGATGCGGCCGACGCAGTGGGAGAGGCGGAAGAAGAACGGGACAACGACGACGATGTGGAGGCGGAGGACGTTGATGAAGACGAGGCACAAGTCTCCGTCGAACGGGGCGAAGGCGCATTTGCATTACTGTTGTTGTCGTTCCCCATTGACCTTGCCTGATCTGTGGCGGAGGGAGACGCTGCTGCGGGTGTTGATGCCGCTGCTGGTGCCGACTGCATGTCCTGTTGAGCTCGCAACTCCCGCTCCCCGTTCGGCTTGTCGATCAGGTAGAGGTGCAGAAAGGCCGCAATCACCTTTTGAATATCCTCGTCCCGCTCATCGTTGTGTCCGCCAGGCGTGTACTGCTGCAGGCACGGAATCGGAAACGCATCACGGATCAGCTCGCCGTGCCGCGAGGTCACGAAGTCATCTTCGGAGCCGTAAAAGAGAAGGGCAGGCACGCGGCAGAGGCGGGCGTACTTGACCGTATCCAGGTCGTCGATGTCGAAGACGGCCCGCTTCATAATGCGCTTGCGAATGCGCTCCACAATGGCGCGGACCACGACGTTTGGCACCACCCGCGCCGTTCGCCCGCCGTGGCGCTCGACCAAATCGTTAATGAGCACCCGCAACGTCGCAAAGGGGGAGTCGCACACGATGCAGCGAATCAGCGGGTCCTTCGCGGCGTACATGATGGAGGTGACGGCGCCCATGCTGCGTCCCCACAGCGCCACACCGTCCACCGCGTCGCTCTTCAGCATTAAGAATTCCATCACGGCTGCGAGGTCCTGTCGCTCGTAGAAGCCGAGACTGATGTACTCGCCCTCCGACATCCCACTCCCGCAGAAGTCGAAGGAGAAGAGACTCATGCCCTCGCCCAGCACAAAGAGAGCCTCGAGGGCGTCGTAGCGGCTGCCGCAGTTGCCGTGGCAGTAGACCACACAGGGCGTGCGCTGGTCGGGGTAGGGCTTGAACCACGAGCACTGAATGCGGAGGCCACGCATGTTTTCTAACTCAAAGTCGTGACGCATAAAGCGCTGCTTGCCGTCATCGCCGAGGCGGAACACTTCGGGGCCCAACTCCTCCATCTCGTATTCGGAGCGTGGCGGACGGATGATGAAGTTGCACACATTGTCCATGATCCCTGGCCCCGAGGTGAGCTGCTGAAACACATTTCTGGCAGTGATCATGATAATGATTCTGCCGTTTTTTTTTTGTCAATACCTTTATATATTTATTAAAAGGAAAGTCCCCCGTTGCTCAGCATCGAAGAGGCGACAGGTGTCTCGCTCACAGAGCGGAGGGGGAGAAAACGAAGAAATCGGAAGTACGTAACTTCGCGGTTTGGCTGTAAAAGCGGCAACGCGCTCACTCCTTAGCGTGTCGGAAAGTTCTACACGTTGTAATTGCGTTTGCTGTAGAAAGGGGAACATACACGTATTAACAGAAAGGGTTCGTTGACGGTGCGGTGTCGCGTACAGGGACAAAAAAAAATGAGACAAATCGAAAAAAAAAGACGAAGACGGCGATGAGAGAGACTACAGCGATGCGACTCATTCCCACACAATACGAAAGCGCATCGTGATGCGTTGTCTGACGTTGCCGCAGCGGAGTATGAGACGCTATTTCGCTCCTCTCATGGAGAGTAGGAGGGGGGGGGGGGAGGGGGAGAGAGCGGTATCAACGAACCTAATACAAAACAACAGCAAAAATGTATCACCTCTACTCGGGCCTGGGGGACATATTCTTATTCCTATTTTTATTATTATTCTGAAATCGTATGTGAGGAGCGTCAATTCATCATTACAGGAAACCGTCCAAGCAGCACGTTTTAGAGAATGAAATGGCGCCAGTTCGAGCAGGAGAGTCAATCCCGACTCCTCTTCTCCGACCGATTCCCGCAAACACAAACACACACGCACATACAAATGAGAAAAAGAGAACCTTCTCATCCCGAGGTATCGCCACGAGCGCGCATGACTAACAGACAGCATTGGTCCAGTATGTGCAAACAAGCATCACAGGCAGCATAACCGTTTCTGAGGTCCACGTTAGTCCGCGCTGCGCAGCGGCCGTCGTGCAGAGGAGCGCCAACGCGGCCCCCACTACCCACCCAGCCACGACCTGTCCTATCGTATGGTAGCCGTTGTACACCCGACCGGCCCCTACAAAAAAAGCTGCCGAAATCAGAAAGGCAAACAGGAGACGAGGCAAGGGTCTTTGCGTGCCGTGCGGACCGACCAGCGAATGTGTAGCTGCCTTTTTCGAAGGGTTTTGTTTTCTTCTTGCTTGTGGCACCGTAACAGAGGCACTGGAGGGGGACCGATTGCATGCTTTCCAGCGTTGCATCAAGTATACCGCTAATCCCGCCATAAACTGCGAGTGATCGCTGGGCATACCATGAATGGTGGTGTAATTCATTCCGGCTGCGGGGTGTGCGGGGCGTTGACTGCGAATGCACTCCTTACACGTGAGGTTCAGCCCTACGCTGAGAACCAGAAACAAAATCAGGTTCAGCGCGGGAAGGCGCCGCTCACGGCACGGCGCGCTGGCGAGACCGGCGAGGAACATGACGATGACAAGCGGGAGAAAGGACGCAACGGCGAAGGCCTTGCTGAGCACGTCGTGGTCGCGGTACAGCACTTCTGTCAGTGCCCACGACTTCCAGTTTGGGTAGTCGAACGAGTTGGCATGGCGGGACGACGCCAATGCCACGCCTTGTTGCAGCTCCACGGCGGAGAGGTGCGTGTACGACCACACTTGCACCAGCAGATCCATCCAGGAAGTAAAGAGAGGGTGGCAACACCGAGAAATTTACACGAGTATTAGAGCCAAAGAATCGTCTTGGCGCTTAATAATAATAATAATAATAATGGTATTGGACCAGTAAGCGCAAAGTATGTAGATGGGTATGGATTGAAGAATAAGGGCGAGAAGGGGAAAAGGTCACAGTCCGTTGTACTGCATTCCAAGTAATACGGCGAGAGACAAGCAAGAGAGCAACAGCACAGTTTGTACGCTCATTCCTTTGTAAACACCGCGGCTCAACGAATCTTTCCTCTTCTGCAAAAAGAACACCAAATTACTTTTGTAGGCGAGGCCCAGGGAAAAAAGGAAACTGGGCAGCTGGAACACGATGATAAAGTCGTCCCACTCTCCTTACGCAGTGTGGCGTTGAGTCCACAAAGCTCGACCTTCCACTTTTTCCCACACGCGTGCAGAGAGAGGGAGAGAGGCACGCTTGCTTCACAAACGTGTTTGTTAGTGCTGTGCACCATTGAACAAAAATGACAGAAGACACACACCCCTCACACACCAAAGGAACCTAATTAAAGAGAGAAGACAAAACATTCGCCTGCCTTGCAGGCTGCGCACTGCATGAAAGCGGGCGCTCACATCCCGGTGTTGCCTTCATCGCCCAGAATATCCTCCTCTACACCACGCTCCTTCTCCTCCAGTGCACCGGGTTTATTCCGTGTCCAGTATTTCACTTCGTGACCACTGGACGCCAGCAGATTGCCCAGCGGCGACCACGCAACGCAGTGCACCGGGTTCGGCTTGTCGCGGAACTTGTCGTGCGCCGCCTCCACCACCGCGGCCTCACGAATGATCTCCTCGATGCCGTGCGTCAGCGCCCCATCGCCCTCCGCCACCATCCAGTACATAATGCTGCCGTCCGCCCCGGTGCTCGCGAACAAGTCAGCGACGGTGGGGTGCCAGTCCACCTTATCCACGGCGTCCACGTGCCCCGTAAAGCGCTTCACCTCCGGCTGCGTCTTGCGGATGTCCCACAGCTTCACCGCGCCGTCCTTCGACGCGCTCAGAAGCGTTCGGCCGTCGGGGTGCCACCGCACACAGGTGAGCGCCTGACTGTGGCCGTGCAGAGCGGCAACGCTGCCGCGCGACGCCGTTCGCGGATCCCACAGGCGGCACTGCGTGTCCTGGCTGCCCGTGGCGATGAGGGAGCGGTAGGGGTGCCAGTGCGTCGTCGTCACGTCACCGCCGTGGCCTTCCAGCTTCACCTCCTCCATCGCCATCTGCTGCTCACTGCCGCCGGCGCCGGCGGAGGCCGAGTGTGCGCCAACGGTGTTGGTGTCCCACACCTTGGCGGAGCCGTCCTGCCCGGCGGTGCAAAACTTCAGCTCCTGCGGCGCCCACGAGATCTCGCGCACGGCACGGTGGCTCGTGTCCACTTCCGACATGAACACAAAGCTCGACATCCACATCTTTAACTTGCCGGCGTCGTCGCCGCTCAGGATCAAGTCATGCCGCCGGCCCCACGCGATGGCGCGGCATGGTCGGTTGTCCTCGTGCGCCACCGTCTTCACCTCAACTCCGAAGGACTGTCCGTTGAAGAGGAGGAATTCTCCGCGGCCGGTCGAGCAGAGGAGGCGGCGACCGCTGGGCGACCACTGCAGGCCGTACAGCGGGGTACGCACCCGACCACCCTTGCTATCAGGATGGTACGACGTGTTCACCCACTGCGTGCAGAGGGCCGTGCTAGGGTTGTAGTTCGTCACACTAGCGGTGACAAGGTCTTTTGTGTAGTACTCGTGCGGGGCGACGTGGTAGTGGTAAGGCGTCTTGCGCGGCACCAGACGCGTCAGCACGTGCTGGATCGCAGGGGAGTAGAAGTCGACGGGCCGCTGTCCATGGATCTTGCGGCGCGGCGCGTACTCTTCCGGGTCGAAGTCGCTACGGAAGCGCCGCCGCGGGGCACCGGGTCCGCCGAAGCCGCCGCTGTTGAAGTGGCCGCCACCGGCACCAACACCACCGCCGCCTCTTCCGTAACCGCCATAACCACCACCGCCGTAACCAAAGCCCTCTCGACGCTGATATCCACCGCCACGGTCCATCGTCCTATTTGTCTTCTCAATATGTGTACGCGTGTGTGGTCTGTTCCTTGTTAGACTCCCCTCGCTAGGAAAGGATAGAGACACGTTACTTGAAATGCGTATCGTGTGCTGCGTTCCGCCAAACTGAGGAGATGAAGAAGATAAAAAGAAAAAAGAAAACAGAGAGGAGAGGAACCAGTAAAAAAGCAACAGCATCTTCCTAAATTCCTCTAGAGTTCCGCGTTTCCTTTCACAGCTTGAGAAAGCCCACCACGTAAGTTGTACGCAGGTACTTCATTTTGCGTCAGAGATGCGCACGTTATCGGGCGTTGTAAACAACCGTTTCTTTTTGTATTGTGTAGGGTTCGTGAGACAATCAAAAACACTCCTGCACCTTCGTTTCATTCAAACTTTTCTCCAGGGTGTGACGGATCATTATACTTGTGCGAACACAACAGAAAACAAAGGGGCTGTGATAACAGACAATACACAACGCGATAGAAGTTCCAAGATGATGTTCGAGGGAGAACCAACCAATTCGATACTCGCAATGTGTGCCTCGTTCTCCTCGTTCCCCAAAAAGTGATCAGCTAACGATGAACTGGACGGTGAGCTCAGTAGGCGTCACCGTAAGGGAGCTCCCATGTGGTACCCGTACACACTCACCATCGAGCACAAGTAGCGCCGACGCCTCCGACTCTTTATCAAGGTTGCCTCTTTTGCTTCCGACACGTCGTATGTCCGCGCTGCTCGTCCAGCCAACTCCCTCCTCTGACACGTGCGGAAACTCAATGCGCAGCCCCCGCACCCCCTCGTGCGTCGTCACGCCATCCTCCGAAAGGATGTAGCCCTCCCTCGCCTCACGGCGCAGCAGGTGACACATTCGTAGGCGGGTGACGTCATCCGTTGCTGCTGTGACAGTGAGACGGTGCTGGTGGTAGGTTGCTGTCGGTGTCAGCGAGTACCCGACCCCCAGCTGAGGCATCTGGGCAGCCACAAGCAGTCGCAACGGACCCAGCGAGAACGAAGGCGGCTCGCTACGACTCTCTGCGGACGACGTCGTCAGTGCAGCGGTGCAGTGCGGAGAGGCGTGTTCAGCAACTGTGTAGAGCGACGTCGCCACCACGGAGCCGAGAAGCGCGGGAAACGATACGTAGTCTTCCTGCGCTTCTTTCCATTTTTCTTGCCGCTGCACCATCGCGGCATAGGTGCCGGCGGCAACGTATGAGCACATGTAGCGCACCGGGGAGGAAGAAGAGGAGAACGACGATGATGCTGCTCCTGTGGAGGAGGATGGAGGATGGAGATGCACCGCCCACAGCGGTACCCGCACGGTGCGACCCACCACCAAGCTTGAAACTGCCCGCATCGCTGCGCCGACGCCGAGCGAGGTGGCAACGGAGTTGTGTAGGCCAGTGGGCACTAACAGCAGCGGCGTCTCATCCAGCGCCGATTGAGACAGGGGAGAAGGGAAAGAAGAAGACGACGACGACGCCCTCGTCGGTGTTGTTTTCAGCGCGGCCATCAAATTCACGACGCTGTTCACGGTCCCGTCACCGCCACAAATCATCAACGCCTCAGCGTGCGGAAGCGCTCGTCGAAGGCTCTCTGCCACGTCGTCATTAGGGATGTGGATGTCGTGGTGCACAATGCCGGCGCGGTCCATGTACTGCTTTAGCGTGTCTGTGTACACTTGCACGCTGTGCCGGTGACCACTGCGGTGGTTGATGACGGCCGCACATCGTTTCAAGATGGTCATACGCACCACCGCTAAATCGTAGATTGGTTGATGGCCTAAGTCTCGTGTGTGTGTGTGTGTGTGTGTTTCCGTACTAAAGTAGTACAGAATGCAAAATGCGGGAATACGTGAGAAGATAGGTGTGTAAGACAGAAAGCTTGAGACTAGGCGAAGACTTCATGCGCATGTGAGAAGGGCGTGTTTTGAGAATCAGCAGAAAGAAGAAAGACGAAGGAGCAACACGAAACGTCCTCTTAAAGGTTCCTCCCCCCTTCTCTTCGGAGGAATAGTTTGCGCTCATCAAAAGAGCCACTGCCTCTACCGCCTCCTGCAACTCCACAGTCTTTTTCCTTTCAATGATGAAGTTAACACCTGATTGGCACCTTTTTGTTGTTGGTTGGTTTGGAAAATACTAGTAATAACGACAAAAAAGTGGTCGCTTATATAAGTCGGAGCAGGTAGAAAAAAAGAAAAGAAAATGAACTAAAACAATGATAGAAAGAGGCCTCCAAGACACTCGGAAGGGGGGCTCACTTGGGTGGATGCACAATCATGTTGCCTCCCCTTCCAAAAGAAGCAAAACCCCAACAACAAAACATCAGCTATTTGGGGGGGGGGGGGTTCTTGCGTATTCAATGGGCATTACACGACAGATGAGAAAAGACACACAAAGAGAAAAAGAGATAGCTTTTTCCCCGTCATCTATCGCAGAGAAACAAGTCAAGTTGCTCCAGGGCAGCAACGAAACCGTTTTTTCCTTTTAGTCTACGTTGGAGAACAATAATAATAATAATAATAAAATGCGTGCAAAGCTGCGGCTGGAAGGAATCGTTCCCTTATTGTCTTCCAAATACTCTCCTTCTACCTTGGGGGAGGCGCTGTCACCGCATGTTGAACTTCCCACCGCACCTGATGCACCCAACGGCACAAAAAACGTTGTCAAGCACATCAGGCATACCGCGTCAGCGAGGCTTCCGCGAATCCGCGACAAAACTAGTGCTGACCTTGCAAACGAACACGCAACAGTGCTCGCGTCCATCAATAATAAGAAAAAAGGAAGTACTCAACATCCTGTTCACTGCAAAAACAACGAACAACGACAACGAACCACTCCCTTTTGAAAAGCGCTCTTCGCGTCATCGTGCAGTTTTCTTTTCCCTTACAGTGGCATGCGCAGAGGAAGAATCGCACGCCGCCCCTTGACCCTCGCAGCTTTAGCGCGGCGCAGCACATGCCGCATCGCCAAGACCACTACCACCACCACGACGGCCATCGAGAGAAATATGTTCACGCTCAACGGCATCTTCGGCGCGAGATCCGCTGCACCTCCGTCGGCTCTCCCATCCGCCGCGGCGTGGGGGCCGATGCTTGTGGTGCCGGTCGGCGTGTGCAGGCTGCTCGGAATCCACCGATAGCGCCGGCGAAGAAACTTAACCACCTCCGTCGCCACGTACTTGCTTTCCGGGTTCGTCGTGGGGACATCCACGTAGCGGTAGCACAGCGGGCACATCTCCTTCGTCGGAAACTGCCGCTTCGGCACGAGAGGATCGACGCCTTCCGTCACATTGGCGAGGTGATAGTTAACTACGTTGTGCACCTTCCACATCTGCCACACGGGGTCCTCCTCGCGGTTCGGCTCAAACCGCATGAAGTTGCGCCGACACACTTCGCACGAGAAAAAGTTGCGCACGTAGCCTTTAATAATGAAGAGTACCTCAGTGTTATCCTTATTGCTGACCGTACCATCCGCCGCCGCCGTCGCCGCCACAGCCGTGTGGCCGTCTTCCGCGTTGGCCGAAAGGGTGTGGTAGAGCAGCCACAGCCCACACGGAAAGCCGCGGTAGCGCCACGAGGAGCCTTTGCACGTCTTCCACGCAAGATCACGCGGGGTGCCTTGAAAAGGAATCCCCGCACTCAGCACCAGCTTCTGCCAGTCCGCCACCGTGAAGGAGGCGAAGTCGGCCGGGTCCGCCGGCTTGCCGTTGGAATTCCTGTGGTTGGCCATCTCGTACAGCAGCGTGTCGGCGCCCAGTCCAGGCAATCGCCGCTGCACCGCACCCAGAAAACGGTACAGTGCGTAGCGCCGCTCCGCCGAGTCCAACCCCACCAGCGCGACCTCGTGATAGAGTGTGTAGAAGAGGGCGTTCGCGACATCGACGATGTGAAATTCCGTATCCTCCGTGAAAACGGCGCCGTCGTGCTTCGCCTCATCCGGGGCGGTGTTGTGCAAGTCGTTCTGCTTCGAGTGGCGCAGGAAGCTACGCATGTCCAGGCACCGCTCGCGGTTATTCGCGCTCCACGTTCCCGTTGTCATAGAGCCCCAGGTACTGCGGGCGAAGTCAAAGTGTGGGTCGACACCGCTGCCGTGGCCGATGTCGAAGCGCAGCAGCCGTTGCGGCGCAGGCTTCTCCGCCGTGGACGCCGCGATGGCCGACGAGTTCAACGTCAGCGGCGTCAGCGTCGGTGCCTTCGCCTCAAGCGAGTCGGGTGTGAAGAGGAAAAACGACGGCACCCCGAGGACGCCGAGGTCGTGGCACGCCTGCGTGTTCACCTGGCAATTCAGTGCCGCCACCGTCACCTCGTGTATAGCGTCCTCGGAGGCTTGGAAGGTTTTCTGTGCGTGGCGGATTATCAACGGGGCCGCGCTGCGGCAGTGCCCGCAGCCGTCAGAGTAGGCGACCAGGATCCACGGGCAGAGCCCTGCGGAGGGGTGCAGGCTGCGCAGATTCAAATCGGTGATGTCGACGACTTCACTGGAGCTGTGGAAAAGCGAGTGCCCCACCTTCAAAGCAGCTCTGACGCTGCTGAGTAACAGTGCCGCTACCGCCGCCACAGCAGAGAAGCGCACGAGGAGAGACACGAGACGGTGCTTTGCCATCTTGTTGATGCCGAGCTACGCGTTTTCGATACGAGTGTGCTCCCTTGATGCCCAACAAAACAGGCTGGGGTGTAACTTGCTGCAATACAACCCGATTTGATCAAGGAAGAGATCCTTCTTGTTCCCCTGCTTTCTTTGCCCGAATTGGTCGCCTCCAAAGGCGTTCGTACAGCTTTTGTTTTTTTGAGGTAATGATAAAAAACCAACTGTTGAAAAAGCAACAACAACAACAAAACACCCACGAGCTTGAAACACGCTCCGCGTATAGAAAGGAAGAATAACAACTACACTCACGCACAACGACTGTTTGGCGAGCGCTTCGGACAGCGTACGAGAGGTTGCGTGTACACCGGCAACAGAACTCAGCGCCAGAGAACGAAGGAAAGAGGAGGGTGGGGGTAACACAAACAAACAGACAAAGGAAATGAACGGGTTCAAATAATAATAATAGAAAAAACATTGATAGATGTTTGCTGCGTAACCAGGCAAGCGTTATCAGGAGCGGATGCACGAGTTGCTACTCGCAAAAACATCCCGCACTTCTTATCTCTCTCTCTCGCAACTCACAAACTGCTTTGAGATTGCGTGCAAATACTTGGAGAAAGCATCATTTCAATTACCCCCTTGTGAGTCTCCTTATTCTTTAGAAAGCCGCTTTGTTGTCGTCTTCTTTTGTTATGAACGGAGTTATTATGTACCATTCTGTGACGTTTCCATCCCAACGAAGCCGTAGAAATATTACACAGACAACAGCTGTACTAAGCCGCGCCTTTTTCTTCTTCTTCAGACACCACACTTACGCCATCCATCGACTTCCTCAGTGTAACACGCCTCGCGCGTGCATCGTTCTGCTACTCGTCACAATACAATCGATCAGATCCCACAGGTAATAGAATCGTTTGTGTCATCACCAAAAGTCGACAGATCACCATCACACGTGCGACGGTGCCAGGCGCAGCAAAAGAGACGCTCGCCAGGGGGCGCCCGCAAAGGCAACGCAGACCAACGCACGCCCTTCGCACCCGCCTCCCTTGACAGAGAAGGCGGCGCAGCAGCTCAATCAGTTCGCACCGCTTCACGCGTGAAGAGTGCACGTTGCGTTTTTCGGGATCATGCAGACACTTCAGATACCACAGGAATGCACGGTGAATCATCACGCAGAGCTTCAGGGACCAGGAAGGGCACAGCACATGTAAAACACACAGTCAACAGGTGCAGCAGCGTATGCTGTCCGCCGCACCGTGCAAGCCGCCAGCACGTGGCGCTCACCAGGCCATCCATCGACTTCCTCAGTGTAACACGCCTCGCGCGTGCATCGTTCTGCTACTCGTCACAATACAATCGATCAGATCCCACAGGTAATAGAATCGTTTGTGTCATCACCAAAAGTCGACAGATCACCATCACACGTGCGACGGTGCCAGGCGCAGCAAAAGAGACGCTCGCCAGGGGGCGCCCGCAAAGGCAACGCAGACCAACGCACGCCCTTCGCACCCGCCTCCCTTGACAGAGAAGGCGGCGCAGCAGCTCAATCAGTTCGCACCGCTTCACGCGTGAAGAGTGCACGTTGCGTTTTTCGGGATCATGCAGACACTTCAGATACCACAGGAATGCACGGTGAATCATCACGCAGAGCTTCAGGGACCAGGAAGGGCACAGCACATGTAAAACACACAGTCAACAGGTGCAGCAGCGTATGCTGTCCGCCGCACCGTGCAAGCCGCCAGCACGTGGCGCTCACCAGGCCATCCATCGACTTCCTCAGTGTAACACGCCTCGCGCGTGCATCGTTCTGCTACTCGTCACAATACAATCGATCAGATCCCACAGGTAATAGAATCGTTTGTGTCATCACCAAAAGTCGACAGATCACCATCACACGTGCGACGGTGCCAGGCGCAGCAAAAGAGACGCTCGCCAGGGGGCGCCCGCAAAGGCAACGCAGACCAACGCACGCCCTTCGCACCCGCCTCCCTTGACAGAGAAGGCGGCGCAGCAGCTCAATCAGTTCGCACCGCTTCACGCGTGAAGAGTGCACGTTGCGTTTTTCGGGATCATGCAGACACTTCAGATACCACAGGAATGCACGGTGAATCATCACGCAGAGCTTGGTGCTAGAAAGAATCGTTTACCGTCGTAGGCGTATACGCCGCGCATCTCACCACGATGAACCCTCACGGAAGAGTTGAATAAACCAACCCGAGTTTAAAAAAGAAGACACGAGAAAAGAAGAGGTAGAAGTGGAGTAGAGTTTCATTCACTGTTTCGTTTTCGGCCGACAGCAGTACATCAGGCGTAATGTAACTGGAACAGGAAGCGTGCGCACGTCGTTTACGCAAGACATGACTCTAAACGCACGTGTGGAGTACTGACATGCAAAGATCGGATGCACTGATGCGGGGCGGTGCTCAGGCCCCGTCACCTTCGTGGCGATCTATGCTCTTCTGTGCCATGAGACGCACGAGAGCATCAAAAACTCATTTGCTCGCAATATCAAACGAAGCAAACACACACACAAAACAAATGTGTTTGGAAAATGAAAGCAACGGACTACTAAGCGTGTTCAGGAGAGCGACTAAGGGAAAAAATCTATCGGTAGCATAAACAAACAAACAAGTGCAATCGTACAAGCAGCCACACTTATCTTGCCTCACTGCTCACGTCCGACTCATCAATGCCCATCGACATCACCTCTTCCGCGAGCAGCTCCAACTCCGCCGCCTTCTCCTCCACGAAGGAATTCGCCGTAGCATCCACCAAGGCGGCCAGCTCCTGTTGCGCGCCTTCCTCGAGGCCCGCGTCTCGCAGCACTTTCACGGCATTTGTGCGAGACTCTTTAACACGCTGGCGAAATCCCACCACCAAACTACTGATTTCGGCCGCCGTCTTGTCACGCCGCGCGGTGGTGATGGGGACCATGACCACCTTAATCTTGGTGCCCTCCTTCGACACCTGCAGACCGCTGTCGAAGCGGCTCACGCGCTGCAGAATGGCAGCCGCGAAGGAGGTGGAGTTGGGGGTAATCTCAATCGTTGTGTTACTCGTCTTTACCACCTGCGCCACCTTCGTCAACAGCACGTTGTGCCCACCCGCCATCTCCACCTCCAGCAGCTCCATGCACTTGGCCATGTTCAGCACCTTCATGGCGCTGATGTTCGCCTTCTCGAACGTTCTGGTGTAGATGGACTCCAGTTCCTCTGGAAAGTCGTCGGAGACCATCGTTTGAGCCTCCTGCAGAAGCTGCTCACGCGACTCCTTCTGCTCCCGCGTCTTGCCCATGCGGCGCTCCGCCCGCTCTTCGAAGGTGAGCCGCCGCGCGTCCCCTCTATCGCCTTTGCGGATGTCCTTGCGGAGAGGAGCTGTGACGCAGGCCCATCCGGCCGCAGTGGTGGTGGGCGCGGAAGTCCACGCTGCGGAGGGATGACGAACGGACTGGGCCAGCGTGATGGCAATACCGACGGAGGCGGTGCGCTGAACGAAGCGGAGCATCCTCCAAGTCGCACCTACCACGTCACGTTCCCGCTGTTTCTAGTGAACTCGATTACGTCTGCCCCTTTGCTTTCCGACAAGTCACAAATGGGGCGCTGCCGTGGCTTCGATCTATATGATGTTAACTTACGCTGTCGTTGTTCGCTTAACAAATATATATATATATATATCAATAGATGAATAAAGAGAGACAAGGAAACACAGAGACGTTGAATGGGAATGAGGCAAGGGGTGCGTATGATATACATGAAGGCTGACGCTCTTCGAACAATTGAAACCGCATTCTTCACCGCGAATCGACGGTACAGAATAACTGGTCTTCGAGTCAAACACTCACCCAAAGTACCATCCAGCACTGCAAATTGAACGGTGATGGTACCCACCTCAACCTGTCCGAGTACCGTGAACGCCCCTTCGGCTGAACTGGCCGCTCAGTAAGCTACACATACGCTCAAAGAACAGCAGAAAAAACTTCGCTACGTGACAATTAAACGAGGCCTCTTTGCAGCACCAACGTTCAATTCTGGTAAGACTTTTCTTCCTTTTTTGTTTTTGTATTTTTCGTCGTTACTATTAAATCGCTTTACTTTTTAAATGAAAGGGATCGGGCGCAGAGGAGATAACACGCCAAGGAGAGTCGGGAAAGGTTTGATTCACACACCAACAGCAACCTGTGCAAAAGGCAGAGAACAAACGAAGGTGTTCCCCCACGCCCAGCACCACCAACGCGCAACCACGAAAGCCGAACAAGCGCTTCCGCACAGCATGGAGACGTCACACATTTCTGTCGACTTGAATCAAGCAACTTACGTGTAGATTCAACAGAGAACTTACAATATCTTTCCATACACAGTTGCCCACGCCCATCGCCACAAGAGACTACATTACAAGAGAAAAAAACAAATATATATATATATATATATATATCTTTACAACGACTGCCTGTGCACCAAACATTCCAAATCTGCCTTGTATGTTATCTCCCGCGCTTTTATTTTATTGAAGAGGAAGAAGAAAAAGCCAAACATCACACAAGAATTTAGCTTTGAGCAAACAAACAAACAAAAACAAGAAAGTCTGACGCAATCGCGTCTACCCTGATACGCGGAAAAAAAGAAACAACGAGCAAGTGAGTTTAAGCTGCATGCCAACGCTGGCCGACTTCTTTCCCCTTCTCCCTCTCATACAGAAATGAGAAAATACGAAGGGAGCCCCATCTTCAAAGCAATACAGAAGGTGAAACATTGTGGGGCACAGAGGGCTTCTTCGTTCCACACATGACCAGTCTGCGCCAAACTTGCTCTGCGCGTTTTCATTCCTTTTATTTGCTGTTTCTTTCTTCCCCCCCCCCCCCCCTCCCCCTACTCTAATGGCGACGACGGTTCTTCTTCTGCTTCTCCGCAGCCGCAGCCGCCGCGGCGACGGATCGTTCCTGCATCACGGCATGGGTCAAGTAGGTGGTCGCAAACGAGGCGCCGAGGATGGGCTGCCACAGCGCCGCGAGGTCGCGCTGCAGCTCCACCGAGTCCTTCGTCACCCACAGCTCCAGGTAGTAGGCACGCTCCCGCACCTTCAGCGCCACGCCGTTCACCGTCTCCCGCACCGAGGGGCACCAGGAGTCACCGATGGTGCGGCACAGCAGCAGCTCCCACGCCTCGTCTACCTGCGCTAGGGTCACCTTCACCTTCACAATGCCGCCGTCACGGTTGGACGCGTCCTCCCACTTCGGATCAATGCCGTCGCGGAAGAGGTAGAGGGTGCTGAGGCCCAGCTCCGACGGCGCCGGGATGTTGTTCAGCACCTTCCAGAAAGTCGGAATGCTGTCCACGCGGAAGACCAGCATGGGGTCGTAGTCTTCCTGCTTAATGTTCTCGCCCCAGGTGGAGGGCAGGTAGAAGAGGCACCACAGGTCGTCGAGCATCATCTCTATGCTGTCCTTCGCGGGGTCCTCGGACGGGATGAGTGTTAGGGGGGACGGCTTGGCGAGCACGACGCGGGCTAACGTGCGCTGCGGCACGTAGGCCACCGCCGTCACGTTAAGACCGCTGCGTTGGCTAATTTCGGCAATCTCCTGCGCAGACTTCGCGTCCAGTCGGACAGGCTGGATGTGCGGAGAAGTCTGCCCACTGCGACGCAACGTGGCGGGCGGGGTCTGCTTGCCGGCCGCGGGTGCCTTCGTCAGCTCCATGTCCGCCGTAGAGGTGGGCAGCGCCTCCAACCCACCGTCGGCCGTGTTGCGGCGCCCTGGCACGAAGTCCGCCGCGTCGGGGTTCATGATGTGGTGAGGGGCAATGAAGGGGCTCATGCGAGCCGGCACGCTGCGCGCTAGCACCGCTGGGCTGCGATCGCTAGACGGCACCGCGGCCGGAGATGGGGGCGGGTAGAGCATCGGTCCGTCCATCGCCTTGTCAGCCGCGCCAGCACTCACGGGATGAGTCGCCATCATGTTAGAGGACGGCATCGGACTTGTGGTGTTCGCCCCGGTGCGAGTGACGCTGATCTTTGACTTCGCAGCTGACTGCACCGGTGGAGGCTGCGGAGATGCGGCAGGGACCGGCTGGACCGGCGGCGGTGTAGGGATTATTTGCGCTTGCGCTTGTGCTTGTGCTTGTCGCCGTGCTGCCGCTGCCATCTTCATCATCATGGAGCTTGGCACGTAAGTGGGTGCATCTGCCTTCAACGGGTCCATGTCGAACTAATCAGCTTTCAGTCTTTTGTGTTATTCTGTGTTTAGAGGCGTATAGAAACAGATGTGTCTGTGCCACGGCAACGACAGCGTTGAAGTGTATCTTTGAAACCCCTCCGACACCTTGCAGACTTCCGCTGTTTCTTTTTTCTTTTTGAATTCCAGTTTGGGAAGGGATCAGAATAAGCCGTGCACTAGAGCGCGGCTCACAAACTTGAGGTTTGAAGTATGTGGAATGGTGAATGCGAGCGAGTGTACGCACCGTATGATGTTGGTGCCGCCGTCAAGAGGAAAAACAAAAAGAAAGCGGACACTGCTTACGAGTGGTACGCGATGAAGCGCAGACATACACACGTAGACGTACGAGTGCAGGCACAAAGAAAAAAAAAAAGGCGGAATAGCAGACAATGCGCAGACATGACAGGTAGCGGAGCATAATACAGACGTAACGCATTTTCTTTCCCCCCTTTCCATCTTTCTACACCCCGTGAGCCGTGACGCGCAGTTCGAAGCCTTCACACTGTTGTAATCCAATCCAAGAGCCTACAGACACACGCACTCACAGGAAAGACAAAAAACGAGCGCGTCGTCTACAAGACCTTCGTTTCACGAACACGCATTGGTGGAGCCCAAATTCGGGCCTACAAATCGCAAAAGGCTCCGTGTTTTAAGTTTGTTCCTTTTCATTGTTTGTTCCCTTATAGTACTTATGTGTTAAACATTTACTTCAGCCAAAACGGGTATAGATAAATGTCGATGTAGGTTGCGTAGAGACCGACGAACATAGCATCTCAGCAGAAGAGAATATTTGAAGGAAGAGAACAACGATGCTCAGAAACGATTGCAGTCATCTATATTTATATAAAAGAAATATCAACGCATCCGCCTCTCTTCCTCCTCCTCCTCCACCGTCGCTGGAAGGCGTTCGTTTTGGTGGCCATGAACGCGGCGGATCCTCCGCCCACCGCATCGAGTACAACGCGATGGAGTTACACACACACACACACACACACACAATATATATCCGAGAAAACGAGCAACCTGCTTCGGCTTCACGCCCTGGAAAACAGGAAGGAAATGGTAGGGCGTTCGTCCACGGCAGGTCGGAATCGATCTTTTACAGTTTCCCTTCGATACGCTTCCCACTACGAGCCAAGTACTCCGTTGGCCACGAATTTCGCTTCAACGTGACACACACGCACACACAAGAGACGTCGCAAAACACGCGAACTCTTCTTCTTTTCATTTCTTTTCTCTACGGCGTCGTGCGCTGCGGGTCGCGGGGGAAGAGCGAGACAAGACGTACGTTGCCGAGACCAAGGTAGAGCATCACCACGCGCTCGAGACCGACACCGAAGCCGCCGTGCGGCCAGGCCCCGAGGCGGAAGGAGTCGACGTACTCCTTGATGGGGGTGAGGTCGACGTTCAGCATCTTGGCGCGTGCCAGCAGCAGCTCGGGGTCGTGAATACGCTGCGCGCCGCTGGAGATCTCCTCACCACGGATGAACATGTCGTACGAGTTCGTGAAGCGGGTGTCGTCCTTGCACTCCATCGTGTAGAAGGGCCGCAACGAGGACGGAAAGCGGTCGGAGATGAAGAAGTCGGTGCCGTAGCGCTCCTTCACCAACTTGCCGAGCTGCTTCTCGTTGGTGGTGTTGATGTCATCCGTCGGGGCCAGTTTCTCTTCCAGCACCTCGTTGAGCAGCTCAATGCAGTGAATGTAGTTGATGCGGAGCATGCGGCTCTCCATGTTGTGCACACGAGCCTGATACTTGTCGGTCGGCTCGATGTTCTCGGAGATGACGCCGACGCCGAGTTCTTTCATCTTCTCCGGCGTGAGCTTCCACACCAGCGGCTCGAAGGGGTACTGCTGGCAGACATCCTCCAACTCTTTCGTGTGCGTCGCGAGGTGCTCGAACATGTAGTTGAAGAGACTCTCCGCGAGATCTAACACCTCGTAGTAGTGCTCGTTGATGCGCATCTCGACATCCAAGCCGACGAACTCGGTTAGGTGGCGGTGGGTATTGCTGTTCTCGGCACGAAAGACCGGGCCGACCTCGAACACGCGCGGCAGGTCACCCTGCAGGGCCATCTGCTTGTACAGCTGCGGCGACTGGGCCAGGTAGGCAAATCGGTTGAAGTACTGCAGCTTGAACACGTTCGCACCGCCCTCGCTCGGCGCGTTGATGATCTTCGGCGAGTGAATTTCACAGAAGTCGTTGTCGATAAGGAACTGGCGGAAGTACTGGCCGACGCGGGACTGCATGCGGAAGATGGCGCCCGATGCCTGGGAGCGCATGTCCATCCAACGGCTGTTGAGACGGGTGTCGAAGTTCACCTTCACGCCCTCCTCCGACTCCTTGCGGTTGGCATCCTCCAGGGTGAAGGGCAGCGTGCGCAGCGACTCCGTCACGATGTGGATCTTCGTCACCTTCAGCTCAATGTTCGAGTGCGAGGCGCCGGTGATGGGCTGGTCCACCTTCGACACGGTCGCCTCCACGTCCACGATCGACTCCGATGGGATCTGGCCCATAAAGTCGATCATCTCCTTCGGAATTGTGTCGTCGACCGCCGCCATGGCCTGCACCGAGTCACTGCCATCCCGCAGCACCATGAAAGCCATCTTGCCCTTCTTGCGTGTCGCCGTCACGCGGGCGCGGATCAGCACGGACTTGTCCACGTACTCCGGCTTCGACAGGTCTGTCATGGGGATGTAGGCGCGGGAGTTGTAGGTGGTGGACTGCACCATCGATGCGACGCCGAACACGTCCTTGTACTTCTCGAGCAGGGCCGCCTTCTCCTCGGCGCGGGCCCGTTCTTCCGCCAGCCGGGCCGCCTTTCGGGCCTCCTTAGCGTCCACCTTTTTGTTCGCCGCAGGGACCTCGCCACCCGGCAACGTCTCCGCCGCCGGCGCCTCCGCATCGACGTGGTTCGAGCTCATTGTGGGCAGGAAAGGAGAGTGGAGGGCTTAAAAAAAAAAGGGGGTCGAAAATGCTATTTCAGCGCCGGACGAGAGTGGGAGAGATGCTGAAGAAAGAAGAGAAGTAATAAAAGAGAGCTGGGATGCTACGTTACGGCTCGTAAACTATCATGTAGAAAAGTGAAACAATACCCTTTGTAGACAACTAATACAGTTCAGGTGTTTTGAGACCAATGAGAGAAGCAGAAAGACAAATAGATGGAGAGGAGGACGCTGAAGAAATGAAAGAGAATCCCTTCGTTAGAGCTTCGTGCTCTTCTACGCTGCACGCTCGCCTGAGCGGGGTACCCCAAAAAGGAGTCGTTGAGAGCTGGGCGGCAAAACAACAACAATAATAACAAAAAAAAAAACGGTTGGACACCGCTGCGTGTGGCAAGGAGAGTATCTGCCAACACACGTCACGGATCCTCCGACGTTGGTGAAGACCAAACACATAAATACATGTACGCGTTTCGGCCAGTTTTCTCCGATTCCATTTCTTTTTCGCGTGGAAGAAAAAAGGAGTTAAATTGTCTGTGAAGCGCCGTCGACCGTGATCGATAAGCAAAGAACACAAGCCGTTCGCTGAGTTCTCCAACAACAGAAGTGCTACATTCTCAAACACGCAAAGGAACAGGTTTTGCCAAGCGCGAAACCACCTGTGTGAGGGAGTGAGAAAGAGATGGAGGAAAGATGCTTTTCTTCAACTACTTTACCTCGGCAGATTCGCCATGTCCTCGGCATCCACGTCATCTGTCACACCGGTCTCCTTCTTCTTTTCTTTCTGCAGTCGCCGATGTTGAATTTCCTTCTGAAGAGCGTCGGATTCTTGCAGCCGGCGCAGTGTGAAGTTCGCCGCCTCTGTGGAAGCGGCAGCAGCAGAGCCACGCCGCTTCGTGACGCGCAGCCACTGGGGAAGCACATCACCGAGCTGCTCCATCCCTAGTTCCTCCACGACCCGTCGTAGGGACGGCTCCACGCTCTGTAGCACGGCCGCCGCGTCGTACTCCGTCTTCGCATCTGGCATGTGGGCGTAGAGGGCCATCGCGATATCGAGTGGTTGCCACTCCGAAGCACGCCGGATGAGCACCTTGGTTGGGTCTTCCTCCTCCATGTAATCTACGGTAAAGTAGTGAGGATGGGTGGCGAGCCAGGGGGCGATCTTCTTGGGCAGGCCTGAGGTGCGCATCTCAATCGGCAGCAGCTCCATCGCGTCCCGTAAGTTGAGCGTTTTGTGGGAGGGGAAGCGGTCGTACCACGCGTTTATTATCTCCGCTCTCGTGTAGGTGACAGGCTTTGAAGAAGAGGACGACGAAGATGGTGGTGATGCCTCCGTCGCCACGGCAGACTTGCTGACGTCTAGGGAAAGTTGCGCCGAGCCGGGTGTGCTCCCCTCTTCGAGAACCGGCTGCAACGGCGGTGGGTTCTTGCAGATCCACATGGACACCTGCAGCATGTCCGTCGAGACCGCCAGCGCTCGGCCGTGGGCACGCAGAAAACCTGCGAAACTCTTAAACTGCTGCTTCAGCTTGTGCTTCTGCTCCCGCGAGAGAGCTTCGTACAGGGGAGTGATGCTGACCCAGTGTGGAATGTCACTGTCGCAAACCGCGCGTTTGATCATCGCGGCCACCTCCGGGAAAGGCGACGTCTCCAGCGTGTATTCGTCCAGCGCGAGCGGAGCGAGATGCCGTGGACGACGACGAACGTGGCCGTCCACGACCTGAAATTCATCGGGCAGCTTACCCGCAATGGAGAGCAGCCCACCCTGACAATCAAAGTAGGGATGAAACAAGATATCCTCTGGGATGTTCTCCTCCAGCTTTTCAATGGACACGAACGTCTCCGGCACCAGCGTACGCAGGCGATCCACCACGGGCACACGTTCCTCCAGGTGCACCTGCACCGACGGCGGCGGCACTGGCGGCTTCACAAAGACGTTACACTGCACACTGTCCAGGCTTTCGGTGCTGGTGATGTACTCCGGTTTGGCAATGTAGCTCGTCGTCTCACCCACGTCTGTCATCATGTACTTCTCATCGGCAGCGCCGCGCTGCGGGTGGCTCACGTCGCGGTGCAGCCGCACCAAACTGGAGCCGATGCCATTCATCTGCATATCGAACAAAAACGGGAAGCGCTTCAGAAAATATAGAAGACGACCGCGTCCAACAAAATTTTCGCGGAGCTCCTCCGGCAGCACCGACGCCACGCATGGCACACTCACGTAGTACGTGGGGATGTACGAAACGAAGGCGGTGAGAACCTCCTGGGGGGAGCGCAGCACCGTCGCAGGGGCGTGGGTCGTGCCGGCCCCGGATGCCGTGCCTAAGTGGGCGGAGGTCAGCGGAGGGGGCGGGGGGAGCTTCGAACCGGCGCGATTGCGCAACGCGCTGCCGGGAGGTGGCGGGAGTGGCGGCGGCAGCGGCGGGCCTCCTCCCCGCCCCGCTGTCAACCATCGTCGCTGCGTTAGTGCAAAAGCGTGGCACGACGAAGGCTGACAGCGGGACAAGGCGCTGCTCCAACTGCCCTTGCTTACGCCGGCACATGCGAGCGGCGCTCCTTCGCTACAGAAACGGTACATGAAGCGCTTAACGTTCTCGCTGATTACCTTGCCTTGGAGTTGTCTGAGTAATAGTAAAAGAGAAGGCGTTTAAGCACTGCTCAAAGGGGGTGTAGGTGGCTTCCTTTAAAACAAAAAGAAGAATAGAAAAGCGAGCGCACTTCGACTCGGGGCAGCCCGCTTCTAATTGCTGGGAAGACAGCAGAGGGGGAAGAAAACCTTGAAGAAATGAAGGGAGGAGAGAAAATTAGAAGACGTACCTTAAAGAAGCCAAATAATGAAAGCGGAAACATATTTGAGCTACAGTGCTTGGAAAAATAACAACAACCTAATAACAAGAAATGCCTCGCAGCGCGCGACGCAACGCTGTAGCCATGTCACGTCCGTTACGGGGCAGAGAATCCTCATGGCACCTGTCAGCGGCGTACACCGAAGCGGGAAAAAAAAAAGAAGAGGCCGCGGAGGAATGAATGCGGAATTTACCCAAGAACGGACCAAGGAAAGAAGCGGAGGAGCGGCTTTCTTCCTCGGTTCACAAAGGCGCAATTTTTTTAAATTCTTTTCTCCTTTTTTTTTTTAGAGGAGTGAAAGGAATCACTTACAAGGATTATTCCTGTTAAGGGCGTACTTTGCACGCCTTAATACTTAAACGAGCTCCGCGCAGAGCAGTTAGTGGCACACACACACACACACACAAAACAAGGCAACAAATCGTGCCGGCGATTGTCACGTTAAACGGCAACTTCAGACAAATACGCGCATCGAGATCGCGTATGCAACCAAATACACTCACCACAGTCCCTGTTCATCACGCCACGCCTTGCTTCATGCGCAGCGCGGCCACAATTTCACGTCGAATCTCAGGCGTGATCATGTAATGGAAATGCACGTTGCACACGCTCGATAGCAGGCCCAGCTGCGCCTCGGTCAGGTCTGCCTTGTAGTGCTGGATGAAGGTCAGTAGCGTCTGGTGCCACAGCACCGGCAGCGCCTCCTCCTTCGTGTGCGTCTCGAGGAAGCGGTGGAAGTACTTGACCAGCTCGTCGATGGCCTGGTAGGGCAACGCCATCTTCTTGTCAATCAGGACGCGCAAAAACACGGCGCACGGCCCGCTAAAGGGCTGCTGGGCGATCTTGTAAATCGTGACAGCGGTGGGGACCGGCGGGAGGTGGGAGCGCTGCAGCACGCTGGCCACCACAAGCGCCTCACGCAGGGTGCACTCCTCGTCCGTGGCGAGAGGAAGCAGAAAGCCTTTGAAGAAGGCTACAGGCTTGAAAAGAGCCTTGCGCACAGCCATGTACAACGCGGGGTGCAACTTCTTTTCCTCTAACAGACGCTCGTGCACGATGGGCAGCAGCACGGCGGCGTAGTAGCGCTGCAGCATGTTCTCATTCAAGTTCGCCGCAAAGATGCGGGTTGCCTGGTAGGTGGCGTGCGGCGACCACTGATCCGGCTTCGTCAGCATCAGTAGCGGCTCCCAGTTCTTCACATTCGGCAGAATCTTGAAGGCTTTTGGGATCTTGCCAGACGTGTACCGCTTCAGCACCGTGCCGATGGCGGTGTACACGCGCGCTACACGGTTGTCGATCTTGTCTTCGTCATCCTCGTTGTTGTCCACGCCCGCATTCGGCCCGGAGCTTTGCGCCGCGCCGCGGGCACCGTCCTCCTTCTCCTTAATCTTCTCCATGATCATGTCGGCCAAGTTGCGGCTCTGCACACGAGAGGCGGGCTGGAAAGCGTGGAGCAGCCTCGCCTCCTCCTCGTCGATGCCGTACATCTCCGGTGTGATCTCGCCCATCGCCTCCGAAGGCAGCTCCGACGCAATCGACTCGTTGTCGTCGTACTCCAACTCCGCCATGTTCGCATCCGCCTCGGCCTCGAACTCGTACTGGTGCGCGCGGCCCTCCGTCGTCATCTCCTCGTTGTCGAGCAGCTCGCGCAGGCCGTCGTCCTCGCCGTCATGGTTGTTGCCGCCTACGTACGCCTCCTCCGCCGTCAACTCATCTTGAATGTCCTCCAACTGCTGCTTTGCGGTGCGCAGAATGCGCTTCGTAGCGTGGTTCGGGATGAGGTAGCCGGCCTGGTCGACGGCATTGCTGTCGTCACCGCGGCGGTGGGAGGAAGCCTTGGCGCTGGCGAAGCGCTCGGCGTTGATGTCATCCCCCAGCGGGTTCGAGCGCTGCGACTCCTTCTTCGTCTTTTCCTTTCCAGGCATTCTTTTAATTTAACCACGTGTGTGTCTCCTCGCTATACTTTATCTTCCCTTTTCAATAATAATAATAATAACAGCAGTTGTTGCCACAACGACTGGGAGAATGCGTAAGGATGTGTGTGCGTTGATCTGAACCGTCGCTCAGACGGAAGAGCACAGAAGAAAGAGGGAAAGAGAGGAAGTGATGAAAGCCGGGTAACCAATCGAACGCCGCCTTCTTGTGTTCCATTATTTTATTCTTGAGAGTTGCTCAAGAAGAGGAGACCAGCACTGGCCTCTAGTGCTATGAAGGACTCAAGGAAGCTTAGTTTCAGAGGAAGCACAAATTAATGTGGCTTTGCATCCATAGTGCAGCTGGCCTAAGATGGCGGCTCCTGCGCAGACAGCAGTTTCCTTTCTACGCTGTCTAATATGAAGCATCCGGCACACCAGAAAGTTCTCGCTAAATGCACCCTCTTACTGCCTGCGTGATTCGTGTGAAACGTGAACGCGAAAAGAAGGAAAAAGGAGAAGAAGAATAAAGAATGCGTACGGTGTAACAGACGAGGCAACCAAAAGGCGGGAGTGTCGCTGTCTACCTGGCGATCTATCTATTGGCAGTCAATCCAAGATGGAGAAACACAACAAAGCACGAAAGCACCCGCATTCCCAGCAAGCAATAACAGCGGCCAAAAGGAAAGGAAGGGAGGGGGAGGGGGGCGTCTCGAGAGATAATTACAGGGGAGACGCGAGGACCGCAAGAGAAAGATACCTCCCCTCCTCCTCCTCCTCTTCCCCCAAAACAAAGAAAACAGCGTACAGAGAGTTCTGCGACTTTCCCACGCACGCAGTGCAATGCCTCCAACATTATGGCAGCTTTAGCTAATCCGCGGAGGAGAGGGCGGAGGTGGAATCTGCTTCACCTTCTGCGTCGCCTTCTTCCACATCACCACATCCTCGTTGCGTCGAGCCAGATCTGCCTGCACGCGCTGGAGTCGCTTCTCCTTCCGCGCCAGCCGGCGATCCCTCTCCTCCAAAATCGCCAGCCACGAGGACACCTGCTTGCTCAGCTGCTCCACCTCACCAATCTGCTGCTGTGCCGCGTTCTGCTGCTCGTTGTGCTGCCGCAGCCGCGCGTTGTGGTCCGCCTCCCGCTTCTTCAGCCGCTCCTTTCGATCATTCAGCACCTCCTCCAGTTTGGTCACCTCCCGCTCCACAATAATGCGGGCCTCGCGCTGCCGCGCCAGTTCCCGCTCTTTTTCGCTCAGTAAACGCCGCCTGTCGTCCATGGCGGCACCGCGGTCAATCACCGGCCGCGCAAACAACAGCGCCGCGGCGAACTTCGCCTCCATCGACGCCACGGCGGCCTCCACGGCTGCCGCTTCCCGACCGCGCACGTCATCCAGCGTGGCACCACCGGGCGGGGCGCTGCGCAGTTCCACATCTCGTGCCACGAGCCGGTTGCGCTGCTGGGCGAGTGCCTGCGCCTTGTCCTGGTGCGGCAGCGGCGGAGGGAAGCGCTCGATGCCGGTGCGTTCCACCACGTACTCGACACCGCGTTGTAAGAGGAGAAGTCGCCGATACGTCATTTCCAGCTGGTCAAAGGAGGAGGAGTTCACGGAGGGGAGGGCGGCAGGAGCGGCAGAGGAATTTACGCCTGTTGCTGGTGGCGAGGGGGACGCACTTGTCGTTCCCACCCCTGCTGCTGCCATCGCTGCTGCTGCTGCTGCTGCCGTGGAGAACGCGGCCCGGGAGGCGAACAGAGCCGTGTTTTCAGTGTTCAACGCCGCGTATGCTGCGGCAGGGGAGAGGTAGCTGTCGGAGCTGTCGGAGCTGTCCAGGGTGTCGCTTTCCGTGTCGGCATTCAATTCGACCGTCGGCGGTGACGTCGACATGGACGTCTCAGATGAAGCTGCCTCATCGGAGGTGCGAAACGGACTGTGGTGGTCGAGCTGCTGCGCCTGGTGCAGGCGGTGTTGGCGGTAAAGCTCTGCCGCCCGTTGGATGAGGGAGTGGGTGGAGTTTGAAGCAGCGGTGGCGGTGGCAGCAGCGGCAGACGATGCAACGCGTGTGGCGGAGGATGAACCTTGCGAAGGATCGTGTGCGGGTGGCGACGCAGCGGCGGCGGCTCTCCTGTCTGACGGCGGTTCGGTGCTGTGCCGGTCTGGTGAGTCGCTGTAGGCGCGAAAGATGCGCTGCAGCACGTTGTCCAGCGTGGGCGGGGGGTCTGCCTTTGACTCGCTTACCTGTTCGTCCTCTTCCGTGCAGTCGTCCTCCTCCTCCTCGTACTCTTCCACCTCCTCAATGTCGTACTCCACGCGCTCATTGTGCTCGTCTCCTTTGTTTTCCTCTGCGTCGCTCGACTCGCTGTAGTACCCAAACACAGCGGAAGCGTGCAGGGGAGAGGTGGTGGGGAGGGCAGCCGCATCGGTAGCTGCGGCAGGACCTGCCGAGGCTGCGGAGACGTACGGTGCCGCCGCTGCGGCAGAATTCAACGGAGAAGCAACGCTGCTTAGCGGCGAGGAATTCTTGTTGTTTGATTCCGCCGTGGCCGCCAAAGGGCTCGTTGAGGTTGAGTTCACAAAGTCCTCTGCCAAGCTGCGTGCCAGTCGTGGCGCAGGTGCGGGTGCGGGTGGCATTCGGTGGTGCGTCTGCGGCCGCGGTGAAGGGCGGACGGCGTCCGTCGTCCCTGAAGCGGAGCTTTTCGTCACTTCTGGCAGTGCCGGTGCGCCGTTCTGGTCATTGCCGACTGATGTGGGAGAAGATGTGAACGTGGACCTCGTAACCCCAGAGGTGGGGGAGACCTGGGAAACTGATTTGGTGAGCTGACCGGCGGCGGCGCACGTGTCGGCTTCGCGCCGCCGTTTATGTTAACGGAAGCTGTCGCTGCGGTTTCCACTGCTGTTCCTGCGGAAGCGGCTCTGCTGAAGATGGCAGCGATGGAGGCAGAAGAGCTGGATGTTGCTGCGCTGCGTGTGGCGGCAGCGTTGTACAGCTCCAAACGCTCCTGCAGCTGCTGAATGCGCTGCTGCTGTACGGTCTGCCGGTTCGCCTCCGTCATGACTTCAGACTGTATGTGCAAGTATATATTATGAATTGAGAGGTATGCTATGTACTGTAGAGACACACACAAAAAGGAGGCAACAATCAATAAAAAGATTACCTCTCTTTCTCTCTCGCTCTGTGTGTGTGTGTGTGCGTGTAGGGAAAAAAACAACAACTTAAAAAGAGCAATAATAATTGTTGTATGTGTGCTGATGCTGATCTCACACAAGTGCAGCTGACCAGCAAGAGTCCACGAATACGGTTTAGAAATTTCGGGTGGACGGTTCACGGAGACTCTCGCGTGAGCGATGGAGAGAGCGAGTAGCACACACACGGACGGCAGAAAGGACTGACAGTATTTTTGTATTTCTTTCTGCTGTTTTCTATAATTTCACTTCCGAGTCTTCCTCAATGTCAGAAAATAAATAAAAACTGAACCGCCTCGCCCGCAGGACCAAATGAGAGGAGGGAAATAGGAATAATAGCAAGTCCGAAGAAGGGCTTATTAAGGATAGCGGAAAAAGGAGGAAGCCGCCGAGTACAGCCGCCTTCTCCGTGTGGGAAGCGTCGCCGGGGCTTACGGGGACTCGATGAAAAAAGATGTTCTTTCGACTGTTGCTTGTTAACTGAACGCAGACGTTTCCTCCGACGAAGTAAGCTGGAGGAGGAGGGGTGGATGAAGAGAAAGAAGGGAGGAAAGCAGAATGAAATCACTTTTTTTTTCGAAGCTGAAGTTGGCATTGATCGGGAGCACAGAAGACGAGTAGTGGGCATTGTGTAATCCTTGTGTGCGTGCGTGGGGGCTTGTATCGGTGTACCCTCCCCCCCCCCCACACACACACAGAGACACAGCTAAGGGGAAGAAACGCCTTGCATGTAAAAGATATAGCGTCGAACGCCTTTCACCTTCCATTGACAATCAGACAGTCGCGGCCCTCTTTTCGCCTCCTTTTTTCGTTATCTTCCTGGTGTAGGTGTCTCTTCGCTCTTCTGCAGGAATCTAAAATCTAAGGAGATGTCAAGCTGTATGAACATAAAAGGGCGAAAACCAACAAGAGAAAAGAGAAAGGAAAGGGAGTGAGAGGCATCGGGTGCTCCGTACCGTCGGCGGTGAGCGGTTCCTCTGAACGACGGAGATCCCTTGTACGGAGAGCAACAACAGTATAAGCAAGAATAAAAGACACAAAGGAGGAGACAAGCCCTACAAAAGCATGAGAGAGTACAAATTCTAAAAAAGGAAAAAAAGGGATAAGAAAGATCTAAGCAGATAGGAGGAAGGAACAATAAAGGAAAGGGCGGAGATACTCATCTGTGCAGCTGAGGGAAGGCTTACCAGCAAAAAAGAACATATATATTAATGTGGGTGTTGGCGAGTCGAAGGAGGTGCGGTGCTTTCCGCTACGCCTCCGTTACGCCTCCGCTTGCTTTCGAATGAGGGCGCGAATTTCTGTCAGCAGATGCTTCTTTAGCACGTGATGCTGCGTTGCCAGTGACGAGCCCTCCTCTTTCAAAAAGACTTTCATCTCTCGCTTGGTTAGGCAAGCAAGACTCTGACGAATCGTGTGCTGCATCACGTACGCTTTCAGTTCGTCGTGGTGCATTGTGTACGTGCGCGCGGACTGCGGCGATTCAGCGGAGGACGAGCGAGAAGAAGCGGAAGTGCGACTGCCATGGCTTACACGCGGTGACGAGTCCGGCGAGTGCGTACGCTGCGAGGCGCCTGAAGGCGATGGCGGGGACGTCGAAGACGACCGGCTGCCAGGGCTGCAGTCGCCATGCTTTCCGGAAGGTGACTTCACGGCGGACGGCGGGGGAGCCGGGGGCAGCACCACCGAGTCGCGCTTCGGTGTCGTGCTCTGCGACGTCTCCACACGCGCCTTCTTGGACGGCGGTCGGTGCACGGACGTCCTCGCCGCCTCTTCTTCTTCCTCTTCTTCTTCTTCGCTTTCTTCCACTTCTTCCTCACTGCAGGACGACTCCGCATCAGCGAAGATAACCACCTTCGTCGGCGTCACGTTCTCCAGCTTATCGGGACTCACAAACCGGACCGACTTGCGAGGCGAGGCCTGGACCGGGCGACCTGCACCGTACACATTGTAGCTGCTGATGTTCTGCATGGCTTCGGCGGTCGGTGGCGCGACATGGGGTGGCAGCGGCGCCGGCGACGCGTCGACACCACCGTGCGGTGTCCGCTGCAACGACCGTCGAATGCGCTGAAGAAGCGACGGCGAGGATTGACTGTCGGACTCGTCCGCAGTGTTTGTTGAGCCCGTAGTAGCAGTAGCTGGTCCGGAGACAGGGGAGCTGCGTGCCGGCGCTGCAGGGGTCGGCGGAGGTGCCGGCAGCGGCGGAAGCGACGGCGACGGTGCGCGAAGGCCGAGCCACCCGCCGAGGCCGTTTCGGCTGGGCGACGGTGATGTGGGGGTGGCGTCCTCTTCACGACTTCCTCTTCCTCCTCCTGTGCGAGGTGCGTGGGCGCAACGGGAGTGGTGTGCGGTGCTGCGGGCACTGCCGGGGAGTCCTTCGCCGGCGAGGAGAACCCACCAAACCACCGCGTCGGAGTCTGCTGCTGTTGCTGCTGCTGCTGCTGCACGGGCGGGGCATCACCCTGCGACAGCGGCGGCGTCGGCGTGTCGGCACGACGCCCGGGCGACTGCGAAAGACGCTCTTCCAGAGCCTTGGCCACAAACAACTCTTGCTCCCGCGTGCGGTCCAGAAGCTCTTGGGCGCGCTGGATGACGTGGTCGCACTTCGTCGCGAACTCGCGCAGCGATGGGGAGCGGGTGGCGAGGTCGGCCGGCGCCGCGTTTATGCCGCGGCGTCGCGTGAGGGAGGAGGTTTGCACGCGACTGTGCAGGCCCGAATCGACGCGGCTCGGCACGTGGGAGTAGTCCGGCACGGGCGTTTCGTGGAAGACGGGGCGGGCGTGTAGTGGCTGCGCCGCCCCGATGGTGGAGGGGGAAGGGTCGACGGAGACGGTCTGACAGGGCTGCGCCTCGAGTGTGGTCTTCGCCCGTCGCAGACTGGACTTCGTAGGACGCAGGAAGGACATGGCGGTGCGCACGCCGCAAGGACATACAAGATTTCTGGTCCCACACTTCTGACTTCGACGCTGCTGCGGTTCTGCGAAGACGGTTCTTTTCCTCTGAACTTGAGAAGCACCAGATTGATGCCAACTTCTCTAAAAAGACTGTGAGGGGTGGGGTGGGGGGGGGGAATAGTTAAGAAAGATCTCTGACCGGTGCTTTCTTTGTCTTGCGTTGTGCCACGACTGTCAGCGTCGAGTTATGTAGATCTCATTCACCAGTGTAGTGACACACACAACCAGGGGGAAAAACAACGACAGTAAGAGAGATTGAGTGAGTAAGTCGAAAAAATAAAACACAACGAAGTTCGAGCTTTAATAATCAGCCCAGAACCGCAAAAGTGCGTCTTCTCGTGGAGGTGCGGCAACGCCACGACGCACACGCGCAATTTCCTTTCTACCTCCGCCGAGTTCAGAGCCGGCTGCTTTACCCCTCGTGCAAACGCTTAACCACGACGATGACAACAAGAACATTATCGGCAATCTGGAAACGTACGTGTTTGAAGCTACAAAGGAACACAACCGAGATTGAGGCCTTCTAACCTTTCATTTTTCTTCCAGTTTTGGTCATCTACAACATCAAGCAGAATTTTTTTTTCTACAATAGAGCTTTGGTACTTCGTTGCGCACGCGATGGGAGGCTGATACATGCATTTGCAGCCCCACACGAACTCAGCAAGAGGAATCAAATTTCAAAGTAAGACATCAAAAATAAAGAAACAGCAAGAAATAAGGAACTAATGTACATCACTACCTGTAGACGCTGTGGTCGTTTTGTTGTGGCCCTATGTCATCAAAAAGGCGGCGCAGAATGTAAAAAGCAGCGAGTAATAAACACCAGCGATTACCAGACACATTTCTCTTTTCTTTTATATATTTGCTTTTCCGTAGCAGCTCAGTCGTGCGCGCCCTTTTCTTCACCGCCGATGCGACTTTGGCGGCTGCGGACGGCCTTTGCGAGTCAGCGGGACTTCCACCCGGTACCGAAGCGCATCGAGCGCGGCGTCGGCGCTGTTTGACGGCGGCGGCGACGGCCCACGACCGATCGACAGCCGCACATCCGCGCACATCGTCGCCCTTTCCAACTCCGCCAATCGTGCTTGCACGGCCATAATGCGCACCGCCTGCCGCACCACGCTGATTTGCTGCTCCTTCAAGTTTGCGTGAAGCTGGAGCAACTGAAGATTGGATTGAGGAGCCATACTCATGCGACTAGCGCGAGAAGTGGGCTTTGAGGGCGGTGTCACGGTACCCGCTACGAACACTGGAGCAATCGAGGGAGCCGCGAGAGGTGAATTCACGGTTCGCCTGCCTGTTCGAGGCGAGCTTTGGCCTGGCGTGGCAGCAGTCCCGCTGCTGGTAACTGCACCGTCCAAGGAGAAACACGGAACAGCGGCGTCGAGCGGACCGTCTGCCACCGCCCCACCGCGACTTTTCCTCTCCCCGGCTGGCTCCACCCCCTGCTCCCACAAAGCGTTGTAGGCGAGGAGTGCCTCTTGGAGTTGGCGCTGTCGCTGCTGCAGCTCGTGCCGCATCTCGCGAATCGACAACAGGTCTACCTCCATCGCGGCGTCGTGCAGAAACAGCACGCGGCTGTGCGGGAGTGGCACACCAGACGTCGTCGTCGTATTTGTAGCGGCTGGCGAACCACTCGAAAGCCCGGCCACGTTGGGTGCCGCACGGCTGAGGGAGGTGCCACCCACCTCGCCACCACTGCCGGTGAAAAGATCAAAAGGATTCAGCCGGATGATACCAATTCTGCGTCGCTGAACCTCCACCGCGGCCTCGTCGGCGACGTCGACCGCCGCCGCTGCCTCCTTCGCTCTCTGCCCCGGCCCAGACACCGCCGTCACCACCGCCTCTGGAAACGGTGAAACGCTCAGCGAGGTGGCCGGCGAGTGTCGCGGCGGCCACGCGGACCCGTCACGCGAGCCCCGCCCGGCGTTAACGGAGGCACCGCCGCGATTCGCAGAGCTGCCGCGCGCACTGGCAGGCGCGCTGATCTCCGCCACCGCCCTCAGCGCGGGCCCCTCCACATAACGGAAGGTGTCCTCCACCGTCACATGGAGCAACAGCGGCTGCTGCAAGGCGGTGACGAGGTTGGGGGTGAGGGGCAGCTGCGCTGTGTACACGCCGGTGTCGGACAGCGAGCTGTGCCGGGCCGCCGTGCCATCCGGCGATGCCTTCGAGAGCACGAACGGGTCTCGAACGCCCGACAACCCGCCGCTCGCGGCGTTGCCGTAGGCACCAGTCGCACCACCAGCACCACCACCAGCGATGGCACAAACGGGGGAGGCACCCTTTCTGCGCTGCTTTGCTGCGGAGGCGGACGAAATGAGAGGCATGTTAGCACCGTGACGCACACCGTTGCGCTGTGGGGCGACCAAAGGCGGTGTCGCAAGACCAACTTCAAACTCTACTTGTACACCAGCGTTTGCCGGACTGCTCATCCGGTCGGCGGGATCTTCATGCTTGGTCTCAGGGGTGCCAAGCACCGCACCCACGCCGTCGCTACCACCCCAGCAGCCTTCGATGCACACCCGCGATGCTACTTCATAGAGCGGCAGCGCAGCCGCCACGCGCTTCCCGCCGGAGGTGACGGTGGCGCCAAAGGTGTTGCCGCGCGTCCCAAGCGGGGCACCAAGTCGACCACCACCGATGTCCGCCGCCGTGCTCGCCTTTACTTTCCGACTTCCAGGAGAGTTCTGTGCAGAGAGGGGTGCGAGGAGTGGCGACAGCACCCTCGACGTCGCCGGCGTGGTGAACGGGCTGGACAGCACGTCGCTCCCCCCTTGCGAGGACGCTGCGGCAGCCGCGGGGTTGCCCAGTCCCGCCAGCTCGTACACAAAGGCAGAGGACGGCAGCAGCTCCTCGATGGTGTGCGCCGGCACGACAGGCTCCAACGTGCTCAGACCGCGCAAGACGAGCAGCTCCATCTCCGCCACTATCGTCGTGCGCAGTGCCGCCTCGGCGGACAGGGGCAGCGGCTGCGCACTCTCTTCAATCGCGGCAGCGGAGAGGGAGATCTGCGACGTCGCAGAGGTGGTAGAGCGCCTCTGCACAGAAGACTTGATCGATCGCGAGACTTGGTCTATGCCTGACGACACCGCCTCGTGCGCCGCGTTGCCAATCTCCGTTCCCACCACCGCAGGTAGCGTCAGCTTGTGAATGGCCGGTGCTCGCTGCCCCGCCTTTTGATTCGGTGCTGCCCCTTCGACAGATACGTGCTCCATCGTCGCACCTGCGTCGGCCGCGTGCTCGCTGAACAGCATCTTCTGAAAGCTAAGCGTGCGTTCCTCGCTGGTGATGGCGACGCGGTCGAGCCTGTCCAGACGCACGCACCCGCGAATAACAGTCGTGCGATACGTGTCTAGAAAGGAGATTGGGTTGCCTTGGAAAGTGACCTCGGCCAGTGCGTCGTGCACCGCCACATCCCGCACGACGGCGTCGATGTCCGTCATGCAGTTGAAGGACGCGTCGAGCAACGTCAATGCGGGGAGAAGGGCAATAAAACTTACATCGCGCAGCTGATTGTAGGCGAGCCCGAGAGTGGTGAGCGACGTGTAAATGAAAGGCGTGTTCGTTGGGTTAAGGACGGGAGGGTACAAGAACGATTTTAGGTGGCATCCGCTGGCCACCACCACGCGACAGTGCGGGGGAAGCGTTCGCAGCTGTGTTAAGCCAGGGTTGCGGTTCAGCCGGAGCACTTCCATGCGGTCACACCGGGCCAACTCGCCCACCGCGTTGCCCAGTCGTTCCTCTGTCACGTTCAACTCAGTAAAAGTGGAAAAAAGAAAGCCCGCAGGCACGTGTGCGGCCTTTTCGTGTGCCATGGCGACGTGCAGACCCTTCAACTCGCCCGGCGAAAGGTGACCCCAGCGGCCCGCAAACCGCTCAGCGAGGGTGACGAGGTGCAGCAGAGCCTTGAAGTACGTGCGAACGGCACCGCGGATGGCGCGCAGCACGGAGGGGCCACACCGCCGCGTGGGCTCCATGTCGTCCCACCGCGGGAGCAGACCGTCCTCCTCCGCCTCCTCGCCGTCAGCGTTGTCCGCTTCCGTTACATCCAACTCCTTCTCCATGGAGGATGCATCCTCCACCGGCCCACTTGCTTGCTTCTTGATGCGCGAAAACCTCTTGTGTGTACTTCGTTTTGGGGGCACAGGCGAGGGAGAATCGGCCGATGCCCCAACGGCGCAGGTGCGACTCGCTTGCAATGCGCGCATCTTCTTAGTCCACTCCGTCAGAAAAGCAGAGGTGACGGGCTGCACCGCCGGGTGCTCAAACACGGCGCCGTTCTGCAGTTGCTGACGCAGCCCTGCCCCCTCTTCCTGAATCCGCGAGAAGGCTGCCCACGAGTTCACGCCGGTGTAGGTGTGGAAGATGTCATCCATCACGTCCGTTATGCCGCGAGTGGCGGCGCGAGTTTGGGCAGAGACGGCGCCGGCACTGTGAGGCAAGGAGGCTGCAGCCGCTTTTGTGGTTCGTTCGTCTGTTACGGACACCGGCCGCGGAGGGCACACGGAGCAGTGGGGATTCTTTCCTGCAGGAGCGGAGGCGTGCGAGCGGGCCTGCACGACGGGCACGTCGCGAACAACAAGTGCAGAGAACATCGTATAGATGGATGAGCGCCGTGGGAGGGTCTCCACTTCGCTACTAGACTGAAGAAGTAAATACCACTATAAATAAATAAAATGAATATTGATGAAGAGGTCGATGCTTTGATTGACCGAACGCCCGATATGGTACCACGGAGGCAAAAACCACTCAGTACGCCCTTCACTCTCGCTGGTAAGCGCGTCTGGCTCGCGGATGCTTTGCACAGATGAATCGAGTGAAGCCGCACGCTTCTGTTCGTCATGCGGTTAGAGTTGGGTGGGAGTCGACAGAAAAAATGGAGATGACCGCCGGTAATTGGAGCACCGAAGTTGCTCTCCTCCGAGAAAAAGCCCTGTTAGCCTGTGGATAAACCCCTAGTACTCCATTCCTTGTTTGAGAAGCGTTGCGCACAGTAAAAGTCTGAGTTCATCGAGTCAATCCAGCAGTTCCACCACTCTTCAAGAAAGTGTGTTGTTTTCATTTCTTTAATTCCCGTAAAGCTCGATAGTTGCCTATCATCTGCTGCTCTTCTGTCGTTCGTTGCTGCGGTCGTGTGCGTTTCTGTGAAGGTGCGCAAGAGTAGAGTTGAGAGTAACACAACGGAAACAATTATTTCGTTTGATTAGTTATATATAAATAAAAAGATTAAAGCAAACCATTAAAGTTTTATCTTTTCAATAACAGCCTTGAAAAAGGAATATGAATTGCATCCAGCAAAAAACGTATACTCGAGAGTAACAGACGAATACGAAAAAGAGGCAGCAAGCACACTGGCAAGACGTGCTTGCGCCCACGATACCTTTCCCTCCTCCCCCATTCCAGCTCGGAGATTTCAGCGGCAGATACAGCCAACTTTTGAATTTCTTCACACCTTTCCTTCTTCTCTTGCAGCTCGCTGCGACAGCCCCCAAACGCACGTTCTTCTGCAGATGAAAAAAAAAAACCCCTCGCCATCTGTTCGCAAAACGAACGAGGCGCCTCTCAACGAGTGTACACGCTCAGCTCCACCTTCAAACCCGAGACGTACCGCACCACGCGACGCACCTTCTCTTCCATCAGCTGCGCCGTGAAGCTGTCGGCGGTCACCGCTTCACGCAGCTGCTCCAACACAGCAGCGGGTGGCGAGGCGGTCCGTCCGGTTGTGGTGGCCAACGTGGACCACGTCGCTGCCTCGTAGCGGTGCTGTGCGGCTTCCAGCGTCTCCTTCACCGCCGCTGCCCACCCTTTCACCGGCAATTTTTTCGCTGGGGCCATCTTCAGCAGCGCGGCGATGAAGTGCGCCTGCGGGTAGAGGAACGCCTCAAAGGCGGCCGCGCTGTGCGGCTGCGCTGCGTCTGCCACGAGAGATTGCAAATAGGCACGCAGCTCTTCCAGCGCATCCGCGGAGACTTCAGAGGTGGCCTCGCCGAGAGAATCGACGTAGGGGCGCAGCACCTTCGCAAGCGACTGGATGGCGGGTAGGTACTCCACCGGCCCAGCGTCGGCAGCTTGCGCTTCCATGCGTTTGCACAGCAGCACCGGCGCGGCACTCGCCGGCGTCGTCGCTGCTTCGCTGTTCCCTTTTCCTTTGCCGCCTCCCTTGCGGGCGTTGCCGCTCTGACGACCCGTCTGCTGATGAAGGTGCACGGCCACCATGTCATGCAACAGGAAGGCGGAGGCGAGCATTTGCCGACTGCGGCGCAGCTGCCACCCCCGCGTGGGCACCGACACCAAGGTCTCCGTCAGTTCCTGCACCTGGGCGGAGTGGATATTGCCCAGAATCATCGACCGCGCCACCACCCAATCCGTATTGTCCACGAGGCTTTCCGCGTTGGCGCCGCTGAGTCTCTCCCACGCCTGCCACAAGGCCTCCGTGCGTGTCTCGAAGGACTCCACCACGTCCTTCTGCGTTTGGCACTCCGTCAGCACCGCCGCCAGCTCATTTGCCGGGTACTGCCAGCGGAAGAGGGAGTTGGTCTGCGCCGCCTCAAAGCGCTGCACGTCCTGCATCGCGGGCCATGAGGTGTAGTTGAACACCTTGGCCCGCAGCAGGCTGCAGTCGCGCTCTTGACGGCTGTAGTGGTCCTCCGCCCAGCTCTCCCATTCCCCAACATCTTCGAGGGCAAGACCACTCAGCATGGGCCAGTACCCAATGTGCGTCATGGTGTCCCGCTGGATGTTTTTGAAAGCGAGCTGGTGCAGCGCTGCGCAGTCGGTGATGCCCAGCAGGTTCGCGAAGCACACGGCGTAGATGAGCCACGTCGGGTTGTTCATGCGCCGATCCACGGACTGCAGGGCATCGAGGCCCCTCACGAGGTACGCGTAATCGGATGCGCCGTCCTTTGCCGCCGTGAAACCACGGAGAGCGGTGTTCAGCGCGACGGTGATGTAGCCATCGCACTGCCCTTCCTCACTCCACGCGAGGCCCTCGGACAGCTTGCGGCTGCTGTGGTACGCCTCCACACACTCGTCGAACAGCGTGTGCAGCTCCGCCGCGGCGGGTGTCGTCTCCCACGAGGCCACGTAGCAGCGCAGACCCAGCAGGCGTCGTGTGTGCACCTCCAGTTCATCGACAGACTCGTCGGTGGTGGTGGTGGTGGTCCGTGACCACTCGTAGATCTCCGCCGCGATGGCGGGCGTGAGGAAGGTGGAGAGGTCGAGGTAGCAGCTGGGCTTGCGGTAGAAGCGGCGTACGTAGGCCATCACCTTCGTGTGCACTTCGTCCTTGGCAGTCGGCAGGCTATGCAGTAGGTCGAGCTCGGCCAGGTAAGCGCCACGACGCACCTTGCTCGCGTGCTTCGACTCCTCTGCTACCTGCAGCTCCCGTGCGAGCTTCACCGCCTCCTCCAGGGAGTGGTGGGCAGTACGGCAGTCAATCGAGGCGCGCATCTCCGGCAATGGGCCGAGCACCTCCAGCACGGTGGTCTTCGCTTCTTCCTCGACCTCCTCCTCCTTCGCCGCCGTGGGCAAGAGCGATTCTTTATAGAGCGTGAAGGAGGTCCAGTTGTCGCTCTCTGCGGTCCACAGGTAACGCGCCACCGCGTTCGCTGCGGCGAAGCGACCAACTTTGCACAGCATCCTCGATAGCTGCTCGAGGCGAGTGGCGAGCAGGCCGATCTTGGCGGCGCGCTCACTCAACAGAAAGGCGATCGCCGTCGCGTACTGCCCTTGCTGGGCGAGGACGTCGACGTACGTCTGCACCGTGGAGGGCACGATGTGGCCCTTCTCTGTCAGCACCGCGGCATCCAGCAGTTTGGTGGCGAGCTTGAGCAGCATGTGGTCGTTGCTGTCGGCCGGCACCTGGGCCAGCATGCCCTGCACCATCCACACCTGGTACTTTGGGTCGCTGTACTGCCGGTACAGCTGCGTCGCCGTCTGCTGCACCTTTGCGTAGGCGCCCATGCGGGCGTAGGTTTGCACCAGGTTCTCCATGATTTGGCGCTCGTTTTGCAGCGGCTTCAGGCGCTCGTAGGTGGCGGCGAGCTCCTCCCAGCAGCAGCAGTTCTGCAGGACGTGGATGAGGGCGTTCACCGCCTTTGGCTTCGTGATCGTCTTTGCGCTGAGCTCGATCGCCCTCTTCTTCGCAAAGGGGTAGTTGCCCTCGCGCATCTTTAGCAGCGCCTCGGCGACGCCAAGGCTGTCGTCTTGCGGATACTTCTTCACGGCTGTCTCTAAGGCGCCCGCCGCCTGGTTGAGTTGATTGGAGTCGATGAGGTCAAAGACCCGAACAGCGGCGCGATCTGCGTCCATTGTGACCTAGGTTTTTGTTCGTTGCTCTCTTTCGGTGTGAGTTCGGTAATGGTGTGCGAAATCTGCGAGTTTTGAGATATGTCCGTGTGCGTGTGTGTGTGTGTTTGTGTGGGGTGCGTGTAGGCTCTGCTCCTGTGTACCAGAGTCAAGCGTACCTCAAACTATGCTGAAGAGATTCTTTTTCTTTCATAGGTGCGGAAAGCAGTAAGAGTATAATGTGAAAAACCAGAGAAAAAGAATAATTGCAGAGCGAAGAGACGCGTTGGAGCACTTACATTGCGCATTGCAGGTACAGACCTTTTCGGTCTTTATGGAAAGAGGGAGACCATTCACGCAGACTCCTTGGGAGAGCCAATGTGGTGGCGTCACGACTTGCGACTGGCGAGTGCTGTTCAGTTGAATTTGCTTTCTCGACAAACGTCGCTGCTTCGACAAATCAACCGCTGTTTCTTCCTTCTTCTCTGGCGGCGTGGAAACTCCGGTCATCAGTAGGAGCAGCAGCAACAGAAAACCGATACGAGAGCGTTGCACAGCACACAACCGCGGCTTACCTAAAAGGGAAGGATCCTGAAAGAAAAAAGAGGAAAACAGCGAGAGCAGATGCGCAGCAGCATTCAGTCCGCTTTGCTGTTCCCCGATGCATCTGCATGACCGGCCAACACGAGCCGCAAACTCGTCCGCAGCTGCTCGACGTCCATCCCTCGGTGCCGCCGCAGCACGGACACGTCCAGCGTCGGTAGCTGCTCCGCCAGTTGCGTCACTGGCAAAGAAAAAAGAAAGCGACCGGCCGCGAGACCGTCGGCCAGCTCCAGCTGATGGTCCGACATGAGCTGCCGATTTGGCACGACAACGAGCGGCCGGCACGCCTGCAGGCCTTCCAAGATGGTGCCGGCACCTGCGTGGGTAACGACGAGGGTTGCCGTGCGAATTAACGCGTCGAGGTGGGGCCGGTAGGGAAAGGCTTCCACACGAAGGCCACCGCAGATCCACTGCTGCACCGGTGACGACAATGGAGCTTCGCCGTCCTGCAGCGTTGCCCGCATCGCCGTCGCACCAGCCGGCATGGACAGCGCCGCCGTGCCATACTGAACGTACAGCGTCGATAAGCGAAAATGCTTCTTCAGAGCCGCGCAGAGCGTGGGCTGCACCATCGTTTCGACGAGGGCAGTGAACCTTGTAGAACCCACGGTGACCAGCGCGTAGGGCTCCTGTTCGGACGGCAGAGGGGGTGGAAAGCGATCCGAAGCGAAGGCAGCAGCCGTTGTGGTAGTCGTGCCGCTGCTGACGCCTTGCGTTTCATCGGCTTCCTCGCAGCCGATGTACACCAGCGTGCCACGACGACGGCACTGCTGCACCGCCTTCTCCAGCGATCGCCAGTGCACCGTGAAGACGTCTGCCACAAACGGCGCCAGCAACCGCCCCGTCAGCGAAAGGTGGGCCACGCAAGTAAAGGACTCCATGTACACGATCGCAGGCCGCTTGTACCACCACGGCAGGCACGCGGCGACGCACAGGGCGGCCGCAATCACGGGGATGCACACGCCAGGGCCGTTTGTCAGCAACACATCGGGCCGCTCCGCAAAGATCACACGTAACGAGGCAGCGGCCGCCTCCAGAGTCGAGGCAACAGAGGTGATGTAGCTCTGACCCACTTCACGTGCGCGTGGAATTTTGTAGACGATGGCGCGACGCTTGAAGAGCTTCTGCTCCTGCTGCTGTGCAAGATCGCCGGAGTGGGCGTCGGTCGCACTCACGACATAAAACGGTCGGTTGTCGTGCCAGAAGGCAGACGGTAGTTCGCTGATGGCGCGCAGCATCTCACTTGTGTGTCCGCCGGAGCCCAAAACGACGCCGATTTTCATGGGACGACGGTGCGGTGCACAGAGCGCCACGGGTTGGTGGTGCCATACACTGAGCCATAGCGAAAGTAGGAACGCGCATAAGAGCAGCAGCAGCACAACGAGGGCTAAGAACCACATTTTATGTGCGTGCGTGTGTGGGTGCACGAGAGTGCTTGTGACAGAGGAAGCACGACTAGCCTCAAAATACTATTTTGAGAAATATACAAATTAATGCTCAGCTGCAACGCGTAATCGTCTTTCAAGAAGAATAAGGCACTCTGCTTCTTCTCCCTTCTTGCACGTTTTTCGTGTGTGCAGACCTTTGCAGCTCCTCAGAGATTACAGACGCCGGTAGTGTAACAGAAGCGTTTAAAGAAAAGCAATAATAATAATAATAGTGAATGCGGTGATCGGAAAGAGTAGAGGGCGGGCAGAATCGCTTTTCCCACTTTTGTGTAGTGGAGCGGACATGGTAATTGTCAAGCTACTCACGTTGTAAACACCCCACAAATCAGCCGCGAAACCACTGCGGTCGACAGGATTGTCACATCCTGTGCTAACAAATACCTGTCGAACAATTATTCCTTCTTTCTTTGGGTTAGTAGTACTATACAAGTCAATTGAGCGAACCAAGCAGGCCGTTCACCGCGTGTGCGCCGTACGACGCTTTGCAGGCGCCGCCACCCACTCATAAGTCACCAGCTCGTCCTCCGCCGTCGACGCGGCTACGCCCAAGGCGTCGCGCCGCAGTGCGCCGAGGCCGCCACGGCCCTCGTCCAGGTTCTGTCGCACGCCGTCCACCACCTGACCACCGTGTGCGCCGCGTCCCCAGCGTCGACTGCCGTCACACCCGACATCCCAGCTGACCGAGACAACGCGGTCGTCCAGCAGCGACCCGTTCAGCCCCTGCACCGCCCTCACCGCCGCCGCCTGGGACTCGTACACGATGAAGCAAAACCCACACGGGCAGCGGGTTGCTTCGTTGAGGCCAATGACAACATCGCGTATGTGCCCACACGGCGCGAAGTGGTCGTACAGCTGCGCCTCAGTGGTGTAGAAGGACAGATTACCGACGTAGACGGTGGTGCTGTCGTTCAGCTGCTCCTGTCGCCGCTCCTGGAACTCTTCCGTGGTGAGCAGCGATCGCAGGAGCTCGTGCCGGTCCACGTACTGCATGCGCGGCACGCTGTCGACGAGGTCGCTCGACATTCCTGCTGCGCAGTGCTCACAGTGTCCTGAGGAAATGGTAGTAATACTGCTCTGCGTTTTCTTTGAATGCGGGAACGAAAGGCAAATACATTGAAAAGCGCAAAGGACATAGTGTGGAAGAAAGAGAGGAGTAAATGAAACGTGTTTTGCATGTCGCTTGTGCAAATACCTAAAGAAAGACTCGCACATGCACGTCTGGGAGAGTGAAACGGGCCAGCAACTTTTTTTTTTGCCTCCTTTCTTCTTCTTTCTGTTTGTCTGTCTGTTTGTTTGTTTAAACGCTAACTGAAGGACAACGTTACATTGACACAGGCAAATATCCAACAACCACAACCACACGTACTGCGTCACACATTCGCTCGTCAGGATGCGGAGGAGAAATCAAACCGTCTCTTTTCTCTTTCCCTTTAAGTTTATGTGTGTGATTACGGAGTACGCAACAACAGTGTGAACGAGCGAAGGAACACAACTCAAAGCACGCCAAACGCAGAGGACTCGCACAACGAGACAAGGAGGGAATCTTACGGAACAATCCTCAAAGGACGAAAGGGAGAGAAAGAGACTACGCCGCAACAATAACAGCAAAGAAAAAAAAAAACAGAGCAAGAATGACGAAAGAAAGCTTAAGAACGATATAAGACAAATATAGATATTACTTTTGCTGCTCGTCACATCGCGATGCTTCCAAGAAAGGGGCGCCGCTCTCTCTCTCTCTACTACCCCTTTCCTTTTTGTGTATCTCTGTGTATATATATAGATGGAGAAGGCTGATAATGCAACAACACGAAATGCCACTGTGGGTTTACGTCTCCCTGTGCCGCTACACTCCTCTCTTGCTCAAACTGAACTGCCGTATTCTGCTTTTCATCTTACAAGGACAACGATAAGAAAAAAGCAGCTCAACAAACCGAGTTGTATCGTGGCGAGAGAATAAAGATGGCGGAGAAGGAGCATCGTGTGCAACGCGCGCAAACACCGACAAGGAAGCGCCAAGTGGAGATGGTGGGAGGATATAACCTCAAAGCGAAGAACGAAGAAAAAAAAAAAGAAGCAGCGACGGAGACGATAGCGTGCCCAACCAATCAAACATTTCAGATCAACTGTGCACACGGCGTGTGCGTCAGAAAAAAAGAAAAAGAAAGAGAGAAAGGGGAAAAATAAACCTCGTCCGGTGTATTCGAGGAACGAGCGTTGCGCAAACGAAAACAAACAACCAAAAAGCGGAGAATCTACAAAGGAAAAAAGAACTGGCAATAAGAATTGGGCATACACCTTTGCTTTGACAGCTACAAATGAAAGAGCGCCAACGCAACGCCGTGCGCTACACCGGTTATTGTGCCTTTCTTGTAAACGCTGGAGGCAAAAATATATCGCCCCCTTCCCAAGCAAAATTGTGAATAAAACACAATAATAACAGCCGTAGTTAGAGTGTATTACGTTAGACGCTTGTGCTGTTCACGGCAGCTTCCCCTTCACGCTTCTTGTTCAAGTATTCGCGGTAGCGCTGCCCACGCGTAGACTCCGGCTCGTCCACGGCGTCCTCGCGCGGGCGAGCGGCGCTGCTCCGGACGCTGCTCGGCTCACTTTCCGCACCGACATCGCCGGGCAAGAACGGCGACGACAGCTGATAGCCTAGCTCCGCCTCTACAAGCTTCCGCCCGTCAATGATGCGCTGCCGCACCGCCGGACTCTCCGTGTTGTTCGGGTTGTGAATCTCCATCCCGACCAACGCCAGCACCTGCTGCGTGAGTTGGAAGAAGACGATGATGGCGATGAACGGAATCATGAGCGGGAGCAGCTTGTTTACGTAGGAGCCGAAGAGAAGACCTATGTCCATGTTGCTGCGGTACACATGCCCGTACGCGACGTCCACACGCGTCTCGCTCGCCGTGGAAGACAAACCCGAAATGAGCAGAAAGTTGTAGCACAGCGGCATGAGCAGACGCACGAGGAAGGTTTCGTTGAAGCAGAGGGAGGCGTTGTCGGCGATGCTGGGGTAGATCACGTAGACGTCGAACACCTTGAACTGGAAGGCAGCCCAGTAGGCGCAGTAAGCCATGTAGAAGAGAAAGATGATCGACCCCGGCAGGTGGACGGAGCTCTTCATGATGAGCTCAATCACGCCGAGTGGGTGACCGACCCAGTCACGCAGCGGCATCGTCAGTTCACTCCACAGGATGAAGAGGGTCAGGACGGAGCAGACAACACAGCCAGTGTAGTACACGTACGCGCGAATTGGGAACCACAGCTTCTTGAGACGGTTGTTCGTGCTCTTCACACCACGCACAATCTGATCGAGCGAGTCGCACTTACGCACGGTCGACGTCCAGCGGTAATTCGTGCGGTTCACCACCTTAATCGCCTTCTTCAGGCGGGCGTTCAGCTCCACCAAGTGCTCGAGCGACACGTCGCCGTTGTCGTTCGACGGCGAGGCCTTGACACGCTGCGCCGCGATGTGGTACATCGGCACCTCGCGATCGGCATTTGAGATCAGCTCCAGCATGGAGGTCAGGTGCGGCCGGTTCTCGTCGGAGACCTGCGGGTCAATGCTGATCAGCTCTGACTTGATCGCAGCGAGGTCCATCGCGGCCAGGTCCAGGTCCTCTTGGATGTCGGTGGCCTCATAGAGGCGTCGCCGCAGCAAGCGCTTGGCGTCGGCGTAGCGGTAGAGCATGCGTGGCACCCCGACCAGGCCGGCCGGCATAAAGAGGGTGAGAATTAGGAGACCCCACGCATTGGCCAAGGAGATGACCACCTTCAACACGTTGGCCACGGAGTGGTACGAGTTGGTGATGATAACAAAGTACACGAGGGCGGCAACGATCACCACGATGATGATGGCGTATAGGATCAGGTTCAGCTTGATCGAGTGCATGATGCGCCCCTTCACGCTGAACTCGCCGACTTCCGTGTACATCTGGCAAACAGGGAGCGAAACCCAGGCGCAGAAGTATGTGGCGGCGAAGATGGTGATCCAGAAGTAGCGCATCCAGCCCTGCGCGTCGCCCGGCCGCGTTTGTGCTGTGAGGGATGCGTCCACGTCCAGCACGAGCAGCGGAAAAGGTAAGACACACATGTACACGGAAATTACGTGCCAGATGGCACACATGAGAGGAATGTACTTGATGGACTCCTTTGTGTAGTAGCGGTAGGCCGCTACACTGGCCACGAGGGCCAGAACGGAGAAGATCACCGTCCACACAATGTAAACTGCGGTCATTGATTACCGTCAAGTGTTTAGAGGTGCGTGCAGATGAGAAACCAAAACTCTGTTTAGAGCTTAAAAGAGTGCTTCCTACTTGGCTTCGAGTGCTTCTGTCGTTTCTGCGCCTAACCCTTGCTCCACAGCAACAACAAAACCAGAGACGCTGGCGCTCTCGTCCAGACAAATGGTAAACAAATGTAGAGAGTTGGTGAAATGCAGAAGCGGAAAAACACAAGAAGGGCTTCGCAAGTAGGACGTGTGCGTATCAGAAGCGTACGGAGCAGCGAACGCGCCACAAAGAAAGAGAACACTAAATAAATCAGCGAGAAGAGCAGACGAAAGAAAGAGCAGCTGTTGGCAAAACAGAATTTAGAGTCTGGAGGCGGCAACAAGAACAAGAACTAGAAGTCCACGACGAAGGGGGGCGAGAAAACAACTACGCACACGTCAACAAACGCGCTCACGACAAGATTCGGCAAAGAAAGAAAGAGGGCAGAGATTAGTTTCCGTTCTCAATGGAACCCCTCTAATTCGCGGAGAACACCTCACCGCTGAGATAGTAGAAAAATAAGAAAGGGAGAGGAGAGGCGCTGGTGTCAGACGTACGCAGAAAGCTGTGCTTCAGCCCGTGTTGAGAGACCAAAACACGAGCAGCAGTGGTAGAAAGGTGGACAGAGAAAGGTGGGGGAGGGGGGGGGGGTGGCACGACATCTGGGTTGCATAAAGGCCTAAAAACGTACTCGCAAAAGGGGCTGACCCACAAAAAGCACAGCACATTTCCTTTTTCTCCGCCTGATCCCCCTCACTGATTCAACACACACACACGCACGCACGCACCCGACAAGCAGAAGATGGCGAGAGGCGGATAGAAACAACGCTTTCATGAGAAGCAAAAGAAGCTTCTGTTTCGTTAAGACGGTTGCACCACTGTTTTGACTAACACACCGCAGATCACATCTGCATAACAAAAGAGATAAATAATACTTCGAAATCGGTTACTTACGTTACACCAAAGAGCACCACTTCGACAAGGAAAACACCTCCACCAACACACACACACACACAGAGAGAGAGAGAGAAGGTGATCACTTCAAGATTCATCCCCAAGAGAACTAATGTAGCTCTGCTCTTTCCCTCCCTCTTTTACTGGCAGAAAAAACGACAGTGACTGAACGAAAGCGTACCGTCACAACGGAACTGTAGCTGCTGTTGTGGCTGTACAGCCGCTGTGCATCGGGGCTGCGGTCCACCTGAAGCGATACTCGTCGTCTGTAAAGCTACAAAAACCGTAAAAGCAATAGCCAACAGCAACAACATGACAACGCATCACTTATTCGCCCCCATTTCTTCTTTCCCCCCTCTCATGCGAACTTACGCGTTTTCAGCCTGCTCCACCTTGACGGCGAGCACGTCGCGCTGTTCCAGCACCGCCACCAGCTCGTCACGCACCGGGTTCGGCTCCATCGCCTTGAGCTGCATCGCAAGGCGGTTCTTGTCCATTGTCTGCTTCGTCAGCTTCTGCTGCAGCTGCGTCACTTCTCCCTTGCTCATCTCCTTCGTGGGCGATGCGGGCTCGCCGAGGGTGGCGGTCTTCTGCGTGTACTCCGCCAGCGACTTCTTCGCCTCCGCGAGCGCCGCGGGCAGCTCCTCGTCGCTCGTGTGCAGAACGGTATCGAGGCGCGTCTTCTCCTTCATTACCAGCGCCACGTCCACCTTCATCTTTGCTGCCTCTTCTGCGGAGAGCTGGCCGGGCTTGGGGCTGCCCTTGCCGCTCCTCTTCTTTGCGCCGAGGCCTTCGTTCAGCAGCACCGCGCCGCGGCTCTCCAGCTGGCGCTCGATGGCGGCCGTGTCGACCTTTCGGGCCTGACTCTTCAGCCGTGCCTCGTTCTCCTCCTTGCGGCGCAGCATCGCCTGAAAGCGCTCCTGTGCCTCGAGGAACTCCGCCTCCTTGCGCTTCTCTTCCTCCTCCTGCTGCCGCTTGCGCTCAGCCAGCTGCTCCTCTGTCGTCAGACCCTCCTCCTCCGCCTCGCTCTCGCTATCGTCGTTGACGTCGCGGCCCTTGGCGCGGTTCTCAAAGACAAACTTCTTGCGATCCTTGTCGTTGTCGCGCTCCTCCTTCAGCACGGCGTTCTGCCGCGTCATCAGGGCCAGCTCGAAGCCGTGCAGCAGCTTGTCGTCCATCGACGGATCACGCGTGAGATGGCCCGAGACGGACAGCAGCAGCTTCTCGTAGTTGGGGGAGTCATGGAAGTTGGCGCGCAGAAAGTTTTCGGTCACTTTAGCCATGGCGAGGGCGTAGACCTGACCCCTCTTCAGCTCGCCATACTGGAAGGTGTAAGTGTCTTTTTCGGCTGACATGGTGCTGGGACGGGGAGAAAGCGGATAGACAGTAGGAATAATAGTGAGTTGTAGGAAGAGAAGAGGTAGTATTTGGTTTGTAGAAGAGTTCCTACCGAATAAGACAAAACCGGAAAAAAGAATAGTGGAATGAAACGGGTACAACATAAGAGGTTGTGTTTGCGTTTACCCGTGTGTGTGTGTGTGTGTCGTCCGGCACGGAAAATGCGAAGAAAGAGAGGGGAGAGAAGGGAAAACACATACATGTAGATATAAAGACGTTGCTAGAAGGCAAATGCAGGCATGTTTTCTTCCCGTGCAGTGACAGCGAGAAGGAAAGTGAAGGGTACGTGGGTGTTGAGACCGATGCAGCTGGTTTGAGACATCGCATTTGAATTGCTGCTGACCAAACACGAGAAACAGCTGACCAGCATCACGATCAAAGTACGTAGCGCTTCTTTGCAAATATGTCTTCGCATGCGAAAATAAAGGAGGACACATTAGCGGTTCAGCAGCAGTCCGGCATCCTACGAATTTGTCATATTTCTCTTCTTTTAAAGAGCTGCAACAACGCAGCACACACACACACACACACACACACACACAGAGAAAAAGAGGTTCGACATTACCCCACCGTTGTCCTTAAACGTGTGAGAACGAAACACGCCCCTACTTCGGGTAAAGCAACCCCGGCTTACCGATGCGCATTGGGCGACGCTGGTCGCACATTTCCGGCAGGATACTGCTGTTGCTGAGGCTGCTGTACGCCGTCTTTCGGCATCATCACATACCCCACCGCCACCGTGGAGTTCGCCGTGTTGTCCTGCACGTGCACGAACTCCTGCGGCGTCACACGGGCAGCTGGCATCGCTTGCTGTGGGACGTAGGCTTGCGGCTGGAAAGGCACCGGGGTAATGTTCGGCCGACTGCCCGACGGCGACGCCGGCCGCGGTGAAGCGACAGCTGCCGGCGACGGTGCGGACGTAGATGGGAGAGGGGTCGGCGCGTTCGTTTCTGCTGCGCTAGGGTGGGCGAGCGGGGGCACCGTCCCCCACCGCACCTCGACCTGCGCCGCACCCGCCGCCGTCACCTCATCCCGCACCCCGGGGAATAGGAAGGCGTTGTTCTCGCTGCGCGGCGGCTCGCCCCACTGCCCTTCGCCCTGTCCCCACTGCCCGCCCGCCGGGATCGGCGCGTTGAGGCCAGGAATGCGGATCTCCGGGTACGCCGGGGGCAGGCGTCGCATCGCTTGCATGCTGTAGAGCCACGGCGGCGGCGCCGTCGGGCCGATGCCGAGTGCTTGCCGAAGCCGCGACGATAGAACACCAGGTACGTGGTGCGTCTTCACGCGCCACTTCCCCTCGTAGAACACGTCGCCCACGCTGCTCAGTTCCACCTGGTATGTTTTGTGGCGCAGGGGGGTGCCGGTCATGAAGCAGGAGAGAAAGGCGATGCGATTGGGGCTCGCCTTCTTGTCCTTGGTGGCGCGGATTTTCTCAATGCCCAGGGCCGCCACCTCCGCCGGCACAATCCCAACGGCCTCCTCGCGGTCTGCCTGGCGAGAGAGGAAGGTGCGCTGCAACTTCCAGTGGCTCGGCACCGGCACCGTGTGCGGCTCCATCTTCATGCGCACCGTGAAGAGGGGGTCCACGGCGTTGCCGTCGTGCTCGCTGACGATCTCTGTCGCCGCCGGTCCGAATTTCTCCGCGGCGCGCACCTTCAGCTCTTCCCACGACATCTTATGGTGCTTCCGCCCCGCCAGTGCGGAGGAGGAGGGGCGTGTACCGCCTTTAGAACCGGCGCCCAACGAGGGCAGCACCACCCGGTCACCTTCGTCGCCCTCTTCGTTGTGCTCTTTGCCGAGTGCTGCTGCGGCGGCCGACGAGGGTTCGTTGCTGCCCTCTGCTGCAGCTGCGGCGGCGCTGCCGTCCTTAACGGAAGGCTCGCCCTCTGCGTGTTCGGCGGCCTCCTCCACCAGCGGCGGTGCGGGGGCGAGGGTGTAGATGATCTCCTCAGTCTTTTCCTCCGTTGCCTCCAACAACAGCTTGTCTTGAATACGTTGGCTAATGCTCTTCAGCTGCTCGGCACGCTCGCGGCGCGCCGCCTTCTTCTCCTTCTTGGATTTAGCCATGATGCTACCCTTTCGTCGAAGTATGCGAAGGGATGTGGGTGTTTCTTTGAAAGATAAGACACCTCGTACAAGAAGCCCTTCAACGCAGAAATCGAATGTTCCACCGCAGCAACAAGGGGAGAGAAAGAAAAAAACAAAATGATTGCAAACTACCGGTGCTAGACGATCGCCTCTCTCGAAAAAAACGGCAACTCCAACAACAAACAGTAACAGGGACACTCTACCTTGCCCTTCTACCCAGCATGTGAATCTCAGCGGGCTTGGCTTCCGAAATTCTTTCACGCGACGGAGACGTGTTGAGGCAAATTCGACTTCAGAAGCAAAAAACGAAAATGAGACGAAAGAAGTGGATGAAGTTGAGTGATAAACACGGAGGAGAAGGAAAGACAAACACACGAAAACCACGAGGGGGGGGGGGAGGGGCCAACAAACGACGTTGAGCAACATATCAAACAGGCAAAAAAAGCACAATGAACTCTGCATGACTGTCGCACGACAGTACACGGAGACACCGATGTCTGGTGTGCTCGATGATCTGTGTTGTTTTTCTGTGCTATTGTCTCATCATCAGCCTCGCTTGCTGTTTTCCCGGCCAAAAAGCTACGCAGCTAGAGTTCCGTTTCTATCAGCAACCGGTGCACCGTAGCTGAAACCTCTCAGCTTTTCTTTCCTTCAGCGTCGCGTCACATCTCATTGTTCGCTTGTTATGTGTAGATGTACAACATAAATATATATATGCTCAGCTAATGGCCCAGGTGTGTGCACGCGTGTGATACCCACGAACCATTTTTCCTTTTCCGATAAACGTTTGCGAGTAACTCCCTCGGAGAAGACAGAACGAAAACAAACCCAGCTAGCGAGACCCAACAACAACGAGCTTCACCGTGCAAATAAAACTCCCCATAAAACAAAAACAAAAGCGCCAACACACGCACACACAGAAGAAAAAAAAAAAAGCAGCTACGAAAAAAAGCGGTGAGACGCAGCGAAACCTTTTCCCCTCCAGCTTCGTTTGCAAGACGGCGCTTCTTTCTTTGTGTTGTTCGCTGCAACCGCAGCGGATACTCGACATGGTAGCATCGCCTGCGTGGCAGCTTTCTTTATCTTCCTTCTCAGCAAAAGCGCACACACGACCAGCGCGAAAGCCCCTCAAGAAAAGAAAAGAGCAACGAAAACGCCAGCTTAGTACGTCTGCGGAGACAGAAGGGCCAGGTTGCCTTTGCTGTCCATCGTGGCCTCGCGACTCGTGCTAACGAAGCCGTGCTCATCCACCAGCTCCGTCATCAAGCCCGCATTGTTGTAGTAGCCGGCGGTGACGTGTGGTCCCTTCACGCGGAGGTTGCCGCGCGTGCCGGCCGCCAGCACCTTCGCGTCGCTCGTGCCGCGATCACCAACGACCTTCGCCTCCGCGTGCGGGACCATCCCTTGCGGGCCTTTCTGCAGCGTGCGCCACGTGAGCATGTAGCACGTCTCTATAGGGCCACGGAACACATAAACGTCATCGAGGCAGAGGGCCTTGGCTAGCTTCTTCAGGTAGTCCTCCGACACGGGCGGCTCCACGCCATCCTCAAAGAGGACGACGGAGTGCAGGTGCTCGAACTGGTCAGCGTCGAAGTTGCCGGCGTGCTTCAGCAGCAGGTCGAAGTCCTTCTTGCGGCCCAGCAGCGTCTCCACCTCCTCCACGCAAAGCTTCTCAATACCGTTGATGGCGTGGTCGTCCGTGAACATGTCGGAGTGGATGTGCACGAGCACCGCGCCGGACGTGAGAGCAGCGTAGGGTGCGACGATGGCGCCTACAGGGTCGGTGTGGTGGTTCGGCATGACACCGAAGCGCGTCTCTGCCTTAAAGCGCATGAGCTGACTGAAGAAAAAGCCGGCGTTGACGCAGTTGCGGTGGGAGTAGGTGACGTGCAGCTTGTCCTCCATGGCCGGGTAGGGGTCCTCGAGCGCTAGCACTGGATCGTCGGGGTGCAGCAGCGCCGACAGACGGCGCAGACGCTGCTCGTAGTAGGAGAAGGGGCCCCACACAAGCATCTTGCGCATCGGTGTGACACCGAGAAGGTTCATGTTGTGGTCCGTGATGATGATCTTCTTGAGGTAGTAGAACTCCTGCGAGTGCACCCACTGGAACTTCTGACCCGGGTAGGAGAGACCGAGCTCAGGGATGACGTTGTAGATCGTGTCCCAGAAGTGCATGTTGCGCTCCACTAACTCGCCCTGCTTCACCTCCGGTACGTTGATCCACTCGCGCGCCACGAGGTGGCGGGGTTGAAACTCGTTCAGGTAAAACCGCAGCTTATCGGCGCTGATGGCCTCCTGGGGCACCACGCACAACAGCGCACCGATCTTGGCGCACGCGAGCTGCATGACGAAGGTCTCACAGTTGCAGGGCTGAATGGCCAGCACGCGGTCGCCCGGTCGCACACCGGTCTGCAGCAACCCGTGGGCCAGTGCTTCGCTGTTTTTGCGGATGTCCGCAAAGGCCCAGCGGACGGCCTGGTGCTCAATGCGGAGGAAGTCTTTGTAGTACATTTTTCGGGATTGAATGTTCACGTAGTAACCAATGAGCTGGTCCAGCACCGGCGTGCCTGTGGTGCCCTGCACCTCCGAGTAGGCGGGCATGTAAGGACCGGAGGAGGCGGCGGTAGCAGCAGCAGGTGCCGACTTCGGAATCGCACCGACCGATGTCACGCCCTGGTTGAAGCGCATCGCGACGGAGGCGCTCACGAGCCGCGGAAAGGCAACCCGACGGAACATTTCTATGCCGGGGTTTTTTTTTTTGGGGGGGGGCGGGTTTTTTTTTTTTTGGCTGCTGAGCGTACTTGTCTGTTAGAGCCTTTACTACTCTAGTACTAATAATTTGGTTTTGGAGGGGGTTGAGGGTCTCAGAAGCGGATGCAATCAGGAAGCTGCTGCTTGCTTGAACTTGGCGAATCCCGTCAACTTCTCCTGTATATAAGGTCCACTGATTAACTTTTCGATAGCTATGTTTGTTCTTCCTTTCCTACTTTACTAAAGCGTTTTGTCTCTCTGTGGGAAGGCGAAACAGCCCAGCTGAATACTTTCTACACGACTGCTTTCTTCGACGAGGACGAAGGAGTAAGAGAAGACACAGAAGAGATCCGCACGAGAGGCATGAATGAATGGGGAAGGGGGTTGAGGGGAAGAAGAAGATGAAAAAAAAAAGCGGCCGCATCAAGTCCGCGTCGACACAGCGATGTGCGACGATACTTCTTCGCCTGCGATCGAAACCTCAAGAAGGTGACTTCGTCATTGGTTGTTGTCGCTGTACTGCACAGCAGCACTCATAAACCTCTTGCATCAAATAACATCGAGCAAGACTATCATCCTAGTTGTTGCGGCAAACGTTTTTTATTTGTTTTCAAAGGTTCGCTTTCCAAATGAAGTTGCACGCAGCCGATGATTCACATAAATGAGAAAGAAAGTCGCAAACGTACTTGCAAAGGAAAAGGAAAAAGTGAATCGTAAGCGAGTTTACGTCTCGAGATATCCGACCGAAGGTGACAAAAAAGTCATTCCGCGATAGAAGGCGGAGATCGCTGCGACTCCGCCACTGTTTGACCTTGCCACAACGCATGGCATCCTCCTGCGCTACTCAGATCCGGTACGGATGATCTCTAGCAGGCTATTCACTTTATTTTCCTTCAACGCATGGCGGCAGTTTGCGATGAGCTGCGTTCGCGCGGGACCGATGCGCAGCTTACCTGCGTGCTGGATCGCCGTGTTAACATCCTTCAGCGCCAATTTCAGCTCCTCGTAATTGCTGATCCGCTTCGCGTTCTCGCCCAGCAGCTCCTGGTCCACGTCGTACAGCGCCGCGTACGACTTCTTCATCGAGCCCATGTCTCCCAGCAGCCGCGCATCCTCCGCACGGCCCAGCAGCGTCTTGACAATCGTCGCCGCATCGGCCATGTCGGTCGACAGCTTCATGCGCACCTCGTTGAATTCATCGACACGGGCCAGGATGCCGCGCAGGCGCTCCAGCTCGGCGGCGATCTCGCACCGCACCTCGACCGGGTCAGCGGGCCCGTCCGTCCACGCCCCTTTCAACTCCTCCGCCATGGCGTTGATCACCGCCCCGCACGGCGCAAGGTAGTCGGAGCGCAGGGTGAACAGGTTAAAAGTGTCGCCAGCGTCAGCCATACCGTTGCGCACCTCAATGCCCAGGCTGCTGCCATCGCGCACGTGCAGCAGCTCAAGATGCAAGATCGGAGCGCCCGGCGAGTTCGCATCGGAGAGACTGAGGTCCTCTGGCACACTAAACGACTGACGCAGCCACTGCTCGACAACCTCCAACTTCAACGACTCGCGCCAGCGCAGTGACACGTAACCGGCAGGAGGGACGTACGCAAGTGGTCCTGCATTGGGGGAGAACTGCTGTAGGGTGCGCGGCAGCGCGTACATGACGAAGCGCGGCACTCGCACCTCGACCTCGTGTATTCGGTAGTTCTCCGCAAATGGCGGTCCTACCGCCACAAAGGCGGTGATCAGCAGCGGGAGGTCGTCCGTGTGGTCGAAGCTGCAGGTGAGCATCGTGCCGGGCTCTGCAGCACTGAAGGTCACCACGTCCTGGTCGGTCGCACTCCACGCGTCGCACTTCAGCAAACAGCTGTGCACGACAAGGTCGCCCCGCTCCGCGGCAGACCCGCACACCTCCACATACACGTCCACCTGCTTCGAGTTGAAATTGGCGGCGCAGCGGCAGTGCACCTCCACACCCGACTCGGACATTGTCGTGTCCTGCTCCCCCGCAGCGCGACGGGCCAGCTGCTCCTCCAGGTTCGTCAGCTGTGCGACGAGCTGCTCCTTCTCCTGGGCAAGGGACTCCAGTACCTGCAGCTGCCGCATCTCGGCGGCCTCGTCGCGACGCGTTTCCAGCAGCGTCAACCCGCGCACGGTGCCGTCCACGGTGCAAATGAGCGGCAGCGTCGCGCCGTCGTTACGGTAGTCCTCCGCCAGCACGGCCGCCACCGCCGTGGGGTAGGTGTCGCGAAATAAAACGGCCCCGCCCTTTGCGAGACCGCCGCCACCACGGTCGGTGCGCACCTCCACCCGTCCGCTCTTCCACCCCACCACCAACTCCTCCACGCCGTCGCCGTCCACGTCGCAGAACGCGGCCGAGACGGGCGCCGACTTTCCCTTCACACGCCACAGACGCTCCCCGCGCTCGTACACGCCGACGGTGCCGTTCTCGAGCAGGTACGCGAAGCGGCCCACACTTTCATTGGTCGTAGTCGCCGCCTGCGCCGAGCGAGCGGGGCGCCACAGCGGGACCAGCTTCAGCACTCGATCCACCTCGTGGATCGTCTCGATGGCCTCCTCGCCCTCGTAGGCGCGTATCTCGAAGTCCTCCGACGCGACCAGAAGCGCGAGAGAAGAGGTGGTGGTGGCCGGCGCCGACCAGGGCATCAGCGCCATCGTCGTCACTTGATCCCCCGTTACGGTCCAGTAGCGCTCCGCACCAGTGCGATCGAAGCCGAAAATGCTGCAATTGCCGCCCACCACAGCGAGCGGCGGGGCCTCAGCGCCGCTTTCCGTGGGCTTCATAACCGGCCCACACACCACCGCCTGCACACCATCTTCCACATCCTTGTAAAACAGTTGTTTGTTCTGATCGACATCGTAGGCCAGCAGGCTGGTTGTGGCACCGAAGAGCAACGCGTCATAGCTGGCCTCGACGTCGGTGCTGCCGGGACTGTAAAGCTGACCCGCAGCGAGGGCGGTCGGCGCCTTGCCAAAGTTGAGCGTTTGAAACGAGGTGTCCTCGGGGGTGCCGACAGTGGCTCCTGTGCTCGCCTGCGCCTCCCCACGCTTAGCGGATCGCTTTGCCTCGATCACTCGGCTGTTGTTGTTGTGGATCACCACCCGCTGCCCACTGCTGCCAAAGGCTAAGGAGACGGCGGGGGGCGGTCCGCGCGTGGCGGCCTGCGTGGCCAGCGTCGCCTCACGTGCAGTGGCACTGCGCAAGAATCGGCCTGCCGCGACGCGGTCTGACAAGATCGGCGCGCCGATGTTGAGCTCGAAGGCCGTGCTGAGACGTATGTAATTATTGGAGTCCGCGTTCGACGCCATTTTCAAATTTCGTTGATCAATGAAAAAAAAAATATCTATTCCCACTTGGGGGTCGTTGCTGCAATGCGTGTTTTCGCCTTTCTTTCGGATGCTAGTCGCTTTCTTAAACCGCCGTGCATCTACGATAAGAACAGCAAGAAAGCTGACCGCACGAGTTCGTCAGCAAACGACTACTCTAGGGAGAAGTAGTGAGAAGAACCAGGAGAGAAAATGCAGAGGAGGGAGAACGAAGAGAGCAGACTTGTACACAGGAAGCACGTTAGTCCATTTTTTCTTTTTTGTTGTTTCGTTGATGGAAAACGACCCATCGGCGACTCACGAAAAGAAGTCGGTCGCATAAGCACGTTCACAGTCATCGTTTGGTGTTTACCTCCCCCCCCCCCAAACATCCACATCGTGCAAGACAGGAAAAAAAAAATCTGCCAAGAACGCAACGCCACAGCGACAACAGAAAAGCCCCGTTTCCTCTTTGTTGTTGCTGCCTTTGGGCGTTGCGTCGGCAGGGCGAGTGCTGCGTAGAGACCACTACAGACTTTGGGCGAAACTAGTAAACGAAGATCCAATCCGTTTAGCGACCGCAACAGAGTCTGCAGAGTTCCCTGCTATTGCTGCTTCAGGTGTATATGTGCATTTTTAATTAAAGATACTGATACATTTGTAGAGGAAAACAAAAGTTGACGTAAACAGCAACAACACACAGCAAAAATGAAGCGGAATAAAATCCAAAGAAAGAAAAAAGGAAATAATAATAATAGTAAAAAAAAAAACACAGAAAAGAGAGGAAAGTTATTAAAGTCGATGGCACTGAAATGTCCAGACAATGGCTCCTCTACTAGCAAGAAAAAGACGGGTAGAACAAAATACCTCTCCTTCTTCTCTCATGCGTGCGTGTATGTGCTCGTGCATTTGAATGCGCATTTCATGCTCAGTTAATCGCGTGCATGCGTCTGGCGCATTCTTTTTTTGTCTTTCTTCTCGTTGTTTTAACGCTGCCGCCCAGTTGCGGAGCAGGCGACGAAAGAAACAACCCATTCACAAAGGAAGAAGAAACACAAAAGAAAAGGAGTACTTCAAGAGCTCCGCCCGATAGCGCAGCGAGGGATGAGTGCAAGAGCAGCAGCAAAACAAAACGTATGACAACAGTAAATGCAGACACGCACACTCACACGCAGAAATAGTTCAAAAAAGAAACCCAAGACGAATATAAAGGAACGTCGAGGCGATTATGGAAGTAAATGCACGTGAATACCCAACAACTGAAGGAGCCACATCTACAGTGAGACGGCAGCAGCCGCCACAAAAGGAGCTTAACGCGCAGCGGACTTTTTTTTTGTGATCATCTCTTCGGTACGTGAGAGCTCTGCCGCGACGTGGCGGCAGCGCGTGGCGTCGCTACAGACGCGTTCGGAGTGGTGCGGCTTGTTTGATTTCCCGGGGCCAACCCATGTTGATGGGCAGATCCCGTGTGGCGTGACCCACTACTCGGGTGGCTCGGCGACGGTACACGGTGTCGGCCGTGTGCCTTCACGGGTGTAGTGAGGTCGCGTGGAATACTATTGTGATTACTATGATTCGCAGTAGTAGCAGTGCTCGTAGAACTCCCGCGCTTCCTGCGTGCCGTCTCCGCTGCTGTCGCGGTGCCGTTGCTGGGCATCATTTGTCGGTGGCGCGGTGAGCTCTCGCCTGGCGCGTACGAGGGACGGTGCGGCTTCTGCGATGCCGTATTTGTCGGGGACGGCACCTTGCCCGGTGAGCTGTTGACGCTCGTGTCGCTCGAGGTCGCCGCGCCGTTCTCTTTGCGTTTGTGACGGCCACCACCACCGGCATGAACACCATCAGCACCGTTACCACCCGCGCCGTCATGCCCACGTAAGAGGCGTCGCCCACCAGGACAAGACTGAGGCGGCATGGGCGGGGACAAAGGTGGGGTGATGAAAGCAGCGGCCGTGGCGGCGGCATTTGCGCCGCTGCCGTTCGCTTGAGAGGAGCGAGAGGGCTGCGCGTTACGATCACCGCCGGGCTGCCTCATCGCATGAACCTCCACTCTGGTGGAAGACGAGTTGCTGCTGGTGTTGCCGCCTGCCTCGTTGTCCGGTGTGTCACCGTTGAAGGAGTATTGGAAGACGGCTTCACTCGACGTCCTCTTCGATCCCCCGCTCGCGTCCGTCTTGGACAAGGCAGCGGTGTCGAGAAGGATAGAGTGGCGCGGCTTGCCACTTAGCGCACTCGCCTGCTCCACCGCTTTTGCCTTCTTGGGCCCGCCCTTGAGAGGCGGGATCGCGGAGGTCGCCTTCTCTGTGGGTGCTGTCGCGTTCTCGTTTGCCGCCCCGAGCAACCATGGATGCTGGCGCAGCTGCGTGGCTGACCAACGGTCATTAATGTTCGTCTTGGTGCACATGCGGATGAAGTCCTTGGCGCCGTCCGACACATCCTGCGGAATCTGCTCATCAATCTTTGAGCTGATGATGGCAAACATGACCGCCATTTGGTTGTCCAGGTTCGCGAAGGGCGGCTTGCCTGTTAACATCTGAATAACGCAGCACCCAACCGACCAAACGTCGGCCTCGAAGGAGTAGCCCGAGCAGGCGATCATCTCGGGTGACATGAAGCTCGGCGTGCCTTGCACGGACTGTGTGATGACGGTGTCGGCGAGCTCCTTGCTCTGACCAAAGTCCCCCAATTTCAACTGATCCTGCTCCGTCAAAAACAAGTTGTCTCCTTTCAAGTCGCGGTGAAGAATGTGCGAGGCGTGCAAGTACTCGAGTCCCTCCAGCAGCTGTGCCGTGTAGTAGCGAGTTTTCTCTTCCGGTAACACCCCGCTACGGGCCAGCAGGCTGCCGATCGTGCCACCGCCGACGTACTCCATGAAAATGCGAAGCGAGTTGCCCTCGCGGTTCGCGCCGAGGTAGGTGACGACGTGGGGGTGGTGCAGACGTCGCATGACGCGTATCTCCGACTCTAGCGCCGCCAGTTGCTTTTCCACGTCCTTGGTAAAATCATGCGGCACCACAATCTCTTTCACTGCGATAACAGTGCCAGTGTCGCAGTCTTCGGCGCGGTAGACGTCGCCAAAGGTGCCACGACCGACTCGCTCTAACAGCTTGACGTTTTGTATTTTTTGTCGCTGCTCCGACGTGTTGGCTGACGCCTCCTTCGCCGCCGCTGCCGCCGCTGCCGCCGCCGCTGCCGCCGCCGCTGCCGCATTAACACCGCCGCGGTGATTGCCGTTGACGTTCAACGGGTTGGCCGTGTTGGGGAGCGCCGTGGTGTCCCCGTCTACGGATGCGTCGGCCGAGTCGCTCATCGCTACGGGGAGTTCCGTGGAGGGGCGAATCGTGCTTTTGAACGCCATCGGTGACTTGAGCGAGTCAAAAGGCTCCTGATGGGGTGAGCTGGGGGAGACGCCAACGGCGGTTGCCTTACGGTGGCCCACAGCTGCATTTCGGGCAGCTGCTGCGAACTGCGAGCCGGAGCTGTCACGGCCGTGCGGCTGCGGAGGTTGGGAGTTGAAACTCGTCCCGTTGACCGGGTCCATGCCGACGGAGCCAAAGATGCTACCGAAGCTGCCGGAGGCTTTGCGGGATGGACCGTTGTTCATGTTGTTGCTATTGTTTTGGCGAAACCGACCAGCCCAGCCGCCGGTGATGGACCTGCCCGGCTCTGCCAGGGTGGTCAGGCTGCAGCTCGGTACGCTCTCCGAGATGGCCGTGTAGGACATGCTATAATTCGACCCCTCCGTCGCCGCGGAGACCGATGAGGCCTCGAAGTCGCACTGATAAAAGACCGGTTCGTCGTTGTAGCTGAGGAAGCTCTCCTCCACCTCGCGGCTGCTCCCGCTGCGGAAGCTGCGCGGCGGCCGGCCACGCGCGCCGTTCACCGTGCGGGAGGCTTTGCTGCGACTCATGGAGCTGTTCCCCTTACCCCCGTGGCGAATGCGTCGGTGGTCAAAGAAGGAGGAGGTGGACTCGTCGCCTGGCTCCTCGTAGGCTACACTGCAGAGCTCGCTGCGCACTTCGCTGACGGAAGCCTCGCTTGGGAGGCTCGCAGCGGGGAGGCGGGCGAGCACGTTGGTAGGTCGGCTATTCTCGCCGCTATCTAAAAACACTAACTGGGTCACGCACGCGAGTGGCTGCTTAAGCGACTTCACGATGCGCCGAGGCGTGATACCCCCGGAATGAGTAGGCGTTGCGTCGAGGGCGTTGTCCATCGCGCTGCTAGCGGCTTCGCTGCCGTTGAAGAACCAAAGAGAGAAAAAAAAAATAATTAAAAAAGATATTCACAACTCCTCGCACGGAGGCTTCGGTGAGTTTGCGTAGCTCACGAAGCGTCGTGCCACGATGAAATTTGAAGACAAGTGAAGCGTGCCCCCGCCAAACAACAACAAAAGGGGAAGAAATAGACTTTTGAAATAATTATAAAGGAGAAAAAAAGTGAAATCAAAGCGCCAGCAAACGTAAGAGCTAAAAAAAAAAGCAAGCTCCTTCGGGGGAGATGTTCGACTTCTATTTCGATTCCAATAAGAGAAAGAGAGAAACCCCCCAAAAAAAAGAACCAGCCGCAAGCACCCACACGCACCCACACACACCCGCACCCACACAGCACCAGTTTTGGTGGCTGTTGCGATGGCAGTGGTCGCTTTGCGATTGGCAAATTCGGTCCTTCGACAAAGACCCACACACAGAAAAGACAACAGCCGAGAGCTACAGTAAGTGACCTCCGCGTAAAAACCGCGAGGAGTAGAGGCCGTTAAATATACAAAAGAGAATGAACACAGCAAAGCAGCGTGCAGAAACACGACAAACAAAGTACTCCGCTAAACAGGAGGGCACATCACATCCAGCCTGGCGGTCGGCACGCAGCAGAACAAGAAAGAAGAAGAGAGCGAAGAGAGAAAAGAGAGAAATCGTTTGCGTGGGTGAAACACGAAAGAGCAGCAGCAACAACAAAGATAAAACAAAATGAAGCAAAATCGTTTAAACAGAAAGTAAAGATTGCTTGTGAGCCCGCAAAAATGAGGTGTATATGGCAGATAGTGGTACCACCAATAGAAATCCGATTAATATACAAAACAAAATCAGATGATAACTGGGAATTGTATTTGAAGAAAAAAGCCTTGACGACGACCGTAGGGCTTTTTTTTGTTCCGTCTGCCTTCGTTTTTCTTTGCTTTTTATAATGAATGGCGCCTCTAGAAGGTGTGCGAAAAAACAAAGAGGGAGAGAGAAAAGAAAAATGCGTACCTATTACCGAACAGAACAAGAAGGAAAACGAAAGCGCTAAAGTATTTGTTGTGCTGCGTTACTTAGCAAAATGACGGTACCGGTATGTTTGCCTTTTTTCTTTATGGTCCGTTTGAAAAGATGTCAGACAGACAGAAGAAAAAAGAGAAACAAGAAAGGAGAAAAAGAAAGTCGAAAAGGAAGTTATAGCAACTTAGAAAGTGCAGAAGAAGATGACGACGTGCATTCAAGCCACTTCAACACTTTTAGTTGTTGTCGCTTCCTGTTTTCACCTTTGTGATCTATTAAATCTTTTTTTACTCGTGAGAATAATAGTGATAATAAATGCAGTTCTCGCGACGGCCGTCCGGGTATTACACAGTCCACGCTCTTCTTTTTCTTCAAAAGAGAGAGAAAAAAAACTTCTGAAGACGAAGAAAGCTATATAGAAAACTGCAGGAACCCTGCGCCTCCTCCCCCAAAAAGAATGCTTATAATAATGGCTTAGCGTGCAACGCACCGGAGCTGAAGCTAATGGAGGTAAACCAAGAGAAAAAAAAAGAGAGAGAAGTTGCGTTTTCTTTTCTTGAGCAAATGAATCCCCGTCGATGAGGAATTGAGCGGCGAATACTCCTTCTTTTTTAAAATGTTGAGGAGAATAAAAGCACCTCCGCTTGCGTAAAGCTAGAGACAACGCAAAAAGACCACCTTTCACGCCAAAGCGTGCGCGTGAGTGCACGCTGAAATGATTGAGAAATATATTTATATATAGGTAGAGACACGGAGTGAGACAAAATAGTTATAGCTACCACGATGCCTCACGTGCGCCTGTTTTCCCTTTCCCTATCTGCGTTCGTGCGCTGCGAATTCAGCCATGTCGAAGTAAAGAGAACAGAAAGAAGAAGGAAATTGATTGAGAAAGGGTGGGGAGACAACGAAGAAGTGAGGTTTGAGTCGACGGTGCTACTTCAGCAACATGAAGCACCAAGGGACACACGAGCAGAAGTTCCTCCGGTTAAGTTCCAAAGCAGAAAGCACATATGGCGGCTAGGGGTATCAGCCGCAAACAACGCAGAGGCACTTGCGTGGATTTCCTTTGTCAACCGAAACCAGTTGATGCAAACCGTATCGATGTAATTTTTCATATTCATTTATGAATAAAAAAAAAGATCGCAGCAGTCAACGAAATGCGTTGAGCTAGAACGCAAAAAAGAAAGAAACACAAAAATATGCTGATTTATTATCTTTTTTCCTGTTATTGAACACACGGGGAACGAAATAGTTTGTGATGGAGATTGCAAGACCAAAACAAGAAAGGCACTACGGACAACGCATCTTCTGTGGAGCTTGTCTTATTATGCATGTGCAGAAAGCACGCGAAACGAACACTTACACAAATAACAAGGAAAAAAAGAAAGAAAAGAGGTACGTCACGGACAGTAAAGTAGGAAGAAAAGATAAGTGGAAGCTCAACGTTCATCACTGAAACAATAAATTCAGAGAAAAAAAAAAGAGGACGGAAACATAGAGTCAAGGGCAAACGGGCGGAACTTTTACGCGGGCGCACACCCAGAACACAACAACACTAGAGATTGAAGGTGTCTGAAAAGAGAAAAAACAAAAGAAGATGATGATCAAATGTAATTGTTCTAAAAATACATGGTTACGTGGCTGCAATCTGGAGAATGAGTTTGGCGTTATTTGAACAACAAAATCTACAATACTAGGTTTCATATTCCTTTCTTTCTTCACAGAGTGTGGACGCCCTCTGCAGGGCAGATGCCCGCCTTCAAGACTACGTCTGCCAGAGTGTCGTTGAAGGCGGGAGGGCCACTCAGCACCGCCGCCTGTGCGGGCGGCAATTCCAGCGCTTTGAGAAAGTCAACAGTGATGTGCGTGCCGCACCGCACGAGCTTTGTATATCGCAGCGGTGACGGCGGCTGAGAAAGGTTCTTCGGGAGGCGGGAAAAAATTAGCGCCACGCGGAGCTGGTGAGGCTGACCCGGCAGTGGCCCAACGTATCGCGTCGCCAGCTCATTAATCTCGTCTACGAGTATGAGGTCATCGGGCGTCCGTACAGAACACACCAGTGTCACACTTGTGGATTGCTTTTCCAGCTCACTGGCAGCGATGGCGTACATCGGCGCGATGCCGGTGCCACCGGCCAGCAGCAAGATGTGGCGGCGTTCCAGCTTCACCGTCCGCACGTACGCGTCCATTCTCAGTTCCCAGGCTGGCGGAAAGGGCCCTTCATAGAAAAGCTCCTTGCCCTCGGGCTGATCAAAAAGGTATTTGGAAGTCCGGCCGTGCGGGTGGAGCTTGACGCAGATCTTGAAGCTCGCCACCTCGGACTTAAATGGGGTGTAGTAGCGCCACTCGTCGCGCTCGACGTCGCTGTATATCTTTACGTGTCCGGCAGGGGTGAGGCGCAGACGCAGCGGACATGAGAACGTAAAGCACTGCAGCGTGCCGGCGTCGTTCATCATCTCCTTCTCTAAGATGCGCGTTGACTGCATGGCTGACTCGGCGGGCACGCCGTCTTTTGACTTCGCACTCGCCTGCGGTTCTGCGAAGCGCAGCAGCGGCGACGGTGCATCGCCCGCCTCGGCAATGCGACCCATGAGGTACTGATGGGCCTGCTTCTTGGCGTGCAGGCCGTGGACCCGCATGAAGATGTCACCGCACTCTTTACCGTTGTGGTTCAGCAGGATACGGAGACCGCCAGGGTGGGCGTTGCGCATCGGGGTGACGTCGTACGCATCGCCGAACATGACGAGGATGAGACGCTGAGGATCGTTCTGGAGCATTTGGCGGATTGAGTCGAGCGAGAGCAGCGATGACGCAGCGGGCTCGTCTTTGGCGGTGGCGGCCGCCGCCGTAGCACGCGGGCTGCGCTCCTCCGCCTCCGTCACCAGCCTCCCCAACAAAAACTCCGGCAACCTGCCTGCAACCTGCGGGCCGTGCATCATCGCGAAGGTATCGGTGATGTCTTTGCCGCGGTTGTGGCGCAGCACCGACGGCCCTCCCGGGTGCGCCTCGACGAACGTCGTCACGTCGTAGACGTTCTTCTTGATGATCACAACCACGCGATTCGGATCCGTGGCGAGCATGTCTTTGATCTCTGCCTCCGTGAAATTTTTGGCTTCGTTTGGTGGTGCCGGAGGAGGAGGCGGAGACGAAGGCGTCGTTGGCTCGGACGAAAACTCCAGTGGCGGAAGAATACCTTTCCGAGGGGCGTGGACCTTGCGCATCTGCACGATGGGCGGAAGCTGCGTGTCGGACGTGACCGGTGGAACGCGCCAGTGCCGGTTCACGCCTCGCAAGTCGTGCGGGTTGACGGGTGTTGGGTTGCGTGGGTTGATCGAGTTCGTTTCGTGCGGACGAACAGGCTTTGTTTTATGCGGAGGGGGCGCAGGCGCCTTGATAGGAGCCGCAACTCCTTCCGCAGCGGCAGGACTGGCTGCGCCAAAAGAGACGACAGGATCGTTAGCGACCGGGCGAGTGCTAGACGAGTGAGGATGGGCACAACTGCTGTCCGAATGCACGTCCACACGATCCATCTTTGTGCGACCCGCGGCGCGATCGACTACCGGCGCAATCGGCGGCAGAGCCACAGGCATGGCACTTGTCTTGTAAGCATCGTCATCATCACTGAACTGCCGGCCACCGTCGCCGGGCTGGCGCTTCCGATGCCGTTGCGTTGGGTGCCTTTGACCCATTACTACGATGAAACCCAGAGAAAAACAAAATAAGTAAAGCGGGGAAAAAAAGGGTTCAGCGAGAGAGAGTTTAACACTGGGGAGAGAGCAGTAATAATAGTTAAGCTCCGTGAGTACTAAATATTCTTTGTAAGAGGTTTTAAAGGCGTTTTAGGTAACTAAGGGGTGGGGTGGGGTGGGAAGTAGGATACTTAAGTAGGTTTTTCTTTCGATGCGTAAGAGCTCGTTGACACTAAGTCGATTTTGTGCTGCTGAAAATTATCTCCTCCTCCCTCATTTATTCTTTTTATACTATCCTCGAGTGAAAGGCTAGAGCGTTCAACGCGTATGTGCGTGTATCTTTGAGCGTGTATGTGGGCGCGTGTAGAGCACCACACTATACAAAAAAAAAACAGACACGCACGCAAAGAGAGAAACAACAACAACGACAACGGAGAAAAGAAGGAAGGAGTAATAAAAGGAGCAGGTGAGAAGGACAAACAACAAGGAGTGCAGAGAAAACAAATGACTGCGAGTTGCTAAGCTTCGTCAGCGAAGACAGTTAAGTAACGAAAATTATACCGACAATAGTGCGCGCTGCACGCTCGACGTTGAGGGGAAGTGAAGTTGCCGCATTATTCATTTTTGGAGGTGGCTGCAGTATCTTGAAATAACGATGAGCTTTTCATCAACCAGTTACAGCATTTGTTTCCTCAATGCGCGAAAGAAACGTTTCGGGTATGCCTGTTTTCTGAATGTGTGTGTATTTATTATTACCATTCACTGTTAATAGGAGAAGTGCATTATTCGGATCTTAAAAAGAAGAAGAATATCCCTTTCTTTATAACGTGGCCTACGACGCCATCTTCTTTGTGTTCTTCTTGAACCTCTTCGCCTGCTCAAACTTGCCGTTCGACGCCGTGGCTAAGTTGCGCGCCGCTGCGGAGAGATGCTTCACCTCCTCCTGCGACTGCATCAGGTGCTCCGCGCGGCGCTTGTTGTGGTCCTCTTTCTTCTTCTGCTTCTCTAGACGGGCTTGCTTCGTGCGGCGGTCATCGAGGAACGGGTCACCGCCTGCCTCGGCAGCCACGTAGCCGGGCTTCACCTCACGCAGCCAGTCGTACTTCTCGCGATCCTCGCGCGCGCGCTTGCCCCACTTGTCCTTCCACTCCTGGCGGTCCTCGTCAAAGACGCGGTTGGTCTTCTTGCGGTGGATGTCGATGCCTTTCTTGAGTGCAAATTTCTGCCACGCCGTCAGCGGCTTCGGCCTCGGCGGCGCCTTCTCACGCGGCAGCTGCATCACCGGCTGCGGCAGCTGCACTAAGGTGGTGGCGCTCTCGTACTTGCTCTTCTTCACCTCCGTCGGCATGTCGACAAACTCGCCTAAAAGGGCCTTGAGGGCGTTGGTGCACGAGTCCATGAGTTCCTCCTCGCGGCGCATGGGGCCGCTCACGGTGGACACGTCCGTGACGGTCAGCAGACCAGCGTCTAACTGGTACTCACTCATTCTGATGTCTCTGTGTGTGTATTGCGTGTGTGTGGATCTGTGTGTGTGTTCTTTCAAGAAAGCGAGGGAATGACGGGAATTAAGAATAGCTGCCGTCGTCGGCACGTACACACGAGTAGGTTGTTGACGATTGCAGGGTGCGTGTAGGCGAAGAGAGAGAGAGACGGGAGAGGGAGGAAGAGAAGAGGTCGTAGAAGTGTTAGTACGGACTCAAAACACATACATGTGTACAGGAAGGAAAGCAACGGAAACACGAGTTTTGAAAAAGAGAAGACAAGTTGACAAAAAGCACTACAAAAAAAAACTCACAATAAACAGCCCAGGTCGCATTCCCCTCACACTTACCTTACAATGTGTGCACGCAACCGCATGACGTGCATACATTTGCCAATCAGAAGCGTCCTTCCCACAGTTCGCCTTCAATCAATGCCCACTGCACGACGCGGGTCGCCCTTGATGCGGGAGTTTCTGGCGTTGCCGTTGCACCAAATATTTTTTTTAAATTCGAAAGATACTTTTTTCTTATGTGTAGGGAGAGAATAATGTTACTGCACTACGTCATTAAAAACAAAACAAAACAACAGCACCACCGCCACCAAACCAAATATCTTTACTTTTCTTATTCCTGTAGCGCGCATCTGAAGCACGCGGCAGCTTTTGGCCGTTTCCGCAGAAGCTCCGTTCTGGATGGCGAAACGTGAGATCAGCCCCACTCACAGCCACCATCACCTCCACATGAGACACACGCAAACGCACCTTACAGGTCCTCCAGCCTCACCAGCGTGCCGCGGTCGCTGTCGCCGTCCTTCGCCTCGCGCAGCATCTTCACGCGGACCATGCCATCCTTCGTCTCGTCCGGTGCGATGAGTACGGCCCGGTCAGCGCCGATGCGGTCGGCGTAGCTGAAGGCCTGCGCCATCTTCTTCGAGTCCAGAATGATATCCGCGCTGCGGCCCTGTTCCCGCAGCTTCTTCAGCACGCCCAGCGCATAACCGCGCATGTCCTCGCTGAAAGGGATCACCACATCATCCACCTTGTGCGGCAGCGGCTCAAGCAGCCTCTTCTTCTTGAGCAGCTCTACGATCACGCAGTCGCCGAAGCCGAAGCCGGCGCACGTCACCGGCTGCGGGCTGCCGTAAAGAGAGAAGAGGTTGTCGTAGCGGCCGCCACCGCAGATGGCGCGGAACTCGCCGCTACGGTCAAAAGCCTCGAAGACGATTCCGGTGTAGTAGGCGAGGCCGCGCACCACGCTGGCGTCGAAGGTGATCCAGTCGCCGTAGCCGTACGTCTTCACCTGCGCAAAGAAGTCTGCCAGCTCCGACAGGGCCCCGTTCTTGTCGTAGGTGGCCTTGTCGAAGTCGTCGATCGACTTGAGTTGGAGGGTGTGGATGATGTCGTCGATCTGCTGCCCATCCAGGCCCAAGTCGCGCAACTCGCACCGAATCTCCTCCTCCGGCAGCTTGTCCATCTTGTCCACCACGACGCAGACCGGGGCGAAGAGGTGGTCCGGCACGCCAGCGCCCAAGAGGGCGCACTGCAGCAGCTTGCGTGAGTTTACCTTCACACCGATGTCAGCCGCGGTCAGGCCCAGCGCCTCCATCGCCGCGCACGCCGCGCAGACCAGCTCCACCTCCGCCGCGACGCCCTTCACACCAACGATGTCCATGTTCCACTGGTAGTGCTCCCGACGGCGGCCTCGCGAGATGGTCTCGTAACGCCAGCACTGCGGCAGGGAGTACCACTTCGCGGGCAGCAGGAGGGAGCGGCCCTTGGCGAGCTGCAGACGGACAAGCGAGGGCGTCATCTCCGGCCGCAGCGTCACACGGTGGCCGCCCTTGGTGACGAAGTTGAACATCTGCTCCGTGATTTCCTCGCCGGCCTTGCGGATGTACAGCTCCTCCGACTCTAAAACAGGGGCGTCGTACTCCTCAAAGCCGAACCGACGCGCCGTCTCGCGAAAGACGCCGAAGAGGTAGTTGCGCATCCGCATCTCCTCCGGTGGGAAGTCGCGGCAGCCCTGCACCGGCTCCGTTTCGATCATGTTCGCCTGGCTCTTCTTTTTCGACTTCTTCGACACGACACCCTCCGGCTGCAGTTGCGCCTCCTTCGCAGCCAGCTGTATCTTCAGCTCATTGATCTCCGCGATCAGCGCGGCATTGGGGGAAGCCGTCGACGCCATCCGGGCACTCACCCACTTCGGTACTAGGGAGCGAAATAGTCGCGTTTTGGCTGTGATTTGGGGTTGCTTATGAGCAGCTGCGTATTCTCGTGTGAGGGAGTACCTCCAACGTGAAGGGAGTGAGAGAAGAAGAAAGAAGAAAGAGCAAAAAAGCGAGCAGAGACGAGGGAAAACAGAAAAGGAAAAGAAACGTGAGAAGCGGCAAAAAAACACTGCGGAGCTTTGCGAAGACGTTCCCAGCGCCTCCCCTATGAAGTTCAGTGCACTACAGAAAGCAACCGACCACCATGTGGGAACTAGCAGCTTTCTCATCCACGCTTTTCCTGTTATTGCTGTGCGTATTCATGCACACATACGCCGCAAGGAACTCATCCATTAGATCAGAGAGAGAGAGAGGGAAAAGTTCATTTCCCTTTCTTTTTTTAAGGACCCCAATAGGACGCTCGGGGGAAGGAATGGAATGTCAGTCCTACAGGTGAACACTTGCTGGCCAACAGCGTCGCGCTTCTCTCCCCTACCCCCACAAAAAAGGCTCGTCAAGGCTTCGAAGTCTCTTCAGTTGTCGTGCCTTTTTCCTTCACTTACCAGAATACGGAGCTGACGTAGAAACTCCAAGTGCTGCAGCTGGTACACGCTGGCGTTCAGCTTCTCCACCGGACACGCAGGAACGCCGCGGTACACGGTGTAGGGGGCCAACACCGCCTCGGGAGGCACGTAGGTCTTCGGCTGCAACCACACCCCGTCCGGCACCCGTGCCCCCGCAGCCACCACGCATTGCTCCTCCATTCGCACCAGCTGCCCCACCTCGGCCGCCTCGCAGACCACCTGCGGCCCTACGTAGACAAACGCGCCGATCTTGACCGTGGGCATGGCGCCGGCCGTTGACTGCGTCGCGTACATGCGTATCGGCGGCCGCAGAACGGCACCGCCGCGGATGATCGAGAAGGCACCAATGTCGAAGACGGCCAGCTCAGTGTGTACGACAGCGCTGTGGGCGATGAGGGTGTTGTTGCTGCCGCCGCTGCCGCTCTTCGCCGCCGTCGAAACGTCCTCGTACGAATTTGTGGGTACGGAACTCGACTCATCAGCCTTTACAAGTGCGTGCGATCTTGACAGAGACGCCAGGCACATTGGGGGTAGTGGACATGAGGACCCTGAGGTCATGAGGGGTGGCACATGCGTCATGGCTCCTGTACAGACTGCGGTTCTCGTTGCTGTTCTTGATGCGCGGTTCCCATCCCTTTCTCTCTTATGCCATGACTTTCGCGGAGCAATAAATGATAGTAAATGATGATAAAAGCGAATAGTTGTGAGACCGTGATTATTGACTCGGTAAGAGGAGGGATGAGACGTGAAGGGTCGAAGAGCCGCCTGCTTACTTGACGAGCGGTGTAGCCTTACCACTTTGGAAGACTAAAAGGCATCGACGCGACCAGCAAAAGACTGTACTTTTGAAAACCTGCTTTACCTTTTCTTTTCAGGAAGTTTATGTGCTGTTTTAGCTGAAGCGAGGGGAAGCCCAGTTTCGGCCGACTGGTGCAAACAGATGAAGCTGCATAGCGACAATCTCCGGGCAACGAATTCGCTGCACATTGCACATCAATAAACAACATTTTTTTCCCCTTTCTAAATGGATGCTTAGCGTCTCTGTGAAAGCAGGCACAACGTGGAATACGTCCATTTTACCACGGATCTTCTTTTCGTTCATCGCGGGTAATCGCGATGTCGGGTTCTTGCAACACCCAGTGGCCGCGGTACCGGTGCTGAATCTGCACCGCGCCTGGACGTCGCGGGGACGTCAGGTCGACCCTCGGTGCGTGTGGCAGTTCAGTGGGTAGCGTTGTCTCCACAAGCTCGGCGAGTGTGGACAAAGAGCCTGCCGACGACTGCCCTAGAGACGCGCCGCCGGCTGCTTTGAAGAAACTCCGTTGCTGCTGCCTGCGTCGACCATCTTGCATCTCCCTACGTCCTAATAAGCTGTCAAGCTGCCGGATGAGGGGATCATCGTCCATGCCAAAGTACTTCAGTGCGCTGTACAGCTTCTTGGAGTACTGCTGCGCCACTTCAAGGGAGGCGGACATCGTAAAGCACGGGCGGAACACCTCCACCTCTCGCAAAAACTCTCGCTCAATGGCTTGGCAGGCTTCTTTATTGTTGTCCTCGCGGGCGTTGCGGTGTGCAAGGTGCAGCTTCACCAGCTGTAACGCCCCATCCACAAAGGGGGTGCTGTTGTGCAGTGCGGTGGAGCACCACAGACGTGTTACTCGAAACATTTTTTACCACAGTAGGAAGTGTGTCTCGTTCTTTCCTGTTGTACGAGAAAGCGAATACTGTTTATGTATACTACGCAGAATGGGCGAAAGGAGAGAAGAGAGGAAAGTGCAGCATCGAGGCGCTTTAATGCAGAAACAACAACAACAACGAGGAGTTGCCATGCCAGAATCCTCTTTTAGAAGGCTCGCACGCTCTGACCTCACACACAGCTACGGTAACTCCGGGCTGCTGTCCTTTTCCCACTCTGAAGGGGGTGGAGGGTGGAGGGAGGGGTTTAGCTTTAAAAAAAAAACCCGCTTGTCGAAACGCACCCAGCCAAGCTGCTGCTTTGTATTATACACGCAGATGCAGTACTACTATCGTGGTAGAGCTCGGACAGCTTTCCGTTCGAATCTTTTTAAAGTCAACGCATGAATGTGATGGTGGTCATCGCGCTCCTTGGACAAACAAGGGAGTTCGTTACAGTAAAACAGTGACAAAAGCAAACAACAACAAAAACATCCAAGCTCCCACCGTGGCCTCTCCCTCGAGACGTGAGTGGGGAAGAGAAGGCAACATCCGCGTGTGGTTTCTGTGATGCAACGCAGCGCCTGACAAACAAGACACTCTGCCTTTTGAAAAGTCGTTTCCGGTCAATGCCGGCAAGCAATGCGCGCCAACTACTACGGATCGCCTGAGTAGCCGTAACGCTTACTCTTCACCACTTTCGGTGCCTTCTTCCACTTCTCCTGGCGTGAGACGCTCTTGAAGGCAGCCGTACGATCGTAAATGCGATCCTCGTGCACGTAGTCTTCTGGAAGCAAGCCCTCCGCCTTCCACTTCTCGATCTTCTCCTTCACAATGCCATCCACCTTGGAGTTTGGGCTGTACGCAGTAGCTCCTAAGTGCGACGGCTGATGATCAAAGTAGAGCTGTCGTGGCGAGAACTGGCGCGGCTGCCGAATGTTCGCGTGCCAGGCAACATGGTAGAACATCGCGTCGTTCTCCTTCAGCGGCACACGCAGCTTCTCGGCGCCGTGGCCGCGCAGGTCGGCGTAGGTGACGCGCAGAAACTTCACCTTGCGTTCCCCAAAGTAGAAGAGGTACTTCTTCATGTAGTTGTAGATGGCCTTGTCCTTTACGGCGTTCAAGGCGTAGACGATGGAGCGGGCCTCGACGCGGTCTAAGTCTGCCTGCACATCGGCCATCTCCTCTAGGATCATCTTCACACCCTGCTCATCGTCCTGGCGGCCGACGCTCTTCAGCAGATAGCTCCACTGCGGGGTGTCGAAGGAAGGCGTGCAGTTCCACCCGTCCTTAAGACACTTCGTGAAGATCGGCTTCCACCCTGCGTGGTCAGACTTGCTGCAGCAGAAGAGAATAGCCTGCACAAGTGGCAGCGGCGGCTTTGCGGTGCTGCCCTCTTGCATGAAGCGCGGAGCACAGTATTTGTCCCACAGCGCCATCGCCTCCGCCCCACTGCGTTGGAAGGCGCAGTGCTGAAACACCTTTGCCAGCCACCCATCCCGCGCCGCCTCGTCGTCGATGAGAGGGCTGAGTTTCTCGTACTCAGCCACCACCTCCGCCACCGGCGTCTTGGGAACGACACGCCCATGCGGCAGCTTCTTCAGCTGCGGCTCCAACCCGATCAAAAATGCAGGGTGCATCGCCGTGGCAATCCAGACACCGCGGTACTTGTTCACGGAGCTGTGGTGGGCCTGAAAAGGTGCCGGCAGCGACCGATTCACGCTGTGTGGTCGCTCCATGCCTTGCGGAAGGTTGTAGTGCCAGTGGTACTGGCTGTACATGATCATCGGCGACGTGTCAGGGTTGACCGGGGTGTACCCGAGAAGCTTTCGGTAAGTGCGGCGCAGCATCCTTTTCTGCGGTTTTCGTTTGCGTGCGTGTGTGTTCACGACAACAAGACGCTGCTGCTGCTGCTGCGGAAGTTACACTCTCCCTTACCAGTCGATGAGATGAACAAGAATGCCGTTCCCTCGGTTCTTGTCAACTAAGAGTGCCGCGCCTCTTTCACACGGGGGAAAATAAAAAAAAAACAGCTTTCCGCTTCCCCTACTTCTGGTGTTGGTGTATGCGAAAAAGGGATGAGTAGGTAAACAGAAAGAAAACTTTCAAATATTGCGGTTCATCAAAGAAGAGGAAAGTAGAAGAAAACAAATTAGAAGGGATAGTATTTCAGAAGGGCAGTTTTGCAGGAGCTAAATGCACCAGTAGGAACCTGAAAGCCACATACCACTTCCGGGGAAACTCCGACACAACACTTAGCAAACCAGACAAAAAAAAATGCACGCGGTGCACAGCATTACGCAGAGATAAAAAAACTGCGGCGAACGCGTAACACACATCATGATGAAGAAGTAATTCGTTGAAGCCCGCCTGGAGAGCGCACAGTTTTCGTAAGACGCCGAAACGCGGAAGACACCTGCCGTCAGCGTGGGAACTCCGCCTTCTCAAAGCGAAGACGCCGCTGCGATTTGGGTTTGTGAGCGCTTTTACTTCCTTCGATGTCGAAAAGACCCAACTGCAGCGGGTCGTGAACACAAACATCTGCCAAACTCACCAAACGCAAGCGCACAAACACAGACGAAAAGATAAGGAAACACTAGTACAAAGGAAAAAAAGGAAGAAAATAGAACCGTAAGACGCAAACCAAAAAGAAAGACAAACAAACGAAAAAAAAAACGGCGGCGGAAGACAATAAGTAGCACTGACAGAGCTAACGAGCCTTTATCGAGGAGAGAACACACAAGGATCTGCACGCAACGTCGTTAACAGTGAGATTCTCCGCTCGTTTCGAAACGTGCGCAAGCGCTCCTGCCTCCGTGCAAAGACGTCAGCGAACCGCTTTTCTCGCCAAAAGGTCACACCGTTCAGGAAAGTAAAGAGACACAACACACAAGGAGGGTATAAAGAGGGCGAGTGCGTGTGGTTCTTTGATGAAGACAGCGAAAAAACAACGGTTCAGGCTTGAGAGAAGCGATTTGAGGGCGGAAGCCGCCGGAAGTCAACAACAAAAGAGCGTCAGCCAACCTCAAACGCGAGAGAGCCAGGTTAGAAAAAAAAGGCTAATGGAAGACGGACAACACAGAATTAAAAAGAAGAGGAGAAAAGAGCGTTTTGAGGAAACTCAGAGAGAGAGATGGAAAATAGTAAGCGTAGTACTTCCCTTCTTTCCGGCTACACCTCCCTGACTAGTGACCTTGTCGCCTATGCGGAAGGATATGGCTGGCGCACACAATCGTGCCCAGCGCAAGACAAACGACTGCCTACCCCGTTGTTACTGCTGCTTACTTGATAAAGCAGTAGACACTGTGAATCTGCGGCTTGGCGGCGCGCTCCTCCCCGCTGGGGATGGTGGGTAGGGCGCGGTAGCCCGGACGAAGCAGACCAGGGCAGAAGGACGAGGTGAAAGAGCGCTCCGCACCGTTGATCTCGAACGTCATAGTGACTACGGCAATCGTGGCCTGGTTGCATTCGGTGAAGGACACCTGACTACCACTCACCCGGGCCTCGCCACTGCCGTGCACCGTCGTCTTCACTGCGGACACAGGGGCACAGTTGAAGAGGCGCGGACCGCAGATGACGTTGATCGTCAAATCAGGACACTTGGCACTGTCAACGTCAGTCTTCAAAAGGTAGCCGCAGCGCCCATTGTCGCAGAAGCGACCGCGCCCCCACGACAGGCACCGCTCGGTGTTGTCGATGTCGACAAATTCAATGCCCAGTTGCGCAGCCAGCCCCTCTGGGTCTGGCATCTCTTTGGTGATCTGGTTGGAGTTGATGGTGCAGAACGCAAAGTGGGTGGCGAGGTCTTTTCGCGTCAGCTTGACTGTTGCAAGGCTCGACGCCGGGACGCGCTCCGTGTCCCACGGCTTCGGGTCCGTGCCATCCGAGTACTTGAAGAAGGTGATGCTAGAGAGGGCCGCCGAGGCCGTCGTGTCCTGCGGATCGATGGCGCCGCCCACAACAATCTTGATCTCGTCCAGGTTCTCGCGGCGCACCGTGAACTCATCCCCCACCTTGAGCTTCCCAAGGCACTCGCGGAGGTGCAGTTTGTTCTGGATGGGCTGCCCATTGATGTGTGTGAGCCAGTCATCCTTGAGCACGCCGCCCTTCGCCGCCGGTGTGTATTCCATCACATCGGTGACGCGGACACCGAGGCCGTCCTTGTTCATATCCGCCACCAAGAATCCGATGAACGGCTTCAGGCGGCTCTGATAGCTCATAATGAGCACCTTCTTGCGCAGCGCGCCGGGGCTAAACTTCGGGTCGTTGATCATCGCCCCCTCAAACATGAGTCCTTCCGCCACGATGGATTCAAGAATCTCGTTTATTTGCTGTGCTACCTCGTCCTGCACGTTCAGCGGCATCGGCGCATTGGGGGAGAGGCAGAGGACGATTGGATAGGTGTTCGTGACAAAACAGTTCTTCTTTACGCTTTCCAGGATAGCGCGGAACTCGCACGAGCCCACCGTCAGCTTTCCATCGGCGGCTTTCTTGATGTTTAGAACCAGAGCCCGAGTGCCGTCCGCCACCACGCGCTTCATGTCCTCCTCCGTCTCAATGCGTGCGCACGAGACCATGTAATGGGTGAAGGACTGCGTCATGTCCTGCCACACATTCGACGTCCTCGACGGGTCAATGGCGTTGTTCGTGAGCACGCTGCTGTTGTAGCCGCCAAAGTTGTACTTGTGGACGCCACCGCCAAAGCGGTACTTGAACTTTTCCACAATCTGCCGGTCTGTGACCTCGATAAGCTGCGTCTCGCGCAGAAACCTGCTCAACTGCTCCGTCGACATCAGCTCCTTCCCATCGGTGAACTTGTTAAATAGCTCAAACGCGGCCTCGTTGGCGGAGATCCAGCGAAGGTAGTAGGCTAGGATGTCCTCGAAGGAGACGGCTTTATTAACAACATAGCGAATGTACAACGTGTCGAGCACCGCCTGCCCGGCTGCCATGGGGATCTTCTTGGCATACGTCGGGTTGTTGGAGAACCACGCGAGCAGAATGCGCGAGAAGCCGTCGTCCATGGCGCGCTCCTCCACCAACGCGACCGACGCCTCAATCAGCGGCAGTTTGAGCTGCAGCGCTAGAGAGGCAATGAGGTCGGTAATCGCATCCAGCTTCATGCGAAACTTCGTACGCGTCACCTCCGCGCAGGAGTTGGTGAAGGTCAGCGTGACGACCTGCTTGACCGCTTGCGTGTCGGGCAGACCCGTGATGAAGTGCTCTGTGCCTTCCAAAATCGACCGCAGGAACTGCTCCGCCGCCACCTGCGTCGTCTTCGCGGCGTCTGCTTCACCGGCCTTTCCATCTCCCTTGGCTTCCTGCGCGGCGGCGTTTGCAGTCGCCTTTGGCGCCTTATCGTTCGTGATGGCCTTATTTTTGTCCTGGCCTTTACCTGCGGTGTTCCCGTAGCGGCGGTCAGACCCTGTCCCGGCCGGGGTCTTGGATTTCTCTGCAACTGCTTTTGAGTTGAGACAGCCCATGATTGGAAACAGTCTAAAAAGAGAAGAGTTCTGCTCTCTTTCGTTGTTGTTGGTGTGTGTTTCGCTTTTGCTTTGTGGTGTCGCTGTTTGTGCACGAATGAAGCTTGGACGAATGTGAAGGAGGAAATAATACTAATCAAAGCTGCAATTCGGCAATTGCTGAGCTTATTGCTACGAGTTCTATTCCCTCTATCTTTTCCTTTTCATATATATATTATTCGACTTTTTGAACACAAAAACACACTCGCACACACGCACACAAAGCTCCTATCAAAAAAAAAAGAAAAAGAAACGGTGTTTATCAATTGGGAAAACAAAGATTATTTCCTTCGTGCCGCCATCAGAGATATTAAGAGGGGGAAAAAACTGAAGCGATGAACGCCGCAGAGCAGATCACAAGGTTTGATAAAGAAAAATACAAGAGAAAATGAAAGGGAGACAACGGATGTGCGTATGTTATGAGAACGATCCGGTGGATCAAGAAGAAACAGAGAAAGACATCATCACCTCAGCGAATAATACGACTTGAGCCCTTCACAATATAGAAAAGAGAATCATGGGCGCTGATTAATTTCACACAATAGTGCGCCAACCGGCGGCTCAAGGCTCATTGTGGCTTTCAGCTTCTACTGCACAATACACAAGATGTGCAATACATCGCCTTCGTCGGCTTGCATTCTTTTCATAGTGTCTTCGACAAAATAATATAAACGAAATAGTGGAATCTGTAACGCGACGGACACAAGATTGGAACAGTGCGCTTAGCCAGCCTTACCCGGAGGCTGCTTGTTCATGTGCACCTTCTCTCCGGCCTTCACGGCCTTGGCCAGGAAGCGCTTCGTGTACTTCAGGCGCTTCAGCGCACGGCCACGAGGCTGCTTCGGCTTGTCCTGCTTGGCGACCTTGGGGGTCTGGTTCTTGACCTTGCCCGCACGGGCGAGGGAGCCGTGGATCTTACCCATGATGGAGACGAGATTCCTCTGACAACGGCGAAGAAATTATCGGAGATGTTGGTAGGTTACAGAAAGGAAAAAAAGGAGAGGAAAGAACATGGTACGAGCATTGGATGGCAGAAACAAAACATTTAAATAGTGAGGTCGATACGAGCATCGTACACAACGAGTGTAAGCCACCGTATCAAGTTCGGTGAAGGCTTGCGAAACTTCTAAAAGGCACCGATTCTGTACGAAGCCGAAAAGCCATATTAAGACTGAAAGAAGATAGCACTGAAAACAGCTTTTGCTCTACAGCCAAGCGTTTTCAAGGTCTTTTTTGTGTGTGTTTTTTAAAGAGAACCGCAAACATTTCCTCACGCTGTTTGGGAGCGAGTGATTCAGGTGTGCCGATTCGTTTCTTCCTTTTTTTTTTCGGGCAAACATTGGATACCTGGGATAAAGGCACTGTATAAAGATAAGAAGGGGCACCGGCCAGGCACCCCACCGTTTTGGTGAGCGGTGATCCAAAGTGTTGACACTCAACAACAACAAAAGAAAATAACAATAGTAAAATAAGAAAAAACACAAAAGCAGAGAGAGAATTCATCCTGTGATGTTTTCCTTGGAGCCGACGTGAGCTGAAATGCAGGGAGGCGTACCAACGAACCGGACGCTCGATGTTCCACTGGCTTTGTTCGGAAAAAGAAAAAAAATGCATAGTCCAATGCTCTCGTACCTCCTGTCTCAGTTCAATAACGGAAATGCATTTGTAGAAAAATGGTAAACTGTTGCTTCAAATGGCGAAGCAGAAATAAAGAAAAGAAAAGGCTGAAATCGGTTAAGCCGAACGAAAGAAAAAGCACATTAACCAGCCTTACCCGGAGGCTGCTTGTTCATGTGCACCTTCTCTCCGGCCTTCACGGCCTTGGCCAGGAAGCGCTTCGTGTACTTCAGGCGCTTCAGCGCACGGCCACGAGGCTGCTTCGGCTTGTCCTGCTTGGCGACCTTGGGGGTCTGGTTCTTGACCTTGCCCGCACGGGCGAGGGAGCCGTGGATCTTACCCATGATGGAGAAAGATAAACAAATCCTCTGAAGAGAACCTCTTCTTTTTAGTGAAAACTGGGTTGGTATAGAAAACGATCTATGTCCATAGAGATAGAAGACGGAGTGTGATAGCTAGCTTCTGATTGCGAGTGAGGATGTTGAAGGGTCATGTGGATGAGAAGGAAAAGAAGAAAAGGAGGAGAAAGAAAGAAGTCGTAAAAAGCGCTAATAGTCAAACGAAAACGAGAGAAATGTCGGTCACCTGCGAGTGACGCAGTAGCAGCAGCAGCAGCAGCATAACGCGATGCACACTTACTGAGTGACTCCAAACCGGAGCAACAAGGTCCTTCAAGAAGTGCGCAACGCGCCGATGAGAAAGAAAAAAACAAATGCTAGCGTGAGATAAGCCCTGTGCATTCCATGTGGATGCTGTCTTCGTTCCATTCCTCTTGTTTATTCTTGTCTTTGCTTTTTAATTCGGAATTAGAAACGGGAAGAAAATAAAAGATGTTTCTCGGTGGCCGTTGGAACAGTGCGCTTAGCCAGCCTTACCCGGAGGCTGCTTGTTCATGTGCACCTTCTCTCCGGCCTTCACGGCCTTGGCCAGGAAGCGCTTCGTGTACTTCAGGCGCTTCAGCGCACGGCCACGAGGCTGCTTCGGTTTGTCCTGCTTGGCGACCTTGGGGGTCTGGTTCTTGACCTTGCCCGCACGGGCGAGGGAGCCGTGGATCTTACCCATGATGAAGACGCGAGAAACTGGATGGTGGGAAAGTAATAGAAAAACGAATGGTTGGATGAGAAGAAGCGAGAACGAGGTTCGAAGAAAAAAAAAAATGCATGAAAAACATAGTAGGACCGCGTAAGCGATGGGCATGGTAAGAGAAGTCAGTTAGCTTCAAGGTAGCCCGTCGGTACTGCTTCCTTGTTCAGTTTATACAACTGCACGCGCTGAATTAGACGAGCAATGCTCTGCTAACGAGTCAAGTTGTGTTGTTGCCGGTTGTTCGGTTGAATAAACCATGCTTGGCGAACAACATATCTGCCGCAGAGCCAGCATGTCATGAAAAACAATAATAGAAGTAAACCACATTGATAACAGTCTTTTTTAAGTACTTTCGCCACACCATCACCTAAGCAGGGTTAAGGGTACCCTCCTCCCTTTTTTGCTGCTGCTCGTGCATCATTTTCGCAACTGTTGCCTGCGCGCCATCATCGAGTTCTGAGAAGCGTATAGACGGCGGCTTCAATGTTTTCATGTCAATCTGTCGTTCACCCAGTACCACAAGTGGCCACCACTCTTCGTACTGCATGTTTGTCTTGGTGAGAGTTACGATGAGTTCCTTTCCATCCTGCATACACCATGTACTCTCGTCGACGTTAACGGGTTTGTAGAGTTCTCCATCCAAGATAACACCTTCGGATGGGACTTCGACACGCAGGTGTTTCGCTTTGATCTCAACCTGGAGACTTTTGGCACGGGTTCCAGGAGGAACAAGAACCGTCACAGTTACCTCCCTGTCGGTTTGCCCGAAGGAATAGAGTGGATAGTCACCGCCACATTGCTCATTACTGGGCAGAAGATCCGTAAGGCCTTCCTGTGATGCTACAGCGGCCATGGGCACACGACAATTTTCGTTTTGCTAGTGTTGCCATGTTGATCAATGAAGAAGATGTAAAGAGTATTGGCGACAGCCACAAGAACATATGCGTGTAAGAGGGAAGAAAGTACACATAAGAAGTGAGGCAAGACAGACGAAGCGCAGAGACGACTGCTTCGTTTTGTTGTTTTAATAGTTATCATTGCTGCTCGCCAGCGCTCCGAATAATGAGAAAGCAGCAAATGTACAAATTCTACTCCTGATGTACTGTGAAACACTATTGAGAGGGTCAAAAAGTGTGAAAAGAGAAGAACAAACTTCACACTGAAAACTACCGCTGAGAGAAAAAAAAAGCACGGCACCAACGTTTCTACTATCCTTTTGATCTTCTTTCGATTCCTTCTGTTCTCTGAGTGCGTCAAAACACGCCGGGAGATCCAATATGTGGCGAAGAAATGCAGAAAAAAATGACATGAAAGCATTTCTTTTTTTTTTTTACGGAAGCAGAGAGTAGGTTAGCCGACCCCATTTTCCCCATTCAAAAGCGTACGTGCCACTTTGAGCCGGTGTACGGTTACACACCCCACCACAAAACACATATAAGTTTCTTTCTCGGGGTGCCTTCATTGCTTTCACGTATTGGGCCGCCGCAACCACTGCTGCAAATGGGGTTTCCATGCATTGCTTACCTCCTCCAACTTGCACTGGCTCCTGGTTGTGCGTGAGTACGAAACGGTGGTGCGCCACGTGTACCTTCTCCTCGCTTCCCACCTGAATACCTTTCCCTTTGGCAATATTTACACACCCAGCAAGATCACAAGCCAAGGATGCGAGCGTTGGTGCATAGAATGGAAATCGCGACCCGTTCACTTCGATACTCGGCGATAAAGAGACTACGTTGGAGGCGGCGCTGTCAACGGTGTCGCATTCGTCGAGGAGACGCGCCATCTCAAAACATATGGCAGCCTCGACGTACTGAAGACGGTCGTTTTTGACCGACATTGGCCCACGCTGAAACATATTCGCAAACACAGGAACGCAGACAGGTCGAGTTCCCTTTAATGTCCTGACAGCTTCACTTGACGGTGGGAGAACCTTGATTCCCACAAGAGGAAACGCATTCTCTTCCATTAGCGCACAAAGAGAGGAGTGAAACTTGATAACATCCTCAATAGCATTTGATTTGGGGAAGATTTCATGCAGAGAAGGCAATTCTTTGTCGACACGTTGCAAATAATCAACGTAGGCAGAGAGTGGAGTCTGTGCAGCGGCGAGAAATCGCGATGAGCTGCGCATGATTTCAGACGAGGAATGATCAAACTACAGAGTTAAAAAAAGCAGGTAATCACAAAAAAGGAAAAAAAAGAGTCAGGACAGGAAAAAGAAATAGAGAAGATGTAGCTTTGTACAGAAAAAAAGACCTAGAAAAAGACGTTGCTGTCCGTACGTCTTTGGGATAATTCTATTTCCGACTTTCAGAGTTGCATAGTAGCGAGTACTGCCAGTGCTCTTCTTTTTTCTTTTTTCTATCATTTGACCTTCGCCCTACGCCTTCAAACAGGAAAAGACAACAGTTCCTGAAAGCGAAAGATAGGAGATGCTTTTCGTTGCTGTTTGACTACTAAACTTTTCAGTCTGGGTTAAACTCGAACGCACAGGTTGCCTTTTTTTGTCATTGTTCATTTAGGCTCTACAAAGCAGTTTTATCAGATGAAAAAAGCAATGCTTTTCTTGAATAAACGCCAAAGAAAATAAACCCTAAACGGGCCAAGAAACAAGAGAGAGATAACGTAAATAGTCGCATAGTATTTAGTGACGCATTGAAAACTAAACTCGACACGAGGCGATTCCTCCCTTTCGCTTTTGCGTACAGATAACAGTGCCAAAAGTGCTCCAAAACATTATTTTTCATTTGTCGCTAGTCTCATGCATGAACTGCGTAAATATGGAGTCAAATTCATCATTCTTTGCCGCATTGTTGTTGTTCCTCGATGGAGCATTTGGTTGCGTCATAGCTCGCCGTGTTGAACTGGCAGTGGCTTCTGCGTGTGCACGATCTTCGGTGGCGGCAAAGTTGTACTGCTTCGCCAGCATCGCTTCCTCGCGTGATATAGTCTCAGAAAACTTGCCGCTGGTGTAACAATAAGCAGGCTGTAACCCACTTGTCTGCCGCTGCGGTTTTTGCGCCCGTCGTTGCTGATTGTGGTGGCTTTGCTGGTGAGGTAAAGGAGAGCGAGAGTGCTTAGGGGCCTGTGCTGAATCCTGCTGCTGTGAAACATCAGCTGGCTGTGGCTGAGGCAATTCCGCGCTAGGGTGCTGAGGAATTTCCTTAGAGTGCTCGGCGTGGGACGAGATGTGCTTGTGCGGTGAAGGGGCTCTGGGGATAGGGCCTACATCCTGCTGCTGGGATAGCGATTCCTGTGTTCTGTTTTCCGCTTGCGACGGATCCCTATGGACGTGATGCTGCTCATGCGCAGAAGTGTTCCTGCTCTGATCCTTTTTCTTGTCTTTGAAAAGGTTCGAAAGAAATCCCATTGGTTATGCTAGTCGCGTAACACACGATAAAGAGCATAAAATGCCTTTAACATAAATCAGTGGTTATAGTTGTCCAAGCATAAAAGACAGCGCAAACTTTAAAATGGCGTTGCTGCTGTTCTCGAATGAAGCAGCTTAAAAACAAACTATGATACAACAACAATAACAATACTAACAAAAATGCTTTTAGGTTCAAACTTGAAGAAAACAAAGCGCACCACTTTCACAGCGCAACAAGATAATGACGAAAATCGCAAGTAAAGCTAAAAGTTAGTCGATTTTTCGTACAGGTCGCAATAATGGTGCAATTAGAGTGCTCACATCTATTGAGAAAAGGAGTTTCTTTCCATTATTATCATTTTTGTATGAACCCCCAGACACACCAGCAATAATAATAAGCGAAGAAGGAGAACCAGAATGAAAAGGTGAAGAAAAAGAAAAAGAAAGAAAGTAAGAGAAAAAAAAGACATTTGAATAACGAATTTGCACAAACACAACAGCCACAGAGTGGTTTCTTTCGCAAAGAGGAGTCAATCTGTTCAAATCCGAAAAGTCGAGCGAGTATCCTTTCAGTAGGAAATGCGCAAATGGAAACCTTAATTCTTGTTGTTTTCTTTCGTTGCTTCATTCTTGTCTACGGCGCTCACTTGCAGGAGCTAAAAATCTAGACTTCTACCAACATTTGGAGTTGGAGAGGCGGCAACGCTGTCCGCCACAGTTGACTCTGAGCGCAGTCGTCGAGACACGGTAGAAAACGACACGTCTCCAGGCGATGGTGACGGGTACGGCATATCAGCCTCCCATGAAAAGCGACCACGCGTTCCAAAGTCGAGGTCTAGTGCGCGACGGAGGAGGTCCCGGCAGAACGAATCCGGTTTGATGCTTTCGGCAGTGTGGTAACATCCAATTGCCGATTCTATATTACCGGAAAGGTGATAGGTGAAGCCCAACGCGCAGTGGCCGTGGCTGGCGTTCGGGCGACTCCTAACGTACTGGCTATAGTACTGGATGGCTGTTCCGTACTGTCTCAGCTTCCGGAACACGGTCGCCAGATTGAACACAATACAATCTTCGTGCTCTGAAGGATTCTCACGGTTTGGCAGACTGTCATAGGCCTCCTGAAAAAAATGAAGCGCCTCCTCAAAATTCAAGGAACGCATCGCAAGGGTACCCAGTTCATTCAGCACAAGCGAGTCGTGGGGATTCTTTCGTAGGGACTCTTCGAAGAAACAACGGGCAACAGGGCGTTGATGGACGCGACTATATTGCATGCCTACATACGTGCAGCACGCATTTAGTCCCGGGAAGTAGTTCATTGCACGCCGATACACGTTCAACGCCTGCTCGCTTTCCTCAAGCTTGGCGTAGCAGTGCCCATAGGCAACCCACGCTTCAGCAAAATAGCAGTCCAGCTCCGCAGCTCGGCTAAAATAGCGTCCAGCACGTTCATAATTTGAGAGCGAAAAGTAGAAGCACCCAATAGCGTACACTGCTAGTTCAGTATAGCATTTTTTTTTGGACAGAAAGTGTGCCTTTTCAAACAGCATCGGTGTGGCTTTGGAGTCGACAAGAAGACACAAATGTAAGCAAAGGGTCTCGCGGTGATAGGGTTCCGACTCGAGAATCTCCGTTGTTAACGATAGCGCTTGTCGCAAATTGTTGCTTTCGTACTCTCGCTTCGCACTCGCGAGCAAGACCAGCGTTTTTGGGATCCCGGGATCGGAGAAATTTACAGTTTCGGGCCCAACACGCGCCTTCAGCGCCTGTCGATACACTTCAGCCTCTTCTGGCAAAATGAGGGAGTCTATGATTCTCACCACTTCTCTTCTGTCCAGAAGGTTGCGCTCAAGAAAAGCGCTGATGGCTTCTCCGCAAAAAGGGTCCGCTGCGAGAGCCATTTTATAAAAACGGATTGCTTTCCCTGCATCGCCGGAGAGCTCTGCTGTCTTGGCGATGTAGCACATGGCGATGACGGGCGAGAAATCCGCAGCAATGAGGTTTTCGGCGTACTGGACGCAAGTCTTCAATTCCCCCAGCTCGAAGGCAGCTTTCATCGCGCACAGATGAGCCTCTCTTCCTTCATTGCTCTGCAGTGTTATCTGCTTCGCCAGTTTCAGCACATTGTCGTATTCTCGAAGTTCGTAGAGGCAGCGAATTTGGAGAGCCTGATGACTGATCGCGGTTGACTGTAGCTCACACAGGATTTCCACAAGCTGGAGGGCACTCGCAGGGTGTCCACTTTCAAGAAGTCGATAAGCGTTTTGTTCGAGGATCGGTATAGACTCCATCTTGAAGACCTGTTACCCCTGTAATTGACAAAAAGGAATTGTTGTGAGATCTGGTGTGCGTCCGTAATCTGTAGCCGAGTGAAAGAAAGATCAAAAAGGACACCAGTTTTGGAACAAGGATAATAGTAACATACTTGACTCAATCATTTGCAAATAATCAACCTCGTATACCCGCGATAATACAAAATATAGCGTCTCATATGCGTTTGCCGATTGCCACGCAAATTGGGTGAATTGTTGGTCGTTGCTTCGTGTTTAATACTTTGCTTTTCTTTTTAGCCATGCAACGCCTGAACGACAATGGTGAATGAAGAAATGAATCCGTTGTATTTCGTTGAAAAAGGGCATTTCCTTCTGTTGCAGTTCTCGTGATAAGAAGAGCTCGCTTGTGTTTAAGTCGCAAAAGGTGAAACAGAACGGCGGCAAATTTACTCGTGGCGCAGCTTCTTTCCGGGTGGAAAACGTTCAAGTCAACACAGTCATTAGCTCCAGCTTGCTGCAATGCGACTCCCATTTGCTTTCCGTGGTTTTTCGCCTGCCGCTCCTCTTCTCCTCCTTCACCCCCCCCTTCTCTTTCCTTCCGTTATGATTTCCTTTCTTTTTTGTGCATGCTGCTTCCATCACGATTTGCTTTCTCAGACGCAAAGTATCAAGCGCCCAAGGCGGGTGTCTAAATTCCCCCCCTCCAATCACATTGTAAGCCGTCCCATTCTCTGTTGTACAGGTGTAGCTTCTGGGCCCGGCACAACCAGCCGTGGAGAAGTATGTGATGCAGAACCTGAGCTTTGAGAGCCGAAGGGCGCGTTCCACAACACAGACCTGATAGCATGGTTGAACCACCAAACTGGCCCAACGCACGAAATACACAGATACAGAAAGTATTACGTCGTCTCGGATCAAGTTAACCTGTTGAGCTGCTTGAGATCAGAGCTTGCGTGCTAAAGAGCAACGCAACTTCCTGCTTTGAACATGGCAATGTTAATTCGTTTTGAAAATGCCCGAAACGAATGAAAGAAGAATCTTTGCTTCTCCTGTTTAGCTACCAAAGAGGCTCTTCTTTTCTCAACAGTTTTCGATTTATTTTCTCTCCTTTTTTTTCTCAATGCTCTCATTCCCTCTTTTTTTCTTTAGTTGTTCGAAAAAATGAGATACGGGTCAATCAATGAGGCGATTTGTAAGGCCTTTAACGCCGTCTCTTTCTCGGCGCATTGTCGTGGGTCCGTCCGCTTCGTTACCTACGACGTCCGCCACCCCTGAATTTGGTCGGAGAAAAAGGCGTATGCAGAGACGCACGGAGAAGCGCATGTTTGACGTGGAAACCGATGATGATGCGAAAAATGCTTGCTTTGAGCGATACGGCTTTGTGCAGAAGCCGATGTTTATGGAAACATGGCAAGAGTTTCTCAGGGAACTGCAGCGTGTTGAGATCAGCTGGTGTCTTGCTCCCAGCGCTGGAGGAACTTTGCAGCTCAGCATTTTTGACCATTCAGAGCCCGGAGACGGTCTTTTGTGCGAATTATCCGGCAACACTTCACGTTCTGCTCCGTTGGCAGAGTTCTTTGAAGCCTGCGGTAGTATTTGCCAAGGCGCAGCGACGAAAGGCGAGATCCAATTCATTGACGGGGATAAACATTCGGTGTTGCAGATTGTGAGCAAAAACCGGTTTGTGTCTAGAGACTTCAAAGAAGATCCACCTATTCTCCCTTTTGCATGTCAACACAACTGCCGCGGTACTTCCGTTTCGCTCTCTGTTTTGGACAAGCGCACAAGCGTCACAGCACCTCTTTTTTCGGACATATCAGTCCAAACACTCAATTACGCTTTCCTAACAGCGCTTCCCATTTTTCTCAAGCGGTCCGATATTGGTGTTCGAAACGTTGATTTTGTGACAAAGGATCAGATGCGCCATTTCCGTTTTGCGTGGTGTTTTCTGCGCAAAGAATCGTGGATGACCCCTGTGGAAATGACGGAGCTCGATTGTTTACTTCCTCCGTAACGCTCACATTTTCAGAAGAGTAATTCAAACAAGCGTTGTTATTGGTTTCTGTTAGTGTTTATTTACAAAGCCAGTCTTTTAATGTTCACAGGCTTAATAAAAAAATGAAACTAGGACAGGATTATCATGCAAGCACTACATAAATAGCATAAGATTCATGTGAATGAAAAAAGAAAAGCACTGAAATGCATAGTAAAAGCTGTTACTGTGCTGCACTGTGCAAAGGGGAAAAAGGATGTCATTGTGAGTCAATTGATTTACCTCTCCTGTATTTTCTTATTTTGACAGCTTCTTCTTTTTTTTTTTCTCATGTCTTCTTCTCCTGTTCTTTTGTTTCAAAACTCTGTCTTACAAAAAAAAAACCCTTTGTAATTGCTTTTAAATGCCTCAAAATAATAAACAAACTGCCTTTAATACATGTCGCGAACTAACTGCTTTCAAAATATAGAAATTCACGCACCAAACTCAAATAGTAGATTTGGGATTTTTGTTTACAAAGGAACACCTACAGAGATTAAATAACAATGAGAGCTTTATCGCTTCGCTCCGGGATCTTCGCTCGCGGCACTGCCGTCATATTGTGCAGTCAGCGCTGGTGCTCCACTGAAGCAAAGACTGAAAAGTCAGCCGAGGAGGCGGAGGCCTCCATCAATAACACCGAAGAGGTGGTACCTCTTGAAGCTCTCCAGAAGGTGGAGAAACAACTGGAGGAAGCAAAGTCGAAAGTGGAGCAACTGAAGAAAGATATCCTGTATCGCGCGGCGGACGCCGAGAACGCGCGTCGCATTGGCCGCGAAGATGTTGAGAAGGCAAAACTGTACGGAATTACCTCCTTTGGAAAGGACATGCTTGAAGTCGCCGATACCCTTGAGAAGGCTATTGAAGCCTTTGCTACGTTCACTGAAGAAGAGCTGAAGGGCAACAAGATGCTGTCCTCGATTCACACTGGAGTGAAGCTCTCTTCCAAAGTTCTTCTCAAGCACATGAGCAAGCATGGTATCGAGAAGATGGGCGTGACCGTAGGCACGAAGTTCGACCCAAACCTGCACGACGCACTTGTCAGCACTCCCCCGACTGATCAGGCCCCAAGCGATCACGTTTCCAACGTTCTTAAAGATGGATACATGTTAAAGAGCCGTGTGCTGCGCGCTGCCCAGGTTGGTGTGTCCCACAGCGGGTGAAGATGCAACGCTGATTAATAAACGCAAAGCTTTGGCTTCATTTCTCTCTTTAGGTCGTTTTTTTTCTCCCTTCCCTTTACCCTGTTTTCACATATTAAAACGCTTACTGTTATTGTGGTTTTTATTTATTTATTGTGTGTCTCGTTTTTCTTTTTCGAGGTTGTGTTAAGCTCGTAAAGATTATGCACAACAGAACGTTTCGCGGGGGATTTGCTATTGATTTATTTGTTTCACGCTGATGAAGTTATTTTTATATATCCATGGACTAGCGCTCTCGAGAAGAAGAGAAGCTAAAACATGAGTTTTCAACGCCAGTATGCACAAAGGTACGTACCAGACTGCTACTTGCGGATTTGTGTGTTCGAAGTATCGGATAATTGACGAAATATATAAAAAAAAACGGTTTTCGCTGATTGCAAAAGCCAGACTTTCTATTTTGTGAGAGCTGTTGAAGGCAATTTTCGAAGGAGATGACCCGTTGAAAGAGAGTGGACATCCCTACTGGTTTTCCTCATTGTTCCGATACTTCCTACTCGTCACATATGTTTTTTCTTGCTTCAATTATTGTCTCCGTTGTGGCGCATTAAACGACCTAAAAAGAAGACAGTGTGTAAATGAAACTTTTGCGGATAAAGCCGTACCGGAATATTCACTCGACGTGGAGGGAAGCGAGGCAAAGAGAATGCATCTGTGTTCGTGAGCGCAATGCCCGATCTAATTTGACTTCACTCCTCTTTCCTTATTGAACCGCTAGTTCGCTGCAGTAGAGTTTTGTCGGTGATCAATATGGACTGTTTAATGATGTACGCCGACTAAAAATTGTCAAGACGCATGAAACAAAGTATGTTCTTCGTCTTGAGATTTCTATTTTTCTTCTCTTTCCTTTTCCTATTTCTTCAGATCTTTTCTGCAATCTAACTTGCCCAAATAAAATTAAGGGTTTGCGAGTACGCTGAAGAATTATGCTCAGGCGTATAGGACCAGCAGCGATATTATGCCGGGGCAGCTTTTTTGCCACACGGCGTCGCTGTGCCACATCCAAAAAAGATGGTGACTCTTCTGCGGCAAATACAATCAAAAGCAAATACGACGTGTTACTTAAGGAGCTTGAAGAACAAAATAAACTTGTGGCAGAGCTTACCACGGAAAGTCTTTACAAAGCGGCCGCGTGTGAAAACCTGCGCAAGGAAATGCGTGAAGCGAAGAAAATCGCCGAATCGCAAGCTACTGAGTCGTTCGCAAAGGATATGCTTGAAGTATTGGATGCTCTTCAGGTAGTTGCGAGGCAGGCAGAGGAATACTTGCGGCAGAACACATCCCTTCCTCCATCGCAGGTATCAATTCTAGCCGGCATTAAGCTGACCGAAGAGTTCGCGATTAAAGCTTTGAAGAGGTATGGCGTGAGCAAAATCTGCACAGCAGTTGGGCACCCTTTTGATGGGAAGTTGGAGGAGAAACTCTACAGTGTTCCATCGACAGTGGAGCTGAAAGATGGAAGTGTTGCAGAAGTTGTCAAGAGCGGCTACTTATTGAACGGTTCGGTTTTACGTAAAGCGCAGGTTGCGGTAAGCGAAGGCCTGTAATACTATTCTAATTCGTTATTTTTCCGAGTTTTGTTTTTCTTAACAGGAAAGGCAACGAATTCTTTGTCTTGTGCATTTATTAAAGTATTCGTACTGCTATCATAGTACACACACACACACACACGAAAGAAAAAAAACAAACTTTATCCCCGGAAAAACTCTGAGTTGATGTCTCTTAAGACGGCTGCTTTCTTTAATGTGCTTACTCAACGCACCAAAAGCTGCTCAATGCAAAGAGTATTGTCTGCTGCTTTCTTGAATACTTCATTTTTTATATTCCTCTCCCTTTCAATGCACCGACACACAACTCATCATTTCATCCTGCTCTTCATAATTTACAGTGTTGGGCTGCGCTTTTTTCAAAAGGAAATGCTTCGTCGCTGCGCGTCAATTGCGACTCCAACGTCGCAAATATGCAGTCCATTTTCGGTTGCAAGTGAAACGCAGAAACGCTTTCTGAAGATTGCAAAATCTACGTTTGGCTTCTACTTGGCAAGGCGCGGGCAGCGGAAGTTCCCGTTCCACCGCCGGCCGCATACGAAAAATACGTACGCGATGAACATGAACGCACCGTACTTTTGGAGCTTTATGACAGCGAAGAGTCAGTCATTTTTTTTACCGGAGGAAAACTACATCACCGGTGACTGGACGGGCAAGTTTTTCGTGTCGAAGTGGCAGGTGTACACTCTGCAGCACGCGACTAGCGGCGGAAAAGTGAGAGTGAAGGCGTTCCCGTCTGTTTTTGAGCTGAATAGTCCGTCACGTTGGAATATCGGAAAGGAAATCCGTACGTTGACGAAGCCGCGAATGGACTTGATAGACGATCAGATGCTGACGAAGAAGCAACGACTGGATTATGTGAAGGCTGGATTATTGCCGAAGTAATGGACTTTCCAGCTTGCCACACGCTTACACAAAAAAGTAACGACAAAGAGCAACTTCAGAAATGCTAGATGAAATGAACTGTGTGCTGGCTTTCGCTTTCGCAATCGTGTTTCACACCCTATAGTGTGCAACACTGTTTTTGAATCATCAACCATGTGCAACCTGTTTTGAATCTAGCGCAAGTTCTTGTCTCGAATGCTGTTTCACGTTTTCCGGACTTGAGTTACTCCAGCTGTTGTTGCACCTCCTCACGCAAAACAGTAGCTGTCGAAAGCACACGCAATTGACAAAAAGATATTTCTCCTGCCTTACAAAACCATCTTCAGCGTGCCTTCTCTGTGTTCAAACCTCCTTATCGTCTTTTGCTGTGTTTTTTGATGCAGTTGAGTGTTCTCACCGTAGTACACACATATATATATACCTTTTTCAATGCCATGCGGCATGCACGTGTACCTTGCTATGTGCTGTCGTGCGGGTGGCGCCAGGGGATGAGAGCTCTTTCAACAACGACGCGGCTGCTAAGGGATGCTGATCCTCTCAGTGTCCTTTTTGAGGAGGTGGAAAACTGTGATACATCTGTTCACTCACAAGGCAGCAGCACATCTGCAAAGCTTGAGGAGTCAGACGCGTCGCGTACTGTGCAATCTTCGCCTCCGCCGTCGTCTGATGCGCGAGTACGGCTGGAGGAAGCGAAGCAGAAGCGCTTGAAGCGTCAGTTGAAGGATGTTGGCGACGAGCTCAATGCGCTGCTTAATGAAAAAGGTCGCGTTGCCGCACAAGTCGCGAACAAGGCGTATGTCCCGGCACGAGCAGCGAAGACGTTTCTTTCGTCAGCTGAACTGATTCAAGAAAAGGCCCCTCAAGAGTTTGTTGCAGACGAGCAGAGCGCGGAGGAGCTTGTGAAGGTGCCGTTGTTGCAACATTCAGGCTGCTCGGCGGTCATCACGATGGTGGGAGTGGTTGCCAAAGCACCGCAACAGGTCAGTGTCACGTTTCCTGGTGGATACGCTGAGAGCGGCTGCGTTGAATTCACGGTGCGGTACGAAATTCCTTTTGTGCAAGCTAGCACCTCCATGCTGGTGACTGTGCGAGCCGTCGGCGCGACACTCTCGACGTTTGTCCAGGAAAACGTGAGCGTTGGCGACGTCGTGCACGTTCTAGGCCATTTAGCGCCTTTCAACACACCCGGAAAAGATGGCAGTCTGTGCGCCATTTACGTACTTCCCGCTGGAGGAAACGTGACTGTTGTCCTTTCCAAAGCCGCGACTTAAGGCGAGTGGTCGAAGGTAGCATAATAATTGTGCACAGTATAGTTCGCGGCACACGATGAAGATGAGTAAGTCAAACAGTCCTGCTGTCGTGATACATATTAGTTGCGCATGCCAGAAAAACTGTATATGTTTATACAGAGTGCAAGCACGGACTACATGAAATGTGGTACAAGCACGTTCTTGGCTGCTGTCGATTTCACTCGCAAAGGAGCAGCGAACCAGGCCACCAACAGTATCTAAAACGACTCTAAACCTTTTTTTCTTCCTTTTTTAATGCGAAGATGTCGCTTTGGAAAGCTGTTCTCTTCGTCAACTTCATCCGCTCTTGCGCGGAAACAGCAGCAGAAAAAGAACACCAATTGTTTTGTGTTTGTCACGCAACGTTAATTCCGTCTTTTTGCTTATTACCTGGTCTCTCTTGTATCTTCACTCTTTTGGCGACGACAACGAAAACAAAACCAAAAACTAACATGTCCCATAAAGCTTTTACACCGCGCTGTCATCTTTTCTTTCCAATAGAAGCGTAATTTCGCAACTTTCTTATACGTTTCTCGTTTGCATTACTGAGCCATGCACGTTCTTGTCGCCGCGGCTGATCACTCGGAGGACATCGAGCTGGTCTGCATCACCGATGTCCTCGCTCGTGCGGAAATCAAGTACACCTTGGTTTCTGTGACCGAGTCGAAGCACATCACTTTGGCCCGTGGCATACGGGTGAAGTGTGACGCTCTCATCACCGAAGTGTCCGCCAGCGACTTCGACGCCGTCTTGCTCCCCGGCGGCATGCCCGGGGCTGAAACGTTGGGCAAAAGCGAGGCCTTGAGGAAGGTTATGCACGAGATGCGCTCGCAGAACAAGCTTTACGGTGCGATCTGCGCTGCGCCGTCAATGGCGCTTGGCCCAATGGGTCTGCTGGAGGGAGTGGAAACAGCCACCGGCTACCCCGGCTTTGAGGAGAAGCTGCCAGCCGGTGTAAAGTATTCCCCGCGCGCCGTCGTGAGGTCTGGCAACTGCCTGACAAGCAAAGGTCCAGGAACGGCCATCTTCTTCGGTCTTGCCGCAGTGTCGATCCTCAAATCCCCAGAGCTGGCTGAGAAACTCGCAGGCATGCTGTTGGTCGATAAGATGCACGAGATGGACGATGTCCGCGCTATCAAGTGAGCACTTACACTGTCGGAAGTCAAAAATTGCTATTCTAATTTCTGCTTAAACAGCGTGCACAACGCTTTTGTATTTCAATTCATAAGGAAAAGAAAAGAAGTAATCACTATCCTATTTTCCGATTTCTTTCTGTGCTTTCCTTTTTTGATTATTGCAGCATCTGTGAAGGCATTTGTGTTTTTTTTTTCGCTCTTGATTACGTTACCATGCACAAGCTCTAAAAAACAGCAACAGCAAAAATGAAAATGTGTCGGACTGGCTTCCTTTCTCAGTGAAGCGCACCACACCTGTTTTCTGCCCCGCGTTTTTATTAGCCTTTCAAAAAGCGTTTTCAAACACATTTTTGTTATCGACAGACAAAAGCCAGTCTATTTATCATTATTGTTTTTCTTTTTGTCACCGACACGTGCGCGAAACATCAAAAGAAAGCAACGAGTTGTCCCATTGGTTTTTTCACTGCCTCTGGCCCGGCAACAGAAGAGATAAAGAGAAACACTACTTTATTCCACAATCACCAGATGGCACGCGCAAGGGAACGATGCTTCGTTGCTCCTCTGCGTTCGTTTTCTACCACCCAGCAACAGGAAGGGCAGATGAGTTGCGACAAAATGTTTGTTCGCGTTTGAAGCTGCTAGAACCGTTTCCTAATCTGATGCCTTCCTGCTCACCATTTTAAACTGCATAAACCACGTTTTCTCTCTCTTTTTTGTTTTTTAACACCACGACTTTTCACAGTGAAAAAACAAACAAACCCATTCACACACACACATTGAAAACTCAAAAAAGTTCACATTTACTGTTATTATCAATATCACCCGTACAGTGTATCATCTTACCCAAAGGAGCTGCATTGTTATTTGAGCCCCCTCGACGCCACCGCAGTTTTGCCCTCTCTTTTGTTTACTTGAGGAGCTGCCCTTCCCTTCTTCTCAGTCAGGCGATCACCGTAAACAGGCACAAAGCCATTAAATATCACACAAACATTTTCTTTCTGTTTTTACCTCAATCCAATAGGTGTGTGAGCGGGTGGCCCTCTTCAACTACATTTTCCCTTTTCGGTAGCTGAATTTGCTACCCTTTTCTCCTTCCCCCCTTTTTTTTGAAAGCTACAACGTCTGTTGTGCAACACCCCAAGACAAAACGAAAAACATGGAGGATCTTTTTGACCAGGTCGCGAGGGGCTCTCCCATGCAGCAGCTGAACCTGAAAGGTACCGACACCCCTGAATACACGATTCTGTGCGTACAGGCGCCGACCCCAGCGCAGCGTGTGACTCTTTTACAGCACCGTCTGCAAACCTCCACGGAGAGCAGTGCGGGGCAGAACGCCAGTCTGCTGCTGAAGGCGTGCATCAGCACTCAACTCTCTCCGGATGACGTGGAGGAGATGGTGGAAAACCTCGTGTTGATTGCTCAGCAGCACGGCAACTGGCCGCAGTTCATCCGCTGGGTGTGCGCCATCATCCACTACTACTGCACCGATGACTTCACCCTGTCTCTCTTTTCGGAGTTTGGGGTGCCGAAAGTGGCGGTGGAGGCGCTGCGCCGCTACCCCAACGACCGCAAGACGGTTCTGGCCGCCTGCACGCTGCTCGCGCACTTCAACCTGTACGACATGGGGGACGGCATCACGCAGCTGGCGAACGTGCTGCAGGTTCACTGCACGGACGCGACGATTGTGCGGGTGGCCACACGCGCGCTGGCAGAGTTCACATCGTACTTTAAGGATATCCCGGATCGTTTCCTGCAGGAAAGCCAGGAGTTTATTGACGCGAAGGGTGTCGCCGCGCTGGAGGGCGTCCTCCACGAGCACATCAGCGACGAGGAGATCACGACGTACACGGCACGCATCATGGCCAACATAACCAGCTCCGGGGCATCGAACATGGTCGACGCGGATTCACCCGCCATGATGTACCTCGCCGATGCACTGGCGCGCTACCAGCAGTCGGAGATGCTGTGTGTACACGTGCTGCGCGTCTTTAGCAACCTGCCGCGGTCTCAGTTTATCGACTGGGATTGTGTGTCGTCGCTGTTCGGCAACACCAAGTCTGAGCTGGTGGTCTTGGAGTGCATCCACTTCCTCTGCAGCGTTGCTATCAACGTGAAGGAGATGAAGACGCGCATCTACTCCACCGGGTGCGTGCCGCGTGTGCTGGAGATGATGCGCACCTACCAAAGCAACGCCGCCATTCAGGAAGAGGTGTGCAGCTTGCTGTCGTACCTCTCCTTCGACTCGGAAACCATCACGGCAAGCATCACCGAGTCGGGCGGGCTGCTGCTCGTGTTGAACGCCATGCGTAAGTTCTCCGGCAACGAGGATCTCCTCATGTCCGCCTGTGCTGCGCTCTCGGGGTTGACCTTCAACAATCAGACTGGCCAGCAAGTCATTGTCGACAACGGCGGCGTCGCGCTCATTTTGGACGCCATGCGGCACGGCAAGAAGGCGCGGCTGCAGGAGAACGGGTGTCTCGCCATTGGCACCATGTGCTGGAACAGCGATCTGAAGGCAGACGTCGTGCGACTGGGTGGCGTGCATGTGATTATGAAGGCGCTGGAGGAGCACTACACCAGCTCTGGATTGGTGAAGAACGCGTGCCGGGCGTTGGCCCAGGTCGCCTTCAATTGCGAGCGCTACCGGGACGAGATGAGCGCCAAGGGCGTCATCCCGCTTATCATCCGCGGTATGGAGCAGCACCCGAACTACGACCGCGCGCAGATGCACGGCTGCGTCGCGCTCTCCTACCTATCCTGGACGAATGAGGACAACGCGGCGCAGATCACGGCGAACCACGGCTACAAGGTTGTGGTCGATGCGATGCGCAACCACCCGAACAACCACGAAGTGCAGGAGCACGCGTGCCGCGCACTGGCCAACATCAGCAACGTCTCCTTGTACGACTCTGCCGCAGCGCTAGAGCAGATCATCGCCGCGATGCGTCGCCACGAAAGCGTGAGTGAGGTGCAGGAGGAAGCGTGCCGCGCGATAGTGACGTTGTCGCTGGTGTCGCCGACAAACAAGGATCGTCTCTATCAACTGAACGGTGCCGACGCCGTGATTGCGGCGATGAAGCGCTTTCCGCACATTCAGCTCGTGCAGCAGGAGGCGTGCAACGCGCTGGCCCACCTCGCCTATGAGCATGCGGATCTGAACCGTGCCGTTACCCGACTCGGTGGCGTGTCGCTTCTCCTGACCGCCATGCGCACACACAAGTCAAGTCCTAAAGTGCAACTCAACGCGTGCGGCGGGCTCAGCGCGCTGGCCTTCGACAACACCGTGGCACAGCAGCAGATCTTTGAGCTGGGCGGCGTGCAGTGCGTCATCCACGCCATGGACAACTTTGAGCGGCTCCGCATGCTGGAGTTGGGGTGCTCCGTGCTGGGGACGCTGGCGTGGAATACGGAGATTAAGGAGCGGGTCGCCGTGGACGCCATTCCCGAGATACTGAAAGCGATGCGAACGCATAGCAACAACGCCCTGCTGCAGAAATCGACCTGCCGCGCCATCTCACAGTTTGCTTTCAACTCGGAGAACAACCGCCAGCTGCTCGCGGACGCCGGCGCTATTCCGCTGATTGTGAACGCCATGCGCATGCACTTGTCGACGGAGAAGCTGATCGTGCACGCCCTCAAGGCCCTCACTTACCTGTGTTGGGAGAACGCGCAGGTTGCGGAGACGATTATCAACGAGCACGTCGAGGAGGTGCTGCAGCGCATTGTCGAGCACTACGAGCAGACCCACCGCGTCTTCAACGAGGCGGTGCATCTGTCGAAGATTCTTTTCCGCAAGACGACCGGCAGCCCGAGCCCGAGTCTGCGGATTGTGTCGCCGCCTCTCGTCTCGCCGATGCCAATCCAACAGACACCCGGGCCGCGCTACGACAACCCCGCCCCGCCCAGCCCACCCCAGCAGGACGATCCGAAAGAGCACTTCTACTCCGCCCCGCCGGACGGGCCGACGGAGGACCAATACCGCGAGCGCGGACAACAGCATCAGCAGCAGCAACAGCGCCAGCAGCAGCAGAACCCGCGCGACTTTTCGAATGCGGACGAGTACAGAGGACCGAGAGGCGGGCGCGGGGGCGGCGGCGGCGGTCGTGGCCGGGGTGCCATGCGACGTCGCGGCGGCGGCCCTCCTCCGCCCCGTTGTGAGCGCGGTGGTCGGCGCGGCGGGGATGGCAGCCTGGACAACGGCAGCGGCTCCCTTGTCAGCGGCAGAGGGGGACGCGGCGGCGTGAATGGCGGCGTGGTGGAGTACCACGATGAGGCGATGCAGGAGGCACTGGAGGCCCGCTTCGGACCGCGTCCCGGCGGTCGCGGGCGTGGAAGTGGTGGTGGTGGTGGCGGAGGCAGCAGCAGCGCCCATCACCGCGACGCCGCGGATCTCTGGGACGACCCCGACCCGGAGACTTTCCACGGCAACCGCCAGCTAGGGCAGATGAACTGGCAGCAGGCGGAGATGACCTCTGCGATGCAAGGAGACGCAGGCCCCAACGACGCGCTCGAACCGCCCACTCACGGACGACCAGATACGCTGTGGCAGCGTGGCAGAGGTGGGCGTGGGCGAGGTCAGCACTACCGCGGGAGTGGTGGTGGTGGTGGTGGCGGTCGAGGCCGCGGGGTGCCTGCAAATCGGTGATGTATAGCAGTGTCACTGCACCCAGCCGATGCACAGCGTGGGGGGACAGCAAGGAAGAATAACGAAGAAGAGATTCGTCGCAGCAGCTCAGTGATGGCGCGCTTTCATGAACACATGCTGCGACTCATCTCCTCCTGCAGCTCGCGTGCTTCTCCCACGTTGAACAAGCGCACTTCTTTCTGTCTAGGCAATATGGGGGGTAGCGACAGGAACACACAGGTAGTAAAAGGGAACAAAACGGCCCTCAAAGGCCGAAATAAATAGGAACGTTGGCTGCAGCATCGCCGTTCGTCTCCAAGTACGGTGACCACTGCACACGGGGAAAAAAGAGAAGAAGCTGAACTGCTCACGGCAGCGCTGGCGAACAACACGGAACGTTTATATATAAAGGGGTTACTTTCAAGGCGCAGCAACGCTTCTAGTTTTGCGGGTAGGGTGGTACCGGGGTTTTTCGGCTTCTCCGATTTATCTCTGTTCGCTTTCGTTTCCGGTTTCGTTTTCTTGTTTTTCTTCGCTACGGGGACTTCGTATTATTATTATTGAAGTCATTTTTGTGTGTCTACGCGTTTGACCGAGTATTCTCCCGAATTGAGTGCGTCTTCGACCGAAGTTTAGCAGGGATTATTTAGCCGTTGTACGAAAATGACAACAGTGCAGGAAAACGAAAGAACAAAACGGCAATTAACTGCAAACCGGAACCTCAAGCATTTCAGTGGCGTTGTGTGCTGCTTCTACTGCTATTCTTTCCTCTCCTTATTCGACACGCCGAGTGCTCGTGAATGGACGAGTGGCGCTGCTCCCCGTCTCCAGCGCGTTTCGGCGGCATCAACACTGCATGCGCTGTCTGTGCGTTACAGTGGCGTCATCCATGAATGTGTGCGATACCACCTCACCACTGTTCTTCCGTTTCCTGTTTACTAGTCGGGTTCTTTCCGTCGTCACAACAACAACAACCATAGCAACAAGAGATAAAAGAAAAAATAGCTCTGCTGTGGCTGGTAAACGACAAAAAAGCAAACGATCAAAAAACAACAACAACACTACTGAGAACGACGGACGCGTGCGTGTGTTTCTACGTAAGCATCGACCGTTACTCCTGTCTCAAAAAGAAAAGAAAAGCATCAGAAAACGAAACGTATTCAACAAAGGCTTGTAGCGCTTAGAAACCTCTTTGCGACCTTTGCACGCAGCGTCCTCTACCATATATATATATATATATATATATCATCATGAACGTACCAGAGTGGACCAAGGACGAGCAGTCCATCGAGGCCGCCAAGAGCTACCTCCGCCAAGGCGGCGCCGTTGACTTCTTCGAGATGGTTGCGCGTTCCATCATTCACAACCACCCCACCAATAAGGTGGAGTTTTCGCTGCAGATAGTGAACGACATTCTCGGCGGCAAAGAAATTTCTGCCGACGCAGACTTCCAGCCAAAGCGGCAGGAGGATAATCAGTACATGCGTGAGAACGAGGTGAGCGACTTTCTGGATGAGTGGGTGCTGGCGCTGCTACGCGAGCGACCCGGCACGGACCTGGAACGGATGCAGTTCCACAAGCGTTACCTTGAGGGCCTCCGCGACGGGACGACGGTAACGGTGTAAAGGAGGAAAAGCTGTACAGCGAGGATGGCGCGAAAGAGAAGGAGGGAAGCGAAGCAGGTGACAAAGCCACGGAGGCATTAAAGTTCGCAGAGGCAGACGAGGAGGCGTTCAAATTTGAAACGCAAAAAGAGTCCGTTTCCTTTCCGTTGTTCTTCGCGTTCAATTTCTTTTCCTTCTAGAAGCTTTTGCATGCTTTTCTCCTTCGCTCTCCTCCTGTTTTTTTCTCGGATTTTTTTTTCCGGCCACTCCGCTTTTGCTGGGAGCTGCTGAATGAAAATGGGTGTCTTTGCCTCTGCGATGTCTCTTTCTTTTTTTTTTTTAATGTTCTTTTAACTCTTCCTTGAGATGAAGGACCCTTGTACAGAATTGCCACACCCACTCACACCTAATGAAATCTGCCTCTGCGAGAAACGCAAACTGCGGCCTGCGTTGGCCTGCTTTGTAGCTTGCTCTTTTTCGCTGTGATAGCTGCCCTATCTGGCCCGCGTTGCTTTCTATTGGTGTCAATGCAACGGGCACAGTTGCGACTTCGACAAAAAGGGGGGCATCGTCAACCTTGAATTTGACCAAAAAGTGCATCTGCTAAAGGCAGTGACGTTAAAAGAAAAGGCAAGAAAGGTATTCTGTCTGCTTCTCTTTCTTCGCTGTTTCCATCTTCTCTCTACTCGTCAACCGCGACGTAGCATTCTACAGAGCAAACAAGCAAGCCTCCCCCCCTCCCAAAAGGAAAACGAAAGATATGCGCAGAGCGTGGTCGACCACTGCGCAGCGGTTTCAGCTGCTGCGTCCGTATAGTAGCTCCTTTAGCCCTTCTTTAGCTCTGCTACAGCGCGGAAACCCAGGACGGGACGGCGGCTCTCGCTACGGCAACGGCACTCCACCGCCGAGACAGCAGTACCCGCCGCAGCGAGGTGGTAGTTATGGTGGTCGCGGTGGTGGCGGAGGCAACCGCCAGCAGGGTTACAATGACAGAGAACGAGGTGGCTATGGTGACAGCCGCAGGCAAGGTTTTGGTGAGCGTCAGCGGGGCTACGACGACCGTCCGCGCGGCTCATTCAACCGCAACGGCAACGCGGGTAATCGTCGGCGAAGCGCATCGGACTACCTCGCACAGGACGCAGAGACGCTGCTGCAGATGAAGCAAGCATACAAAGCGTCCAAGTCGTTGAAGGAGCGGGTACAGATCATGCGCGAAGCTCGCCGTCTCGCTCGCAGAGTGCACGTCGACGTGTCCACACAGGACGAGCGATCTGTCATTGTGTTCCTCAACTGCGCCGCCACCTTCCACATTCACGTGAACGACGGGGTGGTGGAGGCATCACAGTGGGTGCAGGCCAACCTGCGCGGGCTGTCGCCCCACAGCGTCGCGCTGTACGCCAACGCGCTGGGCTTGCTGAAGATTGAGAAGAGGAGAGAGGTGTTTTGTGCGACGGTGGTGCCTCAGTTGCCTTCTCTGATGCGTGACATGACGCCAGTTGAGGTGGTCATGGTGTTGCAGGCGTTTGAGCGCCTGCACATCAGAGACTGCGAAGAGTTGATGGATAAGCTTCTCTTCCAGTTAGAGCCGTGCATTCCGACGATGCCAGTACCGCAGCTATCGACGCTGGCGGAGGTGCTGAAACGGTATTCATTGCGCTTTCGCAACGAGGAGAAGTGGCAGCAGGTGGTGCAAGCGGTGATGAGTCGCGCGTTAGAGTCGGTGGAGGGGATGCATTCGAAGGAGGCGATTACATTCCTCTGCGCGGCGCCCCAGTTTGGGCTCCCACCGGAGCAACTCTGCCCTCTTCTCGCACGAGCCACCGCCACTGCCGGTTTCCACACTGGCGAACAAGTTGCCGAACTGTTCCATGCTATCCACGCGCTTCACAAGAGAACGCCCGAGCTAACATCGGAGGTGGAAGCCGCAGTGGCCGCCCTCTGCAAGGCGTTGGTCGCGCGGCTCGAAAAAGTGGCATCGTTTTTGACAATTGATGACGCGGCCTTCATTTGGTTGAGTGCGGCGGGGATCGGCGCCGAGTTGCCCGATAGCGTTGTGCAAATTATGTGCGATGCCGTGCGCAAAAGCTTGATCTATCGAAGACTGCGATTGTATTCGTTAGCGCATTTTGCGAATGCTGCCGCTGCGTTTAAACTGCCCTCACCCGAGTTGCTGGACATGGTGGCAAAGTACTCCGTGGGTGAGCGGCCACCGCGCCCGCAGAATGCTGCGGCAGCGGAGGAACACCACGAGGACCCAGAGGCGGATGAGGAGTTCGAGAATCTACGTGCGGCAACGCTGGAGTCGTTGTACGGGCGTTGCTTCGACGACTACGTATCAATACGTCTCGGTTTGGAAGAGGCGTACGCGAAGATAGGCGCGAATCCGCCAGCGGCGCTGACGACCATACTGCCTGAGCGCCTGCTCCAGCACATCCCCGATTCTCCTGCACGCTTGCTCTTGGCGTCTGCGTGGGACATCTTAGCAAGGCCGCCGGGGTGCCCGTGTCGCAACGTGTCCAACGATGAAGCGTTGTACCAAGGTATCTTGAACGACATCGCCCGCACGCCCGAGAAGTATAAGAACCACCTCACCCCTGCGTTTGTTGCGAAGTTGCAGCAGAAGCTGGCGGGCAACGCCAAGGGTGAAGAGGTCGTCAAAGCGGTGCAGCGCGCGTTGGAGTAGAGAAGCTCTCTCCGCGCAGTATGAGCAACGCAGCTCGTTTCACAACATTACCGAATAAAACCCTGCATCCGTGGTTTTCGCCTACTGTGTCGCAGTGAAGTGGTGGGTGGGGAGAACTCTGCGGTACTCCATTGCAGCGTTCTCTCGCACCATCTTCTCTTCTTCCTTTTTTTTTTCTTGATTTCTTCACATTGGTGCTTGCCTACGTTTTTGTTGTCGTTGTGTTCACTTTTGCGGTGCCGCGCTTGTTTTCGTTTTTTTTGCGGGGGGGGGGGGTGAGGAAGGAGGGGGTTTTGTGAGTTTGTATGGCTGTGTGTCTTGGTTGCGACCCGAGCGGTCCCCCTCCCCTCTTGCTGCCTCTCGCTCTCTCCTTAAAGCTTTGCGTCCCACTCGAGTTCGCGGTGACTTGCGATGTCAACTGCATTTCTCGAACGCAGACAACAGGAGGGAGAGAGGGAGGCGAAAGGGAGCGGGAGAAGAGTGTTTGTCTGCGCAGCTGCGCAGTTGTGTTGTGTGCCGCTCTTCTTTCTCCTTTTTCCCCGAGAAGCTCTTTCTAGCTTCTACTGTACGCCTCTCTTCCGCAGCGAGGCAGTTTTGGCTCACAACTGTGGTTGTCGCAGGTGCTGTAGCAAATGGTGAATGATGAAAAGGCTGATTCTAGCGGTCTCGGTGTTCCCACCGCACAAAAATTGTAAAAAAAAGGAGACAAAATAAAAGGAAGACCGGCTCTTCACTGTTTGCGACGGTAACGAAGGAAAAGAGGGTAGTCTGGATGGTAACAGAAGTGGTTTGAAGCGAATAGGTTGTCCACTGCAAACTGACAAGCCTCACTGGTTTTGGCGCTTTACTCCCGCACACACCGAAGAAGTCAGTGCATGTCCACCCACACCTCAGGTTCTTTCTTCTCTCCCTTTTTTTGCCCTCTTCTTTCCTGAAAGATAACCAGCGCGCTATGTCCGGCTTGTGGAGCTTCCGCGAGCCAAGCTTTGCCGTCGGCACCACCGGTGGGCCACAAAGCACGCGTCGTCCAACGCACGCTGTCACTGAGGTGCTTCCGGTAGGGGTGGAATACAAAAAGTCTTTACTTCCACGCACGAGTCAAGCAGCACAGACGCTGGCAGCTGCAACGAGCGCTTCGGGAAAAGGTGAGATGGTTGCCGACTTGCCCAATTTAACTCCCGTCAGCAGCCGTGGTAGGCAAGAGGAAGAGGACAGTAGCGATCAAGCAGACTTTTATGACCTCCCGTGCGCACGCTGCGCCGATGTGAACGACTCGACAGGAGCCACCTTCGCGCATCCAGACAACAACAAGTCTGTTGCGGATCTGGTGGGCCGGGACGAGGCTATTAGCGAGGTGCAGCGCGGTTGGTGGCGCGCGCTCAACATCGACGTGCGTCCTGCGGTCAACCTTCCTTCTTCCGCGCACGCTCCTGAGAAGGCGAGTGCCGTGGATGAAGCGACACTGCAGACGGCCCACCTGCTGTTGGCCCGCGTTGCCTCTTCAGACAACTACTCCCCTTCTGCCGCTTCGTCCATCGCGTGCGCCACCCCAGTCGGAAAACGCAACGCCACGCACACGTCAGCAAGCGGCACACGAAAAGGCGATGCATCGCGCCTCCAAAGGAGTGAAGCGCGAAGGGGCGTCTGCCAAGCTCAACGATCCAAGGCCAGCTCCTCGGGGATTGACGCATCACCCGCGACCGGTTCACTTGGGTCACCTTTGCGGACAGGCCGCGGCGCGCAACAACAGGAGCGGCCCGCCAACATCACGACAGCCTCAACGTCCCATCTAACGAACGATACTACGCGTTCCGTTGGAGGGTGCAACATAATTCATGGCGAAGGACCGTGTCGTACACGTGCGGCTTTGCCTTTTCAAATGACGAGTGCTGTGTGTGAAGAACCGCGTCCCGAGCTCCCTCGCGCACCCTTTCCTGCCGAAGGTGAAGAGGTCAAAAAGGCAACAGAGACGCTTTTTACTGGTGCGTATGCCGGTTGTCTTATCGAGCCTCGTGTGGGTCTTGGAGTACCACCCCAGTGTTTGCAACGAACACTGCGCCGAGTTCACCCCACAGCACCGTGCGCAGATGAACAGACGTGCCAGGAGAAGGATGCCCGAGTGGTGCTCCGGCATTACTATGCTTTGTGGCTCACCGCGACCGAGGAGCGTCATATGCAGCGCTGTGCAGCGTCGTATCACGACTACCTGCTGCAGTGCGTCCGTGATGCACTCAGTTAGACTTCGCGTGCGTAATAATTATAGGAAAAAGGGAAGCACCGTAAAATACACTGTCTCTCTCTCTTTTTTCTTTCTTTTGCTTCTCTCGAGCCATTCACCCGAGAACAAAGCTCTTCAAGCTACTTGGTTAGCACTTCGATGAAGACGTTAATAGATCGGCATTATAGAACACAATGATGCTACTTCTTTCGACGCACATAACATAGACTTTTCCGCTCTACACAACTACATTTTAATGCAATAAGCATCAGCTAGTGCTTCACCTATGCCCCCCCCCCCCAAAAAAAAAAAGGGAAAACGAAAGGAATGAAACAATAGGAGAACGCAACGAGCACCATGTTCGGAAAGAGTAACGCGTTGAGGGAACGAAATCAATAGCAGGGGAGCAACTAGACCAGCGTTGACTTTGGCTAAAAGTTCCAGGCAACCGATTAGTGCTTGCAGGCTTTGTTCCTGCAACACTGCTCCGCTTTTTTTTTCCTTTCCCAACGCACTTGCATGTCCCATCTTAGGCTGCGGTATTGAGCACTGTGCACAGATATATGTATATATACTTTCACTTCATTCCTCCTCCCTTCACCGATGCCTCACCTTCTTCTTTTCCTTGTACTATCACAGCATGAAAACAAGATTTGCAAAGTATCAGGAGGATCAAGATTCCGGACTTACCGCGAGGAATCTCTCCCCTTTTTATTCCCCGTTCTTGCCTTTCCCGCTTTCATCAACATCGTCGGTTTAGTTTCGTCGCCTTTCTCTCGTGCGCGCGTTTCGTTGTTTCCTTTGGTTTCCTGCCGTGCTTTCTAAACGAAGGAAGCAAATAGCAACACCTTACTTCTAGATAGACAAAGCCACTCATTTCTGCTTCTTTGCCCGTTTGGCGATCAGCTACTCACGTGCTTTTCCTTGCGTAGCTTTTGGTTCGAATTTGTGTAGCCGTTCTTCTTCTTTTTTTTTTTAAACTGGTGGTTTTTGTTTTTGTGTTGTTGTTCTGCTTCTCTTTTAGCGTTTTCCCTTTCTTTGTTGGCCACGGCGTCAATAAGTTCAACTACTCAGTTTCCTCCCTTTTTCTTATTTTCTTCCCCCTCCTCTCTCTCTCTCCCTCCCTCCTCATCTCGATTGCCAAGCCGAGAGCCTCAAGCAATTGTTTATTTGTTTTGTTTATTTGTTTTGTTCTCTTGCACCCATTATTCGTGTGTTTTGGCGCATCCGCATTGTTTTCTTCTTATTTAGCTGTTTATTACCGTTATACGATTCTTTTTTCTTCTTCTTCTGTTCTCTTCTCCATTCGCCACCTCTTGTTCACGCGCTGTTCCTCTTCTTACTTCTTCTCTCGTAGCTCACGTGCTCTTCAGCGTAGCGTCGAGTGGCACAGTCAACGTTTGTAGGCGTCGATTTTTTTTTCTGTGTTTCTCCAGAAATCGTTATCGTTCCGGCAGAAAAGACAAGGAAAGGAAAGAAGAAGCGCGTTAACATGTCAGCTGCGATGTCCGGGTATCTTAAGGTGCTGTCGCGCGACGGCACCTGGGAGACGCAATACGCCGTGGTGGACGGGGCCAAGTTGCAGTATTGGAGAAGGAAGGAAGACACGGCCGCGGGTGCGGCCCCGGTGAAGGAGTTGGATCTGCAGTGCGCCACGCTGCGCGAGATAGGCGAGCCGTGCACGTGGTCAGTGCAGCCGGACAAGGCACACGCGACGTACCTCCAGGCGGAGAGCGAGCAAAGGAAGGACGATTGGGTGAACGCGCTGCGGCACTATAACTCGAGTGCGACCGTAGCGCCGAAGGTGTGCTTGAACGACTTTGAGCGAGTCTTTGTGCTGGGCAAAGGCTCCTACGGCAAGGTGTACATGGTACGCAAGAAGGACACGGGAAAGACGTACGCGATGAAGGAGATGAGCGCAGAAAAGATGAAGCAGGCGGAGATCAAAACGCCGCTGATGGAGCGGCTTATTCTTCAAGAGATCGATCACCCTTTTATCGTCCACCTTCATTACTCCTTCCAGGAAGGCGGATACTTGTACATGATCCTGGACCTGCTAGGCGGTGGCGAGCTCTTCACGTACATTGAGAACCGGGCCCCGCTGCCCGAGGAGACGGGGAAGTACTACGCGGCGGAGGTAGCGACCGCCCTCGGCTACCTGCACAGCCGCAACATCATCTACCGCGACTTGAAGCCGGAGAACGTCGTTTTTGACCAAGACGGCCACGCGTGTCTGACGGACTTTGGGCTCGCAAAATCGAACGTGCACGAGGAGAACGCGGTGACCTACTGCGGTACGAACGAGTACCTGGCGCCGGAGCTGCTGAAGGGCGTGCCGCACGGCAAGGCAGTCGATTGGTGGTCGCTGGGCCTCATGATGTGTGAGATGATCTTTAACGAGCTGCCTTTCTACGACGACAACCCGGTGCAGATGCAAACGCGCATCTTGACCGAGGAGGTCCGCTTTCCAAAGCTAAAGACACCCGTTTCCGAGCCGACGAAGGACTTGATCCGCCGCCTGCTCGAAAAGGATCCGAAGCGGCGGCTGCAGACACTCGAGGAGTTCAAGCAGCACCCCTGCTATGCCGACTTAGATTTCGACCTGCTGCTGCAACGGCAAATCCCACCGCCCATCACGCCCGACAGCGACCCGGCCCACAACTTTGCCCCGGAGTTTACAAATGAAGTAATTCTGCCAAAGGAGGCGCCGTCGCAGGCGGTGGTAATGCTGGCCGGTTACACCTACGACAAAGACTCCAAAGAGCACGAACAGGCTTGCGAGTCGGCGAGGACGCTGCAGTTGAAGAAGTCCACTTCGGGGACGGCCAACAGCACCAATAGCACTAGCAACAATGGCAGCTCAAGGGGCTCGCCCGCCGCGGCGAACTCGAAGCGACTTTCGCTGGGCAACGCGTCCAACTCCAGCTCTACCAGCGGGACCGCTAAGCAGACTTCTGCATCAGCACAAGGAAGGAAATCAGAGAACGCTTCGTCTTTAAAAGCGTCTCCTCTGGGTGTGCGCAAGAACCTGATTGGTGGCAGCACAGCACATAAGCCGGGGAAGTGACTTCAACGGTAATGCGGAACGGGAGAAGCTTCCAAACAGGACATAAAGAAGCGGGGCACATGTACGGTCCACTCTCCTCAACACACCGTAAATTTTCCGCAGATAGCCGTTTTTTTGTTGTTGTCCATGAGTGTCCTCTCGCTCCTTTCCCTTTGCGGGGCTGCCTCTCGAATTCTTTTGCTTTTTCTCTCTCGTCTGGGTCATTCCAAGTTTTTTTTGGGAGTACTGCGGGAGCCACGTGCTTGCTTCCTTGCACATCATCAACATCACCATTCCTTTTTTCTTTTCCTTTTTTGTTCTTCATCGTGTTTCCCGATACCAAAATTGACTGTTCCGTGTTAGAAACCGCGTTGGGAGTGCGGCGCTGTCTTGAGGTTTGCCATCACCTTGGTTTTGTTCTTCCACTTCGCACTACCTTGTGAGCGCTTAACGATCGACCCATAAAACCGCCTCGTTCTGTCTTTTTTTTTTCTTCCTCCACACAGTTCTTTGTACCTTTTTTTTTCTCTTCTATTAGACGTGCTTCTATTGGTCCTCTTTCTATATCTATTGTTGCTTCTCTCTCTGGTTTGTTTTTGTCTCTGCTGGAGTTTGAAATACTCCGGTGTTTGTTTGTGATATATATATATATATATTTGTTTTCTCTGCCCCTTTCGTGACTTCTTTCCTCACGTGTGTGCCGATGCAGCTTTTACGAAGTACTCATAACAACGAGAAGGTGTCCGTCCATTTGTGGGCACTTGAATTCCACGTCACATTAATTTGTCTCAGGAACGTATTTTTGTATTTATTGGAATAGAAGTTTTTTGATTTTTCTTTTTCTGGTTTCGCGATCCTTCTCTTTCCGTGCTCCTCTCGCCCTCCCCTTTTGTTTTCACGCTGCTGGAGCGTCTCGCAAACCTGTCTTTTCTCCTCTCCCTTTCTTGTCCTGGATCATTGTACCAATAAACGAGGAAGCATTTTGTGGCGGTGCTGCTTTTGAGGGAGGAGAAGTTCACGGATGCTGGTTCCCTTTTTTGTTTTGTAAAAGAGGATGACGTGGTGCTAACCGTGACGTCATCGGTTGTAGTATTTTTTTAACCCTTTTGTACACTTCTACCTTCAATTTCAACTTTTTTTTGACTCGTATTATTATTATTGTTATGACTACCGTCAAGTGATGCTCCACCCTCCTCTACCGTCGTTGTTGACTTTCTTTTGTTAAAAAAAACTGTTCTGTATTTTTCATGTGTTCGCTTCCCGCATCTGCCATAGAGGCCAGGGGGGGGGGGGCGAATTACCCTGCTTCTTTTTTTTTCTTCTACCTTACGATGTTTTTTTTTTGTTATGCAAAGCAACGATGTGTGTGCGTGTGTTTGAAAGAAAAATGTTTCTTTCTTCACCTGCGCTTGCGTGACCAATCGCGCTCGCGTAGATGAAGTCTTGACGGTCCCATTAGCAACTATAGAGTTTCACGCACCGCGAGGTTGAATCGACATGCCGTACTCCGCTTGTGCCAACTTTTGGAATCGTAAAGAGAGGAAGCGGGCAAACAACAATCCTGTTTTTGTTTGTGTGTGTCGTTGAGCTTCAGGTTGTTTTCTTTTCGTTATGTTGACTCTAGTCGTATTATTATCACTATTATTCCCCTCTCTTTAGTTTCTCGCCGTGTGCATATACGTGTGCGTGAGTACATCGGCGACTTAATGACTTGTCTTCTTTTTTTTTTCCTATTTCTATTCCCCTCCCCCCTCTCCTTGATGAGTGCGTGTCGACGTAGGGGAGCACCTTTGGGTATCACGTGTGTTACCGCGTCTGTGTGCGCGTGCAACGGTGTCGGTTCTGTTTACTGTAGTCGTTTATGTGGACTAGCTTTGTAGTATGTTGGATAATGCCTATTGTTGTTGGCGTGCTCCTGTCGCCGTGTTGGTTGTGTTGTATCCTGTTCTCTTCGAGAGAGAGAGGAGGACGGGTAAGGGGGGAGAGTGAGGCATTGCCCACGAGCATTACATCAAAGAAAAATAGTTCTCAAACGAGAGGACAGAGCTGCGCCGTCGCGCAGATCGGGGTAGCGCCCATACTCGCTTTCGGTATCGTTGTTGCTGCCTTGTATCGGATAGTTCTGATTTTATGAAAGCATGTTTTATGTCTAAAAGTGTTCGAAGAGCCGCTCTGCACTTGGCCCGTTAGCGTCGTTCCACGGACGTGAATGTTTTTCACAGTACACAATTTCCAAAAGCTACATTTGCGTCGCAAGTGGTTTTGAAGGATTCTTTTTTTCTAATCTGAGGAGCCAAAATGACTGACACAGCATTTCTTTCTTGCAACTCTGTATTCCCCTGAACGTGTCATTCCTCTTACGTCGTTGCTGGACTTACTTGATGACGTACAACACAACCACGCAAAAATATCTTCGTGATGATACTCACCTTTCCTGTGTTTAAAGTACGCAGTTTACCTCGTTTCGCTTGTTTCGTCTGGACGACTTCGCCCCTTCCGGCAACTGCGAACAAAATCAAGCAGTCTAAAAGGAAAGAAGGAATACATATCACCATGGGCGTCTCTTATCGATTTGGCGCGCGTGCCGCCGTCGCGCTCATGCTTCTGATGTGCTTCATCGTCCTACCCGCCGCCGTGATGGCACAGCAAGGTACGTCGACCGTGGCGGGCTGGGTCGACGTGCAGCCCGACGTGGCCCCGTACGTGGTGCTGCGAGTGGTGGACGACAGCACCGGCGTGGTGGTACGCAGTGCCCCCCTTGACGCCACGCACACTTTTAGCTTTGCCGGTATCGTGCCGTCGTCCGTCTCCGTAGAGGCCGTCGCGCAGCTGCCGGACCACCTCTTCGTGTTGGACGCGGCGTCCTCTGTGTTGAAGACGCCCGTCACGGCGGCCAGCGCGACCGCAACGGTGCAGTTGAAGGTGGCGGCTACCTCGAAGACGGGCGTAGCTGCGGCTACTGCTGCGGCAGGGGGCGGAGGTAGCGTTGCGTCGGCCGCATTGGCGTTGGTGGCGTTGGTGGCTGCGTGGTGTGGGCGCCATAGGATTGTGTCCGCGCTGGACATGCCGGCTTTTAAGCCGCTGAAGCCGCGCAAGGTGATGGTGACAATGTAATGTGCGTAGTGCAGCTATTGAAGGGAACTTCCTCGTGACTCTGTCCCCTTCAGCAGCCTACCTTGTCGCTCGCGACGGGCCTCGCGTGGGTACGCAGGCGCCTCTCACGTAAGAAGTAATGTTGATACTAACAGAACAGCAGCAACAACAAAAGAAGGATATTATTTCAGAGGGAAGCTTGGTGTGGTGACACATGAGCTATCGCACGCGCCGGACACGTGGGAGCCCTTCGCCATGAACTAGATGCGCTCTTCATTTTTTTTTTTTGAAACAGCGTTTCTTGTACTGCGCTACAGTGATCATTCCCGGCTACTTCACGTTCACGGAGTGCATCGGACTTCGGGAATGCAGTTAGCCTCAGAGTACAACGGACGTGGCGTCGGCTTCTCAACCATGATGGGGGAAGCCCTTGCCCTATGTCTTTCTGCACTCCGATAACTATCATACATATGTCTCTGTGTGTTTTCATTCCGCTTTCTCCTGCATTTTTTCCCCTTTGCTTTCTTCGTACCTTTTGATGTCAACAGTGCAGCACGGCGTACAACGGCAAAGAAACAAACAACAACAAAAAGTTGAAGTAGAAGTTCATCGAAGTGGAATCTGAGGAGGCTGCCTTCAGCTCCGATGGACACGTACGACCGTAATGTGGCCATTATCGGCTCTGCTGTCTACGGCGGGCTGCTGGTGATCGGGATGCTCCTCTTTGTTCTCGGCCACAGTGGTGAGCCGTTCTACCGGCACCCCTCCGTCAACGTCGCGATCTTTTCCGTCTTCTGGTTCGCCTTCGCTCCGTCCGTGCTGTTCATCGGCGCGACCGTGCCGTGGGTGTGCGCGCTGTGTGGCAGCCGGGCAGCCGCCCTTGTCTTCGCGGTGGTGCCTGGCGGTGTCTTCGTGCTCGTCGGGGCCTACTGGATCTTTCTGAATGACAAGTACGAGAACTTCTACGACGCCTTCAGCGCCCCGCTGGCGTCGCCGTGGAGTCGCAACACGGTAAACCTTCGCTACGCTCCCGCGGAGGCTTCGTACCGCACGGGCGATGGGGTACAACACTACCCCTCCCCTGCCGCGGTCGCCGAGGCGATGAATTGGGAGACGGGCGGCATGTCCCCTTTTATGCAGCGACCAAATAGGGGGTCTTCTGGCGATGGAGGCGGTGGTGGCACGCCTGACTTCACGAACATTGCCATCGCACCGCCTTTTGTGGGCAGTTGCCGGCCAACCTACGTCCCGGCAGGGGCTGCCGTTGCGTATCCCCCTGACGGGTCTAGCGTCCCCCCGCTCGCTCAAGCATCGAGTAGGAATGTCGCCACCGATTTTAATTACGATCCGGGTGGCGTCGACAGAAGGCCACAATCCGCCTACTCTAGTTTGTCACCACCGCTGCCCACGCAAACCTCGTCGGCAGGGGAGTATCCTCATCCCCCCCGTCTGAGTGGCCATTACATCGCGTGAGTGGTACGACGCTAAGATAATTCACATAGATGCTACTATGCTAGATATTCTTTTCCTTTTGCCGTAGATTTTTATGAGGATTTACCAGTAACGGTGCCTAACCGGTATGCCGTATCCTTTTTTTTTTTCAGGCTTTCCCTCCCGTCGTAAGACATGGCTGAAGCGCTTCAAATACCTCCTCTGTTTTCTCGGGGTTTTCCCTTCCCCTCTCTCCGCATAACTTCTCTATTGAGCCGTCTCCTCGTACTGCAGGTGCGTTGGCCCCCCACACGCAAATGGGAGAAACAACTGACAGAAAAGTACCCTGCAATGCGAAGTAAAATGCAACCTCCGCACGCAGACACGTTTGCCTAAAAAAAAAACTTCTAACCTGCCTTCACCTTCTCACCCGTTCTTTCTCGATTATGTCTGTCTCGGTGTTTCCGTTTTTTTTTGAATTTCGCATTTTCTTTCTACATGTAAAGGTGCTTGAGAAGGGTCTTTGCTGCTTCGTGCTCTGTCACGCATTCAGGCTGCCGATCCCCGCTACCACAACACGTATAGGGATTTGTTTTGTTTTTTGGACTGTTCTTTCCTCCCTTTACCACAACGTTCGCTTTTAGCCGCCGGCTCTCTTCCTGTGAGACACGCCGCTCGCTGTTTTCGCGTTCCCCTGTAGCACTCATGCCGTCCAAAGCTGCGGCATCCCCGCGCAGCCCGTCCATCAGCGGCAGCGACACGGAGGGTCGGAGGTACAGCTCCACGGAGGAAATGTGGAAGGCGGAGCTGTCGGGAGACCTCTACGACTCCCAGAAGGGCTGGTACGGCAAGGCGCTCGAGTACTGGCGCAACGTCCCGGCGACCATCAGCGGCGTGCTGGGCGGTATGGACCACATCCACGATGTCGACATTAAAGGCTCCCACGCCTTCATTGAGAGCCTACCGGATCGCGGCACGACCCGCGCGCTGGACTGCGGCGCCGGCATTGGGCGTATTGCGAAGAATCTGCTGACCCGCATGTACACCACGACCGACCTGCTGGAACCGGTGGAGCACATGCTGGACCAGGCGAAGGAGGAGCTCAAGGGACTGCCGGCCGGGGAGTTCATCTTGGCCTCCATGGAAACCGCCAAGCTGCCGCCCAACACCTACGACTTGATTGTGATTCAGTGGACCGCCATCTACCTCACCGACGAAGACTTTGTGCGCTTCTTCAAGCACTGCCAGGAGGCCCTCACGCCGCAGGGCTACATCTTCTTCAAGGAGAACTGCGCCAGTGGTGACCGCTTTCTGGTGGATAAGGACGACAGCAGTCTGACGCGGTCGGACGTGCATTATAAGCGGCTCTTCAGTCGTTGCGGTGTCCGCGTCGTGAAGGAGGCGTTCCAGGAGGAGTGGCCGTCGAACCTGATCCCGGTGAAGATGTACGCACTCAAGTAAGAAGGAGGGTAGAGGGTGAGGGTGGTGGTGGTGGAGGAATGTACCTCTCGCGTCGGTTGTGTGCTTCTTGATTACAGCATCCACTTCCCTTCTCTACTGTAAGCGGTTTCATCGCTTTGGTGGAGAAAGAGGAAAAAGGATTACTGCGCTTGTGCTCCACCTTCATGGTGTTTCAAGGATCTAGTGTTGATCTGTATTGCCGTGTTATCGCGCAGGGGTCGGCTGATATTTTAAAAAGGAGAATCCATTCGGCAGTGACGCGTAACGCTCACGCAGGTAACAATCAATAAACATAAGAACGAAAGCGAAGCAAATGAATGCACGTGCAGGACGTCAAGCTCTGCGCATCAGCATTTTTCCTGTTCCTGTCTCAAAGCTACGACCCTTCACCCCAATTGCTGCTCTTGCATCGGTACCAAAGGAAAGGCAGCGTATTAAGCACCACCCCGCTTGCGTTTACGCTTCTTGTTTCCCATCCTCTGCGTTGCACGAGCTGTGAGGGCTTCAAGGTTCTTTGCTGCTGGGTTTTTTTTTCCGTGGCTTTACCCTACGTTTCTTCTTCCGCCCTGCTAGTTCCCCGAACAACTTTTTTTTTCCCTTTCTTTCTGCCGCCTCACGCGCAACGCGCACTCGCACGCGTGAACCTGGCCATTGGAAGACTTGCTACGTTGGGCGATTTCTGGAAGCCGAACATCGTCTTCCATCTTCAGATGCAAACCGCCGTGAAGCCGCTTTCAGACCGAGAGCTGCAGCGACACAGAGAGCGGCAATCGAAGCACAAGTAGAGGAGAGAAGTCTCGACCAAGAGAGGCGAAAAGGCGAATATTCTATTCTCTCTTTTTTTAAAGTTCTAAACCCTTTTTTTTTACCCTAAAGATCGGAGCTCTCTTTGCCCTGTCCTTATCTCGACGAAAGCATGTCCATCGTGCGCTCCCCAACTAATCCGAGCAAGAGGCGTTTCAGCAGTCCCACCGTGGACGGCACAAACGACGCAGAGCGGCAGCTGTGCGATGCGGTGGACGCGACGCTGTCGGGCGTGACGCGCCTGCTGCAGCAGTCGGTGAATGAGAACGCGAAGGTAAAGCTGCAAGGGACCGCGGCGTCCTTCCTGCGCGCCAACGGCATTCGCCTGGCGCAGGAAAACGCAGACGAAAACGCAATGGGCTGTGCAGTGGGGCGAGGCGCCAGCGGGGACAAGGAGGCGGTGCTGCGCACCGAGCTGGTGCATTGCCGCGACCTCCTCCGCAAGGTAGACGGCGAGCGTCGCTATGCGCGCAAGCAGTGGCTTCGTTTGCAGGCGGAACAAGAGCAGCGACGCACGGCGATGGAGGCGATGCACCGCTACTCCACCGCGTCCCATCAACGCTCTTTAACGCTGGAGCAGCACGTGGCAGAGGAACGGCAGCGGCGGCGGCAGCTCGAAGAGCAGCTGGACACGCTGACGCAGGAGTTGATGCAGCTGCGGCGGGTTCTGCGCGCGTTGCCGGGCGACCTCGTGACGTCGATAAGCTCGCCACAGTCCCCCTCTTCCTCGTCGTTCCCCTCCACAACTCATTCCCTTTCCACGGCGCAGCTGCTTGTTCCTGACCGCCGCTTCGAGGAGGCATTTCGAGACAAGATGAACAGCATCGTGTACAAGCGTCGCTACCAGCGGGCCAGCGCGCTGCATCAGGCAGCAAGTGAGCAACTCGAGGCATTCATGATGGGGCAGCAGGACCTGCAGCACGTTCATCTACGCGCGGCGTACGGTGATGAGGGCCGGCTAGTTAGTGCAGGAGCCGTTGTTGATGCAGCGGGCACCGCGTCCGTCGGGTTTGGAGACGACGTGACCGATCCGCCGAATGGAGCGGACTCGAGCAGCGCCGCATCGCTGGCCAGCGCCGTCTTTTGGCAATCTGCCCTCGACTTCCCCTTTCAGCTGCCCTTTAGCACCGCAACTCCGCAGGATGCGTTGATCAAGTCCCTCATCTACCGCTCTCAGTTTGCAGAGCCGCTCACGCAGCTGCGGGAGCACACGCTGCGGCTCAGCACGCGCCTCAAGACGACGCAGGACACAGCACTGCGTACCTTGTACCTCACCTTCAATCAGGCGCTACAAAATCTTGGCGCGACGCCGGCGCGGGCGCAGTGCCGTTCACTTTACGAGAGACAGATGAGCAAGATGCAACGCGCGCACCGTGAGCTGCTCTACGGCCTCATCGAGCAGGTCAACCACGCCACAATGGAGATTCCTGAGGCGGAGCGGCGCACCGGCGGGCTTTGTTTTTCCATCACCGCGAGAGGCGGCGACGCACACGGCGTGCAACGTCGCGATGCGGGGTGCACTGCGCACGAGTCCGTTAGCATCGAGGAGTATCGCTCGTCGCAGCTGAAGGAGCAGCTCACCAAGCTGAAGCTGCAGTCCTTGGAAACGGCCGCCGCGACGCTGAAAGAGACGGAGGCGACGGCGGCGCAGTGCACGGCGGCACGACAGGAGGCCGTGCAGGCTCTGCAGTCTCTCAAGAAGCTGACGGCGTGCATCATCGCTTCGGTGCGGGCGCAAAAAACGGCGGATGAGGTCGTGTACGACCCGCTCGAGGACGTGACAGAGCCGCTCACGGAGGACGTGCTGGACGATCCGCGGTTGGTGACGAAGATGACGGAGGCGACGGACCTCACCCTCACGTACGTCCGTCAGCTTGCCCGCAACAGCAGTAGTAGCGCGGCAACAAGTAGGCTGCAGGCTAGCTCGCCACGTGTCCGCACCAACCTTGGCGCCTCTGTACGCTTGTCTTCGTCGTTGACGTTTGGCCGCGACTCCGACCGTGAGGGCACCTACGGCAACATCATCGACATTCACCGTCGTGACGACGCCTTCTCCGAGGCAACGGAGGGGAAGGCCGGGCGCGGTGGTGCGGTGCTGCAAGGCAGCAAACGTAGCAACGAAAAGCGTGACGCCGTCGTACACGACCGTCGCAAGTCTGCTCCCTCCTCGCTGTCCAACACAGCGCGCCGCATGCGCCGCAAGTCGGTTGCGACTGCCAACCGCCGACTAACGGTGCCGCAGCTTCCTGCAGTGCCGAGGACGCCAACCGCACCCACCGCGAAGAGGGGCACCCGCGGCCGACCCGAGCCGATCGACGCCGCTGCGCTCCACACCCCGCCACTAGAGATCCAAAAAGACTCGATCATCTCTTTTTCTTCCCCCAATCAGCTGCAGGTTGTTTCAAGGGCGTTGAAAGAGACGGGCGGGAGGCTGGACGGTAGCTACCCCAACCCGACCGTCTCTATCATCGAGCTTGGCTTCAGCGAGAACAGCATTCGCTTAAATTAGTGGCTCTGTTTTAGCTTCCCAGCAAGCTAGCAGTACGCGCATATCTTTCGGCTGGTGTAAGAAAGGCCGAGACTTTCATACGTACTCTCTCTCTCTCTCTCTCTCTCTCTCTATATATATATATATATATATTACGTTTTT